GATGATGATCCTTAAAAGGTTAGGTTAACAAAGTATAAAGAAAAACATGTACTTGAAGAATAGAAGAAACCCATTAAGCTGGATGCAATTAGGCCAACGTCATTTTCTTGACCAAAGTTGCTTGCAATAAATTTGTAAATATGAGATCAAATCATCACTAAAATAAAGTGTGATGGATGTTGCAGATGAGAGCTGCTTGACGAAAGAACACTTGGACACAGTTATTGATTGGATACCGTCGATGAAGAGTCTAAAACTAAAAGACATCCCTAGCTTTGTCCGTACCACTAATCCCAACGACATAATGCTCAACTTCCTTGTCCACGAGAGCGGTCGATCCAAACGCGCCTCTGCTATCATTCTCAACACATTCGATGACCTCGATCAAGACATTATCCGGTCCATGCAATCAAATTTACCACCGGTTTATTCAATAGGACCGCTTCATCTCTTAGTAAACCGGGAGATTAAAGAAAGTAGTGAGACTGGAAGGCTGGGATCAAACCTGTGGAGAGAGGAGACAGAGTGTTTGGAGTGGCTCGATACTAAGTCTCTAAACAGCATCGTTTATGTTAACTTTGGGAGCATAACGGTTATGAGTGCGAAGCAGCTCGCGGAGTTCGCTTGGGGTTTGGCGGGAAGTGGAAAAGAGTTTTTATGGGTGATCCGGCCGGATTTAGTAGCTGGAGAGGAGGCGGTGATTCCGCCGGAGTTTCTGACGGAGACAGCCGGTCGAAGGATGTTGTGTAGTTGGTGTCCTCAGGAGAAAGTTCTTTCTCATCCGGCGATCGGAGGGTTCTTAACGCACAGTGGATGGAATTCGACTTTGGAGAGTCTCTCCGGTGGAGTTCCGATGGGGTGTTGGCCGTTCTTTGCAGAACAACAAACGAACTGTAAATTCTGTTGCGATGAGTGGAAGGTGGGGATGGAGATTGGCGGAGATGTGAAGAGGGAGGAGGTTGAGGCGGTGGTTAGAGAGCTGATGGACGGAGAGAAAGGAAAGAAAATGAGAGAGAAGGCGGAGGAGTGGAGGCGCTTGGCGGAGAAAGCGACGGAGCATCCATGTGGTTCGTCGGTTATGAATTTTGAGACAGTTGTCAATAATGTTCTCTTAGGACAGTTCCCCAAAAAAGGTCATACTTAATTGAAAGCATAAGATGATCATAAAAGTGTGTTATATAACTAGGGTTAATACCCGCGCGTGGGGTTTCAGTATTAAAACACTATCAACATTTATAAATCATTTTATAAATAATAACAAAATAAATTGACGTTCCAAACATTTATTCATTTCTTTAGAATTGAAGAAAGATACATTGGTACATTAAAGATTTGATCAAAGGTAAAAAAACAAACAACAAACACATGCGACAATGAGCAATTAATACAATATCCTCGTTCACACGGGATTAAATAAATTCAAAGCAATTCAAAGCACAGCATACTTTTACTTTTTAAACTTGTTCTGTAGATCCAACACAACCTTAGGATCCAACTGAAACGCCCTTGCAAGAACATTGGGATCTATTGCTGGGTTAGACCCAAACACTGTGTTAGCAATAGTGACAACACCTGGGTTTTGGCTGCTCAGAGCAGCGAATGCAACGGCAGGAAATTTACCAATGTTTGCTTGGAAATGGATAAGTCCCTCTGGAAACACAAACACATCACCCTCCTTAAGAGTTTTGGTAAAGAGACGATTACCATCACCGTTTGATGTGACAAACCCAACCAAAAGAGTTCCATGTCCGACATACAAGATCTCGGTAGCTCGGGGGTGAGTGTGAGGAGGGTTTTGCCCGTTGACTCCATAGTCTATACGGACAATGGAGATTCCGAGGGTGTTTAGCCCTGGAAGGTTGTTTACATTAACGGCTGTCACATTCGACCCAACAGCATTAGCTACGGGTCTAGCCTTTTGAAGCCCTGTGAAAAAGAAGTCATCGGATGTGACGAGCTTTGGGTCTTTGCAGAACTTTCCATTTACAAACACTGATGAACACAATAACCAAATAATGAAATATTATAATTAGAAACGAGAAATCAATAAAAATATTAATATACCAATTAGGAAGTCATGTACATACCACCATCTGCCGGGGTGTTGACGCCGACGCAGAAGTCTTGAAGGGGGCTTGGATCAGAAGCAATGGCCAATGGAAATGTTAAAGCCAAGAGAGATAGGACTGCAAGAAATGAGAGGTTCTTCATGGTCGTATATTAACTTCAGTATTTTCAATGAAAGGAGGAGTTTTTGTTTCTTCAATATGGTTTTAAGGGAGTTGTTAAAAACTTAGAAGATAAAATCTCAATGTATAGATGATTTTAGGTGTTGAAATAGTCCTTATATACATATATGTATAAACCAAAAAGTGTGACAATGTCTGAGCTAGAAGTTTGAAATGGTAAAACTTTTTGTTATAAATCGTGTTCGCTTAAGTCTCAAAATCCCCCATGTTTATGGTGGCAATATATCTATTGGCACAGAAAAATAAAATAAAAGTAAAAAACGTATAATTTCAAATGATGGTTTGAATTGGTATGTGTTTCTTTAGTGATTATATTTTCTCAAATTGTCACGAATTTATACGTGCTGATTTCGATGATATTCAATTGCACGTGATAATGTGTTGACTCGAACAAATGTCAATCTGGATTTATTAGTTTGGTTGAATTGTTCCTTGAGTAACAAGCCACGACTGTATCAATTTTGATATATAAGTCTCAATGGACATAGAAAATTGAAAGATATAAGATGCTTATCGTTATTGAGGAATATTTTGACTTTTACAAATAAATTTAAACCCATCGATGGTGAATCCCTCCCTGGGAAAATGCCGAGCGTATGTAGTTCACACCACGTAATTGCAACCCTAATTTTTCCAATATTCCACACGCACAAGAATAAAAGAGAAATTTTAAGAAATACATGTATGAAATTTCCCCAAAATAAAATGTTTCAAACTTAACTTTTCTTTCAGAATTACACTCTCTTCTCGATCATCAATCATTCTATTCCCATTCGGTAGCCCAACCAAACATGAAAATATATATGATGTATTAAAATAAATATCAACATACATATTAAATAATTTCACAAAAAAAAAATAATAAAAAGGCTTACAGCTTTACTAATCATATAAATTAAGAATATGCAGTTTTAAGAGCTTAATGCTCTTCTAAATACTCACCCTGCTTATGCTCCTTAAGCCTAATGCTCTTCTAACTGTTTTGCCAATCAAGGCCTTTATATACGTTTGCTAGAGCATGTATTCAACGTACTAATTATGTGGTGATTATTGGCTTATTGCCTTCTAGGGCCGCTATTCTGACTTTTATTTCACCAACAGGCTACAATATATACACTCAACTTGTTATTATCTTTTGTCCTATTAGCAGCTAACCAATTATCGAGAGATCACTCATCAGCTCATGTCATGGTAAGGGACACACCTTCGACTGATCGATGTAGATTTGCCGACGATAATTCAACCATTATTTTCTTCTCTTTTTTCTTTCAAATCCTTTTAAAACCATTCAATTCTTTATGTATTTGTCATATATCAAAGTTTTCTTGTTTTTCTTGAAATGTGGACTAAGCTGTCTCGTAATAAAGTACCACTGTTTCTGAAGATATTAGAAAAGTAACCCGTGTTCCACGCGATATATTTTTAATATCTATATAGTATTCACACTTTCTATTATATTAGAGATAATAATTTAGCAATTATAAATATATATCTTTTACTAACAGAAACTCATTTGTCTTTTAAGCATATCTTAAATTTGAAAATACAATTGTTTATCTGTTTTAGTGTAAATAAACGTATCAAATGGAGTAATAAATAAAAAATGAACATGTTAAAACCAAAGCGTTTAGTTGATGTCACGAAACGATGATTTAATATTAAAGTTCAATTATGCGTATTTTATATATGTCAAAAGGTGATCATTTCCACTTCACTTAGATGATCTATATATGTAGACTTCAGACAAGTAGACTTTAAATCTGTATTTTCAACGCAAATTGTTATCCAATGTTTACTATAAATGAAGAGTTACTAGGTGTTCTGATGAAAATTTTAATATGTGTGCAAATATAAGCATAGTGAAGAGTATGATCAAAATTGTTGAAAATATACCAGTGAGGCAGTGAACCGGAGCAACTGACAACATTATTGGATCCACTTCTAAATGATTATAGGTAGTATACACATTACTATCATCTCCGATCTTCCAAATGACTATTTAAAATCATTCAATTATTTGTATTAATGTATTTCACTCAAAAAGTTTGGTTGTTTTTCTTGAAATGTCAACCAAAGTTGCTCCATAATGGAGCTCCAGTATTTTTAACAGTATAAGAAGAGTATCTCTGTTACACGCAAAATCTTTTTATACATGTTATTTCTTTTTTGGCCAACCAAAAGTTTTCTTGATTTACAACATCACAGTCACTGATTACATATGTTTGAAGAAAACTTGGACATACCTACATGAAATAGAGAACATTGAGACAGAGACAGCTAACTTTCCTAACTAATGTGTGACCTAAACAAATTTTATTTCAATTTTGTATGTTGTATTCATATTTTCTATTATACTATCAAAATATTTATAGATTTAAAATTATAAATCTATATCTTTTACAAACTGAAACTCATTTGTAAGGATATATCGAATTTGAAAATATAGTTGTTTATATGTTTTTAATGTAAATTAACGTAAATAATACTATACGTTAAGTTATTGTACAAAAATACGTTTTGTCCTACATAAATTATAAACAAAAAGGTACACTAACCTCGATATCGCTAATGCACGATACGGGGAATCTTCGCATGTGAGGTAGATTTACCGTTACTACGTGCGAAAAACATATGGCCTCACCGTCTCCATGATTGTCAATTAACTTACGATAAAATGGGAGTCCTTTAAAGCCTAACGAAATCGTTTCAAGTTCAATCACAAATACATATCCATTGTAAGATAGAAAGAAAATGGCCTCTCACGCCGTTTCCAGCGGACAAAAACCACACGCAGTTTGCGTGCCTTACCCGGCTCAAGGCCACATCAACCCGATGATGAAAGTGGCTAAACTCCTCCACGCTAAAGGCTTCCATGTTACTTTCGTCAACACCGTTTACAACCACAACCGTCTCCTCCGATCTCGTGGTCCAAATGCCCTCGACGAGCTTCCTTCTTTCCGGTTCGAGTCTATCTCTGACGGTCTACCAGAGACCGACGAGGACGTCACCCAGGATATCCCCACCCTATGCGAGTTAACCATGAAGAACGGTCTCGCTCCTTTCAAAGAGCTTCTGGGGCGGGTCAACGCCCGAGATGATGTTCCTCCGGTGAGCTGTATTGTATCCGACGGTATCATGAGCTTTACACTTGATGCTGCGGAAGAGTTTGGAGTTCCGCAGGTTCTTTTCTGGACGCCAAGTGCTTGTGGCTTCTCCACTTTACTACACTTCTATCGCTTCGTCGAGTTGGGCTTATCTCCACTAAAAGGTTTATATTAGTATTTGTATTAACGTTTGAATCCATTTTTATATTAAAATATTTAACGTAGAATCTCTTAACAAACCACAAGATCATCAGTAAGTTTCTGTATAACAAATTATGACTAATGAAATGGTGTTGTGGACTTAGCAGATGAGAGTTGCTTGACCAAGGAATACCTAGACACAAGAATAGATTGGATACCAGCAATGAGGAACCTAAGAATAAAAGACATCCCTAGCTTCATCCAGACGACGGATCCTGACGACATAATGGTCAACTTTTTTATCCGCGAGACTGACCGGTCCAAACGTGCTACTGCTATCATTCTCAACACGTTCGATGACCTAGAGCATGACGTCATCCAATCATTTCAATCTATTTTACCTCCGGTATACTCTATTGGACCTCTCCATCTACTAGCAAATCAGAAGGTCGATAAAGATAGTGAGATCGGACAGATGGGAACAAATCTATGGAGAGAGGACACGGAGTGTTTGGATTGGCTCGATACCAAGTCTAGAAACAGCGTCGTTTATGTAAATTTTGGAAGCATAACAGTGATGAGCCGAACACATCTCGTGGAGTTTGCATGGGGTTTGGGGGCAACAGGGAAAGACTTTTTGTGGGTGATCAGACCGGATTTAGTAGCCGGAGATTTGGCCGTGGTTCCGCAAGATTTTCTAGTAGAGACGGAGGGTCGAAGGATGCTAACGAGTTGGTGTCCTCAGGAGAAAGTTCTTTCTCATCCGGCGATCGGAGGATTCTTAACGCACAGTGGATGGAACTCGACTTTGGAGAGTCTCTCAGCTGGAGTTCCGATGGTGTGTTGGCCGTTCTTTGCAGACCAGCAAATAAATTGTAAGTTTTGTTGCGATGAGTGGGAAGTGGGAATGGAGATTGGCGGGGATGTGAAGAGGGAGGATGTTGAGGCGGTGGTTAGAGAGCTGATGGATGGAGAGAAGGGCAAGAAAATGAGAGTGAAGGCGGAGGAGTGGCGGCTATTGGCAGAGAAAGCGACAAATCAAAGTGGTTCGTCGGAATTAAATTTTGAGATGGTTGTTAACAAGTTGCTCTCTTAATCTTAGCTCTTAGGGCAGCATGACAACAAGGTGGCTATAATCTATTTTTCAACCTAAAATGATTATCAAAATGTGATTCGTGAACTAGTATTTATTTTTGTTGTTGGGCCACTTAGCTTGACTTTATATTTCACCAAGACTACAGTAATAAACTCATCTTGTACTTATAAAACATTATCTTTTGTTGGCTCATAAATCAATTCACGAATTTGGCCTCGAGATCGCTAATGCCCGATATGGGGAATCTTCACATGTGCTGATGTGCGAGAATCATATGGTTTTGATCTTGTCACTTATATATTACTATAAAATTGAGTCCTTCAAAGCTTAACGTAAGCGCTCCCAAGTTAAGTCACAAACACATATCCATTTTTTAGAAATTCTCCTAGAAGAGAAAGAAAATGGTATCCGATGCCGTTTCCAGCGGACAAAGGCCACACGTAGTTTGCGTGCCTTACCCGGCTCAAGGCCACATCAATCCGATGATGAAAGTGGCCAAACTACTCCACGCTAAAGGCTTCCATGTTACCTTCGTCAACACCATTTACAATCACAACCGTCTCCTCCGATCCCGTGGACCTAACGCCCTCGACGGACTTCCTTCCTTCCAGTTCGAGTTCATTCCTGACGGTCTACCGGAGACTGACGTGGACGTTACTCAGGATATCCCTGCGCTTTGCGAATCCACCATGAAAACCGGTCTCGCTCCGTTCAAGGAGCTTCTTGGCAGGATAAACGCCGGAGATGATGTTCCTCCGGTGACCTGTATTGTATCCGACGGGTGTATGAGTTTTACTCTTGATGCTGCGGAGGAGCTTGGTGTCCCGGAGGTTATTTTCTGGACAACCAGTGCTTGTGGCTTTTTGGCTTATGTACACTACTATCGCTTCATCGAGAAGGGGTTATCTCCACTCAAAGGTAATTTTTATTAATAACCGAGATTAGTGGTAGACATGTTCTTAGTGGCCATTTCGACGACACCTGATAAAAACGATATCGGAAAAAATTAGTATGGTCTATGCTTAAGAATGATTCGCACAAATAGAAAAATGGTCTACTTTTTTTTTTTTTTTTTTTTTTAATGGTCTATGCTTAAGAATAATAACACAAGTAACATAACCGATATAATTTTTCTATATGGTGGTGCCTATTTTTTTAATTGTTTGTGCCGATATAACCACCCCCAATCATCCATTTTCTTGGTCAGAGCCGCCTATCTCTTTTTTTAAAAGGTTTATATACAGTTTTCTTTAGTTGACTTTAAGGAGTTGGTGGGAGACCAAGAACGATATTATGTTGAGAAGTGGGTAGATGAAAGTGGAAACTAGCTCTTAACTTAGACTTCACCGTAAATGGCTATTAATGAGTGACAAACTTGTTAGATGCAGTCTAAGTTAAGAACTAGTTTGTTGTGTAGTGAAGTCTAAGTTAAGAGCTAGTTTCCACTTATAAAGTCTAAGTTATTTGAAGATATATGTCTAAGTTAAGAGCTAGTTTCCACTTATAAGGAAGTCTAAGTTATGAGCTAGTTTGGTTTGTAATGAAGTCTAAGTTCAGAGTGACAACCAGCTCTTAACTTAGATTTTATTGCAAGTATTTTGTTATTTGTGTAACGTTTTCAATGTTTGGTTCAAAAAAGAATTTTTTTTGTGAAGACCTTTACAAACATTGGTACATAAAATGGAACCTTGATCTTGACAATTAAAATTGATAATAATAAAAAATAAAAATAAAAAGATTCCAAAGAGATTTTTAACGTTGGAGATTGCTTTGATTGATTTTTATTTTAAGAAATCTCGAGATATCAAATAATAATAACTAATAAAATGTTTGTGATTGTGGATTTGGCAGATGAGAGTTACTTGACCAAGGAGAATTTAGACACAAAAATAGATTGGATTCCATCAATGAGAAACTTAAGACTAAAAGACATCCCTAGCTTCATCCGTACGACTAATCCTGACGACATAATGCTCAACTTCCTTGTCCGTGAAGCCGACCGAGCTAAACGCGCTTCTGCTATCATTCTCAACACGTTCGATGATCTCGAGCATGACGTCATCCAATCCATGCAATCTATTTTACCTCCGGTTTACTCTATTGGCCCGCTCCATCTACTAGTGCAACAAGAGATCGATGAGAACAGTGAAATCGGACAAATGGGATCGAATCTGTGGAGAGAAGAAATGGAGTGTCTGACTTGGCTCGATACCAAATCTCAAAACAGCGTTGTTTACGTTAACTTCGGGAGCATAACTGTGATGACAGCGGAACAGCTTGTGGAGTTTGCATGGGGCTTGGCGGCAACGGGGAAAGAGTTTTTTTGGGTGATCCGACCGGATTTAGTAGTCGGAGATGTTGCAATAGTTCCGCCTGAGTTTTTAACGGAGACCGCGGACCGGAGAATGCTGGCGAGTTGGTGTCCTCAGGAGAAAGTTCTCTCTCATCCGGCGATCGGAGGGTTCTTAACGCACTGTGGATGGAACTCGACGCTGGAAAGTCTCTGCGGCGGAGTTCCAATGGTTTGTTGGCCATTTTTCGCAGAGCAGCAAACCAACTGTAAGTTTTGTTGTGACGAGTGGGAGATTGGGATTGAGATTGGCGGAGATGTGAAGAGAGATGAGGTTGAGGCGGTGGTTAGAGAGTTGATGGATGGAGAAAAGGGAAAGAAAATGAGAGAGAAGGCGGAGGAGTGGCGGCGTTTGGCGGAGAAAGCGACGGAGCATGAGCTTGGTTCCTCTGTTGTGAATTTAGAGAAGCTTGTTAGCAATGTTCTTTTAGGAGAGTAGAGACTTTTTTTTTTAAAAAATACTCTTAGTGCATTTTTTAAAGTTGTGTTAACCACCACTATTAAACATTAGTAGTGTTCTCTACTCTAATGGGAGAATCTTATTGGGGTGCTTAAAAAAAATTGTTTGTTTGTCTGTATGTTTGTATGTTTGTTTGTCTGTATGTTTGGAATTGGTTTGATCATGATTGTAGTTGCATTCTTAGCAGAGGAACTGAATTTAAACTTCATTTGCAGGAAATACATTGAATTCTGAATGTATCACCACGCAAAAACATTAAGGAATCGCTGAAACTTCACCATTGTCTAAAGGAACATCAAGAGCTGTCCCTCTGTCATCAAGTTAAAGCACATCATCAGATTTCACCACAATCTCATCATAGCTCACACCACAACGATCACTTCCCTCATCGAACTCACATTGGCTCTTCAATCCTTGACCACATTTCTCTTGTTCGTTGCTGTCTGATTGACTAGTGTTCTCCGAGAAACTCTCATCAGATCGATAAGAGTTTTCAAGTTGTTTTCACAGCAGCTCCTCCTCTTCCATGAGAGCTGCAACAACATCCTGCCAAAATAAAAAACCAATAAGAGAACATAGCTAAATGTTATCTTCTTTCTTGTACCAATCAAAGATTTCAGTTTTAACTCGAAATCTCGACTTATGTTTCGGATACAGCAACAATGAATATTCTTGACCATCATAAAGCCTAACAAGATTTTGGTGACCAAACCAAATGTCTTTGCCACTCGATATCATATGAAAGGAAAATAGGGAGCAGTAGTAGAGGGAGACAGCGGAGAGAACACACCCAATATACTACACTCATAGTCTCATAGTTACCTGTTTTGGTCATCCTGCTTTGGAGTCTCACTTAAAACTTGCTTCGGCTTGAGCAGTTTTTACAACTTTCGCATCACCAGAACAACATCCACCTCCATGTTGATGATGATGATTCCCGTGGTGATGGTTTTGCTTCCCCTTGCCTTGAGATTCATCCACATGTCGTAGGCGACCTCCCAATTAGCGTAATACTTTGCTTCTACATCGTTACTCTTATAGCCTAATGTCTCCGTGTACAGACAGATCACCCCTTTTGAAATACTCCAACACCAAATGTATTTTCCCCGGAGCCTATATCAAATTTCAGAAAACAGAAAACCATCCTCTCGCAATCAGACCCATATACACTCAGAGTCTTTACCATCATTTCCAGCATAGTCTATGAAGTTCAAAAGAATGCTAAGCATATATTTCATAAACATGATCCATATTTTTCGTAGTAGTTTCCAACGAAGCTAACACATTATAGAATCCTAAATGTAAGAAATTTAAGAAACAAAACAACGCTAAAAGATATTTAGATGGCTTATCCAGCAATGGCAGCTTATACGAGCTCCATCATTCCATATCCTGACTTGTTCTAATACTATTTTACTAAAAGCAACCAATGAGAACACGAGAGACTCAGAAACAGAGTGCTAAAACCCCCAAAATCCAACCTTAAACAAAGCTAATTAAGCTAACCTCCTTCCACATCCAAGACTAATTTAGAGAAACATGATTCAATAGAAATTCAGCACGAAATCGAGTGAACCTAGAACTCATACTTTTCAGATCGGATCAAATTGGAGATTAGAAGCTCAACGAGAGCTCAATCATCGGAAAAATAGAAGAAAGAAAAGAGATGGAGGATAAAGAAACGAAAGAGAAAAATGAGGAAGAAAAACTCGTTTTTTATTTCTCATTAACCAACACCCAATCATTTTCTGCCACGTGACAATGAGTACTGACGCTTGTCACGCCTATATAAACGTCGACGTCTCCATTTAAAATTGATTTTGATTTATTTTTGGGCTAACCGTCCCATGAAGTAACTCGCGTTAAATATGCTCTAATTAAAAAAAACTTTAAAGAGGTAAAGAGGTGGTGTCAAACTGAGGATGGACCCTTTTAACATACATCACTATGGTTTCGATCTTGTCACTTAATCCCTCCATTTCAAATTAGTTATGGTTTGGAAAAAAATGTATCATCAATTATTTGTAGCAATTATTTTGTATCTATTAAACTCAAAACGCATCCAAATATATACGAATAATTGCAGATTGCAGATACATTTTATCACCACAACTAATTTAAAAGGGAACTATAAAATTGAATCCTTCAAAGCTTTACGGAATCGCTCCCAAGTTCAGTCACACACATATCCATTTTAAAAACTTTCTAGTAAAAGAGAAAGAAAACGGTATCCCATGCCGTTTCCAGCGGACAAAGGCCACACGTAGTTTGCGTGCCTTACCCGGCTCAAGGCCACATCAATCCGATGATGAAAGTGGCCAAACTACTCCACGCGAAAGACTTTCATGTTACCTTCGTCAACACCATTTACAATCACAACCGTCTCCTCCGATACCGTGGACCCAACGCCCTCGACGGACTTCCTTCCTTCCAGTTCGAGTTCATTCCTGACGGGAGCATAATTGGAAGGAAGGAAGGAATGAACTCAAATGAAGAATCCAAAGAGAACACGTACTTGAAGAAAAAAGTAGCGTCAATCTCAATTAATAGGGCAAGCCTTTTTTTTCTGGCTCATCTATATACACTATATCAGTGTAAATGCATCAGTTCTTGCATGTTAATACGTTACGTTGATTTTTATTTTAAGAATTCTCGAGATATTAAATAATAATAACTACAAATATGGTTCTGGTTGTGAATTTGGCAGATGAGAGTTACTTGACCAAGGAGCATTTAGACACCAAAATAGATTGGATTCCATCGATGAGAAACCTAAGACTAAAAGACATCCCTAGCTTTATCCGTACGACTAATCCTGACGACATAATGCTCAACTTCCTTGTCCGTGAAACCGACCGAGCTAAACGGGCTTCTGCTATCATTCTCAACACGTTCGATGATCTAGAGCATGACGTCATCCAATCCATGCAATCAATTTTACCTCCAGTTTACTCCATTGGCCCGCTCCATCTACTAGTACAACAAGAGATCGATGAGGATAGTGAAATCGGTCGAATGGGATCGAATCTATGGAGAGAAGAGATGGAGTGGCTCGATACCAAATCTCAAAACAGCGTTGTTTACGTTAACTTTGGGAGCATAACTGTGATGACAGCGGAACAGCTCGTGGAGTTTGCATGGGGTTTGGCGGCAACGGGGAAAGAGTTTTTTTGGGTGATCCGACCGGATTTAGTAGTCGGAGACGTGGCAATAGTTCCGCCTGAGTTTTTAACGGAGACAGCGGACCGGAGGATGCTGGCGAGTTGGTGTCCTCAGGAGAAAGTACTTTCACATCCGGCGATCGGAGGGTTCTTAACGCACAACGGATGGAACTCGACGCTGGAGAGTCTCTGCGGCGGAGTTCCAATGGTTTGTTGGCCATTTTTCGCAGAGCAGCAAACGAACTGTAAGTTTTGTTGTGACGAGTGGGAGATTGGGATTGAGATTGGCGGAGATGTGAAGAGAGATGAGGTTGAGGCAGTGGTTAGAGAATTGATGGATGGAGAAAAGGGAAAGAAAATGAGAGAGAAGGCGAAGGAGTGGCGTCGCTTGGCGGAGAAAGCTACGGAGCATGAGCTTGGTTCCTCTGTTGTGAATTTAGAGAAGCTTGTTAGCAATGTTCTCATAGGAGAGCAGAGACTATAATTTGTTTTAAATACAGTAATATAGGCTATGCTTTTGGACAAAATATATCACTATCTACGGTGTAGCTAGTTTGTGTTTTTATGGCACAAAATTACACACTATACAAGTAAAACAGTATTGTGGCTTCTATCGATCCATTTATTAGTCTTATGATCTTATCTTATCTACTTCAATCATTATCATTTTCTAGGCAAAATATCAAAATCAAAGGAAAAATGGCATCTCCTGCCCTCTGTAGCGCACAAAAAAATGGATCGATAGAAGCCACAATGGAGGAGTTTAGCCACTTTTAGCATAGGGTTGATGTGGCCTTGAGCCGGGTGAGAATTATCGTGAACTAGCAAAAGGAAACCAAAAAAATCATTGTACCTTTTTTGTCTACATGCTACAGTGTAGACTAGTTTGTCTTTTTATGGCACGAAATTACACACTATACAAGTAATAGTACTGTGGCTTCTATCGATCCATTTATTAGTCTTATCTCTTCAATCATTATCATTTTTCTTGGCATAAGATCAAAATCGAAAAACAAAAATGGCATCTCCCGCCGTCTGTACCGCACAAAAACCACACGTAGTTTGCGTTCCTCACCCTGCTCAAGGCCACATCAACCCTATGCTGAAAGTGGCTAAACTCCTCCACGCCAGAGGCTTCCACGTCACCTTTGTCAACACCGTCTACAACCACAACCGTCTCCTCCGATCCCGTGGCCCCAACGCTCTAGACGGACTTCCTTCTTTCTGGTTCGAATCCATCCCTGACGGCTTACCGGAGACCACCGATGGGGATAAGACGCAAGATATCCCTTCCCTTTGCGTCTCCACCACGAAATACTGTCTTGCTCCGTTCAAGGAGCTTCTCCGACGGCTTAACACGGGAGATGATGTCCCTCCGGTGAGCTGTATTGTTTCTGACGGTGTGATGAGCTTTACTCTGGACGCAGCGGAGGAGCTCGGTGTCCCGGACGTTGTGTTCTGGACTACCAGTGCTAGTGGTTTCATGACTTTTCTACAATTTAATCGCTTTATCGAAAAAGGTTTATCTCCTTTTAAAGGTACTGAATTTAATTTTCACTATATTCTTGATTTTTTATTCATGTTCTTGATTTACATGTATTTTGTCGGCAATATTGTGTCGTATCTTATAGGTTACTTAAATAATAGTAATGATTTTTTGACAGATGAAAGTTACATGTCTGAGGAGCATTTAGACATGGTTATAGATTGGATACCGTCGATGAAGAATCTTAGGTTAAAAGACATCCCTAGCTTCATACGTACCACTAATCCTGACGACGTAATGCTTAATTTCGTCATTAGAGAAGTCGAGCAGTTAAAACGTGCCACTGCGATCATTCTCAATACGTTTGATGACCTCGAGCATGACGTTATCGAGTCCATGCAATCTATGGAGTTACCTCCGGTTTATTCGATTGGACCGGTTCATCTTCTAGCGAACCGGGAAACCGACGAGGTTAGTGAGATTGGATTAAATTTGTGGAGAGAGGAGACCGAGTGTTTGGATTGGCTCGACGGTAAGGCTCGAAACAGCATCGTTTTTGTTAACTTTGGATGCATAACGGTGATGAGTGCGAAGCAGCTTGTTGAGTTTGCTTGGGGTTTGGCGGCGAGTGGGAAAGAGTTTCTGTGGGTGATCCGGCCGGATTTGGTTGCTGGAGAGGAGGCGGTGGTTCCGCCGGAGTTTTTAGCGGAGACGGCGGACCGGAGAATGATGGCGAGTTGGTGTCCTCAAGAGAAAGTTCTTTCTCATCCGGCGATCGGAGGATTCTTGACGCATTGCGGATGGAATTCGACGCTGGAGAGTCTGTGCGGCGGTGTTCCGATGATATGTTGGCCGTTTTTTGCGGAGCAGCCGACGAATTGTAAGTTTTGCTGTGATGAGTGGGGAGTAGGGATGGAGATCGGAGGGGATGTGATGAGAGATGAGGTTGAAGCGGTGGTTAGAGAGCTGATGGATGGAGAGAAGGGGAAGAAATTGAGAGAGAAGGCGGAGGAGTGGCGGCGATTGGCGGAGGAAGCGACGGAGGTTAAACGTGGTTCTTCGGTTGTGAATTTTGAGAAGCTTGTTAATATCCTTTTGGGTCAGAACCAACGCAGTGAACAAATGTAATTATACATATACGGCCCATTTTATTTTGTATAATATATAAAGGTGCGGCCCATTTTATTTTGTATAATTTTGAAGACTAATAAAACCTTGTAAGGTAGTATCATTTTAATTTTAGAGTATTAACAAAATAATTATATATAAATCATGTAAATCACATATGAATATGAATATAGAATTATGTAACTTGTAAGAACCGTGCAAGTTACATAATCATTTCGTCATTCTGGAAATCATATGCTCAAACATACTTTCAGGCTTATAAGAGCTGAATAGTGACATTATTTATGAAATCTGTCTTAGACAAGTAGCGACACATTTCTCAAACGTTCTTTTATGTTTTTAGCTAAACTTGTAATCGGAAAAGATTTCAGATGTTTTCTAACAACAACTAAAAAACTTTAAGTTGAAAAATTTAGCTACACTTGCCTGGCAAATTAGTTTCTAAAATTGACTTGATTTATTTAACATGCTAACAGTTATGCACAGACTAATTAAGAGTAAAGTCGATTTCTTCTAAAGTAATAGAAATGAATATCAAAGTCGATTTATTATCATTATTCAGTTAGAAAGAAAAAGAAAGAAAATAACACGACAGGAGACAGAGCCATCTTTATTTTGGCAGTCATGTTTGTTAAGTCATGGATTTGGTTGAGAAAATGAAACGAAATTAGCTTCTTCTTTTTCTCTTTGTTGGATGAAGAAAAAGAGAGAGTAAAAAATGTCAAAGATTGTACAAGTTGGAGATGCAGCTGATCATGAAGATGACGTCTACTCTCTGTTGTTCGTGGTTGTACTTTCAGGTGCAGCCGTTTCATCGAACTCTTCTCCTTCTCCTGAGACTTGATGTGGTGCTTGTGATTCTGAATCAAGCAAATAAAACAACAACATTATACATTTTTTTAACTATCAAATAATAGTCAGTCTACAATTCCACATACAGAGTTTATTTGTTTGGTTGCCACTCTGCAAAAAAAGTTTGGATAATTGCTTAGATATAGAGTGGTCCCTTGTGAGTTGTGACTAGATCTTGGGTATCAATAATATAAAAAGGTGACAGAAACCCACATGCAAACACTATTGGCTTATGAAATTAATTACATACACATATTCATATATATAAACATGCATGCCCCATGATGGAGGATAGACAGATGTGAGGGAACAAAAATTAGACAGCTCAGTTCACATGGACATGACGTAATTATATATATACCATGTGACCAATCATTCACTCTCTTTTGGGCATTCCATTTAATCTTCCGTACTCTTATATATACATCATCACTAGCTTAGTGGACTTTGAATCTTGTTGTGATGATGAATGCAATTGCATATTGGAGATGCATGGTGATTAACAATGTCGTTTGATAATACAAAACGATGAAAATGTAAAAATTACAATCTAATCACGTTGGAACGTACCGGTGGAAGAAGATATTAGCCCTTGGGAAGGAGGGGCGTTAGAGGAAGTATGAGCCTCGAAAGTGGATGGGTGAATTAGGTAAGAAGAAGCAGAAGGTAAGCGTTGTTGTTGTTGTTGCTGCTGCTGATGATGAACATGTTGAGCATAATATTGCTGATGATGTTGTTGAGGATATGGTCTAGGGCTTGGAGCTTGGAAGTAGTAGTAAGGGGAAGGCATGATGTTGGATGATGATGGTGATGTTGCTCCTCCTCCGTACATTTGCTGTTGATAGTATTGTGCTTGTTGGAGTTGTGTGTTGTATAACGCCTGCATGTAAATAATTCAGTATTTATTTGTATCACCAACTTTATCACATTAATGTTAGTAGTGAGTTAATGATTTTATGATTTACTCTATATTTCTACGTCAGTGATCTACGATTTTCTTCCATATTATACCAATCTTTACTAAGAAAGTTTTGCTAGGTACTAAGTTCTCGGAAATAAAAGGCTAAACTAATCCATGTACTAGCCCGCTAAATGGATACAATCATATAACATTTTCCTGGTATAGATCATTGCATGTTTGTAAATGTATATGTTTGTCATAAGGAGAGAAAGAGAGAGAAAGAGACTGACTTGGTGGTACCCATAGTCAGAATTGTAGGTGTACCTGAAAACAAGAGAATTAAATGATGCTAAACCAATTAGTCTAAATATTCACCAAAATACCATGCAAATTTCATCGAGATATCTACACTATTTTTATATATATAAACATGACATGCATAAAGTATTTCACTATACATTGCAATGTGTTGGTCCGGCTAATCTTCAATACATGTAAGATACTTTTTATATGACAAGTAGCTAGCCTGATATAAGTATGTATATATATATATATATATACACTATATATTTTGGTATATGATATTTACAGGCTGACTGACTCCAACTTGCACAAATTGAAGCATTAAATACCATCTTCTGTCTCTTACCAGTTCTATCGCATTGGACCATTTCTTGCCTGAGCAAAACTTATAAATTTCTTTACACTCTTTGGGTTTAAAATAAATTAAACCTTTAATTTCTTTTTAATCATAAAAAGTCACATACCCGTACTGCGGATACATGAGCTGGCCGGTCGGAGCCTGCTGAAGCGGAGCAGCCATTCCGGTATAGCCTAATTGTCCTCCTCCTTGATATTGACTAGGGCTTCCTCCTTGTCCCCGCCCTTTTTCCATCAAAAGAGTAACCACAATTGTTTAAGAAAAATATAACTACACAAACATTTTGTTGCTAAGAAAATAAATAATTTCATAAACTTTCAAAGTAGTACATTGCTGATAAGATATTGAGAGCAATGTAGCATAATAAATTCATTTTAAATGTAATATGATAGCCTGATTAATGCCGTAAACAATATAGAAAATGATGAAATTACGTTTTGAAAACAGAAAATAGTATATTTTCATAAACCAACCATTTATAGATTAAATCATTAAACCCATCGAATAATCCAGCCAAATGGAAGAGCATTTGAAGGAAAAATACATAGACCGATGAGACGATCATAAAAGTTTTTTTTTTTGTTGCTAAAATACGATCATACGAGTAATAATTGAGTTTACGAACCTCGAGGCGTCAATGGTCGGGGACGTCCAAAAGAAGCAATATTGCAGTTCGCCTTTCTTCCGTCGATCACAGGATTCGGATCGGCGACTGCTCTCGTTGCTGAGTCCGCCTCGCGAAACGTGACCTGGACCACACGTACGAGATGATGATGACGTGCTAGGCCTCGAGAAACATAAAATGGAAAGAAAAGATAAAAAAAAAGATCAACTTACGAAACCGTAGCCTTTAGACTTTCCGGTGGTCTTATCGGTGATGATGACTGCTTCGAGAATATCTCCGAACTGATCGAAGTAACGACGCATTTCCTCGGTCGGAGTCTCCCATGCTAAACCTCCGACGAAAACTTTGGTGTGGGTCGTGTCTCCGAACGGCGATCGGTAATAGCTCGTTTGAGACATATATATATTGCAACTGTTTTTGGTTGTTGATGATGATGGTTTTGTGATGATATATACCGATAACAAAAAACGAATAAATATGTAAATGTAAATGAATGAATTTTAAGAAAAAAATGGGGTCTGTCTAATTAAAACATCACCCAAGAAAGAAAAGATTGTAAATGAGGGAAAGTTGGCTTCTTTTTATCGTCAAATGCCTCAGAAACGACTTTTTCATTTTTCTCTCTTTATATATTGTTCTTGTTGTTGCAATTTGCAGCTCTTAAACGTTGCCGTATTGTAAGGAAAGAGAAGAATGGTGGTGACTTGGTGAGTTAATGTAAGAAGGAATTAGTTTTCTTTGGGGTTTTGTAAGAAGAGTGACAAGGCAAGCACTGAGTATGTCTTCGCTGTCTGTAATCTTTGCCAGGTTTTAACATTATAGCTCTTCCACAACTTTTATTTCCTCATCCATTAAAATATCTTCTTTCATTTGTTTTTAATTATAGTATAAGTCTAATGATTCTGGTATGCCGTAAAATGACGGTATTATTCCGAGACGATACAAAGTTTTTACCAATCACGCAAGCTTTTTATTTCAGAATGTTATAGTCAACAAATAAAGAAATACTCAGCTATTCCACAATTTTCAAATAGGCATATTCTCTTTCAATGTTACCGATCAAAACAGTTGTACTACAATAATACAAGTTTGCAAGTCAAAATCAATTATATATATATATATATATATATATTATGTATATATAATTTGATGACCGATAGAAAATAATGTGAGATTCAAACTAAGCACCACCAGCTTTGAGATAGCCAAAAATACGTAAAGTAAGTACTGTGTATCAAATATTATGATTATGCTGATCGTAATTGTTATGACTTTTTGATGATTAGTGGAAGACCATTGTTATATCCACCAATCCATAAGGTAAGGAGAAAAAGTAAACTTGGTGAGGAGAGAGTTTTGAAGTGTGTCTACATATATACCTGCAGAATTTCACATCCACACCATTTTCAAAATTGATTACTATAAAAGACGGCACTATATAAGTATACATGTATACATATGGGTAGACTTCATATATATAAAAAACATAAAATTCCATAACCAATTATGATAAACTTATATATGCATATGGACTTTTTGGGAGTTAAAAACTGAAGTAATGTTTTCCGTTGGTAACTTGGTACGGTGCTTATATAACATACGTGCACAAAACTTTCGTGTAAACATACAGTAAAAAGAGTTTTTAAAAAGGGCTATATATACGTGAAAGTGGAGGGAAAAAGAATTGAGAAGATCACATGATCATGAGCAGAGAAGCAGCTTTTACATAGTCTCCCGCACGCATGCACGCACCCAATAACGACCATCCCTCTTTTTAACCCCTTTTTCTCTTCTTCTTCTTTTTTAAGTAAAATATTATTAAACCCCACTATCGATTATCTATGTCAGTCCTGTATGCATTTTAAAATATTATCACATTGAGCAAAATATCAGATAAAATAACTGTGTAGTTGACCCCGAAAAAAAAAAAAAAAGTATGTCATTAATTTGTCAGCTCAAACTTGCGTTTTCATTGGTCTAAGCTGGTTTTGATCAACTTATTGTAAAATCGTTGACAAGAGAAAATATTGAATATTTAAGAGAAACTTACATTAAAATGTTGGTTGATGACAACATTTTTTCAGTCAGCCAATACAGATAATATTATTAGATTGCTTAGTAATTAACAAAAACAGGAAAAGAAAAACAAAAACAAAAAGTGGGACCAGTTTGCCAGCATGGCAAAAGAGGAGATAGCTGGAGTGGGAGTTTAAAGAAGAAACAGAGGAGAATCCGTGAACTGGCAGATCCCTCCACGTGGATCTCTTCCTGTCATTCTTCTCTCTCCCTCCATTATCTATCTACTGTATTTAGCTGTCTCTCTTTATTTTTCTTTGCTCACAAGAAAATGTAAGAGAATATGATTTTATGAAAATACATTTGAAGTTAGAGTCTCTAGCTATGAGATCATGACAGATTTTCTTGTTTGTTTATTTGTTAATTAACGAAGTTTGATAGTAGAGGCTTGTATTGAATGTTTTAGCAAACTTTAAACATATTAGAAAATTCTAATGTTCATCATTTTAGAAGTCGTCTTAGGGAGACTTCGAAGCTATAAATACTAGTGTCGGGATACGATTTAGGGTTAGGGAACATGTTCAAGGAAGAGATCATTGACGTCGAGAAGACAAAGGTACAATCACACGACATCAATTATACTGTGGTTTTTTATTATTGAAATGAGACAATATGTGTGAAAGATTGGAGTAATTATGTTTGAGGTTTTGTCACTAAAAAAAAAGTTACAAAATGACAAATATATTAATGTTGTTTCAGAATTCTTCAACAAAGCAAATCCGTAATTAGAAAATGTAGTGATCTAGATATGAAAATGTAAAGGGCCTGTATTTGAGTGATATTTGATTTAGGTTAGTTATTAACACAAGCGAAGAGCCTCATTACCAAATAATGGGCCTCCTCCTGGCCCATTCACTATTTCAATTTCGCGAGTAAATTGGCATAAACCACCGGTCTCGTTGAAAATTGGATAAACCGAAACCGAAAGCGAAGAGCTAGTCTGAGCGATAGCATTAAAAAGCAAGAGCAGGCACTGCGGTCATCGGAATTTGCATCTTTTTGAAAAACCGATTGTTGATCCGTCGTCTGCGTCTGACGTGTTAGCGGCGGTGAACTTCCATGGACGGCGGTAACCCCGGGAACAGTAACAACAACTTAGAAGGTGGTTCCGGAGACCGTTTATCGGCCGAGTCCTTGCCGTTAATCGACTTGCGCCTCTTGTCCCAGTCTGATTTGCGCGCGCTCTCTAACTGCTCTTCGCTCTCTCCCTCTTCTTCGGCGTCTCTCGCTGCTTCCGCAGGTGGAGACGACGATTTGACGCCAAAGATCGATCGCTCCGTCTTCAATGAGTCCGCCGGCAGCCGGAAACAGACATTTCAACGTCTCCGCCTCGCGCGCCACCCTCCACCTCCCGGACCTCCGTCGCCGCAACGCCGAAGAGACGATTCCTCAAGCGAGGAAAAATCGCAAGTCGCGTCGGTTCTTAGATCTCTGTTCTCCGTCGATTCGATCGAAACGAAAGCGGAAGAAGACGAAGGAGCCGAAGAAAACGAAGGCCAGCGGCTGTTTCCCGCTCCGATCCATAACAACGGAAATGTGTATCGGAATCCGTATTTTGATTCGATTAAGAACCTTCTGGCTCAGGGAATCTCCGATAACGAAACGAAGAGGAAGCGAGGGAGGCCGAGGAAGATTCAGAACCCTAGCGACGAGTTGATTAACGAAGAGACGGATGTTTTTGATGATTCTTTAACGGAGAGTAGATATGATGATTCAGGAATCTCCATGGACTCGAATTCAGGCAAGAGAAAGAGAGGCCGTCCTCCAAGGATTAGAGATGGCTTCAATAGGGAGGAGCCAGTGAGCTTGGAGAACAGAGAAGGTACAATGGTGGATCTCACTGCATTGGCTCATAGTGCGGAGGATCCATACGGAGAGGAGCTGAGGAGGGTCACGGTGGGGTTGGAGACAAAGGAAGGGTTGTTAGGTTTCTTGGAACAAATGAATGGTGAATGGGTGAATACTGGGAAGAAGAAGAAAGTTGTGAAAGCTTGTGATTTTGGGGGATACTTGCCTAGAGGATGGAGACTCATGCTATGTATCAAAAGGAAAGGGAACAATCAGTGGCTTGCTTGTCACAGATACATAAGGTATAACTAATGTTCTCTTTATCGACCTGGAAATTGGCTTGTGGAATCTTCTTGGTTATAGTAAAGAATATGAACTAGCACTGGAATCGTATATGGTATATGATAGTGCTTCAGTTTCTGCTGTTGTAGATAGACTTATGATTGTCCCTCTGCTCTTGTTTGCTACTATCTTCTTGAACATGTGAACAAGACTTGAGGAATGCTACTGGAAATGTTTATCATGACTCTCTCTTTGTGACTTCTTTGCCGTTCTAGGATTCTAGCTGTATGTTATCTCTCTCTCTCTTTGCTTATTTCTTGAACTTTCTACACAGTCCTGGTGGGATGGAGTTTGCAACCTGCAAGGAAGTCTCCACATATCTGCAATCTCTTGTTGAATCCCAAAGCAAGAACCAGCTCAATCCTATGCTATCTGACAACAAGACTGTAGAACAACCAGTGATAGCTAATGAATCTCTACCACTAAGGAACCTTGAGAGTAACAAGAGCAGCAGTGACGTGTTTGAGGAAGCGAAAGGCAAAGATGATAAAGGGATCCCTACAGCAGAATTTATGAATGGAGACGACGAAGCAGACGATGTGAAGAAAAAAGATGATAACATGGAACAAAATTGTTTTCCTCATTTCTAGGTTGAGACTATATGTTTCATGCAAAACCAAAGCATGTTTTAGCTGACAACAGGATATAGAAAATGAAAAGGTGACAAAGGTCCAATGTACAAAACAATTGACAGAAACCAAAATTTTTTGGAAGTTGAAACAAAAGTTCAGCGATGTAGAGTTTTTTTTAGTAGTTCAGTTCAAAAAAAAACTAAATTTCTTGAACTTAATGATGATCGACAGGAATCCAATCTTACCTATTAAATTTCTCCGTTTGTCACGTTAGCGTTTTGCGTTTGTTTTACTAAATCCAATCTTTCGAATTTGATGGGTTAAATAGGTAACATCATTACTTTTGGTTTTTAATGAGTAATAGTGAAGACTTTAAGGTATCTTTTTAATTTTCAGAACTTTAGTTTCATTGTTTGTTTGACTAAAGAAAAGTAGATCCAACGGCCTGTATATTAGCAAGCAGCAGAGCATCCTAGGGTTACTACTAATCTCGAAATCAAATCAGAGCATCCATTGTTTCAGACTCAGAGAGAGAGAAAGAGAAAGCGAAAGCGAAAAGAGAAGAAGAGCCATGGCGGATGAGAGGGAAAAGCAGGTTTACTTGGCCAAGCTCTCCGAGCAAACCGAACGATACGATGGTATTTGTTTTCCCCAACTGTTTATGCACGTTTTCGATCTCTGGATCTTTGTTTACATTTTCAACGCCGGATTATGATCTGTCAATGTTTCTCAAACTCAGATCTTCTGTTGCTCCGATGAATCGATGAATATTTTTGTTCTACTAGATTTGGTTTTACCATTTCCGTCAATCTTCTCATTCTGTCCCTTACGGATTTGTGTTTTCTGAGATGTTACTTGATCTAGGTTGATCCTGTGTTGATAGAATCACAAATTTACTAAATCGTATCTCTTAGTATGTGTTCATGCTTATACAAAGGTGGCGACTATGAAATAGATCTATGCTTTTCACTCGCAACCTTTAAGCATTTTTACAGTGATAATGATGCTTTGAATAATGGATTTGGTTAGTTTATTGCAAACTCTGGAAGCAAAATCGTAGATCGTATTTAATTTATTCCGTGATTTGAGTTGTTTAGTTCTTATTGATGCCTTGAATGCTAATTACTTTGAAAAATTGTTGTTGTTGCAGAAATGGTTGAGGCGATGAAGAAAGTTGCTCAGCTTGATGTGGAGCTCACCGTAGAGGAGAGGAATCTTGTATCTGTAGGGTACAAGAACGTGATTGGAGCTAGGAGAGCTTCATGGAGAATACTATCCTCCATTGAGCAGAAGGAAGAGTCCAAGGGAAATGACGAAAATGTCAAGAGGCTCAAGAATTACCGAAAGAGGGTCGAAGATGAGCTTGCCAAAGTTTGCAATGACATCTTGTCTGTCATCGATAAGCATCTCATCCCGTCGTCTAACGCTGTGGAGTCAACTGTCTTTTTCTACAAAATGTGAGTCATCCTCTGCTTCTTTATTCTTTTCTCCATTAGTTGTGGTGGTTGAAGGTGAAAAATGTGACTAACAATGAGACTTTGTGATTTATCATATTCATTTGACTAAAGTTATATGTTTCAGCTCTTGCATAGCTTCCACTCATTTTAAGAATCATGAAGATTGCGCTATTTTTTACTCTTTCTCGATTTCACCATTTTTGCTTTGCTTCTATGTAGGAAAGGAGACTATTACCGTTATCTGGCAGAGTTCAGTTCTGGTACTGAACGCAAGGAGGCTGCAGATCAGTCTCTTGAGGCATATAAGGTCATTGGATTATGATTCTGTCTTTGTTTTTATTGATTTGTGTCTGCCTTCCGTTTGATATGTGAGCTCGGAAAAAAAACTGATTGATATGTTTGTATTGTGGCACTGGCAATGTAGGCTGCTGTTGCTGCTGCAGAGACTGGTTTGGCACCAACACATCCAGTTAGACTTGGCTTGGCGTTGAACTTCTCTGTTTTCTACTATGAGATCTTAAACTCTCCTGAAAGGTTTTTGTTTTGTTTTTGTTATTGGGAAAGAACATACATATTATAAATCGGTGGTGGTGTCACTTTGTAACGTTCTGAAACCATGTGCTGTTCTTGTACAGTGCATGCCAATTGGCTAAACAAGCATTCGACGATGCAATTGCTGAACTCGACAGCCTCAACGAGGAATCGTACAAGGACAGCACTCTTATTATGCAGCTACTTAGAGACAATCTCACCTTGTGGACTTCTGACCTCCCTGATGAAGTTGGTAAGTTCTTTGAATCTGATGATAGATAGTTGTTTCTTTGGAAATCAAATGAGCCTTTTGAATCTTATTCGTTCTTGAACTGTTACGATGCCTAACTTCGATTGAAATGCTGATATGATAAGTTGAGTTGTAGCTAATTTTGTAGGAGTTATAAGTTTGTAGCGTACTTCAAACCATTAGCAGCATACTAGTGTCTTGAGTCTCATACAAAAGGTTTTTAGCGTTTGAATATCTTTGAGTCTGCTGCTTACACAATCAATTTTTTTTTGTTTTCTTTTGTTCTATTAGAGGAGCGATCCAAAGGTGATGAGCCTCAAGAAGAGGTATGAAAACTAAACAAGTGTTATTTTTTTTTGTTTTCTTCCTTTGCTTCGACAATTAGACACTCATGGCACTACTGGTTTCATTGCAGAATTGATACTCTCTTGTGAGAAGAGAAACGACTCTTGATGCATCCTGATTCTTAAAAACTGAAAACAGCAGGTGTCGTTGCTCTCAAAACGCTGAAAGATGTTTAATTTTTAAACTTATGTCTTTTTTCGTAATCATGTTTCTAGATCTCGACTTTTCCTCAAAACTCTCTTGTGATGATGGTTTGGATTATATTTTGCGCTTTGGTTTTTGCTTCTTCGTTGTTGAATCTTGAAGAGACACCATGCATTTGCCTTTTTTGAATACTTATAATGGAATTATTATGAATCTTGAGAATTCAAAATTTAATGAGTTCAGGCTAATAAATCATTCTTTTGAGATTAACCAACCTTCTCTGTCCATTAAAAACTTAAGAGAACACTACAAGAACATAAACACCAAAAGACAACCAAATTATAAACTGATCCATTAATCCTTTGACTTTGATGTATGATAGTGACAGTTACCTACAACGGTGATAAGGATAAAATTTTGCTTATTTATTTGACAATGTAAATCTCATACAAATAACCAATATATCTGTTTTAACATAGTATGAAAAAAACTAATCCAAAAGTACTTTCAAATAATAAAAATATCCTATTACTTTATATCCCGATGATTAAAATAACAAATCAACCAATAACAATAACACAAATCCCCACCAGTCATCACCACCACCACCAACTCTTTCCCTCTCTTTTTTTTGTTTGCAGTTTCATTTTCTTGTCGTCTTCAGCAACACACAATTTACACAACGAACGCACATAAAGCTATAACAAGAAAAAAGCTGTCAGAAATCGAAACTTTAGACCGATCCAAACCGGACCAAAATCACCAGCGTCGAATCCAAATGGGAAACAAGCTTTGTATATCCTCATGAATCTTGATTGAAAATGCCGGTTTATTATATCAGGAACGAACACGAACACAATTCATAGCTCGTCATCTGAACCTGACCACGACACAAGATATGTCGTCTTTGCTCTCTCTTCTCAACGCTTCAGCTGTTAACTCCTTGGCAGCTTTCTGTGGATCTTTCACCCTTTTAGCTATCTCCATCGCCTCTTCATTTGTCATCACCTGTTCCACATCACTCCAACAATCAGCACAAACTGTCTTTACAAGAGATGATTCAAAAGCAAAATTAGTCATCAAGTCATTACCTTCCAAATGCCATCACTAGCCAGGAGAAGAACATCTGTCTGGCTATCCACAACAGCATCTCTGATATCAGGCTCTGAACTCAGATGTGTCTTAAGCCCCTTGTCTCCAAAGGCACGAGACACTGCTAATTGACCATTCACCCTAGGAACATCACCTGCAAGCATCATCACCACACAATCATCAGACACGATCCAAGAACAAACGATGAAGCTATGCCTATTAGTACAAAGATTAGTTTCTTTCACCTGGTAGGTTGGAGACAAATCCACCTCTATCCTCAATACTCGACCTCTCAGCACGAGGCTCATGATCAGTACTCATCTGTATCGCTTCACCACCTCGAGAAAGCACGGCTCGTGAGTCACCAACATTAGCCACCCAAAGCTTCCTCCCATTAATCAGTATCGCAGTCACGGCTGTAGAACCTCCACGTCCCAAGTCAGAGCTGTTCGACAGAATCGCCTGGTCTGTCTTCTCGTAAGCTTTCGCAATAGACCTTCGAGGATCCACCCAAAACTCTCCCTGAATAATAATAAAACCACAATCAATGCCTTAAGGCTTAAGTTTGTTTTCCATAGTAAAGAGTAAATCTTTTTTATACCTCCTTTATGATGTTGGAGAAGAGGTGCTTCTGCAAGTAGGCAGGGACGTTATCACCCATGTGGCCATCGTAGATTGCGAAGATCCCTAACTCATGGTCTTGGATGTTGATGAAGTTAGCGACGTGATAGTCTTCCATTGGATGGTTTGCTTTTCCTTTCACTAGGCTAAATCCGTATTTGATCATTCCTTCATCGTTTCTTCCTTTACCTGATCGTGATGACGATTGTCCTCCCACAACCTAAACCACACACCAAAGCTCAGATCTTTAACAGAACTCATAGCAAACTCAAAAGAAGCACTAAATAGCAAATATTGCAGAAACGCTGTGAACACATGAATCGAAAGCAAGAAGCCTTTTTGTGATAACAATTCGTTTCTGGAAAATCATTTCTTAACAAAGCTATTATGGTATTACATCGAATCTGCAATTTTTTTTCACTATCTCCACAAAAAAAGGGGGAAAACAGAGAAATTCTTCGATCCAAGAGCAAACAAATTTACAAAATTTCATCATTGAGTTATTCATGAAATCAGCTTCACTCGAACAGAATTAGACGACTCTAAAAAAAATTTCAGAGAACACTAAAAAAAAAAGTGAAAATGTTTACCTCGGAAGCGGAAGTGAAGCAACAAAATTTTCCCATTTGAATCGAAGAAATTCTTCGATTTTTCAACCTATTTCAGCTTCGCAGATTCAATCTGATAAACAAACAATCTGCAGAATTCACGAAGCAAAATCAAAACCTCGAAAAAGGGGGAAAATCATCGTTACACAGTTCGGAGAATGAAAAGGAAGAAGCACACAGAGAAAGGGGATTGTTACCTGGAAATAAACCCTAATTTTGATTCAATCGGAGGAAGCAGCAAACGATAAATCCACAAAAGTCCTCTGCGACGAAGTCTTCGCTCTCTTTCGTTAATGTCTTTTTCCTACGCTGAAAATTTTATATATTCGGTGAAGAAACAAAACTTTTTTTTGAGATATCTGTTTTTTTTCTTCTTTGACATTTCATTGACGTGCCTCGTAAATACTAAATCTTTGCTTTAAGCCCCATATTATGTAAATCTCAAAATGTGACCCACTAACTCAATTCTGTGTAGACACACAAGATGAATTTGAGGACAAAAGCAAGAGAAAACGGAATGTATGGGTAAAAGTTTAAGATAAAATGTAAATGAAATTAGAGAAACAAAACAAAAAGGGATGGAGCAAAAGAGTGGTCTGGTCAAAGAAAATTAAAAGCTGCCCATTTTTAATTAGTTGTCTTGGCTATTTAGCATGTTGACTTCCTCTCCCTTCTCATTTATAATCTCATCATCTCCTTAACATATCTTTTTTTCTTTATGCGTTTTCACTATTCAGACATCCAAAATGTTCGAAAATTATTAATATTTCGAAGACATACAAATATCCACACAAAAATAGTACTAATACTCGTTAATAACTCCTTCGAGATTTACCTAATTCTTTTTAATATCTCTATGCAAAAAATGTATGAATTGATACTACATATTACGTCTCGTTAGTCATCAGTTTCAGTTCAGCTACATATTTTATAATATTAGATGACACTCTTGACCCGTGTGATTTTGTATGCGGAATACATCAACAAATATCCAAAACACAAGTTTTCGTTTGGAGAAAAACATTTGTAAAATAAATACTAATGTTTTCGTTTTCACGTGATTTAATGCATGACATTAGCCGTTTTCTGATTCCGAGAAAAACACATGATATTATTAACTAGTTTATCCGATTTGGACTGATGAGTGATGGCTCATACGATTGCGTTAAAGTTACCTTTTTCGCTTTTACCTTGTGATATGGACCGTAATGCAAGTTTACAAGTTTGTGGTATTTAAAACGATAAAGTATATAATCTGAGGTCTCTTCCCATTACCAGAAAATGAATCTCAAAGTATCAACGAAAGCGACAAGAATCTGGAAAGAGTCAAAGGCTTCGACGCGTTTACTAGCCATCTTTTCTATTTTGTTGGTTCATTTAATGTGATTCGCACACATTTCACGACTTTTGACTCTTAATCAAGATTTTTTAATCAAACACATCACTACCTTAGCTTCCTCTCTAAACCCCCTGATTTATACATTAACAATATTTGGTTGGCAAAACAAGAGATTTGTTGCCGAAAATAATAAACTTTGTTCCTCCGTGATGTGTTCCTCCTCTAAACTAGTGATGTACTATTTCCAATTATGGGCCCAACCCATCATTTCCAAAAAGCTAGGCCAAGATCTTTTGTTTTTCAAATCACTAAACTACATATTCTGAAGACCAATTTAAAAATGTTCACATTTAAGGTTTCTTTGGACAGATGTGATTGATAATGATAAATTCCTGATTCCCTTTTGTCTTCTTCAGTTTTTGTAGAAGAAAAAACGGTTAACTGCAAACCGATCCAGAGATCTCGTTTTACTGGCCAAAACGGATTTTTGATGGACCGCTCGATCTTTTGGGCCGAGTGAATATAAAAGCTAACTAATGGTAGGGGTGTTTTCGACCTTTCATAAAAAACCCTCGGCCGCATAGTTCGTCTTCGTCTTCACTTTGTTTAAGTTGTTCCTCTTTGCATCTTCTAGGTTTTGGCCAGAGAGACGAAGATCAGAGAGAGATGAGGCTCATAACGCACAACATGCTTTCCTGCAACATCAAAGGAGTCACAAACGGATTCCCTCTGAAGATCGAATCGGTGACAGTGGTTGAGAAGGAAGTCGATTTCAATCCCGATTTCCTCAGGCACATGTTCGCCAAAATCGAGTGGAAGGCTCTCGTCGAAGGCGCACGCTCCATGGGATACGAAGAGTTACCGGAGGATTCGCCGGATGCTTCGGAGCTGGAATCCGACGACGAGACCTTCCTCAGGAAACTCCACCACGCGCTGCTCGAGCTCCACCTTGAGGAAGGCGCGCTTGTTTGCCCCGAGACTGGTCGGAAGTTTCCGGTTAACAAAGGAATCCCAAATATGCTTCTCCATGAAGACGAGGTTTAAATTGATTTTGGATATTTCGATTCCCTTTGTAAGTTTCTCGTCTATGGTGTTGTGGTTTTGTTAGGGCTTCTGGGTTTTGCTGGCTGATTGTTTGTGATGTGAACCGGTTTAGTGAGATATAATCCATTTGCGCCGTCTCTGGATCTTGAAATTGCATCTTTAGGGTTTGATCTTAGCAAATTGTGTTGGAGAAATTGATGATTGCTTTGGTATTACTTTTGCGTCTCGTGAATTTGAATTGTCCTTATGGTTGATCTGATCATAAACCACCTTTGATGTTCATAAAGCACTAAGCTGTAGTTTGATTTTGGAGAATTTGATCCTCACTAGAGCAAAATCTATTGCTTTCAGAATTTACTCATTAGCAGGGAACCTTAAATCCAATACTCTGTTTATTCAAGTTCTGATTTTCTTGATTACAATCTTAGTACAAAAAAATGGCAGATTTACAAAAACCAGAAAGTTGTCTCAAAAACCAATTTTAAAACCGATACAGAACGTGATTAAAAACCGTCAAAGAGGTCTAAATCTAAAGCCGAGAATTGAGGTCTGTCTTTTTAGTGAAGCTACGAGAAGTGCTCCTTAAGGGAAGAAGAAGATGTTGGCAGCACAAAGATGTCATCTGAAAATGTTCAGTCAGCAACAATAAGTCAAGTCACTTGCGGCTTTAAACAGTACAATGCATCAGCTATGAAGTTGATTAGAGGATGGAAGAATGTGAGGAGAAAAAGGAGATGAGAATCACATCTTAAATTGAAACAAAGCATTAGAGTAAAAAGCACGATATGCAAGTACCTAACCGAAATGATTGTGTACCGATCGCTGGATTGGTATCGGTGAAAATCTCTTGTTTTACTGAATTAATACTTGCCTTTCTGAAGGCAAGTATGTTCGTTCACTGCTAGTTCGTGGTTCAAAAACCAATTTGACATTTTTGAAGGATTCGTAAAGGTCCTCAAACTCATTACCACTTGTGGGATCATCTTCACTCCAAGTCCAGGATCCATCTACCCTACAAAACAAGTTAAATAAACTCTAACTAGAGTTTGATAGCACGGGGAGATGGTTTCTGAATTTGTATTTTTTAATTAAAAATGTATATTTAACTATTTCAAAATTTTATGTGACAGATTTTTTTACCTTGTTAAGGTTTTTATCTTCGTTTATAATGTGGAAATTAAACATTTTAAAAATTATAAACAAATTAAAACATTGATCATAGACTATAGATTAAATATGCTAGACTTCAGCAAGATACATAAAATCAAATGATGTATATTTTATAAGATAAGAAGATAAGAAGTTTTAGGTGTTTACACGGATTAGAACTAACTTTTTTTATTTCTTTTAAAACTAAAACATGTTTTATTATAATTCCAAAACAATCCAACCAATAAAAGATCAATCTTGCAAAATCCAAATTGTCAAAATAACAAAAGTATAAGTAATTTTGTACTGAAAAATTGAAACAAATGGAGCAATATTCAAATTTTTGATCAAAATTAAATACATTTATAAAAAATATTATTTTATTTGATTTCATTATACAGTTTAACTAAAAAATCATATAAAATATTTTAAAAAAAATTACATTTAGATACCTACTCTCCTACTTACATGGTTGCATATCATCTATTTTTTATAATATATTTTTACACCTACACACAACAACATATTGGGAATTTTAATAGTTTTAGTGATTATTTTGTTTTTAAAAATTCAAATCATAGCATATATAGAAAAAGTTTTAGATTTTATTTATTAGATTTTTTGTATTGTGTCAATTTTTTATTTTATAAAATAAAGTTAAACAAAGATGAAAGGAGATATAGAATGATTTAAAAAAAATATAATGATAGCATTAAATTGAATCTCATATTTTCCTTATTTACTAATTTTCGTAATTGCCAATTAAGGAAAGAGAATGATGATTCTTTTATTAATAATTTCATATATGATTAATCTAACTATACATATTTGATTCTCTAACCAAAAATATGAATGACAATGTTTGTAATTAGTCTAGTAAACTAATCCTTATTTTATAAATAACATGAGAAGCTCTAATGATGACACATCAGCATGACATTCTTGTTAATAACACATCAACTAAAGGTTATTTTTAAAGTGTTTTCTCTTTTAATCGCTTCTTTTATTTGTTCTTAGATGAAAAAAAAATAAAGTGTTTTCTCTTTTAATATATTAGGGATTAGAAATTAGACTTTTTGAAAGGATTTAGAAATTTAACACGAACACATACAGGATAGCCGAATTATTGATCTCACATTAATTGCTTGCGGAAATATCCTCCTCATTGTACCCACCAAATTTCTCAGACAAAGAACAATATCGGCTCCCTAATAAAACCCATACCCGAGTGGCCGAGTACCCGACCCGAAAACACCTTATAAATAAGCCCATGCATGCAAACACACAAATCACTCAAAATTCAAAACCATTTCTTTCTTCGAAAGAATAGCGATCATTGGTGCTGGTGTCAGCGGTTTTGCAGCCGAAAAACAATTAGCTCGTCACAACCCGACCGTATATATAATATATAGATCGAGGCCTCAGATTCAGTCGGAGGTGTTTCATGTTTGGAGGAGCTGCACTTACGAAACGACTAAGTTAGAATCGGCTCGAGTCGATTATGAGTTCTCTTACATTCCATGGCCCAATAGAGATGAACCACCTTCCCATCTTACCCTGAGATATTAGATTACTTGGAGTCATATATACGCTAAGCGTTTTGATCTCCTCAAGTTCATGAAGTTTGGCTCTAAGGTCATCGAAGTTAGGTTCATAGGTGACGGCGAAACTCCTCAGATGGTTGACCTTGGTTCTAACGGAAACTCATTGCCCGGAAAACCTGTCTGGGAAGTTGCCGTTCAGACCGGAGATTCTGGAGATATTCAGGTTTGGTTTCAATTCTTTGTTTCAGTCTCATCCCATGTTTGGCTTGGCTGCATGTCTATCGATCCTTCATATTTACACGTGCATGCATGTGGTACATTGGACATATATAGATGAAAAAAACAAAATTTGAACGGTTTTGTTACTTGTCAATATGTACGTGAATTATAATTTTTATTATTATAGATAACATTTATTTAATTCAAATCCAAAAATTGAAAGAATAAAAACACCTAAAAATTGCGTAGAATTTCTAATACTATAGTATAAAATAATGAAAATACAAACTTATAATTTTCATGTAGCTTGAAAATTAAACGTATTTAGAGATTATTAGAAATAAGGAAATAATTAACACGTTTTAAAACTCCCTTTGTTTGAAACAGACAAGTGCATCACATGTATCATGTATGTATGGAATACAATTTTGATCAAAGCTTCTCTAAGAGCCTCTTCAGTTTTAAAACTCCCTTTGTCTTTGGCATGTATGTATGAAATACAATTTTGATCAAAGTAGTGAGAAAAGCATGTCCAGTTCAATAAACTTGTACCATAAGTTAACTCAGACAACCTAAGCGATCTAAAGGTAGAAGTATTGATTCAGTAAAACAAGAGATTTTTACCGATACCGATCCAGCGATCGGTACACAATCATTTCGGTTTTATCTCCTTCTGTTTCGGTTTGAAAATTGGTTTTTGAGACAACTTTCTGGTTTTGTATATCTGCCATTTTCTTGGACTAAGATTGTAATCAAGAAAGTCAGAGCTTGAATAAACAGAGTATTGGATTAAGGCTCCCTGCTTTAGTAAATTCTTGAAGAAAACGTCATCGTGAAAACAACTCAAACCAAGTAACTCTGAAATGTCGTTGAACTTCATTTCGCATGCCAATCAAATACGTCAGTATCATTAACATTAATATTAATGGTCAAGAGAGATGCTAGAAGCTAAAAAAGCATACAGTGACCAGAGTTGAGAGGTAACATACAAATAACAGCTTCGGCTGCAAAGAACATCCGATTACGTGGTACACAAACTAACCAAAAAATTGTCCTCCTACTACTATAACTATACAACACCTTTTGTATCTTTCTCGATCTCAAAAAGGAAAAGAAAGAAAGACTTGCCAGCGGAATAGATCTTGGAATGACCACATAATGTCTTGCAAATACATCAGACTCCAAGAACTCGATATGAGGTTCATGAAGGATTTATAGACGAGAATGAAGGAGAGAGAACACAGAGGAAGTAGTAGTAGTAGTGTGATCACAACAAGTTTGTCTGTTTTTGTTGATGTTGATGAAGAAGCTAAAGAGGAGATGGTGAGTTTGCATTGTGAGAGATTGGCTTTAGCCTTTGGACTGATTCGTTTGCCTGAAGGATCGACGATTCGGATTATGAACAACTTGAGGATGTGGAGATTGTCACGAAGCTTTCAAGCTGATGAGTGAGATTGTGGAGAGAGAGATTGTTGTTTCAAGGATGGATCTTGCACTTGTCGTGATTTCTGGTGAATCAATCATCTTTTACCATTCAAAATTGGCTTTTCTTTTTCCTGATGTATACCACCGATTATAGGTTCATATTCAAGAGTAAAACATTGATGCAAAAAGTGGTTTCAAGAAGATCACTTACATATTCAAAGGAAGTATAAGATTTATAATTATGGAATTGAGGTAGTTACGGTTTGAATACCTCAATAGACTAAAAAAATTAGAAACAAATAGACTTGAGTGATTAACCATTTACATTTCTTTCTTTCTTGCATGTGTTGCTGTAATTAAGAGTTTGGTCGTTGTTTGCTTCATATCATGATCAGATTTTTGAAGTGACAACTACTGAATGATCAAAAACAAACTGAGAACAATATATATTAAATATCAAACATACATAAAACATACACAAGGTTCAAATAGAAAACAGAGGAGAACTACAAATGGAAAAACAGAGGAGAACTACAATTGGACTTCTTCACTTCTTCTTTGTGGTGCAGCTACAAGCAAGGAGGACTCCATTTGGAGGACTTGCCATCTCCATCAGACAATTCCTACCAAAGTAGATGAGAAGTGAAGGAACCCAAAGTAAGATTTCACTTTGAAAGTTCCTTCAACCTCATATACAATGTGGTTGTTCACAACTTGTCTCTGAAGGTCCATCTCATCTTTCAGAGGAAGAACATTTGGAAGAAGAGAGATAAGATGGATGGGCTCTAACCTTGTCTCGCTTTTGGTCAGTGAGAATGGTTGGATGTCTTGAGCAGCAATCACATAATTGTTGAACTTTAGTTGAAGCCCACCACTCTCCAGCTTCACTTCCATCTTCTTGTTGCGGTTGAGGAACCTTGCAACAATCTCCAAGTCCAGGTTGGAGCTGTGTAGGCTTGCATCTTGGATGTCAAACCTTGGAGTTCGTGGCCTGATCGCTACAATGGCGATCATGGAGATGATGAGCAGAATGCTCATGACCATCATCACACCAGCAATACACCAACACCAAGGCTTTGTCTTCTTGATCATCGTCTGCTGAATCACTCTATCTCTGGATGGTATTTCTTCTGTTGCTCTCTCTCCTAGTGGTGCTTCTTCGATCTCTGCTAGAGTGTTGGTCGGAGTGAACCACTCCGATGGAGTTTCAGGAGGAGAATGTTCAAGACTTGACATGGCAATGCTTTGGAAAGAAAAAATGATGCTGATCTCTCTCTCTCTCTATTTCTCTATCTCTCTCTCTCTTTCTGTTCTTCTTCTTAGTTTCTTAGTTTGTTGTATACATATAGGAGAGCATTCAAACACTATAACTTCATGGATTACTATCAATAATCTCCCACCAAGTAAGATTCCTTTTTATCAAAATAGATATAATCTCCACTCACCTTAGTGCCTTAGGAGTTAGGATTGAGCTGTCACAAAATTATTAATCCTTTGGATACCACAAACTCTCTTTCAAAATTGAATTCTTTCACTTGTTGTTTCACACATTCGCTTAATGGAGAGAAAGGAATCAAATCCACCACTATTAACATTTGAAGAAACCGATAATGGTGTGTTTGCTTTCACAATAGCTTACTAATAATGTTTGAAGTGAAAACTATTGGTTTCTTTTGTTTTCATTGTGACTCTGTTTATGTCATTGCATGTGAGATAAGTGGTTGGAAACTTTGCTTGTTGTTTCACACATTATCTTAATGGAGAGAAAGGAATCAAATCCACCACTATTAACATTTTGAGAAACCGATAATGGTGTGCTTGCTTTCTTACTAATAATGTTTGAAATGAAAACTATTGGTTTCTTTTGTTTTCATTGTGACTCTGTTTATGTCATTGCATGTGAGATAAGTGGTTGGTAAGTTTGCTTGTTGTTTCACACATTCTCTTTATGTAGAGAAAGGAATCAAATCCACCACTATTAACATTTTAAGAAACTAGTAATGGTGTGTTTGCTTTCACAATAGCTTAATTATCAATAATGTTTGAAATATAAACTTTAGTTTCTTTTCTTTTGTTTCATTGTGACTCTGTTTCTGTCACTGTGGACTATAAGTGATTGTATTTTGTTTCAACTATAAGTTTGTAAAAACAAATATGCAAAGCTTTGAATTAACAGAAGATGAATCCATGTTACGATGCATAATTTGGATTTCTATAGCATGGTGAGTTATATCTAGATATATCAAAAAACTTGTGGAATATATTTAAGTTTCACAATGTTTTTAAAGTAGCATATGTAATCATGCTGATAGTTGACCATCAATGCAATGTCTTAGGCTTTGTGTTATGTTTCGAAGTTTCAGCAACCATTTGTTACAATCCAAAACCACTATATGTCAAAATCTAGAAAATATGGTTATAGATATTCATAATATATACTATGACAATGGTAAGAAAAAACATATGGACAGTACGTTATACGTATATACGCTGCTGATAGTAATTAGACAACAAAATTAATATTAAAATAAGAAGAACAAATTGAAATTTTGAACTAGGATTTTTAGTTGAGTGTGGTGGAGAAATCATTATGTGACATTTCTTATTAGTTTTTAGAGAATATGATATTATTTTGGAAGAATGTTACTACATCTTTTGATCTTATGGACACTTTTGCTGGCAACAAAGTTATCTAATTTTGTCAAACATAACTAAAGAACTTAATATATTTAGATATTGTTATTTCGGTCTAATTTTTTTTATTAAAATTATTTGTTTATATTCAGAATTGAAGAAAAGCGGTATGAGAAATGTTCGTGCTAGACCGTCTAACTAAAACAATAAACATTGTTATTTCAAAGAATTTTCCCCTAGAAATATATCGTAAATGATTTTAATGGATTATACTATAACGTCTAATAGATCGTTAAAATGTAAGTTAATTCGATGTGCTTGTTTAAATACAAAAATATTTGAAGACCATCATCTATATCTTATACCATGAAAAAAACAAGGTTGTCGTTTTACATCAAATAACATTATATTTGCTGTTGGACCTTTAATTAAAAAATGGTCACAAAATAAATAAATAAAGAAAAGAAAAACAGAGATCAGGTGGAAAAGAACAGAACAGACCCTTCATCGGACCATCATCCTAAAATCTTCATCGGGAACAGAGCAGAACAAAAGATATTTGAAGACCATCATCTTAAAGTCTTCATCGGGATGCTCTCTTTCTAATCTTAGGTGTACTTTACATTTTTCTTCTTATCTTTTGGTCTCCCCATATTAGCTTCTTTTTTTTCTTTCGAAATATAAAATGTTTTTTTTTTCTTTCTTTTTACCACTAACTAAAATAAGTATTATTATTTATTTACTTTTACACATATACTGATCAAAGTGACGTCGTTTCCCTTACATGGACTAATGTAATTTATACAGGAAATCAAAATCAATATTTTTTTACTTTTTAGAAAATCTAGTATAGTTAAATTTTGAAAAGCATATTTATCTTATTTCTAGGTAATTTTTACCTTTAATGAATATTGTTTGACCAGTTAAATTTTGCAGTTTTTATGTTGTTTTATTATGATTGGTTGATTTGTATTTAATTTATATATATATATATATATATTAAATCATCTTTTAAAAAGAAAAATAATTTTCTAAATCTTTGTGTTTATTCTAAAATTGCTTATATAATGGGACAGAGAAAGTATTACACTATGTTGAACCTTTTCGAATGCACAATTGTAGCCTTTAATTATCAGTTTATTACAAATATAAAGCTATTGATTATTGAATCAAGGTACTATATATATCATTTAAAGAAAATTTGCTTTATGCATATAATCAACGCTAATGTTTAACGTACGTTGCCTAGTTGTTTTCAACTTTTACCCCAAAAAGAAGATTTGTTTTAAAAACATTACCCCATAATAAGATATGCAAATCATGAGCACAATTGAATGCATGAATATGACCTTGTAAAACATATTCTATAAATTGGAATAAGTTTATGTTATGCAATCAATTTAAAGCGAAACAAAACACATACACAAAGATGAAATTTCTCTCTTGCTTTCTTATCATTTTGTTGTGCATCAGGTGGAGTAACGCGATTTGGGAGAAAGACTCAGTACATTTTAAGAATTCTCTTCGTCCGAACAACATTCTCAAGATGACTTAGGCTTTCATCAATTAAGTCCTGGGCAAACGTTAGACTTTAGTTTTAGGGAAAGTGTTTTGAAGACCAAAGTCGATTGTAAATTATGGCAGGGAGGATTTATCGCAAGTTTTAGAGCATATGAAGGCGGTGGTGTCATTGTTCACTATGGTAAAGAGAATTTTTGGGATGCTAGAGAAGATGGAATTTATTTCACACATGGAAAAGAAACGCCTAAATTAGAGTATAAGTGGTTATAGTAACAATATTTAATCCTTCAAATAAAGTAAAAGTTAAGTCATTCTTGTTTTAACAATATTTAATCCTTCATAACAGTTTTCTCTCTTAAGTTTTTGAAGGATCACCTATTGAATAAAATATATATTATCATTGCATTTGTTGTGTATGCCACTATTACCAGATATAAAATTGTGTTTCTTAAAAATAAAAACATAAACAAAAGACATAAAATAATCTTATATATAATATTCAAGTTTGAGTGTTTACACCATAAAAAATGACCAACATTTTTTATTTTTTGATAACAAAAAATAAAAAATTACCAATATTTAAACTAAAATTAATGAACAATTAGTTTACACACTTTAGTATTATTAATTTCACTAAGATTAAATCTATTATTTATCAAAAATTATAATATTTATTTAAAAATCTTATTATATAAAGCTGGATATACACACGTGAGGATCATGACATATCTTTTTGAAATTATTTAACGTATTAAGCTCGTAACATGTGCCATGGAATAAGAAAAAATTAAACAAAATTAATATATTTAAGACAAACAAAAAATCAGAAAAAAGGAAAAAAACAATTAAAAAATAATAAGATTTAGTTACATCCATTAAGAAAAGGAAAACAAATATTCCCAATAAGAAATGAACAAAAATTAAAATCAGAAAAAGGAAGCAAATAACGGAAAAAATGTTAAATTCATTAAAAAAAGGAAATTTTATTATATATTCCCAATATAAAAAAGAAAATAAAAACAACATATAACAAGTTATAACTTTCGTGATTCAATTGGATGATTCTATCTATTATTTAAATTTCTCTCTCATTAAGAAATAAAAAATCATATCTTAAAAAATTCAAGATATCAATGAAGAATATTTGACTATTGATTATTTGGACCGAATTTTGATTTATTGTCATAACATGCGTCTAATATTTCATCAGGTGAGGACATGTGTTAACACATGAAAATTGGAAAAATATAATAACAGAAATTGAAAATTAAGAAAATAAAATGTATAAAACTAATTAATAATGAAAAGGAAAATTTATAATGCTCTCACTCAAAAATGAAATTGAAAAAGAAACAATATAAATAGAAAATTGACAAAATAATTATCAACCAACTAACTAATATTAAAAAGAAAAAAATATAATGGATCAATATTCTAATTTTAAATAGATTAATTTTCAATTTTTGGTTAGGTAAAACAAAATTAAAAAGATTTCATCAACACAAATCTCTTGAATGAAATAATCAAAGTTTACGAATTAATTAGTTGAATAGATTTAGACAGATGTAAGTATTTTTTATATTGGATAAAATAAAAAGAAAAAAAATCATTTTTCAGATAATGAATTCAAAATTTGTAATTATAATTAAAATGTAGAAATATTACCAATCTTATTATATTTATATAATTTCTATCTTGTTTTTAATATTATCTTACTTTTAAACGTAATCCCTGATTTTCTTTAATATCTTTCCGGCATTTGTTTCAAAATTCTTTAAATAAATCTGCTCTAAAATAATAAAAATGCAAATTATTTTTCATGTAACTTGGAAATTGAACGTATTTAGAGATGATTAGAAATAAGGAAATAATTAACATGTTTTAAATACTTAATCTGTTTCACAATACATATCATTTTAGTTTTGTTTTTTTTGTTTCATCATAAGTATTGTTTTACATTTCCAATGCGTAATTTAAAATAAATTTTCATGTAACATGAAAATTTAAAATATATAGAAATGACTATAAATAAGGAAATAATTAGCACATTTTAAAAAAGTAAATAAAACAAAATTTATTTTCTAAGAGTTATGTTATGTTTATACATATGTGTATTTTGTTTTTTGAAAATTAAAATAATTATATTTCTACTCAATTATCTTTGTTGCTAATGGTTTTATGTTAAAATATGCATTCGAGTTTGGGTGTATAAATCTAGTTTATATAACTGGAGAGTTTTTGCTCTATTTAAACTATCCATATGAGCAGTTTCCTATATATCCTCTAGTGAACTCCACTATCTATATATATATACAGTTTAAAGGATTCTTTTATGGTGGTGATCTTCACAAAAAAAATTGTCTCTAAATTCACCAATTCGCCACATCAGTATTCTATTTACTAATTTTAATTCATTATATTTTTTCTTCTTATATTTTAATTCTTTATGATCATTCATTAATATAATCATTAAATAATACAATAGTTTTTGCAAGAATTTGAAAAGTCATTTTTATAAAAAAAGAAATATTATGTATAAATCTTAAAAAACTATTATATTTAATAATAATAATAATAAAAATCTATTATACAAAGAATACTGTTTTTATAGTATTTTTGAATAAAAAGAGACAAGATTGAATATGACGACACGAAAAAAATAGAATTGGAGAAAAGGGGAATTTTGTTTACTTCTTATAATATTAAGAGACGAGACGAGATCTAAAGGAATAGAAAAGAACGGAATAGGACAAGACGGAAATTTTGCCTACCTCTAATTATATTTAGGGGTGGAACAGAAAAAAACGAAAAAAAAAACATGATGAGAGAGGACAAGACAGAAATGTTGGATGGGACAAAATAAAAATAATTGGAATGTGACGGGATTGGATGGGACAAGATGAAAAAGAACATAATGGGATGGGAAGGGACAAGACGGGAATTTTGCATACCCCTAATTATATTTAGAGACGAGATAGATATAAGTCAAAATAGAAATGAACATAATAAGATATGATAAGACTAGATGGGGCAGACAAAACGAACGGGATGGGAAAGAACGTGACAAGATGAAAAAGAACAAAATGGGATAGAACTATGTCTATCCCTATTTATATTTAGGGAACGAGACAATATTAAAAAAAAAATGGAAAGAATCATAATGGGATAAGATAGGACCGGGACAGGATATACAGGACGAACAGGACGGGAAAGAACGTACATAGTGAAAATGAACGAAATGGGACGAGATGGAACAAGATATGTATAATATTTTTGAAACAATATTAAATTTGCGGAAAAAAAAATAAAACTAACACAACCGTCACCCCCTACTTTATAAATAAATCTTGTAGTTTTCATAATGTGTTCAAAAACTTATCAACTTCTTAAGTCTATAATACCCTTTAACTACGTCACGTCAACTTGACAATATTAAAATGATCCAAAATGGTCTCTGCCCAAACCAAGTATTTGAAAGCCTTATTATTCACCCAAAGAACCGCCAAAATTATGTGGAAAAAAAAATTGATCCCACTATTCATAATTAACAAAAACAAAAAACAAATGTTATATTACTTCGCTAACTCGAAAAATGATCTTTAACAAAAAAAAAAAACTCGAAAAATGATTCCTATTACGACCCATTTCAAAACCTAGAGCCATTGCAATATCATCATCTCTATTCTCCACTTTCTCCTTCCAGTTCCATGATTTTAATGGCCTACTCCTTCTATCGATGGCCTATCTATCTTATACAACCTACCTCCTTGTTTTATCTTACCCATGTCTCTTCAAATGACCTGAACCAACCTTTCCATGAAAAATATAATATTTTTTGGGACATTTTTGCATTGGGTTTTCCTAGTTTCAAATCAGATTCCCAATCTTCATCTCTATTTTTGCAATTAGACGTTACTTGTTGAAATTTGTTCTTAAAATGAAACCCAAAACTTCTAACCAAATTCTACAGCTCAGTACGCAAAGGGAGAGACAGAGAGAGTCTGTACCAAAACCCTAAAATCACAGAGAACGGAAGTTGGTAAAGTAAACGATCCTAATAAGAAGGAAACAGTTACGTATTTCCTTATATAAACGTGTTTAAGGTGTTGTTTTTTTTGTTTGATTTCACATGTTAATGGAACCTTTACATGAGCTTAAATTATCCAACATGAATCATAACGGACCAACAAGAGTTTCTACTGAGATATAAACGTTTCACAATCTTTTAAAAAAGCAGGGAAAGTTTCTTCTTCTTTACATTGCCAAACATAACTCATTTGGGTGTAATTTCTATGATATGCATCAATGCTCAACCCGGAAAGCCACCACCCCCACCGGATATGTTGTGAGGATTTTCACACGATTCTCTCGAGTATCTCAAACAGTTGACGTCGTCTTCCGTTCTCTCTCTATCTTCTCCACATTTACAGAACCAAGTTATTTGGAATCAACGAACTGTGAACACAACTGAGTTTCCCGCTCACACCACAACATTTCCCAAATGTAGCTCATCGATAAACAAAACACGGTCTCCGAAATGGCTGACCACGACCCATTTACCAGCCTACTCGCTCTATATGTTGGGAGGCTAGGGATTCTCTGAACCAGGAAAAGTTCATCATTGCCATATGGAGACCAGATATTGGCATAACCGGTCTGGATGCGGCGAGGGTGGCATCAAGAGAGTCACGTTCAGGGAATAAGGATCGATGACCCACAGTGCTTCTGTTAAGAAAAACCATGGGAACAAAGGGATCTTCTTGAGGCTGCAAAAGCCTTCGTTTTCAAGAGTGTCCTCATTAAACCTGGGAAGAGAGTAACGTGGGCGCACCAGGCTACAAGGCAAAGGAAATGCGGATCGCCACGAGCTGCAAACAGAGCGAGCATGAACTACATCGAAACAGTTGTCAAGTTAAAATCATAAGTATAATTCTGAAATTGATTTAATGAAAACAACAAAACCAACAGATGTCGTCATGCATCAAAAATGAGATTTATGGCTCAACGCGGAGATGACCCGTGACACACGGTTCTCTCTTGAGTATCTCCAAAAATTGAGGTCATCTTCGGCTCTTCCTGTATCTACTCCATACTTATAGGAGTAAGTTGCATTGCCTGGCTCATCAGTAAACACAACCGAGTCCCCACTCACACCACAACCATCAGGTAGCTCCTTTAGCCGAGCAGCAGACGTTGCCCAAGTGTCTATGATGAATAAACAACACACGGTCTCCTAATTCAGTGACCACAACCCATTTACGAGCCTCCTCACTCTTAACGTTAACCGGCCAAAATGTAATACACCGGTACGAGGGATGATTTTCTCAACCAGGAAAAGCTCATCATTCCCTGATGGAACAAGAAACACGCTTGAACCAGGGGAGTCGCTTTCCGTGAATAAGGATCGATACCGATTATGTCCCCGTCAAGAAAGACTGCATAAAATCTGCCTCTAAAGGTGACTAATCCCGAGCATGAAGCATCTGACATGTTTTTAAGCCACATCCACCTCATTTCTGCACTTCTTAACACCAACAGAACTCTATCGTAGTTGAGGAGCACAACAAATTCTCCACAGTGCTTCTGTTACGAAAGGATGCATAGAATCTGCCACTAAAAGTAACTAAATCCCAGCATGAAGCATCTGGAACGTTCTCAAGCCGCTTCCACTCCCTTTTGGCACCACTTGTTAATAATGAATGCGCTAACTATAGATATGATGTCGGAAATAGACCGATTTTATATCACCCTTCAATTCGAACTGCAAACAGAGCGAGCATGAACTACATCGAAACAGTTGTCCAGATTCTCGGAGATAACTTGAAGCAGCTCTTCAGGGAGCTGAGTCCAGTCTAGAATCATCCACGACGACGGCGACGTCATCTTATTAGTTGCACGTGCTGCCATTTCTGCTGCTGAAGCCGGAAACAGCTGCAAGAAAATTCAAAGTGGTTATCCCATATCCAAGACCAACCACACTCTCAGGTAGAAACCAAGAACATAGATCACTTTCAGAAACTCGTAATGCACAACATCCAGACCAGTCTTAAAAGTGAAGAAAACACTTGCTTGCTTGAAAAAGAACACACACAAAAAAAAATGAAGCATAGCTAAAATTATAAAGGTGACATTTTTTGCAGAATTAATCTAGAAGCCACAAGATTTCTCTATGAACCCAAAAACGCAATATAGAAACATACCTGTCGTAATCCAAAGACAATGACTACAAAACCAACGATGGACAAGTAGTCGGAAAAGAAATTACTCAGGCTAGTCGACAATCGATTTAGGGTTCAGTAGATTTTGATTTGGGGAAGATGAGGATAAACCAAACGGCAACGTTTCCACGAAAGTAAGAAACGCTGCGCTTTGGTAGAAACGATGTCGTTTGGTCTTGTAGAAACGATGTCGTTTGGTCTTTCCTCATCTCCTCCCCCTCGACTAGCCTGAGTAATTTCTTCTCCGACTAGCTGCTTGTCCATCGTAAGTTTCTTCGTCATCGTCTTTCAACCACGATAGGTGTGTTTCTGTATTGAGCTCCTCCCATCATTGTTGTATTGAATAAACTCAGAACTTAAGTTATCTCCTTGGTTGAAACTTGAAAGTAACCATCGTTTAGCCTTGTAAATTTGTCACCTCACATCTTAAGATTTACGAACTGTCGCATTTGTCATTTGTGTTTGATCTGACATTTGTTGATTCCCGTATGCATCTCAGCTGAGTGTAGATGAGTTGCTTGTGTTCGATGCTTTGAAACATGACTACGAGGTTGATTGGCACTTGAAAAACCTTGGAAAGAAGTTAAATCCGAATTCAAGGTGTGTAGCTGTGAGGAATAGGAGACAGGCTTACTTGAAAAAAGCTTGTATCACAAGGAGACTACTTTTCAGAAGATGCTATTTGAGATAGAGAGCCGTATCTACACCACGAGTATGTGGGGAAATTTCAGGATTTGATGGGTAGGAATATGGCTAGACCTGGAGAAAGTTGGTCAGAGACGTGACGTGCAGAGGAAGCTACTTTGGTTGATCGGACTAGAGAGGAGCAGCAGAGATTAGGTGTTGCAGAGAGTGATTGGATTGGTAATGAGAAGATGGAGGAATCAGAAGATGATGGATCAGTTCACATCAATCATGAAGCACAAGTTCTTGTCGGGGGAAGATGAGCAGCATTTGGATTACTCAAAGATAGACAATGACGAGTCTCTTGATGATCATTGGCTTCCAGAGATGGATGGGCGTTGAAGCTCAAGAAAAGTACTTTGATCAAGACTAATAATCACATACCCTTTCTGGTTTTTATGTAATGATATGACAAAAACATTTTTTTTCCTAGGATTACAAGTCCAAATACCAACACAATCTCATGTTAAGATTATGGAAGCGTTTTTGGTTAAGAGATGATCTTGATGAAATCTCAAATAGATTCATATGATCCTCATAAGTAAATTTTTATATATAAAAAGCTACTTCTGCATTGATTCAAATCTTACAACATACTGTACATCTAAAACAGAGAAATCAAATTAAACTTTCAAATTCAAATTCTTATGATAAGAGCTGTGCTCATATCAACAACCTTTAATCTGAAACTGACGTTGTGAGATTTCTTGTGGCCTTTATTTCAATACCTTAAGTGTTTCTTTATCCTTCTCTCTATGGTGGTTTTTGCGAGATTTTATGATTTCTTGAAACTAGAGTATTCTCAAACGAAAGTTAATCTCTCACATACTTAGAATAACATACTACAATAATACAATCCAACAATTGTCAAATCTTTTCATTTGTTTTTACATAGAACTAAAAATTAAAAGAGAATACCAGTGGTCAAGTTTTCACGCGTATCATCAGAGATCATAGCAAAGTTGTGTTTCTTAATCTGATAGTAAAAAAAAAAGCCAACAAATGTCTCCAAAGTAAGATTTATGGCGAGTCGTGCTCAACACGGAATGCCATAACCGGATATCTGCCGAGGAATGTCACACTTTGATCTCTAAATAATCTCCAACAACACTTGAGGCCGTCTTCCTCTCTTACTCCATACTTATAGAAGTATGTTACATTGCTTAACAAATTGGTGAACAAAATCGAGTTCCCGCTCACACCACAACCGTCAGGAAGTTCTTATGCTGAGCAGCAGACATTTCCCAAGTCTCTAATAAACAACACCCGGTCCAATACTCTGTTTATTCAACTTCTGGCCTTGTTGATTACAATCTTAGTACAAAAGATAAGACATAACAGTTTCTGATGCAATGAAAAGTAAATTCCAGTGTGCTACTTTACAGCTTAGGCTCCTTAAACTCTTTTACTCTTTTTCTTTCTTTCTTGCATGTCTTACTGTAATTAAGAGTTTGGTCGTTGTTTGCTTCATATCATGATCAGCTTACTAATATTTTTTTGAAGTGACAACTATTGAATGATCAAAACAAACTTAGAACATTATATATTAAATATCAAACAAACATACATAAAACCATTTGGAAAACAGAGAAGAACTAGAGGAGAACTACAATTGGATTTCTTCACTTCTTCTGTGTGGTGCAGCTTACCACACAGAGCACTCCAGTTGGAGGACTTGCCATCTCAATGAGACAACTCCCCACCAAAGTAGATGAGAAGTGAAGGAACCCAAAGTAAGCTTTTACTTTGAAAGTTCCTTACACCTCATATGCAATCCGGTTGTTCACCACTTGTCTCTGAAGCTCCATCTCATCATTTGATGGAAGAACATTGGGAAGAAGAGAGATAAGATGGATGGGCTCTAACCTTGTCTCGTTTTTTGTCAATGAGAATGGTTGGATGTCTTGAGCCGCAAGCAAATTTTTGTTGAACAACAGTTGAACCCTACCACTCTTCAAATTCAGTATCTCCATCCCAATCTGATTACTTATCATATATTTTCAGTTTTATATAACTACATATATAAAAAAAATAAACCTACAAACTGATGAGTTTCATTCTATTTTTTCTTAATGAAAAGATTATTATATATTATTGCTATTAAAGAAAGTATAAAAAAAATAAAAACATAATTTAACAAAAAATAAGCATAATATAAGCAAAATATAAACAAATCATAAGCAAAACATAAGCAAAACATCAAAAATGACAAACTAGCTAGCTAGATATTATGGTTTGCTAATACATACTGTTTCAAAATAATCTCCATAATTTTGGGGTCTTAAATGATATCTTCCAGTTAACCACACATATATTTGGTTAAAGTGAGCGTGTATTTATAAGAGTTGGCGTTCATAAAGCTAAGTTAATGTTATTTACACTTAAAAAAAAACCTTATTATTATTATTTTAACTCGATTTGCTTGTTCAAATACAAAAAACAAATATTTGAAAAACTTGTTTTTTTAGACACAAATATATTGAAAAAACTAGTCAAAAAACTTTATCAGCTATTTTGTACTACAGATGACCAGTCTAAAATGCGCTGAACATTTTGTTGATTTTATGTTTACAGAACAGAGAGAGAAAGAATGAGACAAAAACAGATTAAGAGATAAATGATTATTCAGGCCGTGTTCTTTCACCAGTCGCAGCGGCTGCGATTGCGACAGAGCAAAACGACAGCAGTGACGTGCAGGAATAAAGGAAAACGACAATGCAGAGCCTGAAAATAACAACCTCGCGTTAGTTACGGATAGCAGCGATGAGTGGCGACGGCATCAGATGATCGCTGAGAAGTAGTAGCGACTCCCAATCTTCCTTGCGTTCATTATCTGCGACTGTTTTACTATCGTTTTCCTCTCATTAATGTGTTTTCTTCTCTTCGCTAAAGCTATTTGTCTCCGTCGCAGACGCAGCCGCAGCTGCTAATCAACGGCCGATTGTGTTCTTCTTCTCTTTGTGAAGAAGAACATACGAGGAAATGATTTTATTTTTCTGAAACTTGATATGATTGTATCACACTACAATACATTACAAGAGTTTGACTCGACATACTTATACAACACGAAACATTGTGTTTAAAGTGTTTAAACGACACAAACAAACAAACGTAACTCTTGTGTTTAGTAACTAACTTACAAATGTTGGAACTAACTTATGTAAATAAGACTTTAACTTATACGAATGTGACTATCGTTCAACACATTTTAGCTATTAAGACTTTGTAGAAGGTTTGCTCACTGATCTTCACAATATATAACGTTTTTTGTACTTGCATCAGCTTTCTCATATTTGTTACATCGAGTAACAATGCTTTGTGTTTCAAAAACTTCTATATTTTGTAAAATATTTAATCCAGCATCTTTGTTTCTATTATTGTGAAGATCTAATGACAAAAGTTACACAAGTGCATAGAGAAGATGATTTACCATTTTCCCTAAATTTAAAATACCATATTCCGTTTGTATTAGTGGTTCAATTACTATTGGTGTCGAATGTCAATGGTAACAAATTAATTTGATTTGAATTTGATCAATAAGTTCTGAGAAGAATCACCATGAAGAAAGTGGAAAGCAATACAATTATTCTAAAGCTAATTTTATATAAACATATAATAAAACTACTAACAGAGCATTTTCAATATATACATAACTCATACATATATATATATATATATATAATTTCACATTCTTGGACATATTAACTCGAACCAACACACCCTGAAAAAGGCAAACACTAGCATAAAAGCTTAAACAGACCCAAAGGCTTAAACTGTTTTGTGAAGCTTTCATCATCAGGGTGCATGAACTTGCAATTAGGACACACAAGAGCTGATTTGCAGAGCATAACCAGCATGTGACATTTCATGCAAACTGTTGTTACCATCTCTTGCTTCTTCTGATCATCATCATCATCATCACCTTCAAACGCTAGCCAAGACGGAGATCGTTTTAGCCCTATATCACCTGATTTCCCTTTCTTGCTCGATGTCATGATCATATTTTCTTCTTTCGAACATTCATCTTTCTTCTTGACTATATTCACACTGGAACTTGATGAAGAAGAAAGGTTCAGATCAAGGTCCAAGTATGGCCTATGATCTTCAAATGTCTCTGACTGGACCTGCAGATAAGAAATTGAAACATGTTTTATTTAATGTTTTTATGCATATATATCCTTCAAATATATTTCGCTTTTTTTTATATTACCTTAGTGTCTAGGTTATGTTGAACATCAGGCTTTATGATCAACCGTGCACTCTCTGACTTTGATCTTTGATAGAACAGAGCATTGTTGTTCTTCTCAAGTTTGGATTGAGTTTGATCTTCTTGTTTCCTCCTTTTGAAGGAACCATCAAAAGATTCTCCATTGACTTTCATCTGATCCCTCTTTGTGGAACAGAGGGTTCCATCAAGTAAAGAAAACATTAGAGACCTTTCACTCTACTATGCTTAAGAAATCTCTCACTTTGCTTTCGTCTTAGAGAGAATGAATGATCAGATAGACGAAGAGTTTGTGAAAGTCGTATATATAAATAAGATGAGACACCCAGGGAGTTATTATCTCTACCGGTTCATGTAGAAGTAGTAGACAAGAGTAAATGAGTTAGATATACCAAAATAAAAATTCGTTGATAATCAAATAAACTAGGAATCAATTTAGATATATACCAAAATGATGTGTGAGTTCCAAGTTGGTTGTGTTCAATAAGTGAGGGTATTGCTCCAAGGAGTCACACATTGAAATGTGTAGATATGTAGTTCTATTGAATTCCTCTTTCTGATTTTAAAAAAAAAAAAAAAAAAAAAAATTATTGCTTTTCTCTTCCACCATCATTGTCATGATCATGAATGATATCGTCAACCATATATTATATGGGGGTATGCTGATGCATGTGTATGATATCATGAATTTTTCTACATGACTACATGTATGTATAATATAAGTCTATGTGTGTATGATGATGGTAAGAGGTAATATATGTGAATTACTGAATTGTTATTCAAGAGGTCATTAAATATAGTAAATAGAAAGAAACTAAATACAGTTGAAGGGGGAAGGTTCATGACTTCATGAATGCCGATGCAACTTTAATACCACAATAACTCTCACTCCCACTTTTCAATATATAACACCAACATACACACATAGATTAGTGTTATCTTAATATTTAAATGAGAACTTAACAATATTAACCAAACGATAGTAGTACCTAGTAGTCTAGTTTTACAATATTAACCAACAAGACTCGGGGCATCGTGTTAATTCGTTTCTCTTTCGGATTTGATTCTCAATTGGAACTCTTTAAGTACTCATGTTTGGTCTATCGAAATGTTCCTATCTTTAGATCTCCTCAAAAGTTCAATTAACCGATACTCAACGAGAGATAATCGGTTACCAATCAAGAGTAACCCTTATTATATAATAATAAAATAAAATATCATATCTTAAATTCCAAACAATTTCAAATATACTGAAACCTTCTTCAACGGCCTACCATGCCACGACCTTCGCTTCCTCATTTATTTTTAGGACTCTTTTGGTCAGCTTCCTCATAAATCGCCTTTCTATTTTTTCCTATTTAAAGTTTTTATATTCAACGAATGCATTTATGCATGGATATATTTATAGTACCATTATTATAGTAAATGTTTACGTGTAATGTTGTTGATAATTATTCAAATTTTTGGGTCAACCCAAAAAATAATATTTTAGTACTCTACGAGGCAGCTAATTGAAAAAGTTCTAAATATTCATTAGTTAGATCTTTGTAACCTAAACCAGTTTTAAAACTATCTTTTGGGTCTATACACTAGTTTTAATTAATAAAGCCCCTCTAGGCTCTAGTTAAGAGAATCTAAACATTTTTTCTCAAGGTTATTTTGAAAAAAGATTACGAGAAGTTTTAAATAACCGTTAGTGTTGTTGAGTATACTACTTACTACTTAGAAACGACCTTGGGCAATTCACCATTACGTTGTTGTTTGAAGCGTCTTGCAAGACTATTTTATCAAAAAAAAAAAAATCGGGTGTATAGGGATAAAAATTAGTTGCAAGTAGTTGCAAGTGATTCATTGCCAGTAGCATGTCATAATTTAACCTATAAGTAGAATTACAAGTGTGCATAATCATTATGAAAATGAAAGAATATAATTTTCTCAAGTAGTAACAAATTGCATAAATTAATCAATTGGAAGGGAGGAAAAGGGTTTTTGAAAGAGCTCACAACAACAGCTACTTCATGCATGCAGTCACAGTTAAGATTCATGTGTCGTCATTATATTTAAAGCTACAGCCTACAGCACCAGAAAAAAAACTTATAATATCGTAGATTGATATATACAAGAAATAGAAATAAGTTGCATGAAATAAAAGCTCCAAGTAGTTTATTTTGGTCACTGATAAAATATATAAGACATACCTGGACTTCCTTGGTTAGATAGAGGTAATTTGTAAACCTACTAACAGAAACTTATAATTTCTTAAGCGGCAATATATAATAAATGGAGGAGAAAAAAGTTGTATGAGGTATGAACAAGCTTCTTTTAAAAAAAAAAAAAAAAAAAAAAGTATGAACAAGCTTCAAGTTAGAAAAATATGGTCGCGGGTAAATAGTTAATTGTGAGCCTCGGTTAATTTGATTTTCCGAAATACTGAAGTAGTAGTTATTATTTCCTGGTGGAAGAATTAAAGATGCAGTACTTGTCTACCCGTTTCCATTAAATAATTTTTAATACACGTATCGTTTTTAGTTTCAACTATAATATGTTATAAAAAAATTGCAAAAGATACACCAGAAAATGAATGCATGTTACCAAGCGGAATTTGGATTTCTGTATGATGGTTAGTGATATGGTTATATGTTACCAAGATAATTGTGGTGTCTCAGTTTCAAAACGTTTTCAAAGTAGTATCTGTACTTTCAAAACATTTTGGCTTTCATTTATTTATTGTAAATATCATAACTGAATACAAACTGTGGATTATTCTAAATTTTGTAAAATAACGCTATTATAAAACAGGTTTGAATTGAACACCTATCGGTCGAGAATTATTCGGGAATAAAATTGAGTAATTTCAATAAAATTGAACAGATTGACCTATTTGCACCTTGAACTTTCTCATGTAGTTGGCCTTGAGCTTGCCTAACCTTTGAGTATAGGTTTATTTAGATAGATGAACATTATATTATTCATAAGGCGAAATCAGTTTAGAACAACGTGATCCGTACCGTACCAACAACATAAACTTTCATTCCAAGAAACCAATTATATGCGACAAAAACAACATGAGAGCATTGTCTTTAAGTATACATTACCTAGATAAGTCACGTGCGTAAGTAACTAGGTTTGAGTTTATTCATAGAACAAACGTGAGGAAGTTACAGAGATAGACACCAGAGAGAGACTTTTTGATCTTCAATTCTTCAAGAGAACTCTTGAGATAATCCTTTTGCAATAAGGATTGTTACGTAGAATCGCGTAAGGCTTTATGACTTCAACGAGTGTAGCATGTAGCGAACCCTAATTCAATCCAAAAACAAAATCGTTGATCACATCTCCAATATAATAAATGAGAAGTTAATTATTTAGGGTTAAAAGAAAGTTTCAAAACCTTGGTGACAGCTAGAGCAGCTTGGATGACAAAATTGGCATAAGGGTCTTGAATCAGAAGATCCAAACGAGGAACAGATGTTAGTTCCTGCCATTTGATCAAGACAAAAAAGATTTGTCTATATTGATGAGATGTCACACGAGAGGATAAATTCATGTGTTCATGAGATTGTTCGATTTACCCAAAAGGGTCTTGAGCAAGGAAGAGACTGTTTGTAGAGATTTCGGTTATGAGCTTCTCTCGTTGCTGTCCAGTGGAATAAGCAATGCATCTTTGTAGCACACAACATCCGTGTCGATGTGTCGCAATATCAATGCAGAACCTTGTAGCATCTTCAAAGATAAACTACAAAAAAAAAACAGAGAAATTTAAGGTCAAGTTTTATTCTTATGAGCTTCACGAAAAAAAAAGCTCTTTCTTTACCTCGTTATCTTGTGTACCAAGGCACTGCAAGCAACGTTGAATCACATGATTCCTATTCAAATCCCTAATGAGATTGAGAAATCCAGGTCTTAACTGATTTCACAAGATAAATCTGCTTCTTCGTTTTGATTTATTCCACTAGTCTCTGCACAACTCGAGTGCTTTTAAACACAAACAAGAAAAAAACATTAGCTTGACATCAAATTGTTTGTCACTGTGTTTAAACATCAAAACCTTTTACCCGAAAGCGTTGAGTGATATACGAATACGCTGTCCAGGTTCTGAAGTAACCATGAGTATGATCTGCGTTCGTTGCTCTTCATTGCAAACATCTAGTAGCTTCTGCATCAAGTAATTTCCAAAAGGATCAACCATAAGCTCCACAACATGAGGAATCAACTCATTGAAAACGATCATTGCTTCTAGAGAACTTCCATCTTCAAAGATCCTTTGTAATGATCTGCATCCATGTTGAATGCGTGTTCAATTATTATGTACGTGACAAAAAATCAACTATTAAAAAGTAGAAGGTAAAGTGTCTGAATTTATGGATAATTTTAGACTATTAGTCAACAAAACTTATATTGAATTGGAATATCACTAATGTTGTTTCCAAATTAGGAAAGGTCACGCGGAAACGATTGCTTCCGAGTCAAGACCTGACAAAAGATGCTCATTCTTTTGACCATTCTTAATCCTGTAATACGTACCACCCAAGTCACTTGCTCATTTCCTTGTAGTTTCCTCCAAAGTAAACGTTAAAGTAAAGCTTGTCTTCATTAGTGTTAATCAGATTTTGTCTTTGGCTATGAATCATATCATGAGCTTGCCTTTTCCGCTTATTGTTTGGTTAAAGGCCCGTCAACCAATTTCACACACTTGGGCTGCTCGTACTTCTAGTGTACTAACATCGGTTTAATTCTATCTCGAGACCCAATTACAAGAAAACTCAAAGTCGTATTGTAACTTTTGAAAGTGTAAAGTATTGGTTACAAATACACAAACTAAAAACACACACAAGATACTAAAAGTTAAAAACAGATGAAGTTCTGTATGTAAGAACCAGACTTTAGACAAGTAAAGAAAGTGAAACATTTGATGAAACCAGTCTCAAATTTATTCACACTAATATTATTATGAGAAAAGGTTGATTTTAACTCACAAGAAAAATAAGTATCAGTTTTACAAAGAGATTAATGATAAAATAAAAACAAACATTATTTCTTCCAGCTTCGACTTCGAAACAGAGGATCTTGAATGCCACCGACAACCCAAGTCTCCTTGGCGATGTCTGCAGAGAGTTTGTAGTAGTTCGTGTCGTAACTCATCACCACCACATTATTCGTCTTCTTCTCTTCCTCCATCAATGATCTCAAATCTTTCTTCTTTCTCACTGTCTCCTTCTCTTCCTCTCCGCTCTGCTTCTCAAAGTCTTCACATCCTCTGTTTTCTTCCTCTGTTTCTACTTTCTTCTCCTCCTCCTCTAACTCTAACCAGTTCTTAACCGGCGCAGATCTGCACCGCATCAGCAACAACGCGTTTGGCGGCGGAACCGCTGTTTCCGCATCTAAAAACGCGTTTTCCTTTTCGCCCACACACTCTTCACTGTTTTGCTTTTCGTGTAGAACCATAAACCATTTTGAGAAAACTGTCCCGGAAGCTTCGTCGTCTTCTTCTTCCTCTTCGTCGTCCTCTTCTTCTTCATCATCTGAGATTACATCTACAGGAGGAAACGCGCCAAAACACTGGAAATCAAACCGGAGATCGCGGAGACAAGTGATAAATCCCATAACATCCTTCTTGATCCCAAAGAACTTGCTCTCCGACTTGCTTCTATGTATCTTCTCCATCTCCGCCATTAACGACTGCCAATTCTTGCCTCCTCCACCCTTACTCGGCCCTACTTTGATCTGACCGGCACACGTGACTTTCGGCGACGTAGGCTCTTCTGCTATCTCCCCTCCGCAACTCTGACGAACGCCGGAGAGCTTACTGACGCTGCGACGGTGGTGAGGAGGAGCATTTTGACGGCGGTTAAAGGAAGGAGAAGGGCTACAAATGGATTTAGAAGGTAGAGACAAGTGTGTTCTTGAAGGGAAACAAACCATCAGATCTGCCGAGTAACCAGAAGATTTTCCTCCTCCTCCTTTGATCATCTCTTCTTCTTTTCTTTTCTTTCTTACAATTTGATTTTCTCTTCTTGTTCCCTTGTTTATTAGATATATAGGATCGATCTCGAAGAAAGTGGTTTTTAGCTTTTTTTATGTGGTTTTGTTTTCTTTTCGTTTTAAAATTGGATTCCTCTTCTTCTTCTTTTTTCTTGAAAATTTGATGACAGCTTCGCAAACCTTTAGCTTTTGCGGGAAAATAATACTTTAATTGCCATCGCAAATCTTCCTTTTTCCTTTCTTTAATTAATGTAATGTACTAAAAATATTATTGATTCATTTGTGTGGTATTGGTTGGTACCATCAACCATGTATATATTGAGATATGTAGAGGTTAATGGGCCAAAAAGGCCTTAATCTCTAGAGAGTGTGCAAATAAAGTTCCACATCGGAAGTGGGAAGAGACCTGAAGCGATATATAAGGGACTGAGGCCACTCCACCTATTGCCAATTGGTTTTAGGTTGGATGCCAAGGAAACTTAACATGGTATCAGAGCAATGATCCCCACACTCTCATGACCCGGCCCAGAAAGGGCCCGACCCCCGACCCTAGGATTGATGGTCTGCGAGATTAATGGCTAGAATAGCCATTATCTCGAGGGGAAGTATTGGGATATTGTAGAGGTTAATGGGCCATGAGGCCTTAACCTCTAGAGAGTAGAGTGTGCAAGATAAAAGTCCCACATCGGAAAGTGGGAGGGACCTTGAATAATATATAGGGGACTGAGGCCTCTCCACCTATTGCCAATTGGTTTTAGGTTGGATGCCGAGGAAACTTAACATGGTATCAGAGCAATGATCCCCACACTCTCATGACCCGGCCCAGAAAGGGCCCGACCCCCGACCCTAGGATTGATGGTCTGCGAGATTAATGGCTAGAAGGGCCATTATCTCGAGGAAGGGTATTAGGATATTGTAGAGGTTAATGGGCCATGAGGCCTTAATCTCTAGAGAGTGTGTAAGATAAAGTCCCACATCGGAAAGTGGGAGGGACCTTGAATAATATATAAGGGGACTGAGGCCTCTCCACCTATTGCCAATTGGTTTTAGGTTGGATGCCGAGGAAACTTAACATGGTATCAGAGCAATGATCCCCACACTCTCATGACCCGGCCCAGAAAGGGCCCGACCCCCCGACCCTAGGATTGATGGTCTGCGAGATTAATGGCTAGAAGGGCCATTATCTCGAGGGAGGGTATTGGGATATTGTAGAGGTTAATGGGCCATGAGGCCTTAATCTCTAGAGAGTGTGTAAGATAAAGTCCCACATCGGAAAGTGGGAGGGACCTTGAATAATATATAAGGGACTAAGGCCACTCCACCTATTGCCAATTGGTTTTAGGTTGGATGCCAAGGAAACTTAACATGGTATCAGAGCTTTGATCCGCACACTCTCACGACCCGGCCCAGAAAGGGCCCGACCTCCCGACCCTAGGATTGATGGTCTACGAGATTAATGGCTAGAATGGCCGTTATCTCGAGGGAGGATATTGAGATATGTAGAGGTTAATGGGCTAGAAAGGCCTTAATCTCTAGAGAGTGTGCAAATAAAGTCCCACATTGGAAGTGAAAAGGGACCTGAAGCGATATATAAGGGACTGAGGCCACTCCACCTATTGCCAATTGGTTTTAGGTTGGATGCCAAGGAAACTTAACATGGTATCAGAGCAATGATCCCCAAACTCTCATGACCCGGCCCAGAAAGGGCCCGACCCCCGACCCTAGGATTGATGGTCTGCGAAATTAATGGCTAGAATGTTAAGTCTGCGAGATTGATGGTCTACATATCTCAATAGTATAGAATATGAGTTGAATGACAGTTTCACATGCTTTTACTACACATCAAATTTTATTTTTACGTAGTCGTAAATTATATTTAGCCTTCTATAAGTTCGATGTCTTACAAAAACTGTTAGTTGTGATCTCTTCTCAAACACAGTTTAAATACAAGAAGAATATGAAACTATTTAACATGTATTACATTGTTGGCAAATAGAGTAACGAGACAAAACAGAAAAATGATCTAGCTTGACATGTACATAAAGGAAAATTACTGATCAGAGATCACATTATAATGTTTTGGATTTAGTCATCATTCGAACCTATGGGGGTGTATAGTTGAGCTAACTCCGCACTAATAAAGCTTAATTATAAGAGATATTCGGTATGACATTCGTTTTCAAAGAAGAAGATATCATTGGTAAATGGTAATCATGTAACATGCATGTGTGGACCAGATCGTCGATCTTAGATACAAACCCCATGTTTATAGTATAGTTTTGGAGCTTTTGAAATTTATTATATAATGTTAAGAGATAGTGTGTCAGTGACTAATCAACAACGTCCTTTTGGTCATGATGCCACTCGGTGGCTACAACAATGACTACCAAATTAAATAAGGTGTTTCTAATGATGTCAGTGTCAATTATTTGTCGATTATTTTATTTCTTATAGAAACGGAATCTACGACCATTATAAATTAAAATTTATTCCACTACTCATAAGTTAACTAAAGAAGGTGATGATGTTTTAGCGGCTGAAAAGAAGAATGGTATAAATTTGTCTTTGTGCAAATGGCATAGTTATTAGTTATATACGTACAAACAATGAATACGTATGGAACGATAGTCTTATAGATGTGTTAGCATTTGAATCAAATCAACATAGTTTATATATGTTTATCAATCACTTAATTTGCTAGAATAATTAGTTTTATTGAAATACGTCATTTCTTAAATATAATGACAAACATGATAAGATGCATGACATTAATAACTAATTATGCTATTTTGGTATAAATAAACTCGCTTACAGTTCCATATTTTAATTCTTAACAACTCACTCTTTCAGGAGTTCAGGACAAATCGATAATGGTCTCCGAAATTATGTTTCTAAATCGATAATGGTCTCCCAAATTATGTTCCTGGCACTTTAGGTTAGTCAATATATAAAAGATACGCGTTTAATGGTCCATACAAAATAAAATGTTTCAACCAATCACACTTGTGTTTTTGTTAGTGCTAGTTCAAAACTCTACTTTTCAATGGACTCTCTTCATCCTCATAAGAATAGGTATATATATGTGCGTTCTTATCAATATGACAATATCATATTGAGTGGAATAGAAAGTAACATACAATATTGGCTTTATAGTTTAAATGATAACAATATATAGATTTTGGCGGCTTACAAAAATCAATTGAATTATAACACCAAATTCATCATTACAATTTTAAATAATCAATAGTATAAAATAAAGACCCAAACATAAACATCACGTGTCTAATGTCTCGATAAGATAAAGGATAAAAACAAAAAAGAAATCGTTGTTCGACGGTTAGAAGCCAACGCCTCTACGCTAAAGAATTGCAATTTTCAGTACTAAACTTTTATATAATCAGACAATCATTATTAAAAAAAACGTCACTGACGAATTCTGAAAAACCTTATGAGGGAAGAAAAACTAACCTAGTCGGTGGAGGCGCTTCGAGCGGAAGCTGAAAGGATGATGAGGGATCGTCTAATCTCTTTTCCGGCGGCAACGGCTTCAGCACCTTCTTTGCTTGAGGTGTTTTATCTTTGTATTGCTGGTTCTGTGTAATTTTCTTGCTTCTTGTTTATTTGTAATAAGTTGTTCAACAACAACAGTATATTCAGAAAATGGTATAAATCTTAACATTCGTACCAAACAAAAAAAACTAACCTAGTCAATTGTTATGACGTTTTTGATATTCTCTATGTAAAGTGGTGATATTTTTCGGCACAATTCATGCTATATTATTATTTATTTTTGGTCACTAGTATCAAAATCCGAATATACTTCGAAAGATTGACCAAATTGAGACACCAAGTCAAGTGTTAAAGCCAACTTTGTTACGGTGTAGAAATGCGCACACGGCACACGTGCAACATTAAAAAGCACATATATTTACATTTGTCAAATAAAAAACTCACAAAGCCACATAAGGCCCATTACAAGGCCCACCAACAGCACTAAAACGAGTTCATTTCTAAAGCATTCTTCTTACGCTTTAACAAAGCGACGACCGCTTCACCGTACAAACAATCTCCGGCAAAAGCCTCCGTCGCCAGCTCATCATCTCCGACGTCGGAGTATCCCTCGCTCGGCCTTACGACCACGAGCGTCGCGGATTCTAAACAGATACCACTCTTGAGCTTAAGCGACGGCGCGTGTCTCATACTCATCTTCACGCTTGGCACCACACTCCTCTTATTCTTCTCCACGCGCTCTTCCTCCTCTTCTTCCACACGCGCCTCCCCACTCTTTCGAAACTCTCTCATCCCTTCCGATTGCATCACCACCGTTCCTTCTCCTCCTCCGTCGCGCATGACAAGACTTTCCATCTCCTCGTGCTCCTTCACGACCTCCCTCATCAGGTAATGACGAGAAGACGCTGACATCAGCGCGCTTATCGTCCACACCACCCGCGTCTTTAGTCCGGTCACGAACTCGGCGTCGGACTCATCGTCAGGGGAAGACGACGAAACCGTGGCGGAGGAACGAAACGCGACGATGACGCATGTTTTGAGAGTTTTACCGAACTCGGCTTTCCACTTAACGGCTTCGCCTTTCTCGAGGTTTACGTCGCCGCCGGGAAGCTCGACTTCGAGGTTCTTGATGCGGTCAAACCGGGAGAGAATCTTGGATGGGATATCCGGAGAAAGAGACGTGACTGGGATCGGTTTAGCCGGTTTAGAGAAAAGAGAGAAGAAGCCGTGGAAAGACTTGAACAAAGATTGGAAAATGTTGGAGACGGGAGGATCGGAGTGTGAGTCGGAGTCTTGGTGGTGGTCGAGTCGGAGGAAGAGTGACTCGGACTGAGGGACGAGCGAGTGGAATCGTTTGGAAAGAGAAGTGCAACGAAGTAAGGTTTTGACGTCACCGACTTTGTTCAAGATGTCGATGATGATCGGATCTGGAAGTCCATCAAAAACGTCCATATTTGTTTTTTTTTTTTTTTTTTTGCTCTTTTATAGTCTCACTCTGTTTTTGTGTTTTCTTTTACTTTCTTTCTATTCTGGTTAGAGTTTTGGAGAGTGTAACGCAAGGTGTTGTTTATATAATGAAAGGACGAAGACGAAGACAAAGAACAAATGAAATTTTTTGTGGGACCATTGCCGACTTTTAGTGCTATTTTAATTTGGTGAAACAAATTAATTAAGTGGTCTTTTGTTTTGGTGAGGTTTGATGTTTTCAAAAGGATTGCATCGGACGGTCTATATGCGTCCTTCATCGACGCTCCACGTTGCTTTAAACATTGTTTACCATTATCTGGATCCTTAAAGAGAAATATCGAGGAAGAATCACAAAAAAAGAATCTTATATAGTGGATTCATATAATTTTTTTTAAGTTAACTTACTAATTCACAAAAAAAAACTATTAACAAGTACTTCCTCCCTTTCAGATAGTGTTGTCTTTAATTAGGTTCTTTGAATACTTAATTAGTTAGTTATTTATTAGTACTACAAGCTCTTCAAATTTCCTGATAAATATAGGTTCTTTGTATGTCATAGTCTAAATCTACTTGATTCCGTGATAATTATCATTTATAAAGAAAGTAAGTTTCACAGGACTTCTATGTACGATGAATACAAATTTGAACTTTTTGGCATTCGGAATTCGGAAAGGTCACGCTCTGATACATAATTAAAATACATATACACAAATAAATAGTATAATACTATAATCAGTGAGGACATTTCCTTTTTATATGCTAAGGGAAACTACCAGCATTAAAAAATTGCTATGTTCCGAGTGACGCGGTGCATAACATATTTAAAGTTTTGAATTGAAAGTTGATATTTTTATTGTAAGTGAGTTTTAAATCGAAAGTTCGTGATCACTGATGATTAACAATGTCCAAAAATGTTTAGATTATTACATCACTTTAGAGTTTTAATATTCCCTCCGTTTCATAATCAGTATCATTTAAAGAAAATATATCTCGACAATAATTGAATGTATCTGGACAATAATAAGTGTTATTTTGAATTTAATATATAGATACATTGAATTCTCATTTTGTTTAAATGACAATTATTATGAAATGGAGAAAATAATGTTAATCAAATGGTGGTGATTTTGTGATGATGTTTAAGTGGTTAGGTTCTGTGGTTGACGAGAATTTTATCATGTGTGGCTTTTGTATATAGTTTAAATAGCAAAAAATTATAGGTAATTCCTTTTTTTTTGAAAACATGGGTTATTTTTCAAATTCTACAAAATATTTAGATATAATATCAAATCAAGTCTCCCTTAATAAAAACATACTCCACATTTTAAAAGAGAAGTATGTTCACAAATATTTGTTTTGTTTTAAGAGAGAATTAGAAGAAACAAATAATCCAAAATGGTATATTAAACAAAATATTCTTTCAACTGAGAATAATATTCCAAAAGGGATATTAAAATCAAAGGGGTTCGTTGAATTCAAGTTTTCTAATTGGTTTAAGCAGTGGAATATGCTTTACAAGAATAAGGACTGCATTCTGCCGATACTATTTATTTTTTTATTCCCTTTGCTATCAGGAAATTAAAAGAAAAACCTTTATTGCAGTTCCTTTATTATAATTTATTAATAAATAAGTATAGTTATATAACTTCATTAACAATAACAACCATAACATTTTAAAATGCAATATCAGTAATTTATTAAAAGTGGATAGGAATAAAACTAGTTTAGTACAAGTACAACTAATGCTTGACAACGACTAAACTATAGATTAAGACGATTTTAATCATTAGCTTATTGAGTATATTTTATAAAGATTCAATGATTCACATTCTGTTTGAAACCGCACGGCTAATCCTATTATTCTAATTTTTTTTTTTTTTTCTGTTGATAGCTAGTAATTTTCTGAAGTTATTAGTAAGGAAACATCATTATTTGAACGCGAACTATCACATACTATAGCTTTTTTTTTTTGATAAAAATCACATACTATAGCTTTGTAAATTATTTCCTCGTAATTACTAAGGCTGCAAAGAAAGCAATTTTATAAAAATCTGTATGTGATCGAACATATGTCTATTCAAGTAAATATAGTGTTTTTCTCATTTGATAATCACAGAATCGATTGCAAATAAAATCTTTAAGGCCAACCAAAAGGAAATAAAGTTTTTTTTTTATAATACGATTTCACATAGTTGCTTGCTTCTAAAACCAAACTGAAGTTAGAACAACCGTTGCTCACTGACGTCAAAAAAAAAAAAAAAAAAAAAAAAGAGAAACAACTATTTCTCACACTAAATAGTAAACAATAGTAAAAAAATGTCATCGAACTACCAAAGATCTCATGATCCATTGATCCTAATATGATTAGAACTAACTCTGTTGCAAATCTTCGCGAGTTATGTTGTCCTAAACACTCCCCCAAGCTTCACATCCTCTACATGATCTAGATAGGTGTGAACCATGCAATGCTTAAACGCATCCATTCTTTGGATATAACTTTTGTGAGAGTGTTTCTCTCGAGATTATAATAGATAAGGAAAAATGGGTCGGATGAATGAGACAAGACGATTTCACCTGTTTTGGTGACTCCCACAATGCATAACCCGAAATTTGCAAACTACATGGTTCCACAAAGCGGGAAGCACGAAGGTACGCGTCGACCATGTAAGTTTATTGGCATCTTCAAGAACGCACAACTCGAAACTCTTAGTTCTTCCAGAAATCACATCAAACTCATTGTCCCACTTGAGTGTAGCTAACTTACCCATGTAGTTTACCAACTTCGATGACCAGAATTGTTTTTCAATAAACTCCAACTTCTCACACCTAATATCAAAGCAAAAAAACTATCCCATAACGTTCAAACTCGTAGACCACAGCTTTATAATACAAAACACCATTGATACATATCCCATCACTTTGAGGATAATGACGTAAGCTACACTCGATCATTCTCCATGACAGTTTCCCAGTTCCTCCTAATGTCAGAACTTGATGCTGCTCAGTGGTCCTTCCACACCTTGACCATGTCATTGACAAGACCTTAAATTGTTTATCAATCGGGTCATACCCAAAAAAGCTGGTCACATCGATCCTCCTTGTCTTCACTTTCGGTAAGGTTAAGGATTGTCCTGTGCTAGGGTTACATATCACCATCACCCTATCCTTCTTTCCCTTTAAGATCCGCACAAAAATGTGACAAACTAATCCATGAACAGGCTTATAAAATTGCCAGGACTCACCAACAAACTGGAAATTCATGTGATAACTGGCGGCTACAGGAGACGACTTCTCATCCGGATTATGAGGCTGAGACGATGAAAAGAAGCACACGTTAGCGTCTTTTTTGCACGCGAGCAAGAGCTGCGGACGAGACGTACATCTTTTTAATATTAACTCTGTGAAATATGGACGACGAACTATGGAGTCCCAGAGCTTTGATACGCAGCGACATCTCGCTAGGGACGTCACGGACAATTTCAAGAGTATCTCGATAATGAGATCGGTTGGGATCGTCTCTGCTGAGTTTTCTCCTTTGTTCGAGGATCGTTTATTACTCCGAGAAACGGTTTGAAGATCTTCCGAGACGTACTCTCGCCGCCGTCTTTTCATGGCTGTATTCAACCCTGAAATCTCTTGTTTTAGTGTCGTAGGAAAGAAACTGAACGTAAGTTTAGGCTCATAATAGCTCAAGAACACTGCAAAGCCCAATTCTGTGTATTTATTTTGGGTCAACAAAATTATACGATTCCCCTTAACTAAAAAAGATTTAAAATAAGATTATATATCCTAGACCTAGTTTCTTTAACTTTCTTCTACTTTCCATTTCGTTCAGTTTTTATTTATTTATTAACTTTCAATCTTCTTAATTAAAATTAAATTTCAACAAAAACTTTACTATTTGATATGTCAATTTTTTGGATGTAAATAATTTGGCATTCCAAATTGTGAATATTACTTTATATATTTTTGGCTTTAAGGAAGAAGAATAAGAACATTGGTTCAGGCCGATCGTGATATCACAGGTTCATGTTATGCCTCTTATGTTTAAGACTTGTTTCTGCTTATTTTTGTTTTAATTTACGTTATTTTTTTTTGATTTTGTAGCTTATGTTTATATGATTAAGACTCCTTTCCGGTTTTTCTTCTCACTTTCGTTTTTTTTTTTTAGTTTGTAGCATAGTTCTTGATATTTCTATCTCTTGTAGCTCACTTCCGCACTTGTTTATATCTTGTCTTGATAGTTATATCTCTTGTCTGTTTTGATAGTTCTCTCTTGTCTTATAACTTACTTGTCTTGGTTTGCTTTTGCAGGAGATTCCTCTCCGCAAAGGTCGTCGTTCAGGGCTGGGTAAGATTGTTGAAACGGATCCCGCAACAGCATTCTTTGCTGACTACAATGAAGACCTCCTTCAGCAGAACGAAGAGCTTAAAGCCAAAGTTGATGCTTTGGAAGCTTCCAAAGCAGAAACAGAAGAGAGGCTGTGTAGTACACAAGGAGCTCACCTCTACACAGACTTGAGTCTCTAAAATGGAGGCGTTTATGAAAAGCAAGTGGCCGGATATGCCATAGTTCTAATTCTAATGCATGTAATCTGAATGCTTTGAAATACACTAATGTTTTGGTTTTTGGATAAGACTTACTATTCTAGTTTCGTATTTAGATGCTTGAAATTGTGATGTTGGATTACTTAAACAATCTACTATCATGTAATATATTGGTTTTTAACTCTTGGTTTCTATTTTGGCGGCAATTTTTTTTTTTAAAAGTTTACAAATTTTCATCGGCAAACCATCTTGATTTCGTTGCAAAACAATCCCTTGATAATCCGTTGGTAAATATTCCATTGCAAACCCGTCGGTAAACAATCTCTCTGAAATCCGTTGCAAAAGATGAGCTCTGGCAAGTCCAACGCTAATTAAACGATTGGTAATCTCTTGGGAATCAACCAACGAAAACACTTGGAATCCACTTGTTGGGATTCCGTCGCTTATGTGGACCTGACGGTTTAACAACGAAAAACCAATGCTATAAATATCCTTGGAAAGCCGTTGGAAAACGGGTCTCTCGCAAATCCGTCGGAAAACGGATCTCTCGCAAATCCGTCGCAAATCCGTCGGCCATTTCCAACGGATTTACGAGGACGATAAATTAGCCACCTGATAGTCCCGATGACTTTTTTTGTCGCTAATCCGTTTGTGTTGGCTGTTTCCAACGGCAAAACGACGGTTCTGGCCGTTGGAAAAGCCCTTGTTTTCTTGTAGTGGATTACTATACTACTAATGAAAAGTTTAGGAATAAAAATTATTTAACAAATTAATAATTCAGACCTATATATTTATAAAAATCTGAATGTGTTCCAACACATATGTCTATTCAAGTAAATAGTGTTTTTCTCTCTTTGATAATCACATAATTGGTTGAAAATAAAATATTTAAGGCGAACCAAAAGGAAACAAAATTCTTTTTGATAATACGAGATTTCACAAAGTGGTTTGCTTTTAAAAGCAAACTGAACTTAGAATAACCGTTGCTCACTGGCGTCAAAGAAAAAAAAGAAAGAAAGAACAATCGTCACTCACTCACTCTAAAGAGTAAACAAGGAAATGAATACTGTACAATATCAAACTAAGAAAACAGAAAGTTGTCATCCAATAAGCTAAGGACTGCCTAAGATTCCTTGATCCAATAAGATGATTAGAACATCCAACATAACTCTGTTACAAAGCTTGGAGTTATGTTGTCCTAAACACTCCCCCATGCTTCACATCCTCTACATGATCCAGAAAGGTGTGAGCTTCCCAATGCCTGAACGTACGCAATCCCTGGACTTCAACTTTTGTGAGAGTGTTTCTCTCGAGATTGTAGTAGATAAGGGAAAGAAGGTCGGAATAATGTCGAGACAAGACGATTTCACCTGTTCTGGTGACTCCAACAATGCATACCTCGAATTCTGCAACTAAATCGTTCCACAAAGCGGGCAACGCGAAAGTACGCGTCTGACCATTCAAGTTTCTTGGCATCTTCAAGAACACACAACTCAAAACGTCTAGTTGCTCCACAAATCTTATCAAACTCATTGTTCGGTTTGAGTGTAGCTAACTTACCAACTTGGATGTCACGACATATTTATCAATCAACTTGAACTTTTCTGACCTAATATCAAAGCAAACTATCCCATGAAATTTTTTAAACCCATAGACCCTAGCTTGATAATACAAAACATACATATCCCATCATGGATAGGATTATGACGTATGTTACACTCGATCATTCTCCATGACATTATCTCATTTCCTAATGTCAGAACTTGATGCTGCTCAGAGACTCTGTATATTCCATTTCCCCACGTCATCGACAAAACCTTGAATTGTTTATCAATCGGATCATACCCAAAAAAGCTGCTCACAATAGTCCTTGTTGTCTTCTCTTTTGGTAAGGTTAAGGATTGTCTCGTGCTAGGGTTACATGCAGAGCATTTCTTGATTTAATTAAGATTTATTTCATCTCTAGTTTCTTGACAAAAAAACAATGCTAAAATTTCAACAAAAACTTCGTTTACCTATACTAACTAACCACAAACGCTACAGATAAATAATCTTTTTAAAAATGCCCAGAAATAATTTTTTTTAAAAAGATTGTACTCGGTAGTATTCATTAAAACAAAAAAAAACAAAAAATGAGAGTTTCGTTTGGAATCTGATATACTTCAGAACTGGGCATGAAAATATGATTTCACAAAGTGGCCGTGCTTCTAAAAGCAAAAAAAAAACTTCCCTTATAATAAGTAATAACAACCGTTGCTCACTCAAGTAAAAAAAAAGAAAAAAATCCAATAAGATGATTAGAACTAACTCTGTTACAAAACTTCGAGAGTTATGTTGTCCTAAACACTCCCCCAAGCTTCACATCCTCTACATGATCTAGATAGGTGTGAACATTGCAATGCTTAAAGGCATCCATTCCTTGGATATCAACTTTTGTGAGAGTGTTTCTGTCGAGATTGTAATAGATAAGGAAAAATGGGTCTGTTGAATGAGACAAGACGATTTCACCTGTTCTGGTGACTCCAAGAATGCATACCTCGAAATCTGCAACTAAATTGTTCCACGAAGCGGGCAGCACGAAAGTACGCGTCGACCATTCAAGTTTCTTGGCATCTTCAAGAACGCACAACTCCAAATTCTTAGTTCTTCCAGAAATCACATCAAACTCATTGTCCCATTTGAGTGTAGCTAACTTACCCATGTAGTTTACCAACTTGGATATCAGGACATATTTTTCGATAAACTCAAACTTCTCAGATCTAATATCAAAGCAAGCTATCCCATAATAAATTTTAAACCCATAGACCTAGCTATATAATATAAAAAACCATTGATACATATCCCATCACATAGAGGATAATGACGTAAGCTACACTCGATCATTCTCCATGACAGTTTCTCGGTTCCTCCTAATGTCAGAACTTGATGCTGCTCATAGACAGGGTATCTTGAAAATATTGAGCTTGTCATCGACAAAACCTTGAATTGTTTATCAATCGGGTCATACCCAAAAAAGCTTTTCACATCATACCTCACTGTCTTCACTCTTGGTGAGGTTAAGGATTGTCCCGTGCTAGGGTTACATATCACCTATCACCCTAATGTGCTTTCCATTTAAGTATCGCATATATTTAAGACAGACCAATCCTTGAAGAGGACTATAAAGTTGCCAAGAACCACCACCCTCAAGGTGGAAAGTCATGTGATAATTGCCGGCTACAGGAGACGACTTCTGGTCCGGATTTTGAGGCTGAGATGACGAAAAGAAGCACACGTTACCGTCGTCTCTTTTGCACGCGAACAAGAGCTTTGGTCGAGCCAAGGATCTAGTCAATATCGACTCTGTGAAATATGGAAGGCGAATCATGGAGTCCCATAGCTTCGATACGCAACGACAACTCGATATGGATGTCACCGGCAATTTCAAGAGTATCTCGACAATGAGATCAATTGGGATCGGCTCAGCTGAGTTTTCTCCTTTGTTCGCTAAGGTCGAGGATCGTTTATTGCGCGGAGAGACAGTTTAAAGATCTTCCGAGATGTACTCTCTCCGCCGTGTTTTCATGGCGGTTACACTGTTAAACCCTAAAATCGCTCTACAAAACGAAACGCTGCGACTTTTTTTTTTCTTTCTTTTTGTTTTTAAAATTTGAAAGAGTGTTTAGTGTCGAAAGATATTGAAAGTACGTAAGTTTAGGCCCATCAGGAGATTAAGTTTAGGCTCATAAGATTAAAAATAATACGATTCTACTTGACTAAAAAAACGATTCTACTTGACTAAAACAAACTACTATTACATAAAACTAGGGCTAAGCCCACGCGATGCGCGGGTTGTGACTATTACAAAATTTTATGCCTAAAGTTCTGTGGATGGTCCTTTTAAGTACTTGCTAAACTAACTCATCGTCCTAGAGAAGAGTATCCGCGTTGGCCAAACCTAAGAAGAGCCAAGCTAAGCCGCCAAATATGTAGTTTGGTATGTTTTCCATGAACATTCGACGTAAGTAGCCTCTGTAAGGAGCCACTCTTGTCCCGTGGCTATCATTATGTGCGTCGGGTTTGGATCATCCTCTGGTAATAGCATTACCTTCCTCGATAGACCTGGTTTCGAAAAATTATATTAAGTCCAAAAACTCTTCTTTCAAGGTGTCTATATGTATTTAGTTAACATACCAGAGATTTGAATCTTGTCTCCGGCTTTGAATCACATAGGAAGTTGCTGGAGACGCTGTTCTTTGAAGGATCTTCGCACACACAAACTCGCTGTCTTACCGTCAAAGAAATCTCCATACCTCGTTGATGCAATGGAGTAAAGGCGCACATTATGTGGGGCTCCTGGTTTCTGCGGATTCTGACCCTACACGCACAAGATTAATAGAATAAGATTGACTTAAAGACAATGAAACAATATAAGAGTACAAGGTAACATGACTCACTGGAGGGATCACACCGTAGCTCTGTCCTTCCCAGTAAGGAAGGTTACCGTCATGATAGATGACGATGTGGCAAGTTTCTTCTGGGGCGTTTGCGCCAACAACTCGCTCCACGGAGACGATCATGGTTGTGTAAGCTTCCTTGGGTTTGTACAAGTGCAATGGAGGGGATGTTTAGGGTCTTCTAACTCTATAGGAGAGACAGAGACCTTGGAGCTACTTGTTTGCTGAACCGACATACATATTGTTGAGTTCGTGTACCGTTTTGAATCCCCTATGCTTGTTGTTCTTTGGTTCAATTCTAAGGAAGATGACCATGGCTTACTGTTGAAGTTTATGCTATTGTTCTGCTGCAAAAGGAAAAAGTGGTACATAACAAGCAAGGATAAGGCTTATGATCAAACTCAAGAATCAAAGAAAGACGTTCTTACAGAACGCAAATCCAAAGTTTAGTCTCATGTGTGAATCTCTATAGAGATCGAAATAGAAAAGGTATTTGAGAGATTTGGATGCATCACCTTGAAGATGGATCTTCTAACAGATTGTTTGTTTACAATTGAAACTGAGATAGCAGCAGCAGCCTGTAGAGAAAATTAAAATAGCTAGCAAAGATGGCACAAACTTCACAGCTTTGTAATCTAAAATACTCAACTCTGATAAATAGCAACACAGTGGCTCTAGCTGCAAGTGTGGCGCCTGAAACATAGACACAGAAACAGAAGGATTTAGAAATTCACACTCTTTATACCAAAAATGAGAACAATGAATCATAAAATTCAATTAAGCATTATCACTAAAACACACTATTTCATCAGAAAAGCAAACCTTATAAACAAATTGATCAATGGCAAGTAGAGGGCGTGTATAATCACTTCCATAACGATAACCATATCGTTCCACGTATCTCCAGCCGCTATTCAGCGGTGTCGACCTTGATGGGAGGTGAAGCTGGAAATAGTATGCTCCGCCTGAAATATGAATGAAATAGGGAGGTTTTCTGTAAACCGGATTGAGAAGAAGAAACTAAAAACCCATATGCGGGGGAGAGAATGCAAATGTGAAACTTGAAGAAAATAAGAAAAACAAAATCCATATCTCCAAATAAGAAAATAAGAATGAACTTTCCATCGTCTACCCAAGAGAAACCTCCAAAGAACTTTTTAGCTTGGATGAGTCTTACAACCAAGACTTTATCTTTATATTATTAATTGAGAAGTACATTCTAATGTTTAGATAGAAGAATAAGATAAACATCTATTTGGATAGAAGAATAAATGGAAAAAAAGTTGTTTGAATATAAGAATAAGAGAAAAATCTATTTGGATAGAAGAATAAATGGAAAAAAAACTGTTTGGATACAAGAATAATAACTTAAAACAAACCGATGGTTTAGAAAACTTCCGTTTTCCAACACTTAAAAAATCTGTAAAAAATAAAAAATTATTATAATCTATCAATAATACCAAATCGATAGAATATGATCGAATGATATTTGCAAAATTTCCAATAGTGAAATAGAATACGTCTAATTTAAATCAAACTGTTTTCGGGTTTTTTTGAAAATTTCTGTTCGGTTTGGTTTCGAGTTTTTTGGGGTTTAGTTCACGGTTTTCCGGATTTTTTGGATTTTTTTCGGGTTTAGACATATTTAGAAAAACTTGGGTATTTTAAAACTTTTATTAGGGTTTTTAAGTCGGGCTCGGGTTTCGGATGGAAAATTTTTGAGTTTTTTTTCTTTTTTTTTTGGTTCAGGGTTTTCAGGATTTTTTGGATTTTGGGGTTTCGGGTTTAGACATATTAAAAGGGTTTGGGTTTTTACAAATTTTGATTAGGGTTTTTGAGTCGGGTTCGGGTTTAAGTTTAGATTTTTTTCACAAAACCGCAAAGTTACACCGTGCGTTTGCGCGCGCGGGTTCTCTACTAGTCTCTATATTATTAATTGAGAAGTACATTCTAATGTTTGGATACAAGAATAAGAGAATCATCTATTTGGATAGAAGAATAAATGGAAAAAAAAGTTGTTTGGATATAAGAATAAGAGAATAATCTATTTGGATAGAAGAATAAATGGAAAAAAATTGTTTGGATACAAGAATAATAACTTAAAACAAACCGATGGTTTAGAAAACTTCCGTTTTCCAGCTCTTAAAAAATCGGCAAAAAAAAAAATTAACATAATCTATCGATAATACCAAATTCGAATGATATTTGCAAAATTTCCAATAGTGAAATAGAAATACATATGATTTAAATCAAATTGTGGATTTCTGTTCGGTTTTTTTGAAAATTTATGTTCGGTTTGGGTTTGAGTTTTTTTGGGTTCAGTTCAGGTTTTCCAGATTTTTTGGATTTCGGGTTTTTGGATTTAGACATATTAAAAAAGTTTAGATATTTTAAATTTTTTATTAGGGTTTTTAGGTCGGGTTCGGGTTTCGGGTGAAAAGTTTGGAGTTTTTTTATTCAGTTCAGGGTTTTCGGGATTTTTTGGATTTCGGGTTTTCGGGTTTAGACATATTAAAAAGTTTGGATTTTTAAAATTTTGATTAGGGTTTTTGAGTCGGGCTCAGATTTTGAATTTAGATTTTATTCACAAAACCGCAACGTCACACCACGCGTTTGCGCGGATCCTATATATGTTAAAACCTAAGACTTGGTAGTTTAGAAAAAGGAAATATGTGAAGAAATAGAAATCCTAATGACAAAAGTTATCTTACAAAATTTCACAGAAATTATAATTTGATTACCTGTTTATAAAGTCCTATGTTCCTAGCGTCTTCCAACGTTTGATATTTGATATTAAGGTACATGATCAAATAACATTTGAAAACGTTTAAAGCAAATGGATAGTTTCAAGTATCCCAATTGAAATGAGACAATTTCCACAGTTGCTCTATCTCATTCCTCACTAAAAAGATATCATCGAATATGTAAGGAACACACTAATTTATTCAGTAAAAAGTAATTAAAATATTCCCTTCGAATCTAAGATGATAAAACAGCACACAGAAAAAAAGAATGGTACAGCACGATTACCTTAAATTTGGCAAAACACTGGAGAGAAAATTTCAAGCAAGACGTTTAGTATGGTAGCTTAAGAGCCTCTTCCATCATATCAAACTTGTAAGGTACAGGCATAATGTTCGGATCAAGAATGGTGTGTTGCCATAACCTGAAACAACAAACAAAATATTAACCCTTTAGCAAAAAGGAAAACAACAAACAAAATGGAAATTATTGAATGATTTCATTTTTATTGAACACAGATAATAAGAAAAGCGAGAGTTGGAGTGAACGAATGTTTTTTTTTGGGAGATTTGTGATTATACACAGAAAAGAGGGAAGGTTTGTCCATATACACATTTTCATGTTTTTACCTATTTTTGCCATTAATACCCTTTATATATTTAAAAATATGAAATAGTTTATGTAAGAAACCCAAAATATTTCTAAAAATCAGATAAATGATCTTCAGACTTGTTAAAATTTTCACAATTTTTTTCAAAAATATGATTTTTAAAAAATATATTGAAGTTTTCTTCTACCAGCTTGAAATTCAAAGTAGAATATGTATCCTACACGTTTCTATTACATCTACTGGAGATAGAATTCGATATCTACCATTTATACACACATCTTCCACCCGTAGAACACGAGTTCTATAATCTATATATACCTCTACTATTAGTAGCATATCACTTCTACCTGTTACTCTATGTTCTGCGATTTTGTAAATTTGGTAGAAGATATGTTCTACCAAAAACAAAGTTTTCTACATGTTCTAGAATTTGTTGTCTACGAGAAACACAGCCTTCTACGCAGGCGTAGATTTCGTATTCTGTTACACACATTATCTCTTACCATCCGTAGAGTTCAGTTTCTACTAAAAACCACTTTTCTACCATGTTGGTAGAGGTCGTGTTCTTCTAGAAATCAGTCTTCTACTAAATGTACCTGGATGAACGTAGATATGAAGATGCAAGCGGAATGGTTCTGTTGTCACCTGCAATTTTTAGGAAAATTAGGCCAAACCTATCTTCACAATGTCAACAGATAATTAACAAAAAGAGATGAAAAAGCGTTTGAAGTTTTAATCAACAAATAGGTGAATCTAACATTGTCATAGATTGAGCAAACAATATACCCTATGGTAGCTTATGACTAAGCTATCATCAAACAATCTAACAAACCTTAAGCGAAAGCTAACAGAAAACTCAACATGCAAATTAAGCTTGATAGCCTATCTAAGTAAAACCGAAATCAACTTAGTCACAAACAAACTCGAGATGCAAAATAAGCTTCAAACACAATCTAAGTAAAACCCAAATCGAGTATGAGAAAATTGGCAAAGCTTAGTTGGGTTTTAAGAAAATCAAGCTTAGCTTAGATCAGTTTTGAAACAAAAGCCTAAATCAAACCTAAGAAAAACGCAAATCAACTTTCAGACGAAAGCCCCAAATCAATTTTCAAAAAAAAGCCCCAAATCAATTTGAGATTGTGAGACACAACAATATTGAATTCCTCACTTGTCACCAGAGACGGAAGAGAAGGCAACGACGGAAGAGACGGCAACGGCGAAAGAGCGTTGCCGGAGAACGAACGAGCTCCGACTGTCGGAGAAGAAGAGAAGAACAATTTCGGAAAAGACGTATATCGGAGAAGATAAGAGTGAGAGTTGTCGGGGAAAAAGAGTTGTGTTATCCTTTAATAAATTAATCAATTTGAAGGGCAAATTTGGATTATAAGTTAAGAAACGTGTATTGTGACAAAAATCTGTAAAAATTTCACAAAAATGTGTATTGTGACAAACTCTTTTCCAAAGCTGTGTATTTTGCCAATTTTCTCTTTTTTTTTTGTAAATCGAAACATATAAAAGCAAAACGAATAAAAATATTTCGAGAAAAGTCACTGAATATTTGGCATTTATCTCTCATTGGTGATCTCTCATCGTTTAGTTTTGACCAAATTGTGATGTTGGAGTGTCCAACCCAGAAGACAATACGAACCATTATATCAAGTTTCCAGTTTGCACTTAAGTGGAATAAACTGACTACACAAAACAATGCTTTCAGTCTGCGAATATTCTGATGCAGAAGTAAAACATAGCAAAAAAACATGATCAACAAAGTACAGAGGAAGCAGATTTACAACGAATCATTTTCCGGGCTGAGATGGTCTCGCGGCGGCCGGGCTGAGATCTTACCGGACAAAATCATTTGAGGCGAATTTGGACCCCATGAGCAGACTTTGTCCAAACCTATCATCCCAGATTTGGTAGTTCACTTCTCACTTTTGTTCGATATGAGGAGACGCATGTATGAGCGGGTTTGTCCGAAACAATAAACCTTCGTTCATGTTTTTGTGTGCCGGCCTTCGCTTGCTTTTCTCTCGGTTGCAGGAGAAGATAGCTGAATGGGTTAGGAATCGACGAAGACATTAAAATCTGAGATCATTAAAAAAGTGATATAGGAATCAACGAAGAAGAGGAACGGTCCAAGGAACGTTTCAGCTAAAAAATCTTCACATTTGCACCCAAAAAAATAACATAGAAAGTTGAAGTTATATTGTCACTATGGACCAATAAAAGCCCAATTTGATTGAAGAAAATAATTGAAAGCCCAGACCTTAAACCCCTCCATCGCCTGAAATTGATTTGGGGACGTCACTCGAACATTAACCTACAGAGATGGCGAAATGGTTGTAGATCCGCGGCGGAGGTAGCTGATCTTCCGGCTTATTCATTCGGTTGATCGGTTGATCCGCGGTCGGTGTTTGCATCAGTACGATATAGGTGATACCACGTGAGGCCACCCGCCGAAGAGTATCGGCTCAGGATCGGACGATCGGCCGGATTCCCGCCGTGGTTTTCCCTGAGTCGCTTCTCGACACTGAAGCTTTGAAGGGAGGGGCTTCGAGGAAGCAGATGTTAACGACATATAGGAGGCAGATTAAGTCCATTTTAGACACTGTTGGTCTACCATTCTTCTGTTCGACCACATTCAAGCTCCAGATCCGAGGTGGGCAGGATTTGTCCGGAAGCCCCTTGATTGTGAAGCTGTGCGATCCGTTTATTGTTTGTGTCACGGAGAGAGAAGTCATTGTCGGTGGCGATCGCGATGGCGACGGCGACGGAACCCTAGACATTTTTGTTCGATTATGATTATTGTCTTTAATTGTTTTTTTTTTAAATAGAGTAAATTCAACGATTTTTTTTTAAATAAATGGGACGATGCCACGTGGCAGTTTGGTAGAAAATGGGAAAAAGCGTGGCAGAAATCTGGAGAGAGTTATTCTCTCGCGTTGTTATATATAAGATTTAATAAGATTATATATCTCTAGGTTCTTTCACTTTCTTCTACGTTCCATTTTGTTCACTTGCAATCTTCTTCAAATTTAATTTCAACAAAAACTTCACTGCTTAAACTAACCACAAACGCATAATCGATCAGATCAATATTTTTAAAAAGATTGTACTCGGTAGTATTCATTGTAAAAAAAAACAACCAAAAAAATGAGATCGTCATTTGTATTTCGTTTGGAGTCTCATATACTTCCGAACTGAGCATGAGAACAGGAAACTCCCATCCATCTTTTGAATGACTTCTTCTTCTTCTTCTTCTTCTTCTTCTTCTTCTTCTTCTTCTTCAAGTGTTTGTTTCTTCCACTCCACTTTACCAAACGATTCAGACAGTCTTCAACCTACGTCATTAAGATCATGAACTATAAGTCTATTAATAACAAAAATTTGATAAAACGTATACAACAAGAACTTTGTTTTTGTAACAAACAGATACATCTTAGCTTACAAAATTGTAGCCATTCATTCTTTTATTCTAATCTTCTCCGCCAAACATAGTCAAACACCTAGTAAAAGTTAATATTAATTAATATTTTGATAAATCTCTATTCAATGAGCAATGAAGTGAGCAAGTTCATATCACTGTATATTGTTTTTTCTTTTCCTTTCTTCATTAGTAATTTAACCAGAGTCTTTTGTAGTGTGGTACTTTCTTTCCAACATATGGATTAGTAACATAATTCATAAATATATGATTTCACAAGCAAAAAAAAAACTTAACTTAGAACAAACGTTGCTCACTCAATTAAATAATAAAATAAAAATCCAATAAGATGATTAGAACTAGCTCTCTTACAATGCTTTGAGTTATGTTGTCCTAAACACTCCCCCAAACTTCACATCCTCTACATGATCTAGAAAAGTGTGAACCTTGCAAGGATTAAACGCATCCATTCCTTGGATATAACCTTTTGTGAAAGTGTTTCTCTCGAGATTGTAGTAGATAAGGAAAAATGGGTCAGATGAATGAGCAAAGACGATTTCACCTGTTCTGGTGACTCCAAGAATGCATAACTTGAAACCTGCAACTACATGGTTCCACAAAGCGGGCAGAACGAAAGTACGCGTCGACCATTCAAGTTTATTGGCATCTTCAAGAACGCACAACTCTAAACTCTTAGTTCTTCCAGAAATCTCATCAAACTCTTTGTCCCATTTGAGTGTAGCTAACTTACCCATGTAGTTTACCAACTTGGAAAGCACGACATATTTTTTGATCAACTCAAACTTCTCAGACCTAATATCAAAGCAAACTATCCCATATCGCCTTTCAAACCCGTAGACCACAGCTACATAATACAAAAAACCATTGATACATATCCCCTCACATAGAGGATAATGACGTAAGCTACACTTGATCATTCTCCATGACAGTTTCTCAGTTCCTCCTAATGTCAGAACTTGATGCTGCTAGGTTTGTTCCAAATCTTGACCTTGGCATCGACAAAACCTTGAATTGTTTATCAATTGGCTCATACCCTAAAAAGCTGCTCACATTAGATCTCGATGTCCTCACTCTTGGTGAGGTTAAGGATTGTCCCGTGTTAGGGTTACATATCACCACCACCCTAATGTCCTTTCCATTTAAGTACCGCATATATTTAAGACAGACCAATCCATGAACAGGACGATTAAATTCTCCTAGCATCACCACTAAATTTGAAATTCAACTGATAATTGGCGGCTATAGGAGACGAGTTCTCATCCGGATCTTGAGGCTGAGACGATGAAAAGAAGCACACGTTACCGTCTTTTTTGCACGCGAACAAGAGCTTTGGTCGAGCCAAGGATCTGGTTAAAAGTTATCTTAACCATTCGCTACTTGATAAAATAACTTTTATCTGATCGAACATAAACGCTACTTGATAAAATAATTTTTATGTGATCCAACATATGTCTATTTAATGAGCAATGAAGTGAGCAAGTTCATATTTCTCTATACTGTTTTTTTCAATAGTAATTTAACCAGTCTTTTGTAGTGTGGTCCTCTCTATCCAACATAGATTAGTAACAGAAGATTCATGAAAATATGATTTAACAAAGTGGCTTTGTTTCTAAAAGCAAAAAAAAATAACTTAGAACAACCGTTACTCACTCAAGTAAAAATAAAAAACCAATAAGATGATTAGAACTAGCTCTCTAAGAAAGCTTGGAGTTATGTTGTCCCAAACACTCCACCAAGCTTCACATTCTCTACATGATCTAGAAAAGTGTGAACTATGCAATGCTGAAACGCATCCATTCCTTGGATATCAACTTTTGTAAGAGTGCTTCTCTCGGGATTGTAGTAGATAAGGAATAAAAGGTCGGACGAATGTAATCGAGAGAAGACGATTTCACCTCCTCTGGTGACTCCAACAATGTCCAACGTAACATCTGCAACTACATCGTTCCACAAAGCGGGCAGCACGAAGGTACGCGTCGACCATTCATGTTTCTTGGCATCTTCAAGGACGCACAACTCCAAACTATTACTTCTTACCATCTTAAAATCATCGTCCCATTTGAGTATAGCTAATTTACCCATGTAGTTTAACAACTTAGATGGCAAGAGTTGTTTTTCGATAAACTCGAACTTCTCAGACCTAATATCAAAGCAAACTATCCCATAACTGCTATGAAACCTGTCGACCTCAGCTTTATAATACAAAACACCATTGATACATATCCCATCACATAGAGGATAATGGGGTAAGCTACAATCAATCATTCTCCATGACAGTTTCCCAGTTCCTCCTAATGTCAGAACTTGATGGTGCTCCGTTGTCCTCCTGTTTCTTCCAGACCTTAACTTTGTCATTGACAAGACCTTGAATTTTTTATCAACCGGATCATACCCAAAAAAGCTGTATACATCAATCCTCACTGTCTTCACTTTCGGTAGGGTTAAGGATTGCCCTGTGCTAGGGTTGCATATCTCCATCACCCTCTCCTTCGTTCCCTTCTTATAGTACTTAAGAATGATCAGTCCATGAACAGGACGAGAAAGTTTCCTAGCATCACCACAAAATTTGAAACTCAACTGATAATCGGCGGCTATAGGAGACGAGTTCTCATCCGGAATTTTAGGCTGAGATGACGAAAAGAAGCACATGTTACCGTATCTTTTGCACGCGAACAAGAGCTTTGATCTGGCCGATATCGAGTCTGTGAAATGTGGAAGGCGAATCATGGAGTCCCATAGCTTCGATACGCAACGACAACTCGCAATGGATGCCACCGGCAGTTTCAAGAGTATCTCGATAATGAGATCAATCGGGATCGACTCAGCTGAGTTTTCTCCTTTGTTCGCTAAGGTTGAGGATCGTTTATTGCGCGGGGAGACGGTTTGAAGATCCTCCAAGACGTTCTGTCGCCGCCGAGAGACGGTTAGAAGATCTTCCGAGACGTACTGCCGCCGCCGTGTTTTCATGACGGTTACACAGTGTGAAACCCTAGAATCGCTTTACAAAACGAATCCTTCGACTTTTTGTTTTTTTTTGGAATATTTGAAAATGTGAGATAGTGTTGTAGGAAAGATATTGAAATTACGTAAGTTTAGGCCCATAATAGCTCAATTACAAACCCAATTCTGTGTAAGAGTCATAATTAAGATCATGAGATTTGGCCATGTCTCTCTTCTTAAGCAAACCGTAATTAACACTAATATGATACTTATGAAGATAATGCAACACCAATTTGTAAAATGTAAATAACACTAACCATCTCTTACGTATGTGTTCTATTTTCTGACCATTTTTTTTTTTTTTTTGTTAAAGCTGTTTGCTAAACATAAAATCAACCAATGCTTCAATTATATAAATATATTCTTTTTATTTATCTGTCGATATCAAACCTCAAAGGCTCAAATCTGTCACTGGATTTAACGAGGGGAGATAGGCACAGGCTCTTGTCATATACTTTCAATCTAAACTGTAACTTTTTTCGTTTAACAACAAACTCTACGTGATAAGCTAATTTTTTTTAAAGAAGAATGCCCAAAAACAAGATATTTAAAACGATTGTACTCGGTAGTATTCATTGAAAAAAACTAAAAAAATGAGATCGTCATTTGTATTTCGTTTGGAATCTCATATACTTCAGAATTGAGCATGAAAACAGGAAACTCCATCCATCTTTTGAATGACTTCTTCTTCTTCTTCTTCTTCTTCTTCTTCAAGTGTTAGTTTCTTCCACTCCACTTTACCAAACGCTTCAGACATTCTTCAACCTCCGTCATTAAGATCATGAAGTATAAGTCTTTTTTTGTGTGTGCAAAATGCTAATTTCATTAAATCTTAACCGGTGTCTTTTTTCGCGAGACGATCACCGATTACATTGGTGTCTCTTGACACATAGAGAAAACTGATTTCAGTGAAAGAGGTTGATAGATCTAGGATATCGTGAAGAATCCCATGGAGTTCCTTATGCGGAAATCCTCCCTTGAGTGCTTTGAAGCAACTGAGATGTGTGTGAAACAAGGTTGTTGGGCTTGTTGTAAAGCTTTGTGGACTGCGATTGCTTCCGCCATTTGTGCCGATCTGATGGTGGTTTCCGCGGTGGATCCGTGGTTCCTTCGCTCTCCTCCCCTGCTGCTGAAGACCCAGCCAAATCCCGCCGTCTTCCTGTCTTTGTTCCAGGCTGCATCTGTGTTGCATGTCACTGTGGAGGGATGGTTCTTGTGTCGCGCTGGCGGTTTTTTGTTGTAGCGTCTTTGGTCTGTGCAGCTTGCCATTCCCTTGCATTACAAAGGGCTTGTGTTGCCGTTTCCTCTGGGATGAGCTGTAGGGCGTTGAAGATTCTCTGTTGAAGTATAAGTCTATAGATAACGAAAATTTGATAGAAACATAGACAACAAGAAATTTGTTTTTGTAACAAACAGATACATCTTAGCTTAAAAATGGTAGACATTCATTCTTTTATTCTAATCTTCTCCGACAAACATAGTCAAACACCTAGTAAAAATTAATATTTATATTTCTATAATCTCTATGTGATCGAACATATGTCTATTCATTGAGCAATGAAGTGAGCAAGATCATATTACTTTATACTGTTTTTTCTTTTTTTATTCTTCATTAGTAATTTAACCAGAGTCTTTTGTAGTGTGGTCCTTTCTTTCCAACATATAGAATAGTAACATATAATTCATAAATATATGATTTCACAAGCAAAAAAACTTAACTTAGAACAACAGTTGCTCACTCAGTTAAAAAATAAATAAAAAATCCAAGCAGATGATTAGAACTAGCTCTCTTACAACGCTTTCGAGTTATGATGTCCTAAACACTCCCTCAAGATTCACATTCTCTACATGATCTAGAAAAGTGTGAACTATGCAATGCTTAACCGCATCCATTCCTTGGATATCAATTTTTGTGAGAGTGTTTCTCTCGAGATTGTAGTAGATAAGGAAAAATGGGTCCATTGAGTGAGACAAGACGATTTCACATCTTCTGATGACTCCAACAAGGCATAACTTAGCATCTGCAGCTATATCGTTGCACAAAGCGGGCAGCACGAAGGTACGCGTAGACCATTCATGTTTTTTGGCATCTTCAAGAACGCACAACTCAAAACTCTTACTTCTTACCATCGCAAAATTCTCGTCCCATTTGAGTATAGCGAATTTATCCATGTCCGTTGACAAGACTTGGTTTTCGATAAACTCGAACTTCTCAGACCTAATGGCAAAGCAAACTATCCCATAACGCTTTTCAAACCCGTAGACCACAGCTTTATAATACAAAACACCATTGATACATATCCCATCACATAGAGGAAAATGGTGTAAGCTACACTTGATCATTCTCCATGACAGTTTCCCAGTTCCTCCTAATGTCAGAACTTGATGTTGCTCGCACATGTTTCTTCCAGACCTTGCCCTTGTCATGGACAAGACCTTGAATTGTTTTTCTATAGGGTCAAACCCAAAAAAGCTTCTCACATTATCCCTCGTTGTCTTCACTTGCGGTATCTATGTAATACCTTTTTTTTTAGTTAAGTGGAATACCTTTCACTTTCTTCTACGTTCCATTTAGTTCAGTTTTTATTCATTTATTTATTAACTTTCAATCTGCTTAAAATTTAATTCCAACGAAATGTAGACGACAAAAAAAAAAAAAAAAAAAAAAATACTAACCACCAACGGATAATCGATCAAATCAATATTTTAAAAAATCATTCGTTAAAACAAAATAAAAAACTGAAAACAAAAAAAAGAGAGAACGTTTTATTTGTATTTTCGCTTCAGAATTGGGCATTGAGAACACGAAACTCCGTCTTATTTGATGAATTACTCTTCTTCTCCAAGTGTTTGCTTCTTCCACTTTACCAAACGCTTCAGAAATTCTTCAACCTACATCATTAATAAAGGTCATGAGATTTGGTCATATCTCTCTTCTAAAACAAACCTTTACACGAAAATGAAACTTATGAAGATAATGCAACACCAATTTGTAAAGATCTTAGGTTGGATTGGATTTCCCATTTAAACACTGTTTAAATAGTCGTAATCTATGAAATACAGTGATACAGTACCTGAGATGGATCTTGAAGAGAGTAAGAGGCGTTAGTTTCCCTTTCAGTTTTTGAGACAACAATCCCTAAACCTTGTCCTCTTTCACGTAAAACCTATAAAATGATTACGGGGTCATAATTATTCATTTCGAGAAATATTAGCTGATGACTAAAAATGTTTATTTTTTATTTTTATAGAACCATAAAAAAAAATCCAAATTCAACAAAAAAGAGAAGAAGAAAAAACCATAATCTACGTAAAAACCAAACCCACCGTAAACATATACTAGATATAAACCCATAAACTATAATCTACCTAAACATATACTAGAGATAAACTCATAATGAAGGCCTTTTAACAAAAAAAAAAAAGATATAAACTCATAAACTATGATTGATAATCTACATAAAAGAAAAAATAATAGAATGCATGCACATCCGAAAGAAAAGAAAAGAGCCACACTCGCGGTACGGTGTTATTTTGATTCAACATACCTTAAAAGCATCTTCATCAGTACGATCATCGCCAATGTAAATTGGTAAAGCATCTTTAGATTCTGCTATATCTATTTTGATTGAACCAAGCATAATGTCAAATTAACGGATTTAAACAACATCACCAAAGTATGAATAATGAAAGTCAAATCTTCAGCAAAAAAAAACCACACCTAATGAGTTTAACAAAAATTCGAGAGCCTTTCCCTTGTCCCATTTGATGGAAGGTCGGAGTTCTAACACCTGCTTTACCGAATGATTTATTCATTAAATACATTATTAAACTAATCGTCAACTAAACATCATATTAACATTTGATTAACAAAAACATCAAATGTTACCTTTCTGCCTTGCGTCAGCCTCAATTTCGGATAATCAATGAGAACCGATTTCACTTGCTCAGCTAATGCAGCCCATCCCTGTTGAGCATAAGCATATTCAAATCAACTATTCTTTCGATTAAAAAAATGTCAACATTTATCTGCGAAAATGATTAAATAGCAAACAAATAGGTAAATCAATAGCATAAATTAATATATTTGAACTTATATATAATATAATGTTTTTAGTATAACCTATGAGCACAATTATTTATTACGATTTCACTCTCGCATCATTTTGCAAATAAATGACCAACATATATGGTCACCTAGCATAACAATTAACAAGTTTACCCTAATTCTAAAAGTTGGATTCTTAAAAGGGCGATGTTTTATGTCGAAAAATAACATAAGCAAAATGTTCTCGTAGACCATCCTCTTGTTTAAATACGTTTTAACTTTCTGTGAATGTAAATATTTTTTATTGAACCTGCTCATCAACGCGGCGGAAATGTACGGAAAGACAAAACTTGTTGTGCTCCACCGTAGCTCCATGGAACGATTTTGTCTTTTCCTTTAAAATATCAACCACCTGAAAATCGAATAGTAAAAGAAAAAGTTGTGCTTAGTTCATCACAATTCGATATAACACGTCATTAAGAACGTTAAAGATTATGTAATTACAAATGCACCTCGTCGATCATCGGTAAGAAGTCACTTGCAGGTTGAAACATCACTTCTTGGTTAGTCTACAATGATTTCTTTAATCAGAAACCTTATCAAACAAATTCTCTCAATGTTCTTGCAACGTAACGTAGACGGTAAAAACCTGATCGATATTGGTCGGACCCTTAATGTCCATGCCGTGGCTCCCGGCGTAGTGAATCCCCGGGAGTTTCACAAAATTCTGTACCTGAGAAAAACAAAAAAAAGGCATATCACATGAATTAATTTCTTATACCATTCAAATCAATTTATTGTTATATGTAACACGGAGCAAAATTAAATTACTTTGTCTGTGCTTCTTCCGCTGATGATCGCTGTCTTGAAATAGATAGCCACTTCGTTTACAACTTCTCGCATCTGTAAAATATACATTAGTTCAAGAACTAAACTCAAACTATATATTGTCAGTTATTTAAACCCACAAGATAATTAATCAAGTAAAAGAAAATTATGGAACATGACATGGAGCAAGCTCGAGAAGAACCTCATCTGTTATGTAGGCTTTATCGTGATCCTCAGTGATTAGTGAGAGAGTTCCGTCGTAATCAAGAAACATCACAATTTGTTTGCCTTCCGCATCACTAATGATTTTGTCGAACATATCCAAAGCCGAAGGATGAAGAGCCTAAAAACATGATATAACAATATTACATGTATAATGTGTTAGATAGATTATCAAATCTTGTAAAGAAAAAACATCTTGTGATAGTCATACTATGATCCAACATCTATTACAGAATCTAAGGAAACTAGAATTAGCTATGTCAATCGATAGAAGAAAATGATAAATGAAATGTATGATACAAATAAATTAGACACGCATATTACAATAACTACAAACTAAAACTATATATCAAAACTAAAAAAAAAAAAAAAAAAAAAAAAAAAAAAAAAAAAAAAACATTAAAAGTTGATAGATGAACACCAGAGATAAGAACATTACATTTGAAAGATCAAAGCTTAAATGAAAAGAGAACATGTTTTTTTTTTCAATCATCGATACGAAAATGAGTTTAATAAAACTGTTTGTTCGTAATTATTATCAATCTGTGAGGATAAAAGTGAAAATCAAATAACAGATGATCATTTTGAAAACTATACATAATATATACACATGCACAAATTCTGAGAATGGCCACAGAAGCAATCGAGGTTATAAGGGGTCATGTTAATAACGTACAATCCACGAGCTTCTCTCGCCATCGTTCTCAGCTTCACCAGAGGAGGATGATCTGACACGTGTCGGAGATAAATCCCTCATTGAATCGACCAGAGTCTCGATCTTACCAGCAACACCCATGATATTCGTCTTGAGAGAGGTAAGATGATGTTTAACAGAATCGGATGCTAAAAAGCTACCGTAATCTTGATTTATAGACGGTGGAATTTAGTAAATGAGAGTCAAGTAAAGACTTTGGTAGTATATTCATGTATCTTGGAACTATTTATATTGACATCTTAGTTTAGAAAGTTAGTAACTGAGAGTCAGTCAATTCAAAACTCTCATTTCTTTGAATAGGATTTTAGTAAATGAGAGTCCATATATAGGATTTGCCTCAGAAAATGGACTTTCCAATCTTGTTACTTTTAAAATATTTGACCATTATGAAGAATATTTAAGAATTGTGTGGAATCCACTGATTCAACATCACCTCTCTCACCAAAAGAGAGAAACAAAATAAAAGAAAAAAACTTTCCCTCTAAAAAATTTGTCACCAATTGAAGCAAAATTAGATGAGGAAGAAACATGATCATATGAACATTTATTTTGACAAATATTTGGGCCTTTATATGGGCTATAACGATTTCATAGCCCAAACCCAAAAACATAGAAGACCAAAGGCTCAGTTTGCAATTATCAAAAGTACAAATACGAATACCGTATACGACGCCGTATTGGCTTTCGTCTCCAGATTCTCTTCCTTAATTTGGAAGAGAGAAGAAGAAAAAACCAGAAGAAAATTCCGCGAAAATAGATACAGAGAGACTCTCGTTGACGCATCTAAAGGTCAAAAGAGGTGATTGCCCGTTGAATCATCTCCTTCTCCCGTTGAATCGGTCAAAAGATTTCAACTATTAGCGAAACCCTAGCCACCGAGGAGATAGGGGAATGATGAACAGATTGCGGAATCTGGACGCTTACCCTAAAATCAATGAAGATTTTTACAGGCGTACACTTTCTGGTGGTGTCATCACCCTCGCTTCTTCCATCGTCATGCTAATTCTCTTCTTCTCCGAGCTTCGTAAGTCTCATTTCGATCCAATCTTATTCGTGGTTAGCTTAATTAAGCTTAAAAAGGTCGATTTTTTAAGGATTTTGAAGCTCGAAAGTTTTGTAATTTCTTCGTGGGTTTCATCGTATCATCTCGCTAATGGCGGAATCAAACATTGTTTGTGAATTCGAAAATGTTTGATTTGTGTGCTTTCTGGTTTTTAGAGCTTTACATCCACCCGGTTACCGAGACTCAGCTCCGTGTTGATACATCAAGAGGAGAGAAGCTACGCATCAATGTAAATATTTGATTTTTTGATTTTGAGTTGCAAGATTGTACTTGTTTCTGTGAAGAAGGCGCCTTTATGAAGTTAACTGTATACACTTTGCAGTTTGATGTTACATTCCCTGCGCTTCAATGCTCGATTATCAGTATTGATACCATGGATATCAGCGGAGAGAGGCACCTTGATGTGGTATGTGCTCTGGTGGATTCGAGTTTTGATTTCAAGTGGGAGATTTCTGTACGCTTTGTCTGATTTTCGTTTCTGCTCGTTTACATGTTGTAGCGACATGATATTTTTAAAAGAAGATTAGACTCTCATGGCAATGTCATCGAGGCAAAGCAAGACGGAATTGGTCATACTAAGGTTAGTTTTTTTCTTCAAAGGTTCCGACCTTTTTTCATTTTTATTGCAAGGAAGTCTTAAGAAACTTAAAGTGTTGAACTTTTTCCTAATGTTATCGTTTCTCTTTGTCAGATTGAAAAACCTTTACAGAAACATGGTGGAAGGTTGGAGCACAATGAAACATATTGTGGTTCTTGTTTTGGAGCCGAGCCGGTAAGCCTCTCCCTTTATCAATCGAATAATATGCTCTTACATGCGATATTGGAATTTTCAGTTGCAGTAGGAAATCTTCAACAGAGTTCTTTAGTTTTATTTCAGTTATTTTACGTTTTTGGTTTCTTCTATGGTAGTGAAGTGTTTTGATCCTGTTGTGGTTTTCATTTTGTACACTTTACAGACGGATGATGCTTGTTGTAATTCATGTGATGAAGTTCGTGAAGCTTACCGAAAGAAAGGTTGGGCCCTCTCAGACCCTGAATCAATCGACCAGGTACATAATGACATACCTTTAATAAGCACAAAATTTTGTTGATCTTGTTACTTAGTTTGAAAGAGGTGACAACGTCGTTTCCATATCAGTGTAAAAGAGAAGGCTTTGTGCAAAAGGTCAAAGACGAAGAAGGCGAAGGTTGTAATCTTCACGGTTTCTTGGAAGTTAACAAAGTCGCTGGGAACTTTCATTTCGTTCCTGGGCAAAGCTTTCACCAATCCGGTTTTCAGTTCCATGATATGATCTTGTTCCAGCAAGGCAACTACAACGTAAGAGAAGCTTCCTTCTTGTTTCAATCCCTCAAGTTTCAAATGGGTCTGACTCCATTGTATCTCTTCACAGATAAGCCACAAAGTCAACAGGTTGGCCTTTGGGGACTTTTTCCCCGGCGTAGTCAACCCTCTAGATGGGTAAAAACTTCTCCCTCTCTCCCGAACCTGTTATGGCTTTTCCAATCATCTTGTATCTTCTGAAACGTTCTCTTGTTTCTTATAGTGTGCAGTGGCATCAGGAGAAACAGAATGGCGTGTATCAGTATTTCATCAAGGTTTGCTTCCGTTTTTACATTATTTCTGTAGATGACATTTCTCACCTGTGACAATATTGTTGCTCAAGATGGCATGTTTAGTATAAGTGATAAAGAAATGGACTTTGGTGTTGGGAATTGCAGGTGGTACCAAGCATATACACTGATGTTCACGAAAATACTATTCAGTCAAACCAGGTGAAGCTACAATCTTTAAAATATTAACTTTTCATTTGTGTGTGAAATGTGACAAATGTGTTTTTGGCAGTTCTCTGTGACAGAACATTTCCAGAACGCGGAAGCAGGTCGCATGCAATCGCCGCCCGGTGTTTTCTTCTACTATGATCTTTCACCAATTAAGGTATGTATTGTGTTTTGGTGTTTGTGTTTAATCCTAAACGAGATATTGTCTCTGAAATCGTTTTGATTGTTGTCAAGGTGATATTTGAGGAGCGGCATGTGGAGTTCTTGCACTTTTTAACAAATGTTTGCGCTATTGTTGGAGGTGATCGCATTCAGCAATATATATCTCTCTCTCTCTCTTCTTCCTTCAGATGAACATACTTTCATTTACATAATTTGCGTACAAATCTTGGATTTTTACAGGTGTCTTCACGGTATCGGGGATAGTAGATTCGTTCATATACCATGGACAACGAGCAATCAAGAAGAAAATGGAGATTGGTAAATTCAACTGAGAGTATATTCTCCACAGCAGAATCTTCTCGACGGGTTTTACAGTTAGACATTAGGTTCGATGATTGGTTGATTTCAAGAATTTTTGCAGTACTGTAACATATTGAACAAGGATCTGAGAAACTTTTTACACTTATCCCTTTCGTTGTGTATCTCTTCCTCTGGCAAGGTAAAAAAAAGTGAAATGATGTTGTGATTTCTCCAATTCAAACGACATGTTGTGAGTTTTCCTTCAATTTTTTTTTTTAAACACACAAAAATTATCACTGTTAACGTGACTGCGAATGAAAATAGCTATTGTTTGATGTTTTTGGTTGTTACTGTAAGGGTTATTTACAGAATATGCCATAGTTGAAAATTTTGAAATTATGGGACCAGAGGCATGATTATTTAGCCTTTCGTGATCCCATATGGTGTGAGTGTGTATGCTACGTAACAAAAATCAATAATTTTCTAATCAGTTCTTAATAAACAATTAAATTGTATTAGTTTCACACTTTACTACTTTAGTGCATCTTACTACCAAACGAATTATTCCACAAGTTTTCTTTTCTTTTATTTTTTCCTTTTTGCGCCAAACTAGTAAATATTGGATTAAGTTTAATTGTTCAAAATTTAAAGCTAAGAAATACTTTGAATTAAGCGAGTAAACTACAAAATAAATTAAAACAGAAAGTAAAAAAACCTCGCACGGTCGAGCATGACAAAAAATTTCAGCTTCGACCGACGCAGAGAGTAGTAATTTACATTATGTTACATCAACTTATCAATATTTTACACAGAGGCCCCTAATAATAATTAACTTACTGTGTCTCCATGCAATGACCAAAAACTCCATTGCAGAGACACCTCTATTTTCCCTAAAATACCACTATGGTATCCACTAATTACAAGAATGCCCCCGGTTTACGTAGACAGGATCGACTCCCAGTCGATCTCGTACGACGGATACTTCTCCAACGCAAAGTTCTCGTTCCACGATGGCTCCTCCTCCGTGTCGGCGAACGTCAGATCCGACAACGGGGAAGAATCTCCGGATCCGAAGCTCTCCGTCGACGGTGGAGATCCGGCGCTAGAGTAATCCTCTGATTTGACTTCCTCCGTCAGATCTGGACACGAATTGACCTCCGGTTGTTTCGCGACGGCGGCGGTGGACGAACGTTTCCTGGAAGAAGACTTCTTCGTTGATTTCCCCTGTTTTTGCGTCTCGGCTAAGTTTTGGCAGATTGCTTCAAGCTTAGCGTCGACTGAGGACTGAAGAGGTTGGTACTCGCCGATGTTGGATCCGTTGTGACGGAGGTTCGGGAAATTGAGCCGGGCGAAATCGCCGCGCAGCTTATACGCCGCCTTGTCATAGGCCAACGCAGCTTCCTCCGCCGTATCGAATGTTCCGAGCCAGAGCCGAGTTCGGTTCCTGGGTAAACGGATCTCAGCGACCCATTTTCCCCAGTGACGTTGTCTCACTCCTCTGTACAGCTTCATCGGCTTCGGAGCAGCACCGGATTGCTTCATCGGAACCGGTTTGGGGCCGAGAAGGTTCGAGAAAGAGTGGATCTGCTGAAGATCCGATCCGTACGAACAGACGTTAGGGTAAGATCCGGCGAAGGAAGATAAAGGAGGAGGAAGAGAGAACGGCGACTGAAACGCAAACGCAGACGCGGACGATGGAGAATCAGAGGAAGGGCTTTTGATAAAAGGTAAAAGCGCTTCCATTAATTCACCACCGAAAGGATCAGATTGTTGAAACGTTTTGCTACTGTAGAAATCCATAGCAGTTGCCATCGCAATTTTCTTTGTTAAAAAAATGAATTCGAGAATTTTCCTAGTTCTTATCAAAAGTAAAGAACAGGACTTTGTTCAAGAAATTCGAAAATAAAAAGATTTTTAGATCGAAGAGGTCTTTAAATAAACAACCTCTTTGCAGATCTGAAAGGAGGGAAATAAAAAAAATACCCTCACAAACGATTTAAATCTACAGAAAAACAAGAAGATCAAAAATATAAAAAAAGATTGATCTCTGTTCTGAAAATACCTGACTTTTCAATTAAATCAACAGATAAAAGATTCAAATCCAGTTTAAAGTTTAAACTGAGAAATCGGTTCTCTTTTGTACTTTTTGAAAGACAGATTATTAACAGAAACGGATCGAAGAAGCGGGAAAAGTAACAGATCACAGGAAGGGATGGATTTGCACAAAAGTAAAATTCAAGAAGAGTGAAAAAAAATATACAAATAATTTTGATCTTAGCAACTTTTTTTTTCTAATTAGAGAATGCACTCAAGTGTTTTTTTTTTTGTAAATGAATAACTCTCAGCCTCACCGATACACTTAACTCAGTAGCTGGGGTCTCCTTATATAGGAGGCGTGGCGTGGCGTGGCGTCAATTTTCCAGATTATTTACCACTAATATTTTTTTTTTGGTCCACCTCGTATTTCTCCAATTTATTAATCTGAAATACGTCTTACACCTCCTTTTGTTTTTGTTTTTGTTTTTGTTTTTCTATCTCAATACATCGAATACTTCTTGTTAAAGATACTGGCTGTCGACAAAAAATAATTTTTAAAATTGCAGCGTATCAGTTACTGAATTGGATGAATATATCTTTTATTTATTTGTTGGTTCAAAATCGGATGAATATATCAAAACGGGAAAAAAAAAATTGTATAGTATGAAAGTAAGCAAGGAAAATTATCCGGAGATGCCCGAGTGTGACGCACGTAGACTTGCATGATTGTTATTTGAAAAATAATTTCGCAAAGTAATGATGTGATCAATTGTAATGGGTGGTTTAGACTTTTTAAACACAAAAATCAACACAAGGATTAGAAAGAAGGATCTAGAGGATTAGAATGAATGGCTGAGAAGTCCTCGTGTATCTCTCTCTACCGTATTACATCATGCATCCATTTAATTAGTATTAAGCATTTCATCATCTTACGGTATTATCGACTCACGTAACTTATAAATTAATTGCTTCGTGTATAATCAATACGGCGTCAACTTGAGGAAGATTGCAAGATTGATGACCTAAATTATTGAATTTCGACAAACACACTTTGGTTTCATAATTTTAAATTTGATTTAACCAATACTTTTGAAATAAAGCTATTATGATAAGATGATAACTTTGAATGGACGACGCATAGAAGGACTGAAAGAGGCAACCCCATGTGTGTAGCTCGTGCCCGTGTTACCAGTTCACCGTTACGATGCTGGTTTAATCCCAACCTACACACATGGGCTGTGATATATTTTATTCTTCCTTGTTCTACGAACATTGCATACGTTTGAAATCTTCAACTAATTAGCACAATATTGTTCATTACATGAACATACCCCAATATATAACAAAATATAGCCTAGTTAGAAGAAATCCAAACCATATTCCAAGACGCATCTTTGGGTTTTTTTTTTTTTTTTTTTTTTGTGAAAGGCATCTTTAGTTTATGAAATATCAATGTATAGATCATCATCTAGAGAGAAAAAAAAATCCCTAAGTTGCATACAATATATCTATAGGAAACTATAAACTACTCAACTTATCATCAATCAGTCACTTTCTCGTTTTCTAATTATAACGTCCTATCTCCTACGCATGAGAAGAAAAAGAAAGGAAAAGCAACAAAATCTTCTACGCATAATCGTAATTGCCGAGGTGTCAACAATCAAAATGAAATAGTCAAACTGCAAAACCATTACTCAAGTTTTTAGCTGTCTTTATAACTGACAGCCATTTGCCATTTATTTTTCTCCATCCCCATTATTATAATTTTTTTTGTCCAGATATTTAATCATTCATGTAGTATATATGTACACGCAAAAAAAGAACTCTGGCATTATTAAACTTTCTTTGGGGGTAAATGACTGACATTTTAATTTATTCCTTAACATGTCTATAAGTAGTCATCTGATACTCAGATACTTTGCATCTAAATCAAGTAATACATACAGTATCATTTTTAAAGAAAACATTGAGAAATAATTATAAAGTTGGACCAAAAAGAGAAGTAGATCCGATTTTGTGACTAAATGGGTCGAAAAGGCAAAGAATGTGGCAGGTGAATCTAATTGGATCTTTGCTTTTAGCATGAAACTGCGCGCGTGTGTGTGTCTCTCATCTTACTTTTTCCAGTTTAATGCTCGTAACGCGGTTTCCGTCAAACGCGTCCGTTATATCAGTTGAAGTCAAACTAACGTTCAAAATTTGCCACGTGTTGGCGGATGACGATTAAAGGGTCCATTTGTACTGTTATCAGTCTCAACGTGAACTCCACTTGTTAATGTCTTGGCCCTTTAAGTTTCTGAAGGGGTCATAGTATTATTATTTTATTTTTTTTTGTGGTAAAAATGTGAACTTTTTTTTTTGTGAACGATTTGTTCTTATCTAAGTTAATAATTATATTACTAATACAAAGTACAAAGTATTATAAGTAGGCAAATGAGTAAAATACAAATGCATGTGAAAATGCGTGTATGGGGTGAAGTGAATTACAAAATATATTTCACTAAATAATATTTTCGTTTTGGTAGTATCGAAAAGATGGTGTCGTTGTTTGGAGAGCAGTTGCACGTTGTTTTATGAGGGAAAGAGGAATTGCATGTGGATTTTAGGTGAATTGCACATAGTCCATTACGAAACTAAAGTACTATTGATTTTATTTTATAATAGATGATTTAGCTATATGAATGTAGTATTATTTACTTGCTACTGAATCATGTAGGATCATATCGAAATTGTTCCAAAGTAATCAAACTGTAATAATAAAACCCCTTCAAAAACCCAGTGTACGAAAAATTATGGAAAAAAAAATATTATTACTTCTCAACTGATTATCAATTGGTTTTGAATTAAAGTTTCATAATTTCTTAAAAGCTCAGTGTACAAGTTGTTGTTTTTTTTTTGTTGAGAGAGTGAACAAAGCCACCAATAGTTATCCTGATAGTTTGTGCTTTGGCATAGAAAGAAGATGAGACTTTTAGTTAGTTAGTAACATAAATTTTCTTATGAATTAAAGTTTCATAATTTCTTAAAAGCTCAGTGTACAAGTTGTTGTTTTTTTTTTTTTGTTGAGAAAGAGTGAACAAAGCCACCAATAGTTATCTTGATAGTTTGTGCTTTGGCATAAAAAGAAGATGAGACTTTTAGTTAGTTACTAACATAAATTTTCTTACGGATAATATTCGACCGATCTAAAATCGAACAGAGAATCACGTGACAAAAGAAACATAAATCGAACGGCAAATCCGTCGCTAGAAAACGGTGACAAAGAAAAGAACAACACATGTAATGGGAAAAGAGAGTATTGGAAATTGGATAGACCAAATAATCTAAATGGGTTACAAGAGTCAAGACTAGGCCCATTAATCATGCAACATAACTAGTTGATGTACCTAAATATTTTTATCCTAGAATATTTCAATTTAAAAGATATCAACATTTCAACAATTATCTATTATCACCTTAGAATATTTTAAAATCAACAAAACAGTACTTTATATAAATAACTTAAATGCTTAACTAATTTAAAAGTTGTCAAATAGAAAAGAAAAAAAAACTTAACTGATCCAATAAAATTTTCCTTTTTGGGTATAGTGGAGTTGGTATGATGACAGGGACTTATGATATGGTTGGTAAATGTCAGATCGGTTAGACCGTCAACCAAAATGTCAAATCAAGAAGTCAATAACCGGGTTTAATTCCCGGTCCAATTCACAAAGTCCACGCTAGATAAAAAAAAAAAAAAAAAAGACAGAAATTGTCTGTGTCTTCCCTCAATCTCGCGTCACGTGTCTTTAGGCTCTCGTCACACTGTCCGTAACGTAGCCGCCTGAATTAAATCAAAATAGATCTTCTAGTTGTACTACTTTTCTTACAACGAGTCTTTGATTCTTTTAGACCGGAACTCAAAAGACTTGTCGGTCTCAGTTTTACGCTCTTTTTATTTCAAAGGTTTTGGGGTTTGACCCACTCCACTCGACCCCGATCTCATTTCTGATCGCTCCAATTCAACTTTTTTTTCATCCAAGTGAGCTTATGTTCTCTATTCTTTTAATTTCTGGATTTATGTTGATGATTCTAGTCATCTACGAGTACGATCAAGGTCAGACGTGTTAATCAGTTGTCAAAAATTCTAATTTTGATGTTTTTTTGTCCCTAGATTCGATGCGTAATTTGATCAGAAGAGCATTTCTTTTGTCTTAAATGTATCAAAAAGCGTGATTTGTATCTAATTAACATGATAACTAGCTTTACTTGCGGCTAAAATATATCTCTATTTAAGGCCTTTGATTTTGTATTTGCCATTTTTCTTCTGATTCATTTTGGTTGCACAGTTGCACCTTTTTCGTTCTTGAATTTCAGTAAAAACATGAGTTCTGATTCCAAGAAGTCGTCTCCTAGTGGATCTGAGAAGTCTTTGCCGCAAGAGGAGTATCTAAACAAGGTATATATACTAATGATGTTGGTAAAAGAGAAATCATTATGATTTGTGAATCAGTATTATACTTCCTCTGTTTCTATAAGATTAATGTTTTATGTTTTCAATGCTTATTTCGTTTAAATATTACTATTTGCCTGTTAATATAAAGATTGTGTTCTTTTAACAATTTATGAGCATAACAATATAGATAAATGAAGTGAGGACATTACTAGGACCACTGAATGAGAAATCATCCGAGTATTGTTCAGACGCTACCATCACACGGTACTTAGCTGCTCGTAATGGCCACGTCAACAAAGCAACTAAAATGCTTAAAGAAACCTTAAAATGGAGAATGCAATACAAACCGGAAGAGATTCGTTGGGTATGTATCCATGTTTGTATACATTCTTTGGTTTATATAAAGTGTTATTAAGTATATGTGAAATGGTAATTAGGAGGAGATTGCGAGAGAAGCTGAGACCGGGAAGATATACAGAGCGAACTGTACCGATAAGCATGGAAGAACAGTTTTGGTGATGAAACCAAGTAGCCAGAACACGAAATCTCCAAAGGGACAGATACGGTTCTTGGTCTACTGCATGGAAAACGCAATCTTGAATCTACCGGAAGACCAAGAACAAATGGTTTGGCTGATCGATTTCCACGGTTTCAACATGTCTCATATTTCAGTCAAAGTGTCTAGAGAAACTGCTCATGTGTTGCAAGAGCATTACCCTGAACGCTTAGGCTGTGCCATACTCTACAATCCTCCTAAGGTTTTCGAACCCTTCTATAGGGTAAGTTCTTCAATATCTCTCTCAATGCAAATCTTGAAATCTTGTTTGACAGAAAATGTAAATATGCAGATGGTGAAACCGTTTCTTGATGCAAAGACACGGAACAAGGTGAGATTTGTCTACTCAGATGATGAGATAAGCAAGAAGGTTCTTGAGGATATTTTTGATTTGGAGCAACTTGACGTTGCGTTTGGTGGGAGAAACAGCGATTCGAGTTTCGATTTTGAGAAGTATGCTGAGAGGATGAGAGAGGATGATTTGAAGTTTTTTGGTAACACCACAACAGTGTCATCAACCTCAGCTCATTTGAGCAACTCTGATTCTGAGGTTTCAGACTCTGAAGAGAAGCATTCGGAGGGGAAAGAGATGATCAAGAACGGAAGTTTGGAGTCCTCTTTAGATACAACAAAAACTTAAACCAAGAAGCTTCTGGTTGAACAGAAGAGATCAACTCAAATCAGTTTATTTTTCTAACCCATCAATTACTAAAGAGATATTATCCTTTTTGTTGTACTGCAGATTCTTGAATGTTATACAGAATAATGCTTATGATTTGCTTAAAAGAGTTTGGTAACAACAACATACACAAAATGAACAAGTGTGGTGACATTTTGAACATTGTTCCTTCAATTAACAGTGGATATGACACAGGTGAAAGAAGAAGAACAAAATCAGTGACTTATTATATATTTTCCTTGTCAAAAGGCTCTAAGGTCCCTAATAGAGCTAAGTAGATTCAAGAACCAGCTCTTTCTTGTTTTGCTTCTAGGAACAAACTACTTCACTGTTCTCGTCTAGATTATGTCTGTATTGAGCCAATCCCTGCAAACACAAACAAAAACACTCGGAAACATTGAGACAAAGAAAATCTAAGGAAGATGAAGAAGAGAGAAATGGTTTAACCTTGGTATAAGCATAGACACCGGGCTCTGTAGGACCAACAGGGCTTCCTCTCTTCATGAATTTGCCATCTTTGAAGATGTATAGAAGTGGTATACCAGTAGATAGCTCTAAACTGATCACCTAAAGAGCCAAAAACCACATATAGAGTAGAGAATTTCAGTTATTTGCCAAAAAAGAAACTATCAAGAATAGCCAAAAACATTTTCTTTTGTCACACCTCTTGGCAAGTCAACTTGTCAAGATACATAATGATAGAACGCAGAGAGTTCCCATGAGCAGCTATCATTACGTTCTTTCCAGCTGCAAGCTTTGGCTCGATCTGCGAAATCAGTTATTCAGTTGACATCAGCAGAGGAAAACTTAGAAATGAGAATGAAAAAATTGGAATATTCATTACATTGTCCTCAAAATAAGCTACTGCTCTCTCAGCACACATCTCCAAGCTCTCTCCTTTGGGAGGAGGAATGTCATAACTCCTACGCCATTCATGAACTTGCTGTTTCCCATATCTTTCCGCTGTTTCTTGCTTGTTCAAACCTTGCAACTCTCCATACCTATATAAGCCAAAAGTAGATGATATAAGCTTTCAAGTCGCTTCAAGCGCAAGAGCCAAAGAAAAAGATGAAAACTTTTACATTCTTTCATTGAGCTGCCATGCAGGTATGACAGGAATGGATTGGTTCTTAGTTTCTTCACTGAAAACTTGACTCCAAGTTTGAGCCTTTTCGCTTTCATTGTGCAAGATGATTGGAACCTAGATTGGTTTGTAACCGGTTTATCAGAAAATGTGATCATATTTTGATTGAGAAAGTGTGACGTAATACCTTCTTACGACGGTGTTGAATCATGGCAAGCATTGCAGTCATTTGAGCTCGGATCAGAGACGATGTGAAGATGATGTCGACAGGTATGTTGCTAATCCTCTTCCCTGCTTCGATAGCTTCTTCAACTCCTTTCTCTGTCAATGGCACATCAACACAACCTGTGAACAGATTCTTCTCGTTCCATAACGACTCTCCATGCCTAATCAATATCAGAGCTGCTTCGTCTAAGTAACATCAGAAACAAAACTTGTTCAGATAAATGATCATAAACCAATGAACTTTTTTTAATGAGATTAAAGAATTTTAAAGGAGCTTAATAAGTTACTTGTTTTTTTCTTGGAATGTTCAATGTTGTTCTTGGAAGGAGACAAGAGAGTGTTGTGAGAAGAAACTGATGATGTCTGAGACGCCACTGCTTCAATCTTGGAGAAGTTTCTTTTTCTTGAGGTATGATAACTCAGTGATGAATTGTTCTTGAATCTTTTCGTTTGCACATTCAAAGGCTCTCTTGAAGATTGAGAGATTGTTGAAGCGATTGATTGGTGAGACATAGCCGTAGCCATTCTGGAGAAAAGAAAGTTAAGAAACCGAATTTGTGGTAAGATTAATGGTGAAGTCCAAAATTAGCATACTAATCTTCATGATTAATTAAAGATCTAATAGTTGATTCTGAAATCAGAGAAATGGTAATGAAAAGATAAAAAAACTTAAACACATTTAGCATTGAGAAGAAATTTTATCACATAGAGATTTAATCGGAAAGAGACAAAGCATGATTAAGAGACGAAAACGTAAGACCTCAAGAACAGAGCCCATTAATCAATCACAAGGAGACCAAAGAGTAAAGATCCAGAAACTAATGCAATGTTTGTAGAGAGACAAACCTGGTCTAATCAATGGCGATGAAGTCAATGATGAGAACAATACAGAGTAACCAGACGAAGAAGTTGTTTCTGCTTCCCTTTTACAAGACTACACGCAAATTCCGATTTTGAGAGAAACTCGCTGATTAAATGTCGATTTTAGTAAAAAATACTAAGCAAAACCTCTTAATGACGCTGATATAAGTTCTATAGAGGCTTTTAAATTTTAATGAAACTTTAATGTTTATTAAAGTGTAAACAACAAATGAGAAATATATTTGAGTTTCTTATAGTCTTATAGAGTTGGCATTTTCAAAAGATCAGCTTCTTCAGGTAGTGACAAAATTATTGACGAGTGAGACCAACAAGAGGTAAATTATTTTCGAAATTATACGAAACAATTACTTTATTCTATTACATAGTAATTATATGAATTGTGGTGTTTGCATAGTTGCAAGATAGGTTAATATGGAAAATGCAAATCTGATGGCAACAAGAGACCTCTCGAGGTGTTGTAGAGACCATTCATTACTCTGTTAGTCTGTTTACAACCTATGAATTTTAATTTTAATATATGTGACACAATACTAAATAGACCCCGAAAGAGCAAATTAAGCAGATAATCACCTCTTCAAAGCCTTCAATAAGCACTTCAAATCGTTGCCTTTTCTTGATCTAGAGGGTTTGGTTTTGAAATCAGAAGAAACAAAAACCAGAATATCAGAATATCTCTTTGTATTTTTTTATTTTCTGTTAAAAACTTTCTGACATAATTTGGCAATTGGCAAAGGAGATGACATATGTCTTAATAAATCAGAGCTTGTATAGAATATGCGACCTGAAGATGCTTGCCCAAAACCAAAAACAAAGTATCACTAGAGGAAATAGTTGAAGCCTGTCACGCATCATAAGTTGGTTACACCGAATATACCAAACTCATATATGTTCACACGCAACACAGATTTTGTGTGTGTATTTGTCAATGATCAAGATTCATCAATCTGGCTTAAAAAAAGTAGATAGGCTTTTAGTAGGTCCGTTAGCCCATTCAGAAACTTGAGAGGATTTAAATCCATGGGCACATGCATGTTTGCGAAGAATCAAACTTGCGAATTATTATTAGTGTTATGATATGTTACAACTAATAGAGGAGAAATTGAGAAAGAAATATAGTGTTTGATCGTGATCTGAATCTGATGATCCAAAAAGTCCTGTAAATACCAAACCCATAATTGGAATGATTGTTACAAAAAGTTCAATGATCCCCAAAACCATCACATGAATTTTATAGTCTTATAAATACACGCTCTCATTTTAACCAATGTATGGTTAACGGAAGATATTATTCAAGGTCTCAAAATTATTAAGGAGATAAATTTAAAAAGTATGTATTAGCAAAATATAATAGCTAGCTAGTTTATCATTTTTGTTATGTTTTGCTTATGTTTTGCTTTATAATAGCTCAATTTTTTTTTTTTTTTTTTTTGTAGAAGGATATAGAAAGAGAAATGCAATTTGTATTTGTTTGATCTGTCATTCTTCAAAATATGATGATATAATCAGACAAAATTCATCAGTCCTGATCTCTCTCAATTAACGTTCAATCCATAAAAACTTAAATGAAGGTTACTTTGAAAAATTAGGGTTTGCCAATTTAAATTTCAGTTGAAGGATTTTTAGATGCAAGCCTACACAGCTCCAACGTGGAGATGCAATGTTTGAACTAATTTTCAACAAAAAGTTGATTGCGGCTTGAGAAATCCAATCATTCTCACTGACCAAAAGCGAAACTGACCAAAAGCAAGACAAGGTTAGAGCCCATCCATCTCATCTCTCTTCTTCCCAATGATCTGCCTGTAAAAGATGAGATTGAGCTTCAGAGACAGATGGAGAACAACAAGATTGTATATGAGGTTGAAGGAACTTTTAAAGTCAAAGCTTACTTTGGGTTCCTTCACTATTCATCTACTTTGGTAGGGCGTTGTCTCATTGAGATGGCCAGTCCTCCAACTGGAGTACTCCTTTCTCGTAGCTGCACCACAAAGAAAATATCTTGTAATCATAATCAATGAAATCCAACACACCCTTCACTTCCATTTAAACCTCCAAATTGATGAGGATATTTGTAGAAGGAGTGTTGAGAAACTGAGAAAGATATGAAGAACATACAAAAGTTTGGCTATTTTGTAAAAGAGTAGAAGACCCAAATAATTTGAGTACTTCTGATGCTTTTTTTTTTTCTTTTTTTTTTCACAACGCAAGTATTTGGTACTTATGATTATGATTGGTTTTATTGATATATATATACACTACAAGTATACAAATATGAGTGCACCGTGTACGGAAGAAAAAAATCTATAATGTAAAGGCTAAAAATCATGCATACGTTAATCAGAGACTAGCCATGGTATGCATCAAAGGGATTAAAAAAATAAAACATTTTTTTTTCTCAGTAACTCAGTTACTTGAAAACATTAATCCGGTTTTTGCTGAGAAATGAGGCTCTAGAAAAAGAGAGGAATAAGAAATTGGACAACGTGGATATCTATGAAGATAATTCAACAGAAGGCATATTTGCACGTGTAACGCTCTTTATTCTGAATCACACACTTGATAGAGACAAATTTTCACAACTGGAATCGAACCAAAGAGCGTCGACCATGCATCTTCTATCAAACTCTTGTCTCCTCTAAATCACAACCATCATATACATTAACTATCGTATTATCGTTTAACAATATGTTTTGTCATATAAATATATATTAATCTAATATACTTCATGTAATCCTTTTTAAAAAAATTCTCTTACAGAATATATGAAGATTCTTGATTGAGCATATAACCGGTTGAAAAATAATTGGTATGAACTCATTGGTTTGTTTTTAAATATATATTAATCTAATATACTTCATGTAATCCTTTTTAAAAAAATTCTCTTACAGAATATATGAAGATTCTTGATTGAGCATATAACCGGTTGAAAAATAATTGGTATGAACTCATTGGTTTGTTTTTCCAAATAGTAGTACAATAATCAATATTAGCCATTAAGAATCTAGATTCTAGACAAAAAGGAAGATTCTAGGATAGAGGGGCCTAGTCAATACTAGCTAGTAGCCTAGTAGCTAGAGAGGAACGAGATTCCTTACTTGACCAACGCCATATTTAAGTGATAAAATATGACGAAATTCAATTGGATCATCCGTATTTCTAATGAAAGCATACAGTTAAAAACGGTACGACTCGTACGAGTAATGTTTCCTTTTCTTTTGGCGGTATACAATGTATTTAAAATTATACATGAAAGTTTACAGTACAAAAGGTACAATCATGTTACATCAAACATAAATTGGTATACAATTGTAAACACATACGTTTTTCTCTTCTCTTTTCATTTGACATATTTAATCCATTTACTCATAAAGAATTTAAATGTTACTGATTTTATGATGTCCACACGAACACGATAAGTGGTATATATGCAGTATGCTAGTTAAAATACGCAAAATACCATACTCTTTAAGTTTAAAAGCAAAGTTTATAAGAAGATTAACATGGTTAATCACGATCAGTGCTCAATGCTTTTATACATATAATTAAAAACAGCCATATACAAGTACAACCATACGGTACATACCGATATACTATAAAAAAGACCTACACGGCGGCGGAAGCTCTCTCTTCTTTGGTGGCTCCGGCGGTGACAACGACGGTGGACCCCACCGAACTCTTCTCTTTCCTCTCGTCCACTGTGATTTGCTTTTGCCTGCACTCTAAACTACAAAACGCCCTATCTCCTCTGCTCAAAATTAATTCCATATTTAGTTACTCATATAAAACCAGAACATTTTATAAAATTTAAGTACACCAGTCCACAAATCACCTAAGACCTAATTTACAACATATGTTTATATATATTATATATTAAAAGTTTCAAGTACCTATACATATAGATGTCGCGGCCGGGGACAAGCTGGCGTTTACAGAGGGAGCAAGATCTCAGAAAATCTCCGGCGTGAGTTGAGTAATCTGCTGATGAGTGTCTCCTCTGTGTACCTCTCGGTGAGACCAGCCGTTGATCTATCGGTCCATGATGAAGCTGACGATGTTCATCAACGGTCACGAGCTGACTTTTCGGACTCGGCTGTTTTCGGGACGACGGGATCTGAGTCTGCTGATTGGAGGACGTCTCTGGCTCGCTAGGTAAGTTTAAATCGAACTTTATCTCCGAAAGACTCGTGGTTCTCTTTATCTGTGGTCTCTGTCTCTTCCCCAGCAACATCGTGTTAGTTTTTTGCTTTTCTTTTCTTTTGTTTATGAGTTTGTTGTTGTTTATGCTCTGAGTGAACAGAGCAAAGCGAAAGAGAGGAAGAGGGAAGTGAGAAAAGAGAAGGGGACAGAGAGAAGATAAAAGAAGAGCCATAAACTGAGGAGTGAATCTTAACCGTTGATCTGATTCTATTCCCATCAGTTTAACGACACGTCGTGATTCGATTTCTCAGAGTTTTATTCGTTGTTAATATTATTGCTTTTTGTCTTGTGTTACACATTATTTTGTCTATCTTTTTTTTTTTGTCTAAATTTCGTTTATAAATTTAGAAAACGAATATGTTGTTTTCTAGCTCCTAAACGTCTGGGCTACGTGGGCCCACATTTTGTGACTGATATGTCTCTTTGCAATAGTTAAAAAGGCCTCGAGCCAATTTTAATATCAGCTGATCTATTCATTTTAAGTTTTACAACAAATTAACAGTTTTATTATTATTCACAGTTTGATGGAAGATTGATTGACTGATTGATAATCTATAGCGATAGCATCTCTTGGTTTTTTCAAATATAAAAGAGATGCACAAAAAACGAGAACTACAAGTTTGTTCTGATTGGTGCATTAGGGACTCGATTACAGTATATAGACAGAGAGTGGCACACTGTACAAAAATGGTCGGTCTCTACACTTTTACGTTTCGTATTACTTTTCTAATTTTTTAAGAGATTTGAGTTTTTTTTTTCACAGTAACGGTGGTTCATTTTTTAAAATTCAAATCTGGAATGGCAAAAGTAAATTACTAGAGCATGTATTCATCGAATCAAATGTCTTAAAGTTGAGTGGTTTAATTAAGACTGATGTTATTTACTTGATGTTTGAGCTAGTTTTAGTCGTCAAAAGGAATATAACATTCAAATTGTATATTGACCAAAATCACATAAAATTACACCAATCAAAACAACGTTACAAATCATACAAACAATAACTACTTAACCATGTACGAAATTATCGACATATATACTACCTATACCATCAAAATAGTTCTATCAAATTGACATAATATATAAGACAAAACTGATATATAGACAACGACCTTGTAACACGCCTAGACGCCTAACTCGTTGTTTTTGAAAACACAGGTCCTAGTCCCAAATATCAAATGAAGAGTGTATTTGTGGACCATTTTTCATTCACAAGTGGGCTTCAACTTCTGGTTCGCACGTAATTCTTTTAGGGAATAAGTTCTTTTACTTATTTGTTCACTAGGGGTGACCCGCGCTTCGCGCGGGAATTGAAATTGTTGTGTTGATTTTATTATTTTTCACAAATTTAATTTAATTATATGATTTATTATTATTTTAAAAATGTCATACACATATTAATCAAATATAATTAGGGTTACTAAAAAATTTCCGAAAATTAAATATAATTAAGTTTACGCAAAAATTTTGAACCATCATTTTTCATTCCTCCCATTTTGTTCTTTTTATCATATCCGTTTTTTCCCGTCCCATTCGCCATGTCCGTATCGTCACGTGCAATCCCATCATGTCTGAGACTGTTCCATCCCGTTTTGTCCAGTCTCATCCCGTTCTTTCCGTTTCTTTCCGTCATGTCCTAAAATATAATTAGGGATATGCTAAATTCACGTTTTTTCCGTTCCATTATGTTTCTTTTCATCCCGTCATTTCCGTCATATCCATCCCGTCTAGTCTCATCCTGTCTCATTATGTTTCTTCCTGTCTTGTCTTGTCCCATCTTGGTCTTTTTGTTTCTTCTTGTCCCGTCTCTAAATATAATAAGAGGTAGGCAAAATTTACCTCTTATCCCGTTCTATTTCTCGTCTCGTTCCTCCCCGTCCTATTCATTCACATACCGTTTTGTCTCGTCCCGTTCAGCCTCGTTCTGCTATTCATTCACATACCGTTTTGTCTCGTCCCGTTTAGCCTCGTTCTGTTTTTTTTCGTCTCGTATTGCCCCATCCCATCTTTCTCGTATTAAACTATTAAAATCTATTTGATAAAACTAAAATTATTAAATTAGAATTTATTTAGATCAATATATAAACTATTTTCTTATACAAAATGATTTTTCAAATTCTATTATGATTAAGTGATAGATGTAATAAATTATTAGTTTTAAAGAGAATTGGAATAGTATTGTTTAAAAGAGAGTTTCTGAGGTGACGCTCCCATAAAAGACCCGAACTGTGTTTTATATATATAGATTATTGTATTGTCAATGTTTTGACTCCTCTTGAAAACAAACGGTTTTGTCAATGTTTCCCCACCAATAATAATCATAGCAATAAGTCCAGACTCGTCTCACGTTACGTTGATTTGATGTTAATGTATCATGTATGGGGTCCGAGTTTATTCAATTAGATATCAATGTTTCCCCACAAAAGGTTTTGTCGGACTAAATTCTAAAAAAAAAAGATGTTAACTAGACTATAATTCATTTATGTAAAAGATATCATAAAATTATCTCTCACTCACGGGCGAAACAGGGGGATTGTAGTTGATTTAATTCAATTCCGATATGTTAAAACGTAACATAAAATGATAGGAGTATAATTTGACGCTGATTTAAAAGACTCCAAATGAGGTCAGCATATAGGTCAACTTTACACTTGACCTCTATGTCACACGTAAAAGACAGTCGAAGGCAAAGTCACCGACTACCAAACTATACAGTAATAACACTTTGTTTTTCTGCGCTCATCATCAAGATTCTTCTTCCTATTAATTTCAGACCTCATCGGAGAGTTTCGGACTGCAAGAATCCACTGCTTCAGCCACCGTCAGAAAGATTTTGTCGTGTCCCAACATGTCTGCGAAGTTAGACACGTGTAACTTATCGATGACCACCGGTCCAGGATTCGCTAGGACCAACTGTTTTTGCACACGACAAAGAGAGAAAAATATCAAATTTATAAACTTCTCTATAATATTTTCTGATATTTAAGCTTTGAATTACGGTGAGTACCTGAATGTCTCTCTTCTGGAGAGACTTGTATAAGTCTTCTAAGGCGTGTATACCGCTAGTATCAATGTCAGTAACAGCTGAAAAACATACAATAAAACATTATCGGCTTTATGAATCGATGCTCATAACACGCCTTGTGATATAATATATCTATGTCAAGAAGTAAATTTTTATAAAAATAGAAATAGAGTTGGTTTAGTACGTGACATTTCGATGATCACAAACTGGATCCTAGGTAAGCTCACAGCGTTCACCTTCTCTTCTTCATCTGTCAACCACCTTTGAATCCTACACATTTCAAGAACAAGACAATTTAAGGTTCTTGAAATAGATTTCTTGCAAAGCAAGTATTCGTTCAAACTTGCTTTCATGATTGGACTGGATTTCTTACCTTTCTCTAACGTAGTTGGAGTTGGAGAAGTAAATAGCGGAATCAACACGGATTGTCAAAACTCCGGGGATCCTAGTCGCTTCAGGATACTGATGAATATTCCGGTAAACCGAAGTCCCAGGAATCTTTCCAAGAATCGCTGTCCTAGGTCTTGTAACTTGCAAGAGTATCTTAGCAAAAGATATGCCCACCTATAAAAACATCCACACAAAACATGATCAACGAAGAAAGTATCAACTTAAATATCGTAATCCACATATATATATATATATTATTGTTCCTTGAGACGTACGGCAATGAGAAGACCGATCTCAACGGACACAAAGATGACACCAAAGAAAGCTCCCATACAAGCAACAAAATCGAGCTTGTCGATCTTGAAAATCAAAACGGCGGCGTTAACGTCGATCAAAGGAATCACGGCGTTGATGATGATCGCTGCAAGAATCGCGTTTGGTGTGTATTTGAAAAGAGGAGTGAGGAAGAGAAGCGTCAAGAGGACAACGACGGACATTATGATGTTGGAGACCGCAGTGTGACATCCGGCCATGAAGTTAACGGCGGATCTTGAGAACGACCCGGTGGCTACATAGCAAGAAGTCATTGAGCCGATCACGTTCATTGCTCCTAATGCAACCATCTCCTTGTTACCGTCTATTTGGTAGTCTTTCATTGCTGCAAATGTTCTTCCGATCGCTACAGCTTCCTGTTAAACAAATCATGTTTTTTTAAGGTTCAAATGAGAATCAATCATAAGGAAGATTTGTCTTTGCTACGTTTGCATGGTACATACCGTTAAGGCAACCATGCCGGAGACAACACCGATGCGGAAGCCCTTAAGAAGGTAATCGCCGGAAAAGTATATAAGACTCAAAGAAGAAGGGTTTAGGCCCTTGTCAAGATGTTTCACCTAAAAGAACCGAATTAAGACAGCAAAAATTAGGGTAACTTAAAACGCAAGTAACTTTAGGTTTTGTTGAATAGTAAGGACAAACATAGCAATTTAGGTTATGTGCTTACGATTTGAACTCCTTTCTTGTCGGCTCGGGTAATGTATACGAAGAAGGTTGAAATGATGACAGATAGTAACGGCGCGACCGCCGGAATCCAAAACAGTTTCTTCTTCTTTTTCCCCTGTTTATACCAAGAGATGAGATCAGAAAAAGAGAACAGAAAACTGATGAGAGATTGCAGTTGATGGTTCGATGACTTACGATGAACTTAGAGAGGAGAAGGAAGATCAAGAACGATGCACTAATGAGTATTGTCTGCCAGTTCCACTGCAAGAATATGATGACCATACGGTGAGGTTACATAATAGAAATAACCTAAACTAATTAAAAACATTGTGATTTTGAGTTATTCTTACTCCGTGATGAGCTGAGCTGAATACGGAGCGAAGAACGGCGATGATATCGGTTTTCTTGGTGAATTTTTTTATTCCAAGGAATCCTTTAAGCTGTTGAAGAGCTATGGTGATGGCTGCTCCTCCCATGAAGCCTACGACCGCCGCGTGGGATAAGAAATCGATCAAGAAACCCAATCTGAACAAATAAAGTTTAGAAGTTTTTAGGTCAAGAAGAAGAAGAATCTCTAACTAAACTTAGGAGCATTGTTGAAATGTGATGTTGGGATTAGTAATTTACCTCAAACATCCGAGTGTTGCTTGAGTGACACCGGCGAAGAACGTGGCGGTAAAGGCCAGGCGGAGATATTCATTAGGGTTTGTGTTGGGATCGATCTCTGCTCGAAGAAGAGTACCTATAAGGAGTGAAACCACTGCTACGGGTCCTATCGCTATATCCCTCGAACTTCCCATACATGCGTACACCAATGGAGGCACAAAACTTGAATCTTTTCAAGAATTAAAAGAAGAAAACAAATTAAAATTAACTCCATTTTCATTTTTGTTTTTTGTGTGTGAATTGTGAACACAATTGCGAAAAACAACATAATCAAGACTCTTTAGGAACATCAAACGAGATCAGTTGACTTACAGAGACCGTACTTAGGGTCGAGACTTGCGAGCTTTGCATATCCAATGTCCTGAAATATGAATGATACTCTATATAAGCTAATTTGAATACATAATTATACAAATGATTCTTGTGGAAGTAACTTGTGAGACAAGTAATAATTAAATCTGTTTAATTACCTGAGGAATACAGAGACTGGCTATGGTTAAACCAGAAATAAGATCGCCACGAAACTTTTTGAGATTATAGTGTCGTCCCCATTCGAAAACCGGGAAGACTGACTGGAGACCGAGCATGAGCTTCATGGACATTGACTGGTCCTTGAAATGCCTTAGAGGATCATCGTGGAAGAAAGTTTCTTTGAACGTGTACATGAACTCATTGAACAGGTTTTGCTTCGGAGGAACCTCGACTTTGTGAACAAACGGTGTATTTGTTTGCCGCGGGGAAGATACGCCCGCCGGCGAAAGCTCTCCTTCACCATCCACAGGGTGAGCTCTACCCGACATTGCTATGTGTGTTTCCTACAAATTCTGAAGAAACCTATTTATACAAATGTTAAAACACATAAATCAATGGGTCAAAAAACGAATCAAAGAAGACACATAAGTGGTCCTAGTTGCCAAAAACAAAAAAGCCATGAGTATCCCAAATATAAGAACCCAAATACTTTCCACTATTATGTTCGTATTAGATGCCGCAAAAGATTACCACCGTAACTGGTGCAAGACTTCCTGAACAAGACTATACTACATACGTCGTCTTAGAATCACTATAGAAACGAGTTAAGAAAACAAAAAAGAATCACTTTAGACTAACAATTATATATTGGGTGATTATACTAAAGTAATATCAGTGCGAACGTACGGTGCCGCAGAACTTTTGCTAAACTTCCCAGACCAGACGATTAATTAATTTCTAAAGAAACAATTATGCTATATATGTCGCTTAGAATAACTTTAGACGAGCAATGACGGGGTGATTTTACTAACATCAATATGATGGCCGAATATAATAAAAGCGATTAGAAAGGGAATTTATAATGGTATATATGCCCGCGAATATGTTATATGTCTATATAATAATATAAAGATCAATAGGAAGAGCAAAACCATTGAAAGTGGAAGATGAAAGCATTATTACCTGGAAAATATACACAGAGACGAATTCGATCTTTGATCTTAGCCACTTTTTTACCTCCACCGTTCTTCCATGCGGGTACTTTCTTTTGAGTCGAAATTTTTGATAAGGAAAATAAACGTGGAAACGGCAGATTTTATAGAATGCGTTTGTTATAAAAACCAAAACAACAAATGCAACCAAGATCCTGTCCAGGTTCACTGAGCAAGTTGATCGGACTCCAACCAATGTATTAATGAGAAAACCCTAATTTAAGAGATGTGGAAAATTATGTTGTTTGACCGGGTTGTGATTAAACAAAAAGAAAAGAAAAGAAAAAATATATTTACAGATACTTTTTGAAAGTGAAGATAAAAACAAATCTGGATTTTCCTCAAGGGAATATTCAAATATCAAAAGAGAAAATAAACAAACAATTATCCAAAATGAATAAGAAAACGTACAAATCTTCAATGTTTTTCAATTCCTTTTTGTTTGTTTTGTTTTTTCAAGATGAAATAAAAAGAAAAATTGTGACGATACAGTTACAAGTTACAGTATACAGAAGAACAAAACAGATTCAAAGAAGTTAGATCCGAAATTTACGAAGATGACACAAGTCATTTTGTTATTGGTGATACTATAAAAAAAAAAGTCAAAAAAGCTATGCGAGAAGACTGGAGTTTTAACTTTCATCAGTTTGGTGTGTTCATCTAATGGCTCCATCTTTATTGGTTCACGGGCAGCCGCATATTATCATTTAAAATATTTGCAGTATTCTTTTTATTTCATATTGTAAGGTTTCTTTAACGATAAAAATAGTAGGTTAACGAATAATAAAGGAACCCCAAAATTTTCAAGTACAAGTTTGATTAGCAGGATGAGTTTTTAGTGAGCCATCATTTTCCGTGTTGAACTATTTTGAAAACATACGTTAGAGGAAACAAGTGATATTGATACTATAATAGCAGAGCTTAAGAAGCAAGAAGAATCTGACTAGGGACATAATTACTAATTAGATAGTGTTTCGATCAGTACATGATGATCCATAAAGTCATTGAAACATTTCAAGATCTTGAAGAGGGCCGTGCCCACTTAATAAAATTTGAAACACTGGCCTAGGGGCCACATTTAATTTTGTATTTCTTTAGTTAAGAATATTTAATTTTGTATTAAATTTAGGATGTTACTCCATCTAAAGATGTTTTTGTTGGGTCTTCCTCTAAAATGTAAGTTGTTTTCTGTATTTATCATATGTTTGTTTTTTTCAATCCATTAATTTTCTTTCCTTTATTTTTTACCAACTTCATTTTTTCTGTTAAAAAAGCTTCCTTAAAAGCATTAGATTAAAATTAATTTTGCCTATGGGCCAAAAAAACCTGGGCACGGCTCTGAGAGAGTCCATTGATTTTTGATATATAAGTAGGTACCGATCACATCAAACCACTTCCGTTCAATTTTGATTCGGACATTACAAATGGAAGGCAGAGAACATAGAGAATCTCTCGTATCGTGTCACATAATAATATTGTCCATTTTATAAAGCTGAGCAGAATTTTATTTTATTTTATAATAAAAACGTACACGGGTAATACGACGACGTATAGAGGAAAAGGAAATGACTTAATATGCTGTCGTTTAAAGAACATTATTTTCGCGAAACCTATCAGATAAAAAAAGATCAAAAGAGAAAAATTTGTCTTTTTGGAAGTTGGAAGAAGGATGGGTGCAGAAGATGGAGCGATTCGTCAAGCCGTCGAAAACAAACCTACGGAGATCGCTATTTCGAAAGATCAATTCCTCGCGTGGAAGCGCCAAAAGGTATCTCCTTTTGTCTCTGTAATCTCTCCCTTGCCAAAGTCGATTCCTGGTGAATATATCGAAACGAAGAACCCTAGATTTTGATTTCCAGTAGAATCGCACAATTTACCGGAGCATGTGTTTCGAGGACTAGAGCTCGCTTTCTCTCTCTCTCTCTCTCTCTCTCTCTTGTTAATGATTGAGACATGAGAGATTATAAAAAAAAGATATGTAATTAGGCGAAACCGAAATTGAATTTTAACAGCTAATCAGATTTCCAAAATTTGAAATGGTAACTAGAACTCAGAATCACACCATTGGTTGGTTGCCTTTCATATATAATTTTTTCGTGGGTCATTTGCGATTCCCGCTCTGCTTCAGAATTATGTCAAACTTTGTTCATAAAGCTTTAAACTTGGTTTCTTGTAAGGACGCTGAGTTGTCAGCTAAAAAGGCAGAAGCAGCAAGGAAACGAGAAGAAGACATAGCAGCAGGCCGTGTCCTAATGAATGGCCGAGAGCTTTTCTTGCACGAGCCTTGGGTTTTCGACGACACTCCTCACCATTGATTCTTTCTTCTCAGAGGTACAGATTCATTCCATCTGATAGTATCTTACCACAAGAGGTGATCAATTTGTGTTGATCTGATGGGATCAGTTTTGTGTTTCTCTCTGCTCTGAAGAAACTTACTAAAGATGTCAATTTTGTGTGTTTCAGGTGATTCAGACATAATCAAAGACGCTTCGTGTGTGTAATATGTGATCCAACTCTGTTTCTCTTGTGTTCTTGTACTTATGTTAATCGGAAAATCAGTGAGATAATGTGAGTGTTTACTGGTTATTTGATCACATTTTCATTTTTGGTTGCTTACGAAGTCTGAACGATCCTTAACGAGGTTAAATGTATACATTAAATTCGACTCAACTATGGACATAAACTAATCTTGAGATAAGATACTTACAAAGCGTTTAGGAAAGCATTATAATCAACTAATCTAAATTAAAGTCATGTACATGTGCAAAACATTATGTGGGAAAAAGAAGTAAGCTTAAGAAATCTCCAAACGATAAAGCGAAAGGCTTTAAGGATTTACAACGAAACAAGAGGCAAGAGAAAGGGAACTTAGTCAAGCATAATCTATTTTTAATCCCTCCGAAATAGCCTAATTATATGCATTTTCTTCCACCTCTCGTATATTAACAAAAATCTCTTTCAACAAATCTTTTTTTTTTTCTTTTTTGAAGTTTTGGAGATTATTACTACTTATTAGCATTATATCAAACTCGAGGTTTGGATGAAGAGAAAATCTCTTCTTGATTTGTCAATATGGGTCGGGTGAAATTGGAGATCAAGAGGATAGAGAACACAACGAATCGACAAGTCACGTTCTCAAAACGTAGAAATGGTTTGATCAAGAAAGCTTATGAATTGTCGATTCTCTGTGATATCGACATTGGTCTTATCATGTTCTCTCCTTCTGATCGCCTTAGTCTCTTCTCCGGAAAAACTCGGTATTATATCATTTACATTTTCAGTTGCAACCTTTCTTGGGTTTGGATACATAAACCTTTTTCATCAATCTATTCTCATTTGTTTTTTAAAAGAAATTTATTTATATATGAAAAATATGTTCATATGATAATCATCTCTACAGGATCGAAGACGTTTTTACAAGATTTATCAATCTTCCTAACCAAGAACGAGAGAAGTAAGCTAACACTAATTTTCTTTCATTTGCTTTAGAATTTTGGTTTATTGATTTGTTGTAATTTTTTTCAGTTCTATATTCTTTCCCGACCAGAGTAGACGCGCGTACGTATCACAAAACCTTCTTTTTTTTTGTTACATTACATTATCATTTGGGTATAATAATTATATAAAATGACTAATTCTTTTACACTTTTGACCTCTTCCTTTTTTCGCAGAGATATTCAAAGCAAAGAGGTTCGACGATCCTCGGTGTTTAGTTCTTTTCTCAAAATGTGATTTATTTCTATTTATCTATTAATTTAGAGGTAATGTAAATACGTGACAGTATCTACTAAGGATCTTGCAGCAACTCAAAGCTGAAAATGACATCGCTCTTCAAGCCACGAAGTCCGAAACTTCCTTCAGTTTTGTCTTTATAATCGATTTTATAATATTATATATTCACCAACATAAATCTCTCCGATACGAATCTAACAATATACTAAACTTTTCTTTTTCCATATATTTGGAAAAGCCCTGCAGCTATCAACTCCGACGTCGAGGTGATTGATTTTTATATTAGAACACACTGAAATATACGATATAGATAATCTCTACATAGTTTAACCAATTCATGATCTTATGTAATCGAAAATTCTAGGAACTTGAGCAAGAAGTTTGTCGGTTACAACAACAACTCCAAATGGCAGAGGAAGAATTAAGGTCCTTGATCGAAATTTTCTATGTTATAATTTTTAATTTTTAAAACATGTTTAATTAAAAACATGAATCATCTGAGCAGGAGATACGAACCGGATCCAGTAAGATTCACGAGAATGGAGGATTATGAAGTTTGTGAGAAGCAACTTCTCGACACTCTAACAAATGTTGTCCAACGTCGAGAGCATCTTATGAGCAGCCATTTATCTTCGTATGAAGCATCTACAATGCAACAAAGCATCGGAGGTGCTTTTGTAAACGACGTTGTTGAGGGTTGGTTGCCTGAAAATGGGCCCACTCAAGCCCATCTGTTTGATGCATCCGCCCATTCCAATCAACTCAGGTACATTTAGACTTGGTTCTTTTTTTAGCAAGAATGGTTTAACTTTTTTTTTTAACTAATTTAAAACTTTGACAGAGAATTATCATCGGCAATGTATGAACCATTGTTGCAAGGAAGTAGCTCAAGTTCGAACCAAAACAACATGAATGAATGCCACGTGGCGAATCATAACGGCGAAATGTTCTCAGAGTGGGCTCAGGCGTATTCATCTCCGGGCTTGTTCGCTTCTATGCACCAGGTTTTTTCTTTTACTATATTCAAACTTTTTATCACAATAGTAGTACGTAGTAATATAATATTGAAGTTTTTGTCAACGCCAGCATGGAGGTGTGGGTCCCAGCATAGAGGAAATGATGCCAGGTCAGCAAAGTGAAATCCCGGCGGTGACGACGGAGGCACTGGCTGATCATGAAGTCGCCGACTATGAAACAAGAGTTCCCCAGCTCAGTAGCCAATAACGTCAAAAGATTATTCGATGTATTATTTACCTGTGTACCACTTTATTTTACTTACATTTTTCACCCATTTTTTATTGTTCGTCTGATATGAGATATACGATGCTGAAAAACACAAATCCTGCTATTTGTATACCAATTTTTTTTTGTCAACAGAAAATACCATAAAACAATTTTTTGTTCTAACTATATCACAATTTGAAAAAGGTTACTATACTACAAAACATTTTTGTTCTCCGCTCAAAATTTCGTCCTTTTGTCCACTAAAATTTATGTTTTCCGATCCTATCTTTCTCCTGCCATTTCAAACCACACATTAACAAATTTTAAAATTAGATATTATCCGCAAAAAATATAATACAAAGTTTTTTTTTTATAAATACTTTCGAAATTTATCCTAAAAAAGTATCATTATATTTTGGTCTAAGTTTACTTGTGAAGAAAATAACATCTGTCAATATAAAATAAATAATTTATCAGTATATTTTGGTCAAAATTTACTTGTTAAGAAAATAACATCTGTCAATATAAAATAAATAATATTTATCAGTTTCTTTTTTGAATTTTCTTACTACCAAAAATAGTTATTGTTTATAGTGTCAAATAATAAGACAAGGATATTTTACCGTAACTGTAAAAAGTTTTACTAGAAATAGGTTTGCTCTGAAATTATTGCATTTGTCAAAAACAAAAGGGGAATTGTTCTACTTTCATATAATAGTGTGATGATGACACGAAATCGTTGTCTTGGCAGAATCTAGTGAAAGAGTAACTGCAGATTTGGTCCCACTTTCATGAAACTCAAAGAAAAATGTCTATTTCGGACAAAAGTAGTACTACTAACGACACGTGATCCAATCATGTCTACAGTCTGATTGATGATTCTTTTCTTTCCAGTTCCGTAAGATTTTGACACCACTTCAGTTTCTGATCAGAGGAGGGTCCACTTTTTCGTATTGTTTTGTATATCATAGATTTTTTTTTGTTTTTTTTAATTTCTTACATTTTTTCAAAACTTATTTTTATTTTTCATATGCTCGTTTATTAACGGATAAAATTATCTCAAATATGAATATTAAAGGAAAAGTATCATAAAAATCACTTTATAGATCAGCATATTAAAATAAATGTGGGATTTAATACTAAAGTTTGGGATATTTTCTTTAACAAACAAAGTTTCGGATATTTCATTTCATATCTAGATTTTCTACCAATAAATGAAAAAGAAACAATTATCTAAGTTGAACTATATTTAGGTTTTTCTTATTAAAAGTATGACTGTTAGTTTTGTGTTGTTCTAATTAGTAAAATTAATGAGAAATTTTTGATAGTAAAATATAGAAATTTTTTGATAGTAAAATCTTGTATTTCTATTAAAAATTCAAAAATAAAGATCTCTACTGAGCTATTTAAAGCTATTCTTATTATAAGTACGATTGTTTCAGCATGTACCGTTTGTATCCGACAACAAAAGTATATATTTCATGTTCGTTTGTATTTCAGTTTTTTTTTGTTCTTTTTGAAAAGCAATCACAGGAGTTGTTGCACAAAAAGAAATTTAAAGAAAAGCAATCACATGTAATCACAAATAAAAGCAACATACAGTAGAAACTCTATAAATTGATACTCGATAAATTAATAAACACGATAAATTAATAAATTTCTCCGGTCCCGAGTTGGGCCAGTGTAAAATATGACACAATTCGATAAGATAATAAGATAATAACTTTTTTTAAACTCCTATGTAAAATATAGTCCCAATAATATCATAAATTAATAATTATCATATAAAAATATATATAAGATATCTAAATACTAAAATATGAATCTCTCACACACCAAACATATATATGAAAATTAAAAGAAAAAGGAAATTTAAACAATATGGCAAGTATGAAAAAATGTAAACAATAAATTAAATATAAAATCATAAAAACGTTAAGAAAATATATGTATTAAGGAAAGTTCTTATTTAAGTTGAAGAATTTTTTTAAAAATTATTAATACTGAATTTTCTTTTTTTAAAAAGATTGTTTAGTCGAAATCTATATATTAATAACTCTATAAATTAATAAAATATCAAAGTCCCGAGATTATTAATTTATAGAGTTTCTACTGTATTAGGAAAATCACATATCAAAGCAAATTCCTAAACGCAAATGGAATATATATTAGAAAAGCCTAAACAATCAACACTTATATAATATTTACAAAATAATCATTTCTATTATATTAAGGCATTCTTCCCCCTATATATATATATCAATATCCTCATCCATTTCTTAATATAATTTATTTTCTGGCTTTGAAAATCTCTTCTTTTCGTTTGACCATTTCAGACTGCATTTTTTTCTTGAAGAAAAGGTATACTTTATATATCTCATATCTATATTATTGATTACATAGCACATATTTCTCACAGTTATACTTACGTCTTCTATTTTTAGGTTTAATTATTATTTAAAAAAAAAATTGTAGCTTAACTAAATCATATTCATCAAAGCTTTCTTGTCAAAAATCAATGCAAAATTTTTCATTTTTTGTTTGTTTGATGCAGCATACAAATAGGATAGTTGTTGATTGATTAATGGTACATCAGTTGTCTTTTTCTCTTGATAGATCTCAACAAATCTAAAATTTGGTTGATTAAGAAGACAATCTTCCAATTTATCTTAATTAAAAATTAACGGAATATTAATCTATCACTGAAAAGCTTATCCTATATCATTTTGGTTTCTTGTATGAAAGAATCTACTTCCAAATAATTTGTTTTGGCTTATGGTTTTCTAATGTTTTATGCATATGAATCAGGATATAAAGGTTATTCTTTTTCTTAAATGTCTTTTTTATCGTACCTCGTAGTCGTACTACTCTACATACGATTCAAACTTGATTTTGATTCTTTTAATGATTTGACTACTACTATTGTATAAAGGTTTTTGTTCTTGCAATGTTCGTTTCGTTCGTACTTACATTTTTATAGTTTTGTCCTACGTTATTTATGCCGCAACCAAAAATGTACTTTTGTTTTAGAAAAGGAAAAAAGCCGACTATTAAAAAGAAATTATATATGGTTAATATTTTTCATCGGCACGGCACCTGTCAATAAGCACATACAGAAAATAATATGTTTTTCACAGAAGTAACTTTTTAGTGGCAATTTACAATAAAATATATATTGACTTGATTGCGAAAATTGCAGTGTTGTTGAGAATGGCTTCAATCGAGGATCTTGAATTTCCGTTCGACACCAATTCCCTCTTCTTCCTGGAGGACGCGTCAGAAACTTTTAGTGCTCTCACGGTATACTTCTCCATCTCTTGTTTTTTTATCTCTTTCAAAATTAATTGGTGCTCATTAGCGTAATTAAATATGTGATGCAGATTTTTTATTCTTTTGATCTATTACATTTATTGGTAAATAAAATAAAAAGACACTTGTATCAATGATAAAGATGCATGCATACAAAATACTATATGTTTTGGACACCAATCCAAAACGATATTAGATTTGTAATCTTCTTTGAAAGTTCAGAAATCAAACAATAGCTACAAAATATTTAGATGTATCTTAAAACATGTTAGCATTTTTGGACACCAATCCAAAACGATACTACTAGATTTGTAGTCTTTTTTTTTTAAAGTTTAGAAATCTTAGGATATTAAACTGCTGGCCCCTAAGCGACGGTTTATGTGATTTATGTCACGGATCATACATGCTTTTTGAACCAATAATATTTCTCCTCTTTTTCTTATCTTAAGTTTGCATTGTGCTTATAAACTAATTAACCAACGCCTTTAACAAAAAAAAAAAAAAACTAATTAACCAACGCAAAAAAAAAAGACTTGGTACGAAATGGAATCAAATCATGTTTCCATACTACCAAATTTTATTTTACTCCACATCTACCATACCATGATATATGGCTTTTGCGTTGACTTATATAGGAGTGTCAGGAGAATCCTTCGTTGCTGGCTTCAGACAACAATGAAAATAATGAATCTGTTGGATTGGGCCCTGTCTCTGCTGCCACAAATGATGTATTTCCCTCATCATTAGTAGAGACTTTTCTCACTGATCATCAAGAGGCATTAACAACAACTTCAAGCTTTGGTCACGACGCAGTAACGCAAAATCAAAGCTTCCGTCAAGAAGGCGATTATTCTAATTATTTCAATGCAGCGGAAAATTTTCCTACGGAAACTTTTCCTAACATGGTATGCACATTACTACTTCTTAGTTAATGATACTTCGTTCACTGTTTTTTGTAATTATTCGAAGGATCTTACACTAATATCATAAATATGCAGCCATCATATGGATCCAACAATGGCCAAAGAGAAAGTGTCTACAATGAAAATTGTTTCGTATCTTCGACCAATAAGATGATGACGACTGGACTACAATCAACTGGTTTACAACATGCACCTTTAAACCAAAGTTATCATCATCAACCTCAATTGTCGCAAACAGTTCCTAATTTCTATAGAGAACCATATGTTCCAACAATGGTACGAATTTATATTCATATAAGCATCATTTAGATAAATTATGCTTATGCACTCAGTTTAGTCAATATTTTGATGATTCAGATGGGGAGTCATGTACAAGAAGTGGGGAGAACTAATGGACTTACAAATCTCAATCCTATTTATGGCCGTCAAGATCATCCCTTTCGTCCTTCTTTGTATATATATTCAACTTATAACATATTTTTCTCTTTAAATATTTACAAAGGTTTAGAAATAATACATTTATCAATCGATGCAGGTTTCAGGAGGAGTATAATCACGACTTGCTATTTCAACAACTCAAGAATATCAATCAAAATGATCAGATGCAACAACCAGATCTTTCTAACATGTCTATTCAACCACATGGGTAAGAAAACTACTTATTACTGTTTTTTTTTAATATTAAACTCTCCGCAGTTTTTGTTAGACTTCATTGCGATTAATTTTTGTCCAAAATATTTTAGGGGGGCTTTGTTAAGCAATAATCAACACCAGATTCCTTATGACTCGGCTTCAAATACTAGATCAAATCCAGAGACTCGTCTTCCCATGATTTCAAACCCACATATCATGAATACGTATGTATAACATTTTTTTTTTATACACTTTAAAATTAGATTACCTTACAATCGTAAAGATTCTTGAATGTTCGCAGGTCAGATCACTATTCACCATATATGCGTACGTCATATCAACCTGACCCAGTTTCTTATAATTTCCAAAACTCAAGTTCAGCAAAACCTACTCGTCGAGCCCGTGGAAGGTAACATCATTGTCTTACCGAACATATATTTTCTTGCTAATTAGCCTTTTTTTGTGATGTAATGTTTGAAGAGATGATGATATATCATTCTAAAATTTACCAGGCCAAGGAAAAACCCAATTACTATGCCTTTGGTACCTACAACTCAAACGAGCCTAACCTCTCCGAGGTAGTAACTTTCCCTTCTAGCACAACATCTTCTTTTAACATGCATAATATAATTAAAGTTAGCTCCATGCATTTTACTTGTTAATACTCATATATCATATCTTTTTCCTCAATTTAGACATTATGGCACACAAGATAAGGGAAAGCAGCCTCTTACAACAATGCCGTCTTTGAACCCAAGTCTCTACAATCAGCGTCAAAATCCATACACAAACACAATGATCCAGCAGGTGAAGTTTTTTCATCTTATCATTAGACCAAATCTTACTTGTTTTCTAATCAATGAGCAATACAACCACTTGAAGAGTGCGACTATGTTTTTTTTTTTCCTTTTCTAGCACACACTTGTGAAAATATTAAATTTCGGGTCTAATGTTGCAGAGTGGACTTTTAAGACAACGCAATTGTTATGATCAGCTTGAAAATGAAAGTCCATCGTCTAAACTAAGGGTACACACATAAATTCTCACATACACAATTTATCTCTTCAAATCAAAGAGTGTCGATTAATTTAATAAATTATTACACAGAGGATGATGCCCCCGGTTCAAGAAAGTTCTCTACCAAATTCATCGATGGTTTCTTTTTGGCAAGATGGAAATATGCGTCCAAGTGCAGCGAATCCCAATGAAGAGAGGTATGTACATTTCAACTATAAATAAGTAATCAACATTAGGTGTTACGTATTCATATGAACTCATACAGAATAATTGGTCTAGTCTGGTCAAATTTGGTTGTCTTTAGAATCTCAAATTCAAGATCTTAAATAAACACAAAACAAAAGCTTTAGGAGCATTGCTTATACATATACTTCTTGTTTCAGGTCAATTAGAAATACAATATACGATCCATTATACGCTGGTGTTGGATTACCCATTGATCCTCATTTGAGGCTCTTCTGATTAAGTCTATGAAAAGGTAAATCTTTCATACATTTTTCTCAAGTAAATTAGAATCCGTATGCAAAATCTGATAACCAAAAATTACTTTGTAATCTTTTGTATATCTCTTTTCTTTGTTTGCAGGACAAAACATAGTGTGCATGCTTGAGGACTACTCAATATTGTTTACTCTAAATCATATAGCCAATTAGAGAAGCATATAGACTATATATTCTGTAATATAGTGGTTTCTGTGTAATAGAATAGTGTTGTCTTTATTTCTTAATCCGGATTCACATTTGGTAATGCGTATGCGTGAGTTGCTGGTAAAAAACATGCATGTACTTAAAAAGAAAATATCCGTGTTGTGTGCATGAGAAGTTGTATTTTAGTGGTATTTAATATATGAAAATAAATTTGAGTTAACAAGAAGAGAAAAATATAGCCTTTAAGGGCAGCAACGATGGTCCGATAAAGAGGCCACTAACTATAAAAATGGACCGTGGCTAAAGAAAATTGGTTCAAGATAAAATCCATTTAGCCTACGAAAAAACTTAAGATTAATAAATTTACGGTCATTAGTAATAATGTAATATCTATATGACAAGAAACTTCGTTAAATCCAATGCTATTATAGGCCTAAACTTAATCTCCAGATGTGCCTAAACTTACGTAATTTCATCTTCTTTCCTACGACATTTAGGGGTGTATTGGAAAATGAATTTTAAAAAATTTAGGTGATTTTGAGGTCTTTTTAAAAATCCCTGTTATTCAAATAAGGATTTTTAAATGAGAAAATTGCCAATTTACCCCAAAAAAAGGCATTTTTGTCCCACTACACCTTTCCATCTTGTTGTTGTCTTAATACACTTTTTTTAAAATAATTTGGACATTTTTGACCTTCAAATTGAATTGGTAATGTGTTTGGAGAAATCCTCTAAAACCATCGCTTTTAGGTCGTCAAACCTAGTATTAGATTCCACACAAACTACTCTTCCTCCTTTCCTCTCATCAGCAACAAATATCCACCCATTAATTTGACACCTCTTCCATGAACCACATACTACATAGATTTGGATTTGAACCATATTGGATAGAGAGAAAGAGGACTACAGAGGAGGAAGGGGATGAAGAAGATGAGGAAGAAGATCATGGAGGATTATTTTCGGATAGTTGGATGAAAATAAGGAAACAAAGATTTGAAAAATATTTTTTTGCAATATTCTCTCGATTTTTGCAGATGATGAACTCTACACAATGTAGAACTAACCTATTTAGTAGAATATCCTGTGAAAACACGAATACTACGCCTTGCAGAAAAACATGAAATATGTAGTACACGAAAACTATGACTGGTAGATAGCAGTGTTTACCGTAGAATTTAGAATCTACGAGTAGTAGCGGATGGTGTATTCTGTAGAATATTTTTGGAGCGAATTCTACAAAATGGTAGAGTGTATTGTATATGGTAGATATCGAAGTCTAATCCGGAAGATGAATGAAGAAATTGTAGATATCATATCCTACGACGGTTAGACTTGCGAATAACTTGTAGAAAGCGTATTCTGCTTTGATATTTTACTTTGTAGAACCAAAACTTCAAAGAATTTTTTAACCATCCAAAACATTTTTAAAAATATTCAAATATTTTACACATTCTTTAGATCATTTATAGGACTTTTAGAAATTGTGTTCACTTAAAAAAATATTCATTATCATGTTTAAACAATATTGAAGGGCAATTATGGAAAAAAATGGCCAAAGTCAAAAAAGGAGTAATAGGACAAGAAAGGCCTTTTTTGGGGTACTTTGCCAATTTCCCCTTTTTAAATGTCATTTCAAATTCAGTGTTATTGAATATGGAGTTGTAGAAAGATCATTTCAAATCACTTATCAAACCCTGTTATTGAATTAGTCATTTGTAAATCTTAAATCAAATCCACTGTTATTCAAAACTAAACAATTATTTGGGGAAAAACTTGTCACATAGGAGATTTGATAACCATTTTGGGTCAAAAATACACACCCCGAAAATAACAGCTTAGGAGGTGTGATTTGAGAGAAGCAATTTAAAAAAATAAAAAATCAAAAATCAAAATCAAAAGAAAAATTGACAAAGAAGCACCGCCGTGAAACCCATCTCCCTTCCGCCGCCTAAGTTTGACGATGAACTCGACGGTGACGAAATTGCAGCTGATGTGCCCCAGAAACCAGTGGGGATTCCTCGAAAGTATGTTGGGGGTACACTCAGAGTTAGAGTTCCGGCCAATTCGCGTCGGAAGGCTCAAATCGGAAACGGGAAGCTTGATGAAAACGGGAAACAGGAAGCTGCTAAACAATCGAAGGCTCAATTAAAGTATAAGAAAAGATAAAGCTGGAGTTTATACAAATTTTGTATGGTGTTGTATTCGATGAAATTGCTGGGAACGAATGGTTAGTTTCAGGTTTAGACCTGCAGAAATTTTGATTTTTGCCTATAACTCTTTTTAGGAGGAAGATGATCGAGAAGCTTCATGGTTCTCCAAAATACTGGAAAACTTTGTTTAAAATATTGATCTTTATAGGAAACCAAACACATTAATATTGCAGTTGGATATGCTTTAAGAAGAAAACGATAATATACTTGCTCGTTGGAAGGTTTTGTCTCAACTTCCCTTTGTTATCTCTTCTCTGTTGCTATTCGATTGCAAGTTCTTTATTTATGTTTGTGTGACTTTTGTTGTTTTGTTCCCTTTGCTATGTCTGCTGCTAAGTATATTAGCAAGGAACATAATTTTTCAAAGTAAAAGTGTAATGGTGATAGGCCATGGTTAGGGCTAAATGGTTTGGTATTGGTTTTGGTTTGTGTTCTTTTCATAGTTCTTGTGAATGGAGATGGTGAAGAAGAAGATGATGAATAGGAAGAAAGAGATGATTGGAGAAGAACAAAGAAGCATGGAAAAACGGGAACAAGAACATGGAGAAGGTCTCAACATCCGCTGTTGCTACCATTGTTGCTACTTCTTCTGAGCTAGCTGTTCCCCATAACCTGAAACTGTGGGTGATTTTTTGGTATTTTCTTCGATGGTTTCACTCAAGTGTTGAATGTTCTAAATCCTTCAAAAGTCACTTACAAATTCTGAATCTCTTTAAAATCCCAACAGAATCACCCAAAATCCCCTTAAAACATTTTCTTAAATCTCCTAAAATCCCACCATAATTTTTTCAACTCTCCTAAAATCTCTTTAAACCACCTAAAATACAAAATCATTCAAAATCACCTAAAATCTTTAAAATCCCTATTCCAATACACCCCCTTAAAAACACTGCCTTTCACATTTTCAAAACTTAGGTCAAAGCGTTTCGTCTGTAGCGCGATTCTAGGGTTTAACACAGTACACGCCATGGAAACACGGCGTCGGCAGAACGTATCGGAGGACCTTCTAACCGTCTCTCGGAGCAATACACGATCCTCGACCTTAGCGAACAAAGGAGAAAACTCAGCAGAGACGATCCCAATCGATCTTATTATCGAGATACTCTTGAAATTGCCGGTGAAATCCCTAGCGCGATGTCGCTCGATACTCTGGGACTCCATCATTCGCCGTCCACATTTTACAGAGTTGATATTAAACAGATCCTTGGCTCGACCAAGGCTCTTGCTCGCTCAGGTAATAGAAGACGATGTGTTTTTCTTTTCATCGCCTCAGCTTCAAAATCCGGATGAGAACTTGTCTCCTGTAGCCGCCACTTATCACATGAAATTCCAGTTTTATGGTGGTTCTCGGCTATTTCATAATAATGTTCATGGATTAGTTTTTCTTAAGTATATGGAAAAGGGAAAGAAGGATGAGGTGATGGTGATATGTAACCCTAGCACAGGACAATCATTAACCCCACCGAAAGTGAAGACAACGAGGATTGATGTGTACAGCTTTTTGGGGTATGACCCGATTGATAAACAATTTAAGGTCTTGTCAATGACATGCTCATTGCCTGAAAGGACCACCGAGCAGCATCAAGTTCTGACATTAGGAGGAACTGGGAAACTGTCATGGAGAATGATTGAGTGTAGCTTACCCCATTATCCACAAAGTGATGGTATATGTATCAATGGTGTTTTGTATTATAAAGCTAAGGTCTATGGGGTTGAAAGTAATAGTGGGATAGTTTGCTTTGATATTAGGTCTGAGAAGTTCGAGTTGATTCCAAAGTTTGATTTCTTTACACCGTGGATGTTAAACTACATGGGTAGATTAGCTATACTCAAATGGGACGATGATTTTCAGATGGTAACAACTATGAGTTTCGAGTTGTGTGTTCTTGAAGATGCCAAGAAACATGAATGGTCGACGCGTACCTTTGTGCCGCCCGCTTTGTGGAACGAAGATGTTACGTTGGACGTTGTTGGATTCACCAGAAGAGGTGAAATCGTCTTGTCTCAATGCTATTCATCCAACCTTTTATTCCTTATCTACTACAATCCCGAGAGAAGCACTCTTACAAAAGTTGATATCCAAGGAATGGATGCGTTTAAGCATAACAAGGTTCACTTCTTTCTGGATCATGTAGAGGATGTGAAGCTAGGTGGAGTGTTTAGGACAGTATAACACATAAGCTTTGTAAGAGAGCTAGTTCTAATCATCTTATTGTTTTTTATTTTGAGACGTGAGTGAGCAACGGTTGTGCTAAGTTAAGTTTTTTTTTTTTTTTTTTTTTTTTTTTTTTTTTTTTTTTTTTTGCTTTTAGAAGCAAAAGCCACTATGTGAAATCATATTTTCATGAATTATATGTTACTAATCCATATGTTGGATAGAAAGGACCACACTACAAAGAGAAAAGACTCTAATTAAACTACAAATGGAAAAGAAAAAACAGTATACAGCAATATGAACTTGATCACTTCATTGCTCGTTAAATAGGCATATGTTAATATTACTAGGTGATGCTTTTTCACTCAATTGCTTATTATGGGCCATATATTAATCTCCTGATGGCCCTAAACTTACGTAATTTCATTTTCTTTCCTACGACACAAAACACTTCATTTTCACATTTTCAAATTTTAGGTCAAGCGTTTCGTCTGTAGCGCGGCGATTCCAGGTTTTAATAGAGTGTACGACATGGAAACACGGCGCCGGCAGAACGTCTCGGAGGAGGAGGATCTTCAAACCGTCTCTCTGGACAACACACGATCCTCGACCTTAGCGAACAAAGGAGAACACTCAGCTGAGAGGATCCCAACCGATCTCATTATCGAGATACTCTTGAAATTGCCGGTGACATCCATTGCGAGATGTCGTTGCGTATCGAAGCTCTGGGACTCCATCATTCGTCGTCCATATTTCCCAGAGTTGATATTGACCAGATCTATGGCTCGACCGCAGCTCTTGTTCGCGTGCAAAAAAGACGGTAACGTGTTCTTCTTTTCATCGTCTCAGCCTCAAGATCCGGATGAGAAGTCGTCTCCTGTAGCCGCCAATTATCACATGAAATTCCAGTTTGATGGTTATTCTTCGCAATTTTCTTATTCTGTTCATAGATTAATTTTTATCAAATTTATGATGGTGATATGTAACCCTAGCACAGGACAATCCTTAACCCTACCGAATGAGAAGACAATCAGGATTCATGTGATCAATTTTTTTGGGTATAACCCGGTAGATAAACAATTGAAGGTATTGTCAATGACAAGGGCAAGGTCTGGAAGAAACAGGCCCACAGAGGAGCATCAAGTTCTGACATTAGGAGGAACCGAGAAACTGTCCTGGAGAATGATCGAATGTAGCTTACCCCATTATCCACAAAGTGATGGGATATGTATCAATGGTGTTTTGTATTATAAAGCTGTCGTCTACGGGTTTGAAAGGCGTTATGGGATAGTTTGCTTTGATACTTGGTCTGAGAAGTTCGAGTTTCTTGGAAAACAAGTCTTGTCATCGAAGTTGGTAAACTACTTGGGTAAGTTAGGTATACTCCATTTGAACGTTAATGATCATATGGTGGAGTTGTGCGTTCTTGAAGATGCCAAGAAACATGAATGGTCGAAGCGTATCTTCGGGCCGCCAGCTTTGCAGAACGATATAGCGGCAAATGTTACGTTGGACGTTGTTGGAGTCACCAGAAGAGGTGAAATCGTCTTGTCTGAGTGCTATTATTCCGAATTTGTTTCCCTTATCTACTACAATCTCGAGAGAAACATTCTCACAAAAGTTGAAGTCCAAGGATTGCGTACGTTCAGGCATTGGGAAGTTCACACTTTTCTAGATCATGTAGAGGATGTGAAGCTTGGCGGAGTGTTTAGGACAACATAACTCGAAGCCTTGTAAGAGAGCTAGTTCTAATCATCTTATTGGATTTTTAATTTTTTTAATTGAGTGTTTAGGACAACATTGCTCACCGAACTTCATTGCTCACCGAATATGTTGGATCACATAGAGATTTATAGAAATATATAAATATAAAATATTAATTTTTACTATGTGTTTGACTATATTTAGCCGAGAAAATTAGAATAAAATATTTTTTTTCTACAATTTTTAAGCTAAGATGTGATCTGTTTGTTACAAAAAAAATCTTGTTGTCAACGTTTTATCAAATTTTCGTTATTTATAGTGCATGATCTTAATGATGTAGGTTGAAGAATGTCCGAAGCGTTTGATAAAGTGGAATGGAAGAAACAAAGACTTGGAGAAGAAGAAGAAGAAGAAGTAATTCACAAGATGGGTGGAGTTTCCTGTTCCCATGCCCAATTCTGAAGTATATGAGATTCCAAACGAAATACAAATGACGATCTCATTTTTTTAGTTTTTTTCAATGAATACTACCGAGTACAATCGTTTTAAATTTTTTATTTTTGGGCATTTGTTTTCAAAAAATTATCTTATCAAGTAGAGTTTGTTGTTAAACGAACAACTTTATAGTTTAAGAAGATTTAAAGTCTATTGACAAGAACCTGTGCCTACGTAGAACCGAATCGGTTGGCTCCCTTAGCTAACCTAAACAGTACCTTTTAATAATACATGGAGATTTCGTCGTCAAAAAAAAAAAAAAAGTTTATATTGACAAGAACCTGTGCCTATCTCCCCTCGTTAAATCCAATGACAAATTTTAGGTTTGATTTCGATGATCTCACATGCTCTGTTGGAAGTAGACTTGTAAAACAGAATGTGTCGTGCAACAGAACTCGAAGCTCTAACGTAATGAAAATCGTGAAGCCAATACTTTTGTTTCTGTATATATGGAATAATAAGTATTCTCTAAATCACCGGTACTTTTCTTAATTTCTTGAACAAGTATATCACTAGTATTACCTATTCTTTTATGCGTTAGAAGTTGATTACTTTCAGCCATGTAATGCTTTTTCACTCAAATTCTTTAACGAATCTAGTAGGAAACCCCATAAGGATAGGTCGACTTATTTCACTCGTTCATATACTCAAAATAGCAAGTTTGATGATTACATATAATTATATATTATCGCTTTTGTTTTTGTGTTCTGGATTTCGTAGCGTTTGACTTGCTTTGGGAATCATCGAAAGAACATGTTGAAATTAAATTGATATACTATTCACACACACACAAAAAAACTTTCTAGCTATTATCCACCAAAAAAATATCTTGAGAGCTCATCTCATCACATTTGACTTTATGCTCAAAAATCTTAAAAATGTTTCACTTTCAGATAATGTTGATCTTGATACAGCTTGTGTCAAGGACTTCGGTTCCGTGTGTCGTGTGCCTTAGTATTGTCCATCCTGATAAGTAAACTATTGAATACATAGTCAGTTTCACCAGTTTAAAATTTATTTGTTTCTTCACGGACTTCTCTAGATCTGAAATTCATATACTAAGCAACCCAAAAAAAAAATGATATTGCATTGGAACATAATGCTGATGTGGCCAATTTATCTCGTTTCAGATGATTCAGACTTCATTAAGACTCTTCCTGGTCCTGATCTGTAACAGTGATTTTAACTCTGAATTTTTAGTTTAAAATAACTTTTGGCCGATTTTCTATTCGCGTCTTCGAGCTTTCTCAGAATCTGGATTTGCTATACCAACAGTAATTAATATATTAGCTCAAAACCATTGCATTTCTGAGTTTCTCCATAAATTTAAGCTAAGCTTAGTAAACAGACAACTAATATAGGAATGGTAAGGTTTCTGTAATCTCTTGTGATGCGTGTTAATCAGTCAATGGCTTAAAAATATATAAATCAAAAACATAATCCATTGTTATTTAAAACTTGATTTTACATTATGGCTATGATATGTCATTTGAAGATATTCAGTGTTATCCATTTGAGATTTAAAATACTGAAAGTAAAATCGGATGTTACTCAAAGCTAAAATATTTCCTAAGATTTCCAATATATTGCAGTTTCCAAAAATAGTTATCTTTTATGATTATTTATTCGGATAAATCAATCCTGTCGCTGTGGCTATCACTGAATATCCTTTGGATAAGGAAAAAAAGTGAATACGAATTTTCTAATTTTTTTAGTTACACGCTGTAAAATAGGTAAAGGTGTTATCCTTAACCCCAAAAATTAGGAAAGGTTAAGGATTTACAGCAGGCGAGAGAGGAAAGACTTGGTTAAACGCCTAAGTTTAAGCATTTTCTTCTTCCTTTCTTTTTAGATTGCAATTATTATTTATTATCTTTCCTTAATCCCAAAATATTTTAAAAATCGAATTGATTGATACTAGTACTGTATCGCATCGATTCCGTTTCAACGAATTAAAGTCTCTTCTGCTTCGTTGTGAGTGCGTGTATAAGAGAACAAAAGTTCGCGTAACGTTCGTCCTTTAACCTCAAGAGAAGAAAACTCGTTTGGTCATCCATGTAAACAGGTAATTTTATTATTCGATCTGATTTTCTCTTTTATACCGTAGTATTTGTTTGATCATTTTAATCTATACATTCAATCTGTTTCGTGTTTGTCTGATTATTCTATTTGATCGGTGATTCACGACGATTAATCTGAAATCTGATTAGGGCATGATTTTTATCCTAATCCCAATAATTCGTTTTTATATTTTAATGTTGATACCTCGGTACAACACATTAGAATGTTCGTGTTTGTTTATAATTATTTTTCTTAGAAATTTGGGTTTAAATTGTTGTTTGAATCCTGGAAAAGCAAGATCTTCGTAGAAGCCGGCTTCGTTTTTTAATTTCTTTTTGACAGAATTAAGGTACGTGTAGCTTGTTCGATTTGACCATTGATTTTTTGAGATTTCTCTGTTTCACTAATATAATAATTAATTATTATCAAAGTAATCTGTCAACAACTTGTTTATTTCGTGAATCGTAGTTGCTTTTTTGTGTTCAAGAATAGACGACAGATTCTGGTTAAATCATTGAGAGAAAAAAATTAGTAAAACGAAAACAAAATAGAGGCTTGATGAGGGTGAGAATCAAAAACGTGTAGCTTCCATGAAACCGAAGTTGCCTTTTGCTTTTATCATAACGTTTATAAGAACTTTGACAACAGATTTTGGCTGTTTTTATCTCCCTTTTAAATCAATTCTTTATACATAGGCGTTTTGAAGATCATAGGCAGTGATCTTTCAATGAACTTTTTTTTTGTGTCCATTTTTTCTATTAATGAATTATTTCAACAAAATGAAACAGTAACTAATTGTTTCACAGAGAATATCCAGTATGTATGGATTATAACACTATTCGTTCGCGCACATCCATATTCCTAAATCCAACAACTTCAGTTGTTTGTTCCGACGCCATTTCTTTGTACTTGTACTTTGTACAATTTGTGTGGTAGGAAAGACCTTAATTTCTGCATCATCTTTGTATTTGAAGTTTTTTTTTTTTTTTTTTATGGAAATTGGTTGGAGTTATAGCTAGCGGTATATTTATGATTATAGATTGAATTACAAAAAACTTCTTGGACCTTTTAAAGTTGTAGAATTGTGCTTATACAGATTAGAAAAAGCATGAAAAGCATTGCATAGTTGTATAGATTTCCTTCTCTTTGGTGCATGTCTTGTAGATGTTGTGAGATATACTTGAATTTCAACTAGAAATTACATTCTCTTTTCCCTTTTTCTTAATTTCCTATAAGTTTGTTTTTTTTTAGAAATAAATTTCATTGGATAAAAGAAAGGTGTTAAAGATACACATATACCGCACTCAAAATGGATATGGTATAGAATTTCTAAGAAACTTCTAGAGGTTGTACTTGTACCGATCAGGCACTTTAGTTTATATAATTTGGTAATGATGACATATTCGAATCCGTTAGCAAAAAGTTTGATTTGGGTCTATTTTGGTCTAATAACATTTCCTTATTTTTCTCATTCACAGGAAGAAAAGAAAAAACATTAAATGTCACAGATTCTCAATAATATCTCAGAGACCATCCCTTTCGTGACGTCACCAACTCCGCTTAGCTGTCTCTCTGTTTAAAAGCTCTCCATGCAACTCTAACATCCAAATAAAAATAAATAAAAACAAAACCCACAAAGAAAAAGAAAAAATATTTCTTTTTGGTTGGGTTTTGTTTTTTTTGTTTTTAAATCAAGAATATGGAGAGAGCCTCTTCTTCCTCCGACTCATCATCATCATCATCATCCATGGCTGCTTCTTCTTCTTCTTCTTCTGATCAGTCTATCTCCATCAATTCCGACCAAACCACACCTTTCATGACGTCATCCATGCTTTCCCGCACCACGTCATCATCCTCCTCTTCCTCCGCCGTGGGAGACTACATCGGCACCGAGAGCTGCTTCGACATCCTCTCCGCAGGCGAAGAAAACGACGTCGTCCCCGTGTCCGAGCCTTCACTCAGCCGGTATCGTTACGGAGGAAGGAGAAGAGAGGAGAGAGAAGCGAGAGCTGCGGCGGCGCGTGAGTTTCCTCCGCCGATACCTCTGCTCGCTCAGACCGAGAATCTTCTCCCGCACATGCCGTGGATTATGAAGCGTGTGGTGACGAGCGACGGGAGGCTAATTCTGAGAGAAGAGAAAGTTCGTCATCACGAGTATTTCCGTGCGCATAGATCCAATGGTCGTCTCACTCTCCACCTTGTTCCTCTAGACGACGACGTATTCGAACTTCCTCGAGAGCCCTCTCATTATCCATCTGATGAGGATGATGATGCTTCTGATGATGAGCTTGAGTGTGATGATGATGTTGATCACCATCAAGAGGTAGGAGATGAGTTGGATGATCTGGCGGATAATGTTGATAAGAGTGTTGTTATTTCTGCCACTAATGATGATGATGGTGTTATCCATAATGATGATGATGATAAGCGCAATGTGCATGGTGGTAGTGAAGATGGATATAGGAAGGTTATATTAGCGGCGGTGGCGGAAGAGACGGTGGTGGAGAGTGGAGGAATGGTCGGAGGAGGAGGATCGCCGAGAGGAAAGTGTTTGAAGTCTTGTTTTGTTGACATGAGAGTTCGAGAGATCAGACCAGTTCTTAGTTGAAACCTTATTATTATTAGTCCTTATTAGCTTCTTTTTTTTCTTGTGGAAGGCAAACATTGTCATGGCAGAGAGTTATAAGAAGACACTACCGGCTTAATTGATATAAACATCAGAGGTTTTTTTAATTAAAACAAAAGGTTGTTTATTTCTTGCTTGTAATCTTCAGAGAGTGTACCCTATGTCCTTTGAGGGTTTTTGTAGGATATATAAACTTTTTATATTCGGTTGATAGTTTTGGCAGTACATGAGAGAGGATTTTGTTTTTCAGTTTGAATTATGGAAAATGAGATGCAGTTAACTTTGTAGGATAATATGTTTCCAATCGAGGTTCAATTATTTTTATCAAAAAATAATATGATAAAGAAAAAAATTTGAAAAAGGGAAGAGTAATATAACAGCTAATATTAGATATACCATATGGTGCTACCAGCTAAGATTGTTGTTCATTATCGGAGAGAATTGTATGGAAAGGAAATTGATTTGAAATGGACTCATACCTTGAATCCAGCGATTTTCTTCTATCCAAAATCTTCTATCTAAAAAATATATTATTCTGTTTATCACTTTAAAAAATCGAATTTGTCTAGACATAAATCCCTGTAAGAGAAAGGACCTCGTCAAATTGAGAAAGAAATTTAGAGTATACATATATAGAAGTAAGTATATATGATATTTTCTTTGAGTTTGTATTATCAAAAAAATCTTTAATTTTTTCGAAAGAAAAAAGAAGCCAATAAGGAGGAATAAAAGGTACGGAGAAAAATGTAAGTACAGCTAAGATAGAAAGATAGAGTTTCCCGATGAACAAGACTGATTTTAAGACACTGTCTTCTGTTCTGTCTTTTCTCAGTTCCCTCATCATTGGTCTTTTCCACCACCTGATCTCTTGTCCTCTTTTTACCCCGGTTTATTCTCTTTTACCGGTCTTCTTATTACCCCCGGTTTACTCCCTTCAACCGGTCTTCTTCATTCCTTCAAAAATCAAAATGTATACGATCTCAATTTCAAATCATTGACAATCTAAGCCCCAATAACAATAAGATTACATATGACTATATGAGATTGAAGGAACTTTCAAAGTGAAAGCTGACTTTGTGTTCTTCCACTTCTCATACACGTTTCTAGGGAGTTGCAACATTGAGATGAGCAGTCCTCCAACCGGAATACTGGTTTCTCGTAGCTTTACCACGAAGACAAAGTGAAGAAATCCATGTATTCCTTCTCTGGTTGTATCTCATAGTGTCTTAAACTTTTAGTAGTGGTGTATTTGATTCATTTATCTCCTTTAAGGTAATGGGTGAAACAACAGGCAAATTATACAACCACTTATTTCACAATAGCATAAACATAGTTACAATGAAAACGATAGTTTTTATTTCAAACATTATTAGTAAGCTATTGTGAAAGCAAGCACACCATTATCGGTTTCTTAAAATGTTAATAGTGGTGGATTTGATTCCTTTCTCTCCATTAAGAGAATGTGTGAAACAACAAGTGAAAGAGTTTAATTTTGAAAGAAAGAGGTTCCAAAGATATTCATTACCATGTCAAGTGTTCCACATTCTCCTCCTGAAACTCTGTCGGAGTGGTTCACTCCGACCAGCACTCTACCACAGATCGAAGAAGCATCACCAGGAGAGAGAGTAACAGAAGAAACACCACCCAAAGATAGAGTGATTCCTTTTTCTTCATTAGAATGTGTGAAATAACAAGTGAAATAATTTAATTTTGAAAGAATCTTAATTTTTGGGAGATTATTAAGACAGCTCAAGACACTAATGTGAGTGGAAATATATTTTGACAAAAAATAATCTTAATTTTTGGGAGATTATTAAGATTTCACCTTCTTTTTACTAGTAACATTTCACAAGAAGCAGAGTCAAACCTATCCAAAATATAATGAGTTTGTTTTGCTTATAATTTGCATATATTTTGCTTATAATTTGCATATATTTTGCTTAAAATTTGCATATGTTTTTCTTATTATTGTTGTTTTTTCAACATTTTAATAGTAATAATGTATGATAAAATTATAATTAGAAATATAATAAAACTCATTATCAATTTCTAGATTTGAAAATATCTGACATATAACTATAAACCTGAACAAAAAAACCTGAAAATATTTCATAACTGGTCATAATGGAATGGAGAATTTGTGGTTACATATAAGGAGAATTACTGTATAAATTAAGGTTTTTGTTATTGGATCATCAAAAAGTTTTTTTAAAAACTCACTTATCTTTCCTAGTTCTTAAAAGCGGAATGGTTATTTGAATTTGAGGAAAATGATAAATCATTTTATATGTAATTGCAATATATATTTTATTCAATAAGTAATCCTTACAAGACCATAAGATAGAAAGTTGCCGCTAAAACAAAAATGGTTTGAGGTTCACTTCATTTGAAAGATTAAAGTTTGTTTACTCTAAAATTTTGTCCACTTATACTCTAATTTGGGTGCTTCTTTCCCATGTGTGAAGTAAATTCCATCTTCTCTAGCATCCCAAAAATTTTGTTTACCATAATGAACAATGACACCACCACCTTCATATGCCCTAAACTTTGCATGAAGCCCGAAATTAAACCCCTGCCATAGATCACAATCGACTATGGTCTTGAAAACACTTTCCTGAAAACTAAAATCGTAAGCTTCTCCAGGTTTCAATATGTGGAAACCTAAATCGTCTTGGTCAGACACACAATGAATCCTGAGAAGATTGAGCGAACGAAGAGAACTTTTGAAATGTACCGAGTCTTTCTCCCAAACCGCATTACTTGACTCAATGCACACTAAAATGATAAGCAAAAAACCATAAAGAAATTTCATCTTTGTGTATGTGTATTTCGCTTAATACTGATTTTATCTTAGATTAAACTTTAAAGGGTTCCAATTTATAGAATATGTTTTACAAGCTCATATTCATGCACACTAAGATTTTATCTTTGCATATCATAGTAAGGCGTTATGCTTTTAAAACAAAATCTTCTGTCTATGGTAAATATTGAAAATAGTTAGTCAACGTACGTTCACCATTAACGTTTGTAATATGCATCAGTGACATGGACTTCCTTACATAAGTTACATTGGACACATACGTATTCTCTCATCCCTTAACGAAATTTTCAAACTTGTTTCATGGGGCGACTAGTTCTAATCTCCCCTTTGATTCCGCCTAATTTTAAGCATTTATACGAAAAAGACTTTTTAAGCCCTCTAATTTTATTTCTTTCTAATACTAGTCATTAATATTTCACACATTTATCAATTGTCTTGCGAGACTATCTTAGTGATAAGAAAACTTACAAAATCTAATATTGTATCAGTTCTGTTTTCAATGAAAGAAAAACCATATCATTTTTTTCTAATTCTCATTTAACATGTTTCAAACACAAATTAAAAAGAAATATACATTCACTCAGTTACATACTGATTCGTGTTCTTTATTTTAGCGTCGAAAGAAACCCTTAGAATGAAATTACGAATTCTTATTAGTGTTAGATTTTAACACACTAATCGAGTTAATTCGTCATCACGTCTTAATCCTTAATTTTCTTGCTGCAATACGTATTAGATCTCTTTTTTCTCTTCTCAAATTTTGTATATTTGGGATCGATCGTCATACATTGTTGTAAAAATCAAAGGTGCATAGCTCGTTTTCGATTTGATCATTGCACATTCTCACTATAAAGATAAGTACTTTGTTTGATGTGGAAAACAAAGTGAGCTTTGGTTTCGATCCAGATGGAGATTGTTTTGGAACCAAACGATGCATTTGATTGGTCGTATAGAGGCGAAGGAGCTGTTAATTTGGTTCTCGCTTACACTGGATCTTCTCCCACTTTCGTTTGTCTCTTCGATCTCTCCTTTTAATATTTTTTGAATCTCTCGATCGTCTTGAGAGTGTAAAAAGAAGTATGAAACATTGTTTCTCTGTCTTTGTGTGTTTGTTATGTGTGAAGTTGGGAAAGATGATGAGAATACAGAAAATGCCAAAGGAAGGGAAACAAGAAAATGGAGAGACAAGTGAGAATGGTCTTACGGATCATGAGAAGCTTATTTGGGGAGAGTTTAAGGATCTTGTATCTTGCCAGAACAAAGAGATTGTCGAGTTTCTGTTTGTCAAACATGTCATGACACCTTTGTTGGGTCATAAACATGCCAATGCTGGAGTATGTTTTCCTCTAAAACTCCTTTCTCTTGTGTCATTTTGGGATGTTTCAAAAGAGTTTTGTTTGTGTCTTGAGGTCTTATATAACAATTTTTTTTTGTGCAGATCCGTCTTCTAGTAGCAAAGGAGTTTCTTGAGTCTGTTGAGAGCATTGTGACATCTCAGCGACCTTCTTGGCGAGCTGATGCAGCTAGTGTGGATACTAACCGCAATTCCGTGCTTCTGATGGATGATTTGACGCTTTTCGCTCACGGTAACTCCAAATTTGTATATTTAACCTTTTGGTGACACTCTTTTTTTTTACTGCCAAGAAATCATTTATTGTGAGCTTATAAGATATGTTTTTTGGTTAATAATCTCCTCTGTTTTCAGGTCATATTGAGGATAAACCTTGCTTAAGTGTTGAAATAAAGGTGTTGTTCTTGATCATTATCTTTACCTTTTTCTCTGCTAGAGATTGCATGTTTTTTCCGGCTAATATACATTTGCCATGTTTGACTCTGATGAAGTAGCCCAAATGTGGATTTCTACCATCTTCAAGCTTCATAGCAGAAGAAAATGTCATCAAGAAGAGCATAACTCGTTTCCAGATGCATCAAGTTCTAAAGCTCAAAGAAAACGAGGTAACTTCTGAAATCTTCCTACGATTCAACAATCCAACACGTTAAGAGTTGTGTTTGTGTGTTGCAGATCTCAGAGATCAGTGAATATGATCCATTAGACCTTTTCTCTGGATCCAAAGACAGAATACACAAAGCGATAAGAGCTCTGTACACGACTCCTCAGAACAACTTCCGAGTGTTCTTGAATGGTTCTCTTGTGTTTGGAGGATTAGGTGGTGGCATAAGCAAGACAACCACAAAGACTGAACAAGAATTTGATCATCTGCTCAAAGATATCATCAGAACCGAAGACGGCCTGCGTTCAAACCATTTCATAGAGCTTGTTGCTGAAACTGTTTACGCATCTGGAGTTCTAGATCACCTTCTTGACGTTCAAAAGCTCGACAAGTATAATATCGAAGGAGCGATTCACGTGTACTACGACTTAGTTGAGCAGCCATGTAAAGTGTGCGGAGAGTTGGAGAAGAGTGAATTGACAAGTCAGTTCAGTTTCATGCATTCGATTCCGGTGGATGAAAAAGTGAATGTTTTGAAAGATTTTCTGATATCTGCCACTGCAAAGGATTGTAGTGTAATGATAGGTTTTAGATCAACAGAGGAAGGGATCTCAAGATCTTCTTCTCATAGTAATCTGAATCTTGAATCAGCAAAGCAAGAATTTGATTACAAGGTAAGTCTTTTCTTTTACATCTAGATACTCTTACTCTTTGCTTTTTGTTGAGCTGCTTGTGTCTCTCTACGTTGTGACAGGTGCATTTCATTGATCTTGATATGAGACCTTTAAAGAAAATGGAAGTCTATTACAAATTAGACAAGAAGATCATCAACACATACCTGGAGATGCTAAACAAGAAAGAAGCAATGGGAGAGAGAAGAGATGAGCCTGAATGATCCTAAGAAAGTCTCTGTAATCTGCTAGTTCCTCACCATTGGTCTGTTTCTCTTCTCTTCCCGGTTTACTCTTTTAAGTTTTAACCGGTCTTGATTCCCTATTGCTCAGCTTCTTTAGGATGAACATGACAATGTTGATACACATATGTTTGACAATCATTATTCCCAAAACCATGGAAAGGAAAAGAGATGAATGAGAAATGAAAAAACATAATCAGAAACTCTATATATTTATACAAATATAAAGAGCCTTATTCATCAAATACATTACATGTGTTCCACCCAAATTTACATCTTTTTCTTTTTATCCATTTCTTTGAAGAAACTTCATTATGCAAAAACCAAAACATCAATGAGGAAGATGATGCTCTAAATGGAGAATCATTCACTCTACATCTCCAAACACTTTCTCTCACAGATAAACAAAGTCTCTAGCTAACATCATTTGAAAGGCTTACCCTTCTTCCTTGTGCTTCTGATCTCTTTTGTTTTTGCCTCCTAACTTGTTAAGTATGTTCTCTTGGACGAGCTGCCCATAGAGAACTAAGAGCACGAAGCCTGTGGAAATACTCTCCTAAAGCGAGCAAGCCTCGAGCAGACTGTCTTGTCGTCAAGATCTTGCTCATTTGCTGCAGACTCTGCTGCCTCAGATGATCCGCCTGTTCCATAGAGAGACATGAGAGGGTTTCAATGCTTTATCTCGACAGAAAAAAAAAGACACAAGCTTTCTTGGTTTTGTAAGCTGTTTTATGAAAGATGAAAGATTTTGAATTCAAGACCATTTGAGACTGCAGAAGCATTACCTGGTTCGCAAAACCCTCCAATGCTTGAAGATTCTCCATGGCTGATCCCATTTGAGCTCCAAAATTCACGGAGTCAACAACTTTGATTTGAGTTGATATGCTTTCCACCAAACTTTGCTGAAGTTTATCTAAGCCTTGAGAAAGAGCCTCCTCTGCTTGCTGAGACGACTGTTGGAGGTTTCTCACCTCCAAGTTTTGCTGATCAGTTAAAGGCTCAATGTATGGCATCACAACCTGAAAACAACAAATAAGAAAATTGAGAACTGTGTTCTGACTGTTAACATGTAAAGGGTAAATAAAGAAAAGGTTTTACATTTAACAGCTCGGATGGGCGGAAACCGCCAATCCACTGGAAGAAGCGTTCAGTTGAAGTTCGCCACATTCCGGATATCAAAAAGAACACATCAGCCTTTGCAGCATCAGCTTTCATGCGGAAGAGATTCGCGTAGTGGCTCAAGCAAATGTCCACCAGCATTTTGAGCTCAATGTCGCTTACATGAGCTTGGAGCGCTGTTCGAATCTCACTAACTCTCTTGTTTTGCTCCTCTAGCCAGTGTGTGTGTTCCATCTCAAACGCAGCAATCCCTGAAAAAAAAAAGATTCATTGAGAAAAACTACTTCTTTTAACAGACTATTGAGAGATGAATGAAACAAACACCAACCTGTGTTCACAGTCCCAGCTGGTCCTAGATAGCTAGTATCTGATGAATTGCGTACGCATAATCCCTGAAACACCAAACAATCAATCACTGAGTCAGAACGAGAGAGTGTAATTATATGAACACAAAGCCAAAATCCAAAAAAGAAGAAGCTTGAGCTCACCTGTTGCCTAGCTCTTACAAGTTCTTGCTCGAGCTGAGATAACTTTAACCGGCTTTCTTCTAACTGCTGGACATGAGCCTAAAGGCACAGACATAACTCTTGTATAAGCTTCTTTTTGTTTCCTTACCATTACCACAAGAAAAAAATCCAGCGATGGACATTTCTTACCTTCTTTCTCAAACGACTTTTGCGAGCAGCCTCTCGGTTCTGAGCCAGACGCCGTTTCATCTGTGCACATACAGAATGAACAACAACAATTCATGTCATCACGCCGTTGTCTCTTCCTTTAAAAAATTAAAATGGAGAAGGAGAGGTTTATGAGGTTTTTCTAAACAAAAAGGATCAATACCCTAAAATGCTAACAACAACCACTCAAATCTCATCATTCATATAAACAAAAAAAAGCTAAAGTCTTCTTTCCAGAGAAGAAAGATTAGTTTTTTACCTTATCATTGATCTGGTCTTCGTCTTGATCATTGTTACTAGAAGGTTCTGCTTCAACAGAGTTTGTAGTATAATTTGCCTGCGCATAGTTGATCACTATTAACAAACAAGCAACACCTAAACATGAATCTGGAAAAGGAATATAATCTCTCTCTCTCTCACCTTATTGTTATCATCTGCTTCAGCTCTAGCATCCACCTCAAGAATTGTGGAAGAGCTCTGATTGTTGTTCTGATTACTAGTGATATTGCTGAAAGCATTTTCCCAACCAGATAACTGTTGGAATGGTTCATACATCTCTCTGAATGATACCACTTGTGTAGTAGAAGAAGAGCTCATCATCTGTGAATCAGTTATTACAGAATCAAGGCACAATAAGCAGAAAAGAGAAGAAGAAACAGTGTTTGTTAAGATCACACTATTCAATAGAGATAGATCCAATCAGTAAAAATTCTTCATCAGTTTCTCGAATTGTAAGCTATAAAGATTCAAACTTTAAACAGTAATAAAGCCAAACTCCTTAAAGATTGAGCCTTTTGAAGAAAACTAGCCAAATACAGCAATACCCATCAAAATTTGAACAAAAACAAACGCAGACAAGGAAATCAAACAAACCTCCATTGATAAGCAGAGAAATTCATCAAGAAAATCAGTGAATTTCTACTAGCTAGTTGAAACGCGTTCTTGGGTATATTCTCCGTTCAAGAGAGAAGAGAGAAATGACGAAAACTTTGGTCAAAACTTAGAGGTGAAGTGTACACATCATTGAAAGAGAGGAGGAGGAAGTAGAAAAAGCAGAGATATTTTTCTTTCGTCTTTTAAAAAAATAATTTTTGATACTTTTTTCTCTCTTTGCTTTGATTTGTGATTTGTCCATGAGCGTAGAATAATAAGCAAGTTGAAGTAAACGAACGATGAACGACAAAAGCACCGGGAGAAAACAAATCGAGAGAGAAAAAGTCGAAGTCTTTTCATCAATGCCCACAAAAAAAGTTTGACGTTACCATGCGCCTCCCTGACTAAAATACGCGTGAGATGGCGTCACCACACAGGTGATGAGCTGGATTCTCATCGGCGGCCGACACGTCTATTGCTCGACGGGAATATTCCGGCCGGCTCCACAAGTTTGGTTAAATTATTCGTTTTTTTCTTTAAAGTAAAACACAGTTATAGAATCTGAAACTCACATGTATGTATATCTACGGGTATTTTATTTGAAAAAAAAAACTTTTTTAAAAACTTATAGACATTGTTGACATATCATTTACTTTACAAAAAAAATCATTTTTTGTCAACAAAGAATAAAATTTTCATATAATATTTGTTAACAAAAAAAATGAATATAGTATGGTTTATTTCTTATTATTGTAATCGTTTTTATTTTTTTGTTAAAAATTGTAATCGTTTTTATTACTAATATACTTTTCTTTCGAAATTAAATAATGTTTCCTAGAAATTAGGTATAGTATTAAATGTTGACCAAAAAAAAAAGGTATAGTATTAATGTTATGCTTGTGCAAGATTAATGGAACAAGTGTGCAAGATTAATACTTTAATCATTTCATTTGTTTTTTTGGAGGATCTCTAATGTTAATGTTATGCTTGTGCAGTGGCATCTTTAACTTTAAGTACCACTCCTTCGCTTAGTGAGTAATAATTGGGCCTTTAGTGACCTACTCAACTCTAAGAGATAATATTTTCTATTGAATTTTTCTTTTTTTTTGCCTATTCAAAGATTGATTCTTTAATTAGTTTGGCACCACTTGTCTTATAAAATCTGTGTTTCGACAGAGACATGCATGCCTCTGTGTGTGTGTGTGTGTGTGTGTGTGTGTGTGTGTGTGTGTGTGTTATCTATTTACTTTTGGTTTTGCTTTAATAAAGATTTCTAAATAGTTTTCAGTCCTCATTGAGATTCATGTTGGTCGATGACAAAGAAGGAAAAAGTAGCAAAGGAAATGAATCTGTATTCTTCTAGAATAACGTTTACCTTAAGTTTACTGCAATATTAGGGTTTTTGACATGAAGATCCGCTTAGCTTTCAAATACCAAATGAAGCTAAAATATATACTACTAATCAGAATTTGAAGATTTCGATGAGTGTGCTCACACACAAAAAAACAAAAAAAAATACAAGTACGAAATGTCATAGATAACAAGTTAGCAACGAGATATGGAGCTGTTTAAGTGCCAGAGTGAAGTTGGGCCTATGATCGTAAGGCCTCATAATATTTGCTGATATTCTCACGTAGCAACTAGCAAATAAGTGTACATGAGAAAGGAAAGTTTAGTGCAAAGTTGCCGATTCCTAGGCACGTCATCTCATAGAGATTATGCTGAGAAGGTCGATGCTGAGTGTCAGGCCTAGGGTAGGCAGTTCTTGCTGAAACCGAATAATCATAACCTTATTTTTCAAGAACTATTGAGTTTAAGACATTAGTATAGGCCTACATGCATAAAAGTGTTTTGTATTGACTATGCTGTCTATGCTTGTAGTAGCATGGTCTAACATTCGAAATTTGTGTACCAATAATTTCTATGCTGTGAGTATCAAAGCCTAGATACTGATGCTTGTAGTCGCATGGTCTAACCTTCAAAATGCGTGTACCAAGAATATCTATGCTATGAGTATCAAACCCTAGATAGGGTGTCTAGCTACACCAACACGATTCCAAATAAATTTTCGTTGTTTAAAAATTAGGTATACACACCATAAAGAGTCCCTTGATCAGAAACTTCAAGTAGTTAGTATTTCAATTTATATGATTAGATCATTTAGTTTCTAAGGAAAACAAAAATTTGGTAGAGATTATTTAAACAATTTGGTTTTAGTCTGCCAACTAATTGTCTACTTTTCCAGTTATTTCAATCAATCTAATGTTTGTATAAATTCCGCTAAATATCATTTTGTCCGCCACATTTGGCTATTGCATTAACTTCTGATGTTGTCATGATGTCATATGGATAGATTAGATACTAAGCTTATCTAAGCTTAAAACAGATAAATACGTGATCCTCTTGATTTGCCACGGGAAGGAGAGATGCTGGTCTGAGAATAAATTAGCATAGATTACAACTCCAACCCTTAATTTATTTTCTTATACTATGTATTCTGGCTCTTAACAACAACTTCACTTGGCTCTTAATTATCGTTAGTTATATTTGCTTCTTATACATATTCCTTGGCTAACGTGAAATAAGTCTGGAAATTATTTTCTGAACGTTTTGAAAAGAGAAAATTACATGTCCTTTTTTATCTCTTACTGAGAAGTTTCAGACCAAGACTCATAATTTTTTTGACCAATAACTAAAACAAAATCTTAACAGATATTTCGATTATTTTCTCATCGTCGATATATAAATTCAGAATCTCGCCGATACTACCTTTGGATGACCTCATGACCAGATAATACGACAGTTGAGCTAGTGCTTGGTTTAAAACTTTATGTTACATAATATTATACGTTTTGAGATAGTTAATTAAGATAATCTACTCAAAACATTTTCTTATACAAATAACCTGTAATATCTTTCATTTTTTTCCTTCAAAAATTCTATTTGAGCATTTGAGCATATTTTTTCTTTCATCATAAAAAAACCACCAACTAGCTAATAATTTACATAAAATAACGTAGCTTTACAGAACATCCACTCTTAAGACTCTTCTCTTGACTTAAAAAAAATGATAAATGAAATCACACGAGGGATCAAACATAAAGCAAACAATAAAGTAAAACCAAAAGGATAGATTTTATTTCTTAGATTAATTTGATTAATTTTGTATGTGATCATCTTAGCGCTTCTTATCCTATAGTTATAAGATCACAAACTTTAGCCGAGTTTTTCTTGGTGCTCCGCTTTCCGAAGAACCACCGGCTATATCCTCCACCGTTCTCTTCTATTCCACCGGTGGCTGTGGCTGCGTTTGCCGTTAAAATCTTCATGCTCTCTCTGTGAAACTTCCTCGCCGTGTAAGCCTCCGCCATAGCCATCCCTCCTAGTCCTGATCCGTCTAGCGACATGTTCGACAAATCTTGAAAAATCACAGGAAAAATTCAAGAATTTTTTGGAGAAAATATAACTTTGGTTATGAAAAGAGATGATAAAATGTAAAAGAATTTGGTGAAATGTGAGTGTTGTTTTGGAATTTAGGGAGAGGGGTTGGGATGATTATATAGATAAATTTGTGGGTCCAGTTTTGTTGAACTGATATCCTCTGTTTCCCACTTATTATACGTTCATTGTATATAGTGGCGAATCTAAAATGTTAATGTTATCGTTTGCTTTCATTTTCTACTAGTATCTCCAGGATATTTCGTACAGTACTATCCCGAGCAGAGAGACTGAAAAACAGCTTTAGTTATATTTGTTGACGCGAAAAATGTTATTATGTTACAGCGTCTTTGTTGATCGGTGCCAATTAAAATTCTAGTACAATATAGAAAAGAAAGAACTATGAATTTTTGTTTTGTCGGCAGAACTAACAAAACGTTAATATACTAATACGATGATGTGCTATTTATTTTTATAGATGTCATATTCGACTAAACACATTTCGTCACGCATAATCTGATAAAGTATATAATCTCTATAACACAATTATCAGACAACATACATAATCTCTCATTAGAATAAAAACTTAAGAGCGGTAGTCATACGATAAACAAATACAAAAGAGAAAATGGATTTGATGCCAATCCACGATAGATCCGGATATGATTACATCCACTTCGACTATACTACACTAAATATTGCAAAAAAAGTAGACGTATTGACGTTATTACTATTATAATTATCCTGAGAGACATATGTAATGAACTGACGTCACAAAGACGAAAAAAGCATCAAGAATCGCACTCTATGTTGTTTTAGTTATAATATTACAGGGACGATTATGGAGGTAATGAACGTAGTCCGTCTCATGGCTATTGTTCGTTAATCATATAAAGTGACCAAGTGACCATATAGTATATAGGAACACTATACACTAGCGATTTAACTAGTAATTAGATAGTTAGGTCGATTAATTAGTGTAAGCATCTAATGAGTCATGTTAGAGTCAGATATGCAACTACTGGAAAAGAAGAAACATAAAAAAAATACCCAACAGTTTCTAGACGATAGCCAACAGTACTACTATCTGGGTATCGTTGTACCCAAACTAAAAAACTTTGTTTTTGTTGTAATAATAAACGCTAAGATGTTTTGTTTAACAGTTGTTGAGTTTTGTAGGTCGATTTAGCGACATTTGGTATTTAAGAACAATATGATCGTATTGGACATGCATGACAGTATTTTGTGTTTGTCAAAAAAAAACCCCCATTTATTAATTATTAGATGATTTTCGAAGGAACAAAATTGCACTGTGTAACACACACAAAAAAAAAAAATCTATAAACTAGAAATATTTAATTTTAAATTCCAGGTGCCCATTGGCAAGTTGGGTGTGAGTGGGTTGGTATCATCACCTCACCATTACACATACTTTATGTTTAAGTACATTAGAAAATCAGAAAGAAAGAATCAGAATGATAATGCGTTTGTTCTTTTGATTCCTAGATTAAAGAATCTATATATATTCTTTAGCGTTTTTGGTACCATATATGTACTACAAACAAAATAAAAAGCCTTAATTATTTATAAATATTTTTAAATGCTTTAACATACAGTACTCCATAAAACAGTGTAAATTTAAGATTAGTCGATCCTAGAAGTTTGACCAACAAGTCGTTGAACGGTTGAAGGCAACTCTAATTACAGGAAAATGTTATGGACAATTTATAGTTTAATTTTAGTTTGGGTCTAAGCCCAAAAGAGCCCATTACAATCAGACGTGCGTAGTCTCAGATCAGCGCCACGTGCAAAGATGAGACACGTGATAAGGATGGATGGTCACGTGCTAAAGCGGAAATAGCTTAGCTGTGAACGGGAGAAAAAGGAGACCCGCTCCAAACCCACGTGCTCCTCCATTATCGATCGCCGTTTGGTTTTCGGGGCCACCGTTGCACTTATTTTTCACTTTTTAGTTTTTACTATTCACACACCACAAATCCATAGTCAAATGGCTCTGCTGACAAATTTCAATTGCTATATCACTAATCACAAACCACGGTCTGCTTAACTAGATAAACTATAGGAGTCATTATAATTTTCAGAATATACGATTTGTATTTGACCTTTTTGAAATGTGGTTGAATTATTTAGTACACATTTATTTGATCATATATGTAAATTTACAGATTTAGTACACATATGTGATAAGTATTAAATATGTGTAAAAAATCAATTCAAATTTCGAATCCGAAAAACACAAATATAGCCCGACATAATAAATCTCCATTTTCTTCTAATAAGGAAAAAAATGGGACCATATGTGATAAGTATTAAATAAAACACAAGTAGATAAATAATTAACATGAGGAAACGGAATGATTAGGATAATAGGGCTTTGGCGGGATGTCTCTGTTTGCTTAATTAAACCTTGTCTTATACTTAAAAACCCACAAACACACACTGTTACTCTCTCTCTGATATTTCACCAAATCACCAACACTTGTCACCACCATTAATCAACCTAACCTAATCATCTCCCAACTCAAATCTCTAATTCCCTGCTTGAAATCTCGATTAGCCCAATCTTTAGATCCGTAATGCAGCTAATTCCATTAGATATTTAGTCTACCCCGATTTGAAATTCACCGACTGTTTTTAATTATTATTTGCGGAGATTTCAGTGGGAAAGAAAAAGCTGGAGAAGAAGAAGAAGAAGTAAGTGGTTGAAAGATTCGTCATTGGTCGGCGTTGTTGCTTGCTTCCGACATAAGCACCCTTCAGATCCGGAGTGAGGAGAGGTGATTCCACCTCATCACCATTAATGCACAACCAACCAAGCTTTTTTGTTTTCTTGTTTCCTAACTATTTCTGTTTCCTAATTCTCTCACTGCCAGATTTTTAAGAATTCAACTTTCCTTTTTGTGTCAAACTGCGTAATTTGCTCCCGATTTTTGGGTACCTTCTTCTTCTTCTTCTTCTTACTAAATCTGGTCTTCAAACTACTAAATCTGGTCAACGAGTCATACGGAGTGTTCTTAGCATTTTGCTGTGAAATAGATAGTGGAACTTTATCGGACTTAGCTAAGCATGTTTGCTTGAAATCGGATCTCTTAGCTCAATTTGAGGTTTTTCAAGTGGATTATAGTTTGTGTGTGCTTGGATCTGAGGATTAGCTAGCAATGTTGCACCTTTTTAGATTTTTGTTTCTATTTCTCCATTTTGCAGAAAACTCTTCGCTTTCTCAGAATTAGACTATACATAATAGAAATTGAGGTCATTTCATATGAATTTTGCAGGTGAGGCTGTTTTGATATTTTTTTTGGAGTAATGTCGAGAGTGGCAAAATGGAAGCTAGAGAAAGCCAAAGTCAAAGTAGTCTTTCGGTTGCAGTTTCAAGCTACACATGTAAGTCAAATTAACATATTACTCAAAGATGTGTCCTTTTATAAAATCTGCAAATCATTACTCACTTAGCATCATCAAGCTATGTTGAATGATGCACAGTGATGTAATGTGTGCTTTTGTTTTATATATATTTGGTTAAAGGTACCACAAGCGGGATGGGACAAACTATTCATATCTTTCATTCCGGCTGACTCTGTAAAAGCCACTGCAAAGACAACAAAGGCGCTTGTGAGAAATGGGACTTGCAAGTGGGGAGATCCTATCTATGAAACCACAAGGTTGCTTCAGGACACAAGGACCAAGCAGTATGATGAAAAACTCTATAAGATTGTTGTCGCTATGGTATGCTTATCATTCTTTCTTTTCTTTTGTCCCTCTATCTTTAAAAGATTTAATTTATTGTTCCCTTTTGCATTCTTATGAGATCAGGGTACTTCTAGATCTAGTATCCTTGGAGAGGCAATGATCAACCTTGCTGAGTATGCTGATGCCTTGAAGCCTTTTGCTGTAGTATTGCCCTTGCAAGGTTGTGATTCAGGAGCTATCTTACATGTATGGACCATTTGGTATCTTTTCTACATTTCTCATGTCCTTCTTTCAGCTCAGAGATTGGTTCCTCAATTTTTTTTTTTTTTTTTTTTTTTCAGGTCACTGTACAGCTGCTAACTTCGAAAACTGGTTTCAGAGAGTTTGAGCAGCAGAGAGAACTCAGGGATAGGGGACCATCAGCGACCCCTGAACATAGCAGTCCTGACGAATCTTCTCGTTCCAGAACTTCACCTTCTGATGAGAGTCTTAGTCATGTTGATAAGGTTTGTTCTTCTTTTCCCATAAAAGCTCCAGGAATGTGTCCTTTCAGGCTTTTTGTTGCACAACATGCTGCTAACATTAGTTGGTTAATTTGTATCCTTTTGCAGACACATATAAAAGGGAGTTTCAAAGAGAAGTTCCGAGATGATCCTTCAGCGGAAGAAGCCGTGGGGCCAAATGACCATGATTCACCCTTGGGATTCGATGTCTCTTCAAACACATCAGAAAGCCTAAACGCAGAGAAGCATGAGATATCCAGCACAAATGAAATCGACAGCCTCAAAAGTATGGTATCTGGAGACCTGAGTGGGCTTGCTCAACATGGCTGGGGTTCAGACTATCTTGGCAAGACTAGCGATATGGGAAATGCAGTAGAAGAAAACATTAAGCTTAAAGGATTCGTGGAAGACATGGAATCATCCATTAATGAGATCAAGATCGAAGTGAGCTCGCTGCAGTGCCATGCAGATGATATAGGCTCCAAAGCTCAAGATTTTTCTCAGATACTTATTTCAGAGATTGGCTCTGGGGATCAGTTGGTCAGAGAAGTATCTGCGTTGAAATCAGAGTGCTCAAAGCTAAAAGAAGAGATGGAGCGGCTGCGTAACGTCAAAACACACGCTCTCTATAATAGCAAAGACCAAGACAATGCTTCCCACAATCTACAAGTAAGATGGCTGCAGGGACTTTCAGTTGTAGAGGATAACATAAGAGAGATTCAAAACAAAGTTTGCTATGGCTTCCATGACAGGGACTTAAGAGTGTTCCTCACAGACTTTGAGTCTCTTCTCGGAGTGCTACTTGATTTTAAAAGGCAGATTGGCACAGTACCATCTGAGAAAACCATCACGGCTGATAAGAAAGAGAGAGGCGTGTCAAGAGCAGATCAGTTTGTATCAGGCTCTGAGCTGGACACTGATATTTTTCAACCAGAACTTGATCCACTTCAGTATCTTGGTATGGCTGATCTTACTTCTCGTGCACCAAACTCAGCAGATTCTGCAAATGCCATGAGAGATAAAATACTCGAGCTTGTACGAGGCCTGGACGAGTCTAAAGCTGAACGTGACAGCCTTACCAAGAAAATGGATCAGATGGAATGCTACTACGAGTCTCTTGTCCAGGAGCTTGAGGAAACTCAAAGGCAGTTGCTAGTAGAGTTGCAGAGTCTAAGGACTGAACATTCCACGTGCATCTATAGTCTCTCTGGCGCTAAGGCTGAGATGGAAACGTTGCGCCAAGGTATGAATGAGCAAACGCTAAGATTCTCTGAGGAGAAGAAGACTTTGGATTCTTTGAATCAAGAACTGGATAAACGAGCTATGGCTGCAGAGGCGGCACTTAAAAGGGCCCGTTTGAATTATTCTATTGCCGTCAACCATTTGCAGAAGGATCTTGAGTTGCTTTCCTCTCAGGTTGTATCTATGTTTGAGACTAATGAAAACCTCATTAAGCAAGCTTTTCCAGACCCTCAACAAAGCTTTGAGTCGGCAGATGACTCAAAGCCTGAGAAACAGGAGACTCGTGATGTAAAAGTCACACAGTTTCAGAATGAGAAAAAAGGGATGAAGGAACGCTCCTTAAAGGGTGATATTCTTCTAGAAAATTTGAAGAGGTCTCTTCATGTGCAAGAAGGCCTTTATCAAAAAGTTGAAGAAGAGCTCTATGAGATGCATTCAAGGAACTTATATCTGGAAGTATTCTCGAACATTCTGCGGGAAACTTTTCTTGAAGCAAGTGTTGACATAAAGATCATGAAAGCGAAAATTGATGAACTTGGATGGCAGCTGGAGCTTTCAACAGAGGCCAAGGAAATGTTGAAGCAGAAGCTGGATATTACTTTGGACAATGTATGCTCACTGAATGAGGAGAAAACCACATGGAATGCTGTAGCTTTGCAGAATCAAAGTTTAGAGGCAAATTTGCGGAACATCACTTACGAAAACCTCATCCTTCTGCAAAAGATTGATGAACTGGAATCTGTAGAGTTGGAGTCCAAGAATTGGAAAACCAGTTATGAGAGATGCATTTGTGAGAAAGAAGAGCTCATGGAGAAAGAAGCGCTGGAAAAAGTTCATCTTCAGACTGATTTTGCTACCATGCAGGCTGAGTTTGATGCTCTAGCTACTGCAAATGGAAATCTGCAGAGGAACTTCAGTAGTATGAAAGATAAGTTGATGAACACATTAGGCTGCTGTAATGAAAAGCTCATTTCGTTTCCTCTGTGGGAAGGAGGAGTGGATCTTGATTTGGAGTCCGGTGATTTAACAGAGGAGCTTGATAAATTCCTGTGTAAGATATGTGAAAAAAGTTTTGTGCTGATGACAGAGAATCAAGATCTGTTGCAGGAGAAATCCAATAACGAGATTTATTTAAGGGCTGTAGAGTCTGACATAATGGAGCTCAAGCAGAAGCATGAGAATGATGTACAATGTTTGGCCTCTAAAGTAGAAGCTTCCACTGCCCTCCTCCAGAAACTTCAGTTGGAAACTGAGTCTATCATTGACAGAACGAAGGTTATCACTGAAGCTGAACAAAACTATGAGAGCTGTCAGATGGAGTTTGTTTCTCGTCTTGATTATTTTGAGAATGAGATTCATCTACTTGTGGCTAAGAATGAGGCGCTTGGTCAAGAAATTTCAGAATTAAGCTCTGTAGCTGTTGAACATGAAAGAACCAAGCTCCTTGTGGAAGATCTGGCTGAGGAGAAAAAAGGTTTTCTGGTTTCTCTTCTGGATAAATCTCAGGAAATTTTGGGGCTTGTGCGTGAGCTTGAGACTTTAAGGACAACATTTGACCAAGAGTTGAGACTTGAAAGAAGCTCAAGGCAGGAACTAGAAACTAAAATGGAAGGTCTTACTTCTGAGTTGGTTGCAAAAAGTTCCAAATTGTTAAGCTTTGATGAGCAAAGCTCTGAGTTGGTTCGTCTCAAGCAAATGGTTTCTGATCTGGAGCTGGAGAAAGCAACTAGCGTGAATCGTGATTCGTCATATATTTCGGATTTGGAATCTCAGTTACTTGCAATGATGGAATTTTCAGTAGCAGCAGATATCCAGATTGTATACACAAGAAGTGAGTGGGAGACTTATGCCGAGGAGCACCACAAGGAGCATTTTGAGGTACTGACTACACTCAATGGCTCTCGTAATATTGAAGCTCAGTATATGGATGATAATCTAAAGCTATTGACAGATCTCGACTCCGTAAAATCAGAATTGAAAGCTGAGAGAAGTTTGAGAGACAAATTAGACACCAGAATTGAAGAGCTCGCTTCTGAGTTAGATGAAAAGCATTTGCTGTTGGAGAACTTTGATTTGCAGAAATCTAAAGTGAAACTTTTGGAGAAGATGGTAGCTGAGCTGGAATCTGAAAAGTCTTTTCAAAGTTCGGAGTATGGTAGGACTGTTCATCGAGAGTCTTCTTTAATTGAAGAACTGCTTCAATGTCTAGTGGTTGCAGATGTTCAGCTTATTTTTACAAAAATCCAGTCTGAGACCTGTATCAGTGACCTCGGAGAGCAACTTAGCTCCTGCTCTAAGAGCTATCTTGAGTTTCAAAAGAAGCACACTGATGTGGAATCTGCCCTCAACCACTGTTTAGTCAACGAAGCGCGGTATATGGAAGAAAACAATCAGCTCTTGAGTAGTCTTGAAGTCTTGAAGTCTGAGCTAGAGTCTTGCATGGCTAAAAGTAAAGCTCTTACTGATAGAAATGATGAAATGTCAGTCGAGTTGGAGAATGCAGAAAGAAGTTTCTCTGAGAGAAGCTTATGTGCTCATGAGGTTGATGAATTGAAATCTTTATTGGTTGAGCATGAAGAAGAAATCGGAAATTTGATGGTGTTAAAGGCTGAGGCGGAAGTTACAGTCGAGGTACTAAAAGATAAACTAACTGAGGTAAGTTTAAAAGGTGCCAGTGAGCTAGAAACACTGAAAAATAGGTGTGTTGATCTCACTCAAAAGCTCTCTGAGCAGATTCTAAAAACAGAAGAGTTCAAAAGCTTGTCCATCCATTTGAAAGAGCTTAAGGATAACGCTGAAGCTGAATGCACTCTTGCCCGTGAAAAGGCGGAGTATCGAGCCCCGCTAACTCCACAGCAGGAGTCGTTGAGAATCATTTTCATCAAAGAACAGTATGAAAACAAGCTGCAGGAACTTCAACATCAACTGACCATGTCCAAGAAGCACGGCGAGGAAATTCTGATGAAATTGCAAGATTCCATTGATGAGAATGAAGCTAGGAAGAAGGCGGAATCCAAGAGAAGTAAAGAGCTTGGAGATAAAATATCGGAACTGGAGGCTGATCTGCAATCTCTTATCTATGATAAACGTGAGAGAACGACGGCTTATGACATGATGAAGGCTGAGCTGGACTGTTCATTGTTAAGCCTTGAGTGCTGCAAGGAAGAAAAACAGAGGATTGAAACTACTCTACAGGAATGCAAAGAGGAGAGGCTGAAAATGTCCAAAGAGCTAGAATCTATGAGAGAATTAGTACAACGTTGCAGCTCTCATAAAAATATTCAGATGGAAGAACAACATGATAGATTGAGCATGGAGGATGGTGTATTAGAGGAATTGGCTGACAAAAATATGTTTGCAGCTTCCACAAGTCCCAGGACAAAAATTCAGGTAACCAAAATATTTTTGGGATTTAAATCTTCAAGTTCATGGTATCATTATCATAGACCTCATATTATAACTAGTTCTGCTCCTACCAGTCGGGAAAAAAAACATGCTGCAGTTTCTTTATGATATGTTTTGCAAACTAGTTAATGTGATTGATTAAGCTGATAATGACTAGGCTACTACGTATTCCGATTTTTTCTGTAAATGTTTCTCAACTTAGATATTAGGCATATTGTTTCCTGTGACTAACGGACAAAAAGAGGTGTTATAAGTAAATTTTTTATCATGCTTTGTATATTTACATATTTTAATGTATGTTTTATCGTTCATCAGGGTGTTGGACAAAACGGAGACCAAATACGTACAGGAGAAGCAATGGCGGTGGACAAAAGTGAAGAAAGCCTAGCTTTGATAAATGATAGTTTCAGGGCAGAGACTTTAAGGTCTAGCTTGGATCACTTAAACAATGAGGTAATACTGGATTGTCTGTCTTAAGAGTGGAGTTAAAATTATTGGTATATAATATCACTGGCTTAATATTGGATTTGGTTGCTGTTCAAATCACAATGCCTACTTGTTTTCTTTGTGTTGGTACTCAGCGTCACTGGATCTTTTCTTTCTTGTTTTTGTCTTGCTTACAGTTAGAACGGATGAAGAATGAGAATCTACTTCAACCTCAAGATGACAATGATTCAGACACAAGATTTCCGGGTTTGGAACAAGAGCTGATACAGTTGCGTCAGGTGCAGATGCTTTACCTTTTAGTAATTGTAATATACTGAAGCATGTATCTCCAGAGGTCTTACTTATGATCATCTTTTTCAACAGGCAAAGGAGGAACTTCAAAGTATGTTCCCTCTATCCCACGAAAACCTAAACTGCGGAAACGCGTTGGAAAGGGTTCTTGCACTGGAAATAGAACTTGCTGAAGCATTACGGGGAAAGAAGAAACCAACCATCCATTTTCAGAGGTACATGATCCAAAAGAATCCATCTAACTTTCTCGCCCTTGTAGAAATCAAGATCCAGCAGGAACGAGAAAGAACTATATACTAAACTTTGAAATTGCAGCTCTTTCTTGAAGCAACACACCGATGACGAAGCAATCTTCCAGAGTTTCAGAGACATAAACGATCTAATCGAAGAAATGCTGGAGACCAAAGGCCGGTATGCATCTGTGGAGACAGAGCTTAAGGAAATGCATGACCGTTACTCTCAGCTAAGCCTCAAGTTTGCAGAGGTTGAAGGAGAGAGACAAAAGCTCATGATGACTTTGAAGAACGTTAGAGCATCCAAGAACGCAATGCTCTTAAACCGTTCGTCGTCAGCAACTCTTGGTGAACATTAATGCACAGATATGTTACTAATGTATATATGTCTCAAGGATGTTTAATAAGTCCAAAGTTGTAAACAGTGGTCTCAAGTTATAGATAGCTTAATATGAATTTTCTTTATTCTAAGATATGGGGTTCTCAAAGTGTACTGTATAGAAACCCATATTCTTTAATTCAAAGAATGAAAAAGTTTGGTTGAGAACAACAAACAAATGTGTAGACTACTAGACTTCTTTGTTATGAAAAGCCATCCTTCAAGAATCATAGTACATTATCTCGAGCCATTTTTTATGAACAATAAAGAAAAAAAAAATGGAAAAGTAAACTATCAACCACAACAGTGAAACCAAATTCTGTAATGTGTTTTCATGTCTATGCAAATCATCTTTCTTTTTCTTTCTTTTTTGTAAGGAACTTCTCAAAGCTTGTTTTAAGCTTTGGAGCATCATCACTATGATCCAAATATACTTGCAGTTACAAAATGGTGCAGCCGCAGCGATTCTTCATCGGAGGATCATTCTGCAGTTTCTCTGTGGAACATACAAAAACTTTCATACAATAAGATAAATGAATATGATCTAAAATACATTATGTTACATTAAGATAAACAGTATTTACCGGTCTTTTTGTCTAAGGTAGGAGGGCGAAGAACAACATGCATGGTGATGATCATTCCAGGAAGTTCACCAACAGGAAGCCTTGATTCACCAAGTGTCCTGTTGTTCTCCAGTATCTTCCCGGCATTGATCAGCTTTACATCATTTACAGTCTTTGGTGTATTTTCTTTATCTGTCAAGCAGAGAGTTTTAAGACAACCTTAAGTAAATGCCAAAGGTCATGAATACCAAACATCTAAATCATACAATTTACTGGTTTTAGCAAAATCAGTTGCTACCTAAACCTTTTTCTGTCAAAAAGGATCATACTTCATAAAGTTCAATACATTAGAGTAAGCTCAATAAAGCGTTCATTGTTGCAGAAACATGAATCAAGAAGACAAAACTTTATACAATCAAAACCCAAATGGAAAGGCAGAAACATTAAACCAAGGAATCATCAAGCAATGAAATCAGTAAAATACCTTTAGGCCATTGAGAAATGATTTTCTCTTTGAGAGAAGAAACAGTCATAGATTGACTATACTTGCTCGGACCTATGTCTGTCCCATCTGAGAGTCTAAACTTTAGTTCTATGCAATCTTCACCTGCCATGTCCCAAGATAACAAGAAAACAAAAAAAAAAGAGAACTTTCAGAATTCAAAATTCTTCACCGTGAGACCCTTTTTCTCTCTGGGGAATATCATTCGGATTGATTGTTCACCAATCCGAAAACAGAGAAAAAACGAAATTTTGTGGAAAAAGTTCAAATCTTTGTTGCTAAAAAGGCAAGAAACCGACGCGCCAAGAAGGATTCACTGCAGAAACCCAAAAGAAAGAAAGAAAAAAAAAACGAATTTGTTGTTTTGACTATGATACGTAATCTATATCGAAGCTTGTTTCGAGGATCAGCTGTTTTCTGATGAACAGATCCAAATATAATTGAGAAATTTTCGAATAAGAAATCCAGGAAATGGAAAGAAGAAGAAAAAAGAGAGACACTTTGGTTGAAAGGCTGTCTTTGAGCAGCAAAACAAACACACAAATTGGGCAAATTATTAAATTTTGGGTTTTCTTTGTCAAGTGAGATTCTTCTAATCCTACCTGAATCCTTCTTTTGACTTTTCTACCCCTACTTTTATTCCTCTTAATCTCATTTTAAGCTGACTTTTTATTTGATCACTAATGTATTAAAGTTGTAAATCAAATCATTCATGTATTCATGTATTAAAGTTGTAAACAAACTTATAGATATACATTAACAAATCTAACAAAATGTTTGTAATGATGCAAATACTATAGTCTATAAACTCTGGCCATGTTGTACAATATCAAAATGTTTAAGTGGATTTCAATAATTTGGTTTGTATTAAGTGGGTATTGATACTCTTGAGTCTTGACAATAATTTTATATAGGAAAACTGTTTTGTTATTTGTGTTCCCCTCAGCTATTTTATACCATTTTGTTTCTTTAATAATAAGTTGGCATATATGCTAAATATATGTGTTTTGTAGGGGCAATTTTGGAATTTAGAATGAGCATAGATACACCAGAAAAAAATGCTATTGTTTCTCCAAATGGTTAGAAAATGGCAGCCACCAACTATAGATGGCTAACTACTTTAACTAATTAAAGATGGTAGCATTTAATAACTTAATGCCTAACTCATAATCTAGCCATATAATCCTTACATTTAACATTATAGACAAGGATCATCAAGTGGTCTTATCTAGATATGAAATTACAAGAAATTTAAACGAAATCATTTACTGTTTAAAACAAAAATTGAAATTACAGATATTGTTCAAGTGAAAATAACTTTCTATAAGGTGGTTGTCCCGCACCTTGTGCGGATACAATATTTTTTAAATACAATTATTAATTAAAGATTTAAATAATATAAGTAGTACAACTTTTTATTGTATTCATCGTTTTTGTTTTCGCAAACTTCTTATTTTTGTAATCTTGAGGTGTCTTATTTTTATCTTCTCTTTCCTTTCTTTTTCCTCATGTTCGACTTTTCTTTTTCTTTTCTAAATTTTTCATCTTCTTTTTCACTGTTTTCTTTTCTTTTACTTATGTATCTATTATGTCTTGTTTGTGTCTTGTATATCACCTACCAATTCATTTCGATAGTTAAAATTTTCAATATTTTTGAATAGATTCTATCTTTATATAGTTGAAGTCTTTTAAAAATTTATTAGTTTTGTTATCTTTCAATTCTGGATTTTCTTTAGTTGTTTTAGTTTTTTTTTTCTATTTGTGAATGTAATTTTGAAAGTAGATATAAATTTCAAATAAATGATTTTTTTATTATGAAATTCTTCTGTAATAATTCAAGTTTTTTTTAAAATACACCAAAAACTAAACCTTACCCCATCAATATAAATCCTACACCCTAAACCCAAACCCACAATGCAACACTACTCCCTAAATAACCCAACACCACATTATTAATGATTAAGCAAATATTATGGATATTAAAAAAAAAATCGTTATAGATTCGCCATTAGAATTAGGGTTTCATGAATATTTAGATGGTAATTAAAAGGATAGATGTTCATACCTTCTTTTGTTGGAGTTGAATATTTCTCGCGTGGGACCAAATCTGATCTTCTAGATTCCATTAGCTTGGAACTCACTGTTACAAAAGCGAGAGAAGAAGAAGTTAGAAGTGTATATGTAGATGATTGACAGTAGATAACAGATAATCAGTTAATTTCTAATTCTTTACAATTTTTTAAATTTCTTCCATATATGTGGCGCGAAAATATGTTAGTTATACGGTATATATCCAAAAATAATTTAGGAAGAAAGCAAAATTCGTTATCCATCGTCCAATAAAATAAATTAATTTTTAAATAAGATAATAAGCAAATTAAAAGATTTATTCAAGATTTTCATTAAGGGTAGTTATGTAATTCCGAGGCTGAGAGTTAACGTGGTGGCTCCATTCACGAAAATTGATTTGCAAATACTAATATGATTTCTTTTATTCAGTGTAAGTTTGGTTTGGTTATCAATTAATTCAGCTCGATTTAAACTCAAAATGTTTACCTAGAAAATTGTTCTCCTAAACGCCAACCAACCCGGAGACCACAATCCACTTGCTCTTTCACTGCGTTTTTGCTCAAAGAGTTTGGAACAGAGCTCCTTTCCGAGAATCCTTCAACCCGCTTGCAATCTCGAGCACCAAAAAAGGAATCGCAAAGCTAAAAACAATCGTGTGCTTACCACCGATAGGTTTAAAAGATGAATCCTTAGCGCCGTGGATCCTTTGGAATATTTGGTTGTCCAGGAACAACAAAATTTTCAAAGGAAGCTGTCTGAATGAATGGGGAACCCTGAGCTTAGCAATCACGAGAGCGAGAGAATGGATCCAAGCGCAGGAAGAGATCTCGACCCCAATCCAAAGACCAATCAGACCTTCAAGCGCAGATATCCTTGAGAATTTCATAAGATGTCAAACAGATGGTTCTTGGAGCAAAGAACACAGAGCAGGAGGAACAGGATGGACTTTCCACAATCAAGCTCTGGAGACGCTAAATCAAGGATCAAAAGCGTTTAAAAACATAGCCTCGCCGCTAATTGCAGAAGGTTTGGCTCTTCGTCAAGCCTTAGATCTCGGATTCGCAAGATTGCATGTCGCCTCAGACTCTCAGCAACTCATAGCTGCCATCAACTCGGATTCCATCCCCTCGGAAATTTTCGGAATCGTACAAGACATTGCTCATATTTCCTTGTCTTTTAGCTCTATAATTTTCGGATCAATCCCTAGAGCTGCAAACTCTCTAGCGAAAAGATCTCTTCAAAACTTTCTCTCGGGTGAGTAAACGTTTTTCATTTAATGAATATGGTTGAACAAAAAAAAAAAAAAAAACGCCAACCAACAAATATTATGAACAAAAATTCGTTCGTGCATGCCACAAAAAACCAATACTAATCTTTGGATGAAATAAAAAAGGGCTAGTTACATTTCTATGACTAGATATTTAATTTAGATCAATTCATTCAGAAAAAAAGAAGACTGTTTCCTTCACATCACATTAAAGTAAAACGAAAAATTAATCACAGAAGAATAGATTCGTTGAAACAAAATCAAAAGCAACTTTCGTTTATAAAAAAAGACAAGAAGATAAAAAGAGAGGGTGAAGTGTGAAATGAGAATCCACAAATGGTTATGCTTTATGGGCATATGATACGTTCTAAAACATTCCAAGGCATCAACCATATCATCATTTTTCTTCTTTTTACCTATTTTCTTTTTCTTCTCCCTGCAACATCCATAGTGTTGCCTCCTTAGGTCCACCACCATTACAGTAGCAATAACATAATCAAAAGAGATTCTTAACCAAACCGACAATCAGATCCACAACATAAGCTGCAAAATTAACCTTTTTTAACAAGTTTCTCTATTACTAACTCATTCAAGAACTTCTGTTTCTTTGCGTATATATTAAAGTATAATGATGAAAAACAGTTTACAATATATATGTTGTCACACAACATTTTATTGCTCAAGCTTTTACTTGACAGTGAGCCAAAGCCACAAGAAGAATACATAATCTTGCATCCATCTCAAATCGAACAACAAACATCTCATTAAGCTTCAACTTTCTTCTTCTGTCTGTACACACAACAGAGAAAACGTGCCAAAAAGCTTCAGACTTTTATCATCATATATCTATAACTTGGCAGCTAACAAGCTCAGAAGCACCAAAGTCTTTACTCGCAATCACTCTCCATATAACAGTATCCGACTTATTAACCGCATTACCCTTTTCATTAGACGAAGAAGAGCTTGCCACGTCAGGGACATCAGCACGCAAAACCGTAACGTTACAATCACCATCCCTAGTAATGAAGTGAAGCTTCCCATGAAACCCAGCAAGCAAATAAGGAGACTCCGAGTCAGTCAAGTCGTAAACCGGAACCTCCCCGATCACAACTATATAACAGTATCCGACTTATTAACCGCATTACCCTTTTCATTAGACGAAGAAGAGCTTGCCACGTCAGGGACATCAGCACGCAAAACCGTAACGTTACAATCACCATCCCTAGTAATGAAGTGAAGCTTCCCATGAAACCCAGCAAGCAAATAAGGAGACTCCGAGTCAGTCAAGTCGTAAACCGGAACCTCCCCGATCACAACTTTCCAAGCATCCTCCTTCTGATCATAAACCTTGATCTTCCCGTTCTCCATCGACGAAGAAGGATCAAAAGCATACAGCTCCCCATCCACCACCACGCTCAGCTTCGTCCCGGCCTGCCTCGCCGGCCATCCTTCCCCCATCCCAGACGGCATCTCCACCCAAAGATTCGTCTCCGGATCGTAAACCTCTCCACCAACATCGACAAAGAAAGGCCAAGAGTACAAACTCTGCGGCACACACAACCTCCCGTTGTAACAAGTCATCCCCGTCGCTATCGGCTTAAGCAAATCAGCCAAGAACGCGTTGGGAAGCACCTGAGCTTTAGAGAACGGCATGCTCGGAACTTCCGACCAAAGATCCGTCTTCGGGTCGTAAACCTCCGCGGTCTGAAGCGGAGACAAACCTCCACGTCCTCGGTCAACACCTCCGACAACGTAAAGCTTCTTATCCAACACTCCGGTTTTGGAATAAGCCCGGTTCGACAGCATGGAGCTGACTTCGCTCCATGAGTTGAGAACCGGGTCGAACCGCCACACGCATCTCACGGTTCTCGACCGAGAGAGACCTCCGAGAACGTAGAGAGAACCGTCGACGGAGCCGATCGCGCAGCCGCAGAAGGGCATCTGCTCGGAGATGTCTCTCCTGCCGAGGAAGCTCCTAGCTACGTTAACCAAATCCCACAAACCGGACAAACCGATCTTTCTCGATTCCTCTTCGTAGACGATAACCGGCATCGGAGGCAGTCTCTGCCATTTCGTGGAAACCGGATCCAAAGCGTACCAAAGAAGCTTATCCTCTTGGCCTTTGGTGAGCACGTAGAGCCACTCCTCGGTGATTCCGAGTGATTTCCTCAGACTGTACAGCTCGGAGGTTGTTACGGCTGATTTCCACTTCCGAGAAACTAACCGAACGCTCGAGTAACAGATTCTTGGGAGCCTTGCGAGAATCTGTATAGATAACTCGTCGGGAAGAGATGGAATCAGTCTGCAGTTGTCTTCTTCTTCTTCGTCGATCGATGAGCATGTCTTTCGTCGTTTGCGAGGTTCGTTTGAGGATTCTTCTTCGTTTTGAGATGTTGCTTTCCTCTTGGAACAGCGGCTCAAGCTCATTACAGAGCCCATGAGAGCTTAGAAGCGTGGCTGCATAAAAATCATGACTTTATACGATTAGGCGTGTTAAAAGAGAGAATCGGAATTACAAATCAAGAACACCATGATCGAGAAATTAGCTCGAAACTCTAATTCCGACATAGATCAGCATAAACATAAGAGCTGGTCCGATCAATTGATTGCAATACTCAGTGAGGATCCAGACAAAATTGAATTCCAAGAAAAATCTATAAAACCTAAGTGAAGTATATCAAATCGATTCGAATTTAGTTCAGATAGTGAAGAGTGGAAACTAAAATCGGGACATGAAAATCTCACCGAGGCAGGAAGAGAAGAGAAATCGAGGAGAAGAATCTTGAGATCTCTGGTAACCACACGCATGTTTCGGATTTGTCTTTTTGGTTCCAAGAGAGAATTTTTGTAGTTGAATCATTTGACGCACGATTTTTTTTTTTTTTTTTGTTGCCTTTGTGTTGTGTGGTTTAATGGTGGCCGTTGGATTGATGATGAGACCGAAGTGAAGTGTATCGGATTTTAGGTAAAATTCGGTCTAATCTTCTCCGAATGTCAACTAAAATTAACATTATCTTTTGTCGATTAGTTGAATGAAATTGAAATAACAAGTTGTTGACGAAATCATACTCTTGAATAAGTCTTTTTATTTGCTTGTAAGTTGTAATTTAATTTTTTATTCAAGGTTTGCATTACTTAAACAAAAAAATATGAACCGGTTGGTGTACGGTTTGCTCTCAAACCAAACCTCCTCTTCCCGCCAATCTCGCTTTAACAAGCTCATGATCAATTCTAAGAACTCGTTTGACAATAGTTTGCCGACAATAAAGATTATAGTATATACAAATGGTTCTGTTTTGTGCAACGTATGTGAGAGTCTTCTTTGTTTTTTTTGGTTATACATGATCTTGTCTCTTTTGACGACACTAATAACATTGTTCAGTGACGTGTGTGTTAAAATAAACATAAATACAGTATCTTGGTAAATCATAGAACAAGAAACGCTCAAGGATTAAGAGAAAAGCCAAAATTTGGTAGGAACTCTTGTGGGTTCAAAAGGAAACTTTGAAAGGGCCACATTTCACGAATGATGAATGTTGATAGATTTAAGTCTTGGTCTTTGCTCTGATTTTAGGAACACTTAGTACAATATACTCAGTACCACTTGAAATTATTCATATCCCCACATTTACACAAATCACATCTTCTACACAAACGTACGTCTAGTTTTAACCTTTAACTTACATATCTATTTAACATTTTCATCTTCTTTTTTCTGGTGTCAATAAGAAAAAGTGTAAGGTAGAATGATAATGATTACAAATAGCTTTGAAGAGTAGTGTTTAGTAGTAGTAGAATGATAAGGGGCCGACCTTGAATCATATACAGAGATAGGTCCACCCAAAACCGTAGAATTGATGATATTTTTGTCAATTTTACTTTTTTATTTAAGAGTAAAATCTCCTAAAAATAATTGTTTGACTACAAACTTAAACACAAAATTACTCCAGTACTACGTACCTTCTAAACCCTTACCTATTCAACCTAATGAACCAGTTCAAGTACCTCCTTCTCTGTCCATAAACCCTAAAACCCTAAGAGGTAATGCATTTATTAGTTGACAGAGAAGTTTCCTTGATCGGGTAAAAAGGAGAATAATTAGCTGTGTATCATCTTTTATCTCTTACCACTACTCTCTTTTACTGCTAACAAAACGATAAGCCGATTTGTGTCATCAATCGGACTTAGACTGTTTCTCTGCGTGCGTAGATGTATAAAGTACAAACATAAATGAACAATGAAGATCCTTTCTAACAATGTTACACTTCTTTAGACAAATCTGGCTTCTCTTCTGTGGACGTCTGGTGATGTAAGGTGTGAATATGTGATACTGATTGAGTCGAAGTGTGTACAACAACAACTACTACAAAAATAGAAGCAGATATGCTTTTATATATAAAAAAGTAATATATAGTTTTATTTTAAATTGTTACCAACCTTAAGCATCACACTTCTCTCTACCACTTGATGTCTTTATGAAATTACAGCTGTCTCTTCTTGATATGACTTGTTCTGCCACTTCCTTCTCACTCTTCTAATTATCACCCTTCTCTGTCTCTCCCTCTCTCTTCACAAAATGATTGATCTATTAGGTTAAAATATGGGTCTACACTTGATATAAATACTTTGAGTTCAATCCAATTATGAATTTTGGTGGTTACTATTTCTTGGATAAACTTCTACAAATTAGTTCGAACTCGAAATCTCTCTTGGCTTAGAGTAAAAGTAAAGCTTTGATCTGTGTAGCTTACCTTCGGGGTACTCTTTTCTGTATATATAATTATATTTAAACACTTGTCCTATACAATGGATAAGACACTCAAATCATCACTATTAATCGTTTTAATGAGAATTAGGACCACATACGGAAAGACGGTTTATTATATGTACGAGCATATCATAACCACATACATTAAAACCTCTATAAAACAATAATGTTGGGACTTTGAAATTTTATTATCTTATAGATTATTATTTTATCGATAAAACAATAATTATTATTTTATCGATAAAACAATAATTATTATTTTATAGAAATATTCTATCAAAAACAAGAAACTTTATAGAAATATATTTTTTCAGATTTTTTATTCAAATTTTCCTTATACTTTGTTATTTACATATTTCATGCTCAGAAGTTCAAAGTCTATAAGAAATTATGTCTACTGTTCTTAATGGTGAAGATGAAGTTGAAGATGATGAGGAAGGACATGTGCAAGTAGTTACACGTAAGGATGCAATTGTGGCTTCGAGAACTCTTCACAACTTTTGGCTGCATGTTGAGAATACACCTCAGAAATTGTAGATGCAATAAGAAAAATTCGAGATGAGCTCCAACGGGAATCCAATTTTCAGAAAAGACAAACTACATTGGAGTCATATTTTACTAAATTGTCTTAGATATATATGCATTAGTTTTATAATTATTATCTTAGCTTATTGTTGGGACTATATTTTTACATAGGAGTTTCAAAAATATTATTGTCTTATCATCTTATCGCATTATGCTATTTTTTACACTGGCCCGAGTTGGGACCGGAGAAAAATATTATCTTATAGTGTTTATTGTTTTATCGAGTATTGTTTTATAGAGGTTCTAGATGCATATATGTCTCCATGAAATATACAAAACTTGCATTTATCATTAAATTTGATTAGTATTCATATACATCGATACAGCTACGAATTTGCTTTCTTAACTTTGAATTCAACGTTTTTCTTTATCATCTATCCGACGTGTCGCTGGTTTCAAACGCAATTTTTTTGCAATGAGTTTACATGATATTTTTGTTTCGTATATAAACACAAACGCTAAACGCTAACATAAAGATTTTCTTTGTCTGTTTATGTTTGACGTTTACAGTTACCTAAGGAAATTTACTTATGCTGCATTGTCGAATGTTAGATTGTCGGCTTTCTTTTCTTGTCGGAAAATAGATTATGAGTTGCAAACACAAACATAAATCGAAACAACAAAAAAATAATGGTAATAAATCATCAAAACGCTTCCGTAAATTAGTAACCTTGGACATGCAATAACTATCACGAAGTAAAGGTCTATCGGATCCAATTTGGTTTATAGTTTATACAAAATTAGATAACGGGAAAATGGAAAAAAAAGAGAGAGAGCATATCTCTAAGATCACAAGTGGGGGCTGTTGACCCACTTTAAAGAATCAAATTATTCGACCTATCTCTTTCCACCGTCCGATTAGATATCACCGAGTCAAAGATTAAGCAGTACTTATCAGTTGCTTGCCACCTTAATCAATTATTATAATCATAACTTCTCTTCTTGGGTAGACAGGTAAATATCACTAGTCATAGTCACTGCCTCACTGCATTCATTTTTAGAGAAATGCTATGAAGACGAAAGTCGTAATTATTTTTTCAAATTTTGTTTTTAATAATAATGCTAACTCTGATTTTCAAACAGAATTTTTCATCTTCTTTCTTCTTTTTATATTTCGTGCATAATCAACTCTATTAGAGAAAGTGAAGAGCAGCTTATGAACCATCATCACACCATTAATAAGAAAACGAAACATTCTCTCATATTCCCTTATTTATGAAGTCTAAACATTTATGAGAGACATTTATGAGCCCTTGGTGAAAAATAACATTTTAAAACCCCCCAAAAAAACGTTTATGAAGTGAATAGTATAATTACATAAACGTTTATGAAGTTAATTTGTATAGTTTGGATGATTAAATGAACAATTAACACACACAATTTTTTAAAAAGAAAAAGAAAGGAGGGAAAGTCTCTTTATGAAACCGAGGTTTTGAGTTGTCCGACGCTTCCCATAGATTTCATGGTCCCCTTCTTCCACTGCCACCACTCATTTCTCTCGCACCATCCTTCTTATTATATACACTCACTAATACACATTCTTCATCATATCAATCATTTTATATACTTATCTAAGCATGTTTTCATGCGTATCTATGGGCTCATCCGGTTTAGGTCGTCTCTATGACGATTTGTTTTTCAAGTTTTAGTGAACCGGTTTGTGAAACACCACTCTTCAAGGCTTGGATATCACTGCAGGTTCTCTCAAACTTGCTAGTAAACATTACGTTTCGAAACGATTTCGTTTGCATGCGCTTCAAACTTTTAATACCATCCCTATCAATTCTTTTAGTTGGACCTATTGAATTTACGTTAGTTGAGTCAAACTCGATTATACTGAACCAACATTTTTATTTAATGATATTATGCCATAATTTGATTTGAAATAATCGAGTTAAAATCCGACAAAAAAAGAAAGAAAAGAAATACTACTTATGTACATTCAATATTGGTAACAGAAATAAAGCAAAGTATACTCTTAGCTTACAAGATATATTTCACTTTTGCATATATAAATTTATATTGTTCTCCCTTTTGCATTTATTATAGAGTCTCTTTATTATATCTACAATTTGCATATCAACTCATTTATTGTTTTAATAGAGTACATTACATTCCTTTTGAGATATCCGCCGTTAAATGGGTCCGAAATGCCACTTCGAAGTTTTATGATTTTTTAAATAAATAACCATATAAGTATTGCATTATTATAGTTCTCAACGAATCTATCGTCGTACTACATAATCAATCTCGATCAACTAAGTCACTAGTGCGGCATCTATATGTATAAGTTCTACAATACAATCAATGTACTGATTATTTTAACATATTATTATTAAGTAAGTTTTAAGCAATTATTAAATCTATTGCTGTGCTGCTACAATATAGTCTTGTGTTGAGGAGTGATTATGTTGATAAAAATCAGTAAATCGTTGATAGTATAATTTTTCTAGACTGATGATGACTTGCAAACATCACAGAGACCTATGTCCTAAAAAGGATTCTGAGTATGTGCGTTAAACTAAAAGGATACATACAAAGAATCTCATCATTCCCATTTATTCTTTTTTGGCAAATGTTGCAAATTGTAGAAAAAGGAGGCATATATAAACGAAATATGAATCGGGTAAATAAAAAATTATCACTATTTGAGTATTAACCATTTTCTTATTTTAATTTCTTGGAGAAAAACCCACAAAATCAGTAGCTCGAGGGAGGAAAAGAGGGAAGAAGCACCTAAAAAAGTGAACACTAAAACCCAAATTATACAAAATGAAGAATATAAAATAAATTAAAACCCCACTCAGAACCCTAAACATTCAATGGTTCTCCTCACTTTTATTTTATCCTTTAGCAAATAAAAGGGACCAAAATGTACGTTACGTTAATAATTTATTGGTATGTTTTATGTTGATCGTTGGTATCTCTCAGTATTTAATCCTCACCATGAAATTCCAATGTCAATGTAAAATACATTTTGAAAAAAAAACCTTTTCACCACCAAAAAGGCATAAAAGAATCTTCTATTTGGCTCCCTTGTCATTTTTTTCCTATGCATAATCTTGACAACAAATCAAACTTGTAAACTAATGCAATTATATTACCGAGTGATAGTTAATTAACCTACATTACAGCCCGATTATAAACGTTTGATACTCGTACTTTTGAAATGGTCGTTTAACATCAAGAGTTTTGTAATAACGTAAATACTAAATGGTAAAGATGGTATTAGATACCAAAGTTGAAAACTTAAAGTTAAATTCGATACTAAGGTATTTGGTCTCATGATTGTTAGTTTTTTTTTTCTTCCTTTTAACATATTCAACCAGTAGAGCTTTTATTCAGAATAATAATCAATATCTCCAAAGACCCAAGAAAAAGAAACAAAAAAAGAGTTGATGGAGTAGCTTCTGCAAACGGAAACAAACTTATTACAATTTTCAAATTTATTTATCAAGTGTAAGAAATCATAGACCCACACAAAATTTAATTGATCTCACAAAACAAAATGTTGTCCAATATGTGTCTTGTTTTTAAATGTCAAAAGAAAATAACAAAATTTGGAAGAAAGAAAAATCAGACAAAATTACCAATCATCTTTCCTCCTCAGTAGGAAACATTCATCATTGTACCCAACAATCCCTTTCATCCTTAGAATCAAAAACCTCAGCTTCTTTCTTCTTCTTCTTCTCTCTCACTCGTCGTCTCACATCTATACATACACGTTTACACTCATATACATATACATACGACACGTATACATACATACATGCACCATCCAATCTCTATATAACCTTTTTATTCTCTCCTTTCCTTTTTCCCTCTCCCCCAATTTCCTCACTTGTCTTCTCTTTCTTAATATCTTTTCAATTTGATCATCAAAGAAAACTTAAAAATCAGATCTTTTTTTTTTTTTTTCATTTGTCAACTCAAAAATGGATCCGTCCTCTGCAAACTCAGTGAACGGATTCTACTCATTTCTAAACAGATCAATGGACGATCTCGAGAGGGTTTATCTCTCAAACAACTTCATGTCCGTACACTTTCTACAGAGAGCTCTCTGTCTTCTCCGTACCTCTCACTCGCATCTCACTCTCCTCGTTCAAAAGCTTCAGCTTCCCGTCGGCGACAAATGGCTCGATGAGTATATGGACGAAAGCTCCAAGCTTTGGGAAGCTTGCCTCGTCATCAAATCCGCCGTTTCTTCTATCGAAAACTTCTCTTCCGCCGGAATTTCCATCGCTTCCACCCTCGACGGCCACCGTCGTCTCTCCCCCCAGCTTTCTCGTCAGGTGGGTCATCGGAAAGTTTGAATCTTTTTTGTTTTTTTGGGATTAAAAATCAAAGCTTTGAATTGTTTTTTGTTTTAATGGTGGTTTAGGTGATAAGGGCGATATCAGGGTGTAGGAGAGAGGCGATTGGGATAGAGGAAGAGAACAGAGCTTTAATGGAGAATCGAGCTCAAAGGTTTCCGTTTTGGTCGGAGCAGACGGCTGCGACGGTGCTTGAGTCGTCGACGAAGCTACAGAACGGATTCAGTGGTTTTCGCGGCGTACTGTACGCGACGAGGAACATGAGTTCGCTTCTACTTATGGTTTTGATGAACGGTCTCGTCTACTGTTTCCCCGGCGACGCAGCGTTATCGCAGACGCAGACGCAAACACAAACGCAGAATCAAGTCGGCGGTTTCGCCGGAGCGATGGGGAGGTTGCAGCAGAGAGTGGCGGCTGAGGTGGGGAGGATGGGGATTCGGAAAGGAATATTGATGCATGAATACCGACGGAGCAAGGCGGCGTTGGAGGAGCTTAAGGCGGAGCTTGAGCGGAGATTCTGCGGCGGGAGAGGCGGCGGAGGAGGAGAAAGCGAGGAGGAGGAAGAGAGGGAGTTGACAGAGAGAGTGGAGAATCTAAAAGGGTATTTTGGGAACTTGAGGAATGGGACAGAGAGTATAGTGGCGCAAATCGATGATTTCTTTGATGAAATTGTTGAAGGAAGAAAAAAGCTTTTGGATTTCTGCAGCCATAGATGAATCAAAAGCTGACATTTTTCAGTTTCTTAAGAATAAAAAAAAGGGAAGCAAAAAAAAAGAAAAAAAAAGGTAGACTAGGCTTAGATGAATCAGTTGGTAGGAGTTGTTGTAACTTTTTTTTTTTTTAATTATGAAAAGAAAATTTTAAATTTTTAGTTTTACTATCAATCTGCTCTATTTTAGTATTTTGATGTTTATATATATAATTCTAGAAATGGAGTTTATTCTCTGAATCATATCTAAAGTAAATGTCTGCTTTTCAGTTTTTGTTCCAGCCGTTGAAGATGTTGTTTGTTCTGTAAAATTTTCAAAAGATGGAGCTCATTTAAAAAAAAAATTGGATATACAGGAATAAAACCTACGATATTTGTAAACAAAGATATTTAGATGATCAACGAGAAATTAAAAGAGTGCAAGAAAACATTTGAATAAATGAATGCAATGCTTAACACAAAGAATGGTTAACCAATTTTGGGTGGATTAGTGACCGATATTTAGCACAAAATTTACGTATTTGATATAGTAAATACTAGATTTGACGTGGGTATATGGACTTTATACCAAAACAAAAACCAATCCAACACGTAATAACCAAGTCAAAGTTTAGTGAAAAAATTGATCATTCACCATCACTAACAACACTATATCATTAGACTATCTCAATTAAAAAACAACTAGTTAAAAACGAGGGAGCCTAAAGGGAGTGCTTGTTGTCTCTTTGAGATAGTTGGAAGAGAAAAGTAGTGAACAAAGCCAATGATCAAAACTGGAAAACTGATTTGATTTGATTCACATAGGAGGAAAATTTGTAGAGAGAGGGAGATGTCAATTTGAATTTGTGATTTTGTGGTGTTAATCAATAATAATGATGAAAATGGATCCTTCGTAAAGCAGATTTGTCTTTTGATTCTTTGGCACTCTCATCTAAATATATGCTTTGGGCACACCATTTGGTGGCTTTTGTGTCAATAATTATGATTATTACCAATTTCACACCCTAAATCCTTCCACACCCACTGTTTTAAAGCACTCCATCTTTACTTCTTTAAGTTTCTAATATTTGCTTTACACAATTCACTCATCTTTGCTTTCTCCTTTTTTCTACCCAAAAAGAACATCTTTGACAAAATATTCATTTTCTGTATTACCTATATGAGTAAATCTCAACCCTCAAGAATCACTTGGTATATGTGTATCATAAACAAGTACCAAAAAGTGCCACATCCCCATTACTGTTACACCTCTCTTAGTTCTTGATTTTCCAATAGAAAAAATTGAACCCTATACACTAATCATGTCTAATAAGAGTAATATCGAGATATTTAAAAAAGAGTACAAAACAATGTATTCAATGGCTGAAAGATTGTTCAACTATCATAACAAGAGTCATTCCAAAATAATCAAACTTCACCAAGTGCATAGACAACCACAATATAATTCACATGATGTTAATAAATCCAAACATTAGTCTGAATTTTTAGTCTAGAAGGCTTATCTACCATATAAACAAAACATTTTTCTCTCTAAGTAAGCTCTAAGAACATCATCAAGATTATTAGCAACAGTAGAAAAAGAGAAAGCTTGAGACTTTAACCCTTTTCCTCTCTTTGTATTTAGGTGTTTGCCTCTTTGGCCTTTCAATATTTATATCATTAAAAAACTTTATACGGCTTTGCTAAAGAAATTTCAATAAAGTATGGGAGATTAAAAATAATAATATAATATTATAGATGAGGAGAGAAGTCACTATCAAAACCAAAAAAATTTGCAGAATCTAAAATGCTTTTAGAGACTCTCACCAGAATTCCATGCTTTGCCTCCCCAGTAGGACACCAACTTTCTCAGCTGATTTTACCAAATAAACATTACCACTCAACCAAATACTCAATGATACCAAAACAAAAATTCGTAACAGTGAAACAAATTATGTATTATTCCTTTTGTCACAGTTTCTTCTTTTTTTACTTCAGAATATAATGATTTTCTCGAACGAAAAAGCAATGATTGAGGTCAGAAGCAAGCTATTTTTCCTCTGGTTACAGAAATTATTTGTGTTCCCCACACATAAACATCCTGAATTTATATTATTCCCTTCCATAATTTTTTTAAAACTGCATCACAGCTAATTTCCCAGAATTTGTTTCATCTTCTTTTTCCTTGTTCTATTATTACCACTTGAAACATAAAGGGATACACTAATTCCCCAACACACCCCCAAATGTCTATGTACACAAGCATTGAAGAATCACAACCAAAGCACAAATGTTTATCTAAGTTTATCAAATTTACGGAATGTAAATAGTTGACATTGTAAAATGGAGAAATGGGTGTGTGGGGGATTTAGATTACCATGGCGAAAAAATATGAGAGAGATTGAAGCTGTCTCAGTTCTTCAGACTGACTCAAATGTCAAACGCAGGCATTGCAAACTGAGAAGCAAAGGCCTCGACTTGGTTCCGAAGATCTGCAATGTCTTTACAGTGGTAGATGCTTTTGAGTGGCTCCTTTTGCAACTTCCCGCGTTCGCTTTGTGCAGCACTTGCTATCTGAGCAGCTCTATACAGAAACTCAGCCATCGTCTCGAAATCTGATTCTAAACAACCTCTTGAGGTCATAGCCGGACTTCCTGAGAAAGATACATGAACCCCATTGTCAAGAATCATACAACAAGAAAAAAGAGCACTGAGTGTTGAGGTTTCCTTGAGAATTTGATTTGCTTTACCTATTCTTACTCCTCCAGGGGAAATAACACCGTTTTCAGCGAAAATGGCGACTTTGTTGACAGTGATGTGGCACATCTCACATACTTTCTCATATACCTTGCCTGAAAATCACAAGGCCAAAATTTTGACTCAGCTTTTGGACACACCACTAAACATGAAAGTATGCATTGTGATTGTACAGACGTCAAAGAATAGATTTTGGAAAACATAATAAGTTTGGTTACGATCTCATTCCAGACTGATTGCACATCAAGCTAGTCATGTAGGCTATCAACAATCTAGAGAGATGAAAAATAAGAGATAGACTAAGAAACTCAGTCATTGTCTCGAATAGATAGGTAAATTTTGCCTATAGAGCCACGACGAATGGTTAAGCAGATGTAACACCATGAAAACTCAGACACAGTTACAATGGTGCCAATAGCTTGAATAAGGCATACACTTAAACCAGAGGAACTAGTCACGTACCTGTCAAGCCCAAAGGAGCCAGATCCCAAAGAAGCAAATGATTATCGGTGCCACCTGTTACCAACTTGCACTTTCTGCTCGTCAAAGCAGACGCTAAAGCCTTCGCATTTTTCTTGACCTGTCGCATGTAAACCTTATACTCTGGTGAAGCGGCCTGCTTGAGGGCAATAGCTAAAGCAGCTATATGGTTATTGTGAGGTCCTCCTTGCAGCGACGGGAAGACAGCAAAGTTGATTTTTTCTTCGAAATCATATTCGCTATTGTTCTCACAGTGATTCAGATTTATGCTCTGCTTCTTGATCTTCAACCCTCTCCTGTAAAATATGATACCGCCCCTAGGTCCACGTAGAGACTTATGCGTCGTTGAGGTAACAATATCGCAATAATCAAATGGATTTGGAGATTCCTACAACATTCACATAAACCAAAAAATTCAAGAGGAAGCAACGAACCAATCCATAGCACACAATATGGAAAAAAAGATGAGAATGATGATGAATCTACCTTAGCAGCCACAAGACCGCTAATTTGTGCCATGTCAAACATGAGAACAGCTCCACACTTGTCAGCAACATGCCTAAACCTAGGGAACTCCCAGTCTCTCGGATATGAACTCCCTCCGCAAATAAGTATCTTGGGACGATAATCAAGCGCCTTCTCCTCAAGCTTATCGTAATCAATATACCCTGTACGAGGATCAACCTTATACGGAAAGCTCTCAAAGAATATAGACGCACCAGAGACTTTCTTCCCACCTGGTGTGTAGTACCCGTGACTCATATGTCCACCTGAAGGAGAATCCAATCCCATAATCCTATCACCAGGCATCAAAAGACCACTGAAAACAGCAAAATTAGCGGAAGTGCAAGAGTAAGGCTGCACATTCACTCCCCATTTCTCGTGATGAAGTCCAAACGCTGCGAGTGCACGTTCTTGGCAAAGAATCTCAATCTGATCAATATACTGATTCCCTGTGTAGTATCTTGCTCCAGGCATTCCTTCTGAGTACTTGTTAGTCAAATGGCTTCCCAAAGCTTCCATCACCGCTCTGCAAACGAAATTCTCAGAAGCTATGAGCTCAATGCCTCTAAACTGTCTCTGTTTCTCCTTTTCCATGAACTCGTGAATCTCAGGATCGGCTTCTTCGAGCGATTGGTCACCCCACGCTTTAACGGAGGCTCGTCTACTCTCTATCCCTGAATCTACTGCGAATCTCTTGCTAGGGATTGGTGGTGATGACATTGAATTGCTACCTCTACAGCGTTTTAACTTCATTGGATGACCTAAGAGGATGAATTGCTGCTCCTCTTCTCTTTGATCGTCATCGTTATCATCGCCATCATCTTCGACGTCATTGTCTTCCTCGATGGCACGGGTACGCGATCCGGTGTCGTCGAATCTCTGCTCTAGCAGCTGAAGCGGAACGGGAGGTATTGGATTAGAGGATGCGCGGTAGCTAGAGTCAATCTGAAGCGAGATGGAGTCGTCAGCAATCTGGATTCTCGGAGGAGGTAGCGGTAACGCGTGGGAGCTGCCGAATCCTAAGGAGAGATCCGATTGAGCACGGTCCATAATCAAAATCGAGAGACTTAATTCCTCACAAATCGAATCGAGAGAGAGAGAGGGAAGAAGGAGGAAAGTTCTGGGAGGATGCGGAATCGAATTCCTTAGCTGTAAAAGGAGCAGAAACAGCGACAAGAGGAGCTAAAGCGGAAACAGAAAAGCCTTCCTTTATGATTGTGGGTTGAGGTTTCCATCCAAATTCCGAGAAACCCTAGAAGATCAAAACCCAGAGAAAATCGAATTTCGCTTTCTCTCTGCGGATGGACGGAAGCTAAAGCTATGGATGGGAAGAAGAAGAAGAAAAAGAATAAATGAAATGAAGCTAAAACCGGGACTAGCCGGTGACTTCTTTTTTTCCTTTTTTATTGGTTGGTAAAAGCTTTTGTATTGTTTGTTTGTCACAAAAACAATAGGGTTAATTTGGTAGATAACAATATTGAGTGTCAAAATTAAGAATATAGCTATCATAAACTCAAAATTAAGTCAATAGCAAAGAAAAATATTTTTGGACGATTTTACCCTTGTCTAGAGAAACCTAAACTATTTTGTTTATACTATGCTCTTGATTTTTCTATACTCTTTGTTTATGTAAATTTGAAAATACAATATAATGACTTTGATGAGATTATGTATGAAGCTAAGATGTTTAGAAAAATTCACAATCCTTGCGGAAGAGATTATTTGCCATATACAATTAAGTTTTAAACGAATGAATTATATTAAATTATCTTTCATACAACATAGAAACTACACTATACTATATAACCATCAAATAGTACAAAATTTTACAGCTACAATTTCACTAAAACCATGAACCAAAATGAGAGAATAGATTTCAATCGAAATCTAGAAATGAAAAATATCAACTAGAGTGGTGACGGCAAAACTGCGGCCGAGGTACAAAAGAAGATTGGAAGGGCTTTTGGATTTGCCTTCCTTTGGAACCGTTAATACTGTTGTCGGTTGATATTCTTCATTGTCGGCGTCGTTCCAAATTACACATCGGTGCCAACAATGGAGATGCAGCACCAATCGAAAATTGAAAAGAAAAACAAAAGAGAAATCATCGCAAGGGCCAATTGATATCAGTGACATAATTAACTTCAATTTTGTTTAGACCCATAAATCTTAGAAAGAAATACATGTAATAATCAGAGCAAAGAAAATTGATTAGAAATAGTTTGGAGTCTTATGATAGAGAGAATCGAGAGAGAAAAAGACATGAATCTATGGGGTTCTCAAGACAAAAATCGAAATGAGCCATGGATGCCAAGTGCCAATGACGGAGATGCAATACAAACTGGGAAATTGAAGAAGATGAACATGAGAAAAAAAGAGTAAAAGAAATAAATAAAGGTTTATGGTGTGTTGGAATCAATTTACCCAATTAACTATGTGTTGAAAGAAACAAAGGTTTGCGGTTTGGGAGAATTGCAAGAATTCTTCTATTAATTTTCAGGAGTTGTTCTTACTTCCTTCTTTCAACAAGACAATAACACAGTTTTCTGGATGCAAGGTTATATTTGGTAATATTCCATATAATATACCTCATATTCTAGCCATAAGATTATTGTTGTTAGTTTCTTAATTATAGATTTTTTTATGGTTATCTAGTGCTATTTCCCAAAACAATATGTATTCCGACGATAACTCAGAATTGAATCATATACACTAGAAACTATCCATCCATGTGTAACAGCTAAAAGAAGATGAGAGTTTAATATAAAAGTTTAATACAAACAAATATGGATGTGAATGAATGGATAGTTTGAGTATGGACATATGCTCTCATTTGTAGACAATTCTAGGTTGGATATCACAAAACAATATATTCTCTCCGTTTTATAATAAGTATCTTTTTGACAAAATGAATTTGGACTATTTAATTATGTATCTGGTGTTTTTAATTTTAATACATCCATTAATATATAGATATATTGGCTAAGTGAAGAGTCAAAACGACACTTGTTATGAAAGGAGAGAGTACAAAATAGATACAACATTCACATGGATGGGAATGTGTGGAAAAAAATTTGTATAATGCAGGTGATGATGTGATATTAGTAAATTAACAAATTGGTAAAGAAAAGAAGAAAGCGGGCCATTGAGTAATTTTGATTGGGCAAAGTTCACACCACTTTCAGAAAGTCTTATTTCTGTAATTGCAAACTAAGTCCCTCTTTCTGTAATTTTCTCCTATATATTATGGGTTTATGATCTTGTATATTACACACATGACACAACTCAACAAATTGGGAAAAAGAAAAAAAATCATTAAATGTTATGTTCCTTTGCTTTGTCCAATTCAGATGATTAAGACGCTTAACTTCTTGAACGTAATAGTTTTAATTAAAAAAATGTAAAATATATATGCTGAACTTTTACTTTATTTTGCTAAAATTTGGTAGAACATTTGCTTTTTTTTTGTTGTTGTTGGAAAATGAGAGTCATGTGCTGAATATTATAAAAAATGAATCGTATTACAATTTATATTGATTTGAGTATATATATGTACTGTACATTTTCTGTTTTATGGTCTCACGACCCCGAAAGGTTCTCAAATATCTTCAAGAGATGTCGTAATAACGGAAACCCTCAAGCCTAGCTTGTACCGCAAGGGAAATGAAAAAACATTTGGTATAATGTGAACATTATAAAAATATTAGACACTTGCTATTGCAACCAACTACAAGCGCGTGCTTTCTTCTTGGTTTTGTTTTGTTGGAAAGAGAACTTGATTGTTCGCCATGTTGCGGCTTCCTCGAGGTTATCTTCCTCAGCAACGACGAGCTTGCATGTGTGGGTGCGGGTTAAAGAAGAGGTTGAGGATAAATGAAACAAAGCGATTCTTCCCCCGAAACTAGTGAGACAATCACACGGCGGTATAGGCGATTTGTAAGAATCGTTGGTAGAATCCAGACTTCATTGTTGCTTAATTTGTAAGTTTTGTTGTGGTAGACTATCGCAACAAATGTCATTTTTCTTTTTGCCCTATGATGGATCAAGTGTCTAATAGAGAACATTAGAGTGTCTAATATGATAACGAATATTGTCAAGAATCAGGCAACAAGAAAAAAAAGAACGCTTAACTTCTTGAACGTAATAGTCCTAGTTAAAAAAATGTAAAATATATATGCTGAATTTTTATTTTATTTTTGCTAAAGTTTGGTAGGAGATTTGCTTTTTTTTTTCTGTTGTTGTTGTTGGAAAATGAGAATCATGTGCTGAATATTATAAAAAATGAATCATACTACAATTTATATTTATTTGAGTATATATGTATTGTACATTTTCTGTTTTTATGTTTACCTTAATTATTACATTTTATTTATTTATTTATTTATTTGTCATAGGGTAATTGATTCAATCATTCCCTCTCTCGTTTCATTCATTCTCGTTTTTTTTTAATCTGCTTTTTGATCTGCCAAACTTTTGCAGATTCAACGGAGTGGCGAATCAGTGGAGAAGATTAGCGTTGTATTTTACATCGTCTCAGATTACAAGCCGGAGGAAAAAGCTGCTTTCTGTCACCGGCTGAATAGGTAGAGAACTAGAGACGGCAACGTGACTGATTCTAGACGCCGCATGCTGTTCGAACGGAGTGCTAATGAGGAAAACCTGGACTAGCGGGTGATCTTTTTTAAGTGATATGTGGAAGAATTGTATTTTTTTCTTCTTCTTAAGTCCAAAATGGTATTGCATTAAGATGAACATTATTAGGCAAAACAAAATCTTAATTGTGAAGGAAAAAAAAAGATTTCCAGAAATATTTTTATATATATGCCACTTTACTTTTAATATTACAATTGATGATGTTTGAACAAAATAATTATATTTATCAATAAATTTTAACAGATCCTAAATTAAAAGCCTGAAAAAACAAAAGAAAGAAACGGATATGGATCATTTTCCAATTTAAACTATAAATTCAAAAGCTTTTTTCTATAATAGACCTTAAATAAATAAAAATTGTCAACTATAAATACGCTATTGGAGAGCAATCCTCTTAGTATTTCTCTAAGCAATCACAAGGAGAGAAGAAAAGCATTGTTCAATTCCTTACATCAGGTTGGGGTCTTTGTTTTCTGTTAACACGTTTTGTTTTTGATTCGTGTTCTTTTGATCTCTCGCCTTCTTGTTTTTAATACGTAGAGTGCATATGTGCATATATATTTCATATTTTGAGGAGGTGATCTATTATCTCATACAAACCATTTTCATTGTTGTTTACAATATACGTATAGGTTGTGTGAGCCCTCTACAGCTCTATTATTCACCAGAGAGAACGTAACAAGCCCGTCATGAATCTGATGACGCGCGATGATCTGACTCTTGAAGGTATCAAACAGTTTTATCTTAATCTCGAGGAAGAAGAATACAAGTTATATACGCTGTGCGATCTCTACGAAACTTTAAGCATCACACGAAGCGTCATCTTTGTGAACACAAGTCATAATGTTGATTGATTGACCGAAAAGATGAGAGAACGAGACCACACTGTCTCATCTACGCACCGAGACATGGACCAAAACACAAGAGACATTATCATGCGTGAGTTCCGGTCAGGATCATCACGTCTACTTATCACCACTGATCTTGTGGCAAGAGACATCGACATACAACAAGCCTCCGTTGTCATAAACTATGACCTGCCTGCACAACCGGAGGATTACATTGACCGCGTCGGAAGAAGTGGAAGGTTCGGGAGAAAAAGTGTGGCCATCAATTTTGTGGCGACAGAGAATGATTGGATGATGTTTGGCGATATTCAGAACTTTTACAATGTCAACATCGAGGAGCTGCACAATAACGTCGCTGATTATCTCTGATCTAACATCTTGACTTGTTAGTTGTGATCTTTGAGTGCTGTTTGATTTGACAGGTTTTGATAGTAAATTCATGTATTGTCTTTCTGCAACTAACATACACGTATATCACAATTGTTCTCTTTACCATATCACAATCAAATTCAAAAACGTTGAAAGATCACAACTAAAACAAACCAGTGGGAAAGATAAACCCGAAAATGGGAAGAAACCAATACAAACCTCCATATCCGTACACACACAAAAGAATCAGAAAATGCTACAAAAACAAACAACGAAACACACTTCTTCATCACAATTTTACCTGTTCTTCAGCAAAATTTCAAATAATTGCTGGTATTTGCTGACGAATGATTCTTCCCTGTGAAAACTTGTTTCCAGCTCAATGAAACAACCTGAAAACAATACAAATATGCAACTACGTTTAGCAAACTCACTATTTCACATGATACGGTTTTAGAATTTTTGAAGTATTAAAGTAATGAGATATTTCCAAAAAATCAACTTAAGAGAGACGTTAGATTCAAAATGAGTAATCTAAACCGTTGGATTAAAAAGGAGTTATGTAAACCGTTAGATTAAGTTGCCCTTTTTTTTCTTCTTCCCTTTAAAACTCTGCTGGACTTGATTATTGCGAGAAAAATTAAAACGCTAATTACTTCTCTTTCCAGTGCCGACGCTTTCTTCCTTGGGGGAGATCAGATCACAAGATAAAGTGATTAACAATGGCGTTCACCGATCTCTCCACGAGAATTGGAATCGGAATTACTCTCTTAGGGTTCCGGCCATACTAATCAAACCAACGACAAGAGCTTTGATCCGTCCATCGAGTTTACAGGTAATTAAACTCAAAGTTAAAGACTCGGAACATGCGTTCGTTTTTCGATTTAATTCCGCATGAAACCTATTTTAACAATTGGAAAATTTCGTTTCATTCTTAGATTGGTGGTTTTCTGTTTATATTAGATCGCGAATTCATTTTTTTAGGGTTCCATCTTTGTTTAGGGTTTTCTTTTTTTGATCCGTTCGATTCCGATTATTTTTAAGGATTCGATAGTTTCTCTAGCATCGCAACCCTTGTTCATGGAGATTCATCCTTATATCCATCACCGACTTGTTTTTTTTTTCTTCGAATATAGCGAAAGACACCATTATAACTTTGTCATATGTAAAATCTCTCTCTCGCAGATCGCTCGGTTTAATTAGTTGGTCCACAGACGGCTTTGACTTCTCCGTCGCAAGGTTAGAAATTATCTAACTCTCTGTAGATTTCAGAATTGGGATTTTCTGAAAATTGAACCTTTACATGACTGATGATAATATTAGCAAGATTTGTATTCCAATGCATAAGGTTGTTAGTTGCATTGCGTTTCTCTAGATTTTTAGCGGATGAGGGTTTCCTAAGTGTTTTCTAATGATGGAATTGGGAAATTTTCCTTGTCAGGTGCGAGATTGCTAGGCACTGGAAATGGAAACCGAAGAGTGTGAGCATTAGTGGCTCCTTTGCTGCTTCTATGTGACCTGAAGTCACAGGACAAGTAATTACGGCCGGTCATTGACAAGGTAATTAAGGCTGGTCATCCTCTAGCCCCCAGCAAACCATAGGCAGGCACTAATCTAAGAGTGTTTTGTCAGATTCTTGTTGGGGAACATTGTCCCGTTTGCTCAATCGTATTGGTTGGTAGTGCATGCGTAATCAAAGGAAGTTAGAGAATGGATCATATGCAGACACTTCCTTTGATGTTTCTGTTTTCCCTTTAGCCCCAACAGATCATATGCATACACTAATCTAATAGTGTTGTGTCAGATTGTTGTTGGGGACATTGTCCTGTTGGTTGGTAGTGCATGTCAAAGCAAAGGAAAGTCATGGTTGGTAGTGCATGTCAAAGCAAAGGAAAGTCAGAGGATGGAAACTAAAACACACGGCTTGAAAGTCTTTTAGAGAAAGACTATGGGTTTGTTGCGTTGGATGGATAAAACGATGGTATTAAAGTCTAAGGACTATAAATGGTGAATAGCATGGCCGATGGCTTAAAGTCTAAGGACTTGTTGGAAGGGAAACATGACCGATGGCTTAAAGTCTAAGGACTATAAAATGGTGAATAGCATGGCCGATGGATTAAAGTCTAAGGACTATAAAATGGTGGATAACATGGCCGATGGCTTAAAGTCTAAGGACTATAAAATGGTGGATAACATGACCGATGGCTTAAAGTCTAAGGACTATAAAATGGTGGATAACATGACCGATGGCTTAAAGTCTAAGGACTATAAACTGGTGGCCGATGGCTTAGAGAGTCTAAGGACTATAAAATGGTGAAACCGTTACATACCCACGGCTTGAGAAAAGTAGTGAATCCGTTACTTTACCCACGGCTTATAAAAGTCTTTAGACAAAGACTTAACGGATTCACTACTTTGCTACTACCCACGGCTTATAAAAAGTCTCAAGACTATAAACTGGTTTGACTTGGATGGTGAAAGAGACTAACAGATTAAAAAGGTCTTTAAGAAAGAGTCTTAAGGCAAAGACTTTTACTTGAAAAGGGATTCTTTGCTTTACTTGTACCCACGGCTAAGAAAAAGTCGAAAGGCAAAGACCCTTTACTTGTACCCACGGCTTGAGAAAAGTAGTGAATCCGTTACTTTACCCTCGGCTTAAAAGTCTTTAGACAAAAGACTTAACGGATTCACTACTTTAGTATAATACTACCCACGGCTTATCAAAAGTCTAAAGACTATAAACAGTGAGAATGTCCCGTTTGATTGGTTGGTAGTGCATGCGCAAAGGATGTTAAAGAATGGAAAATAAACTATGGGTTGGTTGGTAGTGCATGCCTAATCAAAGGAAGTTAAAGAATGGATCATATGCAGACACTTCCTTTGATGTTTCTGTTTTCCCTTTAGCCCCAACAGATCAGATGACATACACTAATCTAATAGTGTTTTGTCAGATTCTTGTTGGGGACATTGTCCTGTTAGTTGGTAGTGCATGTCGAAGCAAAGGAAAGTCAGGGGATGGAAACTAAAACACACGGCTTGAAAGTCTTTTCGAGAAAGACTATGGGTTTGTTGCGTTGGATGGATAAAACGATGGTCTTAAAGTCTTTAGGAAGGGAAACATGACCAATGGCTGAAAGTCTAAGGACTATAAAATGGTGCAACCGTTACATACCCACGGCTTGAGAAAAGTAGTGAATCCCTTACTCTACCCACGGCTTATAAAAGTCTTTAGACAAAAGACTGAATGGATTCACTACTTTACTACTACCCACGGCTTATCAAAAGTCTTTAAGACTTTAAAAAGTCAGATTCTTGTTTGGAGACAGTGACCCGTTTGATTGGTTGGTAGTGCATGCGCAAAGGATGTTAAGGAATGGAAACTATGGGTTGGTTGGTAGTGCATGCACAAAGGATGTTAAGGAATGGAAACTATGGGTTGGTTGGTAGTGCATGCTTAAATGTAAGCAAAAGACTATGAGTTGGCTTATAAAAGAAGCAAAGACTATGGATCAGAAAAGATTCATTAGTTCTCTTGAATTGGAAAGGGATTTGTTACTTTACTAACACCCACGGCTTGAGAAAAGTAGTGAATCTGTTACTTTACCCACGGCTTAAAAGTCTTTAGACAAAAGACTTAATGGATTCACTACTTTACTATAATACTACCCACGGCTTATCAAAAGTCTAAAGACTTAACAAAAAGTCTTAGGCAAGACACACGGCTAAGAAAAGTTAAAAGACAAAAACAAAGTCTAAAACAGAGTCCTTACATACCCACGGCTTATATAAAAACTCTTTAGAAAAAGAGTGGGACGGTTTTTGGATCAGTCTAGACATAGACTATAGACCCATAAACACAAGGCTAAAGCCCTTAGACAACTAACGATCAAAGGCTAAAGCCCTTAAACAACTAACGATCAAAGGCTGGGAATTTCCTCAAAGACAAGATTCTCGGTTTGTTGGATGGAAGAAAGGACCCAATGCTTAAAGAAGTCTTAAGCTATTACCCACGGCTTGAAAAAAGGTTCAAGACAGAGACAATGAACTGGTCTTTTGACGTGGTGGATGGTAAACATGACCAGTCTAAAGACCAGAAACTGGAGAAAATGACCCGCGACTTAAAAATCTCTTGAGGCAGAGACTTGTTACTTGTGCCCACGACTTAAAAGTCTTTAGGAAAAGACTGTCCTGTTTTGAAAATACAACTCACGTCTTGAAAGACTATGAGTAAAAAAACGGATTCATGATCTGTACATTGGAAGTGATGAAACTGACAAGGTAAATACAAGATATATAACTTGAGTTAAAGACTAACTATTGTAATTCTGATTTCCTCAGGTACGTGATTCAGAAAGTGTTCAATTTGCTAGAGACTCTGAGGAGATTTCAAGTGTAGAAGACTTCTTTAGCAGGTATTTGTTTTTCGAACTTGTTAGTAGTTTAGTTGATTCAATTGTTAAAATCTTGTTCGTTCAGGTTTGTCCTTCTCAAATTTTTTTTTTGCAATAATTGTAAAAATACAAAACTAGAGACTAACTGAGTTTTTTCAGGTATATGCTACAAAAGGTGTTCATATTCTCTTGGAAGCCAAAGAGATTTATCATGGTAGCGAGATTATTTGATCAGGTATAAACTTTTCTGGACTTTCCTGTATTACATACGAAAATCACAAACTAATTTTTTAAGTTGGAAATAATGATCTAAGCGCCATTTATTGTTAGAAATATTTCTTACATAGCTTAACATCGTTACATATGAAAATCACAAGCTAAGTTGGGTGATATATATGTAAAGTTAGAATTAATGATCAAGGCGTCATTATAGTTAGAAATATTTCTTAAATAGCTCTTTTGATAACATTACTAACATTCTTAAACAGAGAGCTATTTAAGTCTTGATCTAGTTTTTCTCAGATTCGATAAACTTATTGCTATCCATTGGTAAAAAGCTATATTTTACTTTTGGTATTGTGTTTACAGTGTTAGCAGTCTCCATCTTGATTTTAGAAGGATGCATTGTTAATTCTCTGTTTTGGAGCTTGTATTTATCACAAGGTCTCTAGTTTTTTTTAAGTATATGTATCTTGAATGCATGTAAGACACATGTATATTATGGTAGTAGTTTCTTTGAATCTTGGTACTTAAATGTTTTGCATTACGCTATTAACCTTTGGTGACTACATCATTGAAATTCTAACATCTGTTGCAGATGATCTTCATCATAGACTGATGACTAATGGACAAGAAAAAACTGTTTATTGTTGATTGTTTGTTTAGTTAAAATGGACAATTTGATTTCCATGTTAGTTTTGTTGGTGTGTTAGATTAATAAGATCCGTCTGGTGAACACATTTCTTTTACGCTGGTTGTCTGGTTGTTTGTTCTTTGTTGATACCGACTGTGATCTTTACTTCCGTGGTACGAGTCGTGGGATGGTACCATCTTGATTTTTAAAAATTGTTAATGTGGTAAGTTTATCGTAAATGTCTCTCAATGTCTATAATTGTTAAATTCATTGATAACCTTTTTTAACATGTGAAATGACATCCTTGCGATTATGAAATTATGAATCATACGTTGTTAATGATTCTTGTGCTAGGTTACATCCTTGGTCTTTTAGTCTTACTCTTGCATAGTTAATGAATTTCGAATAACTCACAATGTGCCACTGATGATTCGTGATTTCCCTTATGTTTTTGTTGTATTAATAACACTTTTCTGTGATTGATGTCAACATCAATAAAATTCCAGTAATCTGATTGTCTCTGCTTCAGGTCAATATTCTGTGAAGCTTAATTTGTTACACTTAGATGTTTTGGCAAAATCTTGCTTTCTGTTTGATACTAGGGAAAGTAGCGCATTGATATTTGAACATTTTAAAATTTTCTCTTCGCATTTTGATGTTAGTTTTGTAGATTAACGAGCTTTGTTAGCTTTCTATTAGACTAGATGTTGAACACATTTCTTTCATTTTTGTTAGGTTGTGATCTCGGCTTTCGTATTAGTCTGATAGCTTTTGCGCTTCTTAATATTACGAACAGTTAGTGTGGTGAATTGACTGAACTTTCTTGAAATCATATTTATTTATTCTTGTATGATAATCCAATTAGAATTCATCAAAGTTTTGTTTGAACCTAATGTGATCTCTTGTTTATTAAATAGTATTACTTGGTCTCTTAGTCTTACAGCTCTTTACATAGTTGATGAATTTCGAATAACTATTAAACTACTAAAGTATTTATTTACAATGTGCGATTGGTATTTCTTGAGTTCCCTTGCATGCTTTTGTTGTTTTAACAACACTTTTCTGTGAGAAAATTCCAGTAATCTGATTATCTTTGCTTTAGGTTAATATTCTGTGAACCTTAATTTGTTACATTTGGATGTTTTGGCAAAATTTGGCTTTCTGTTTGATACTAGGGAAAGTAGCGCTTTGATATTAAACATTTTAAGATTTTCTCTTTGCCTTTTGATGTTAGTTTTGTTGACTAAACGTATTAGCTTTCTATTAAGACTAGATGGTGAGCACATTTCTCTCATTTTTGTTTGGTTGTCCGATAGAACCAACAGTGATCGTATTACGTTCTGATGACTTTTCCTTCTTTGATAACCAACAGTTAAGTGTGGTGAACTGACTAAAATTCCTTGAAAATATATTTACATATTCTTGTATGATAATCTAATTAGAGTTCCATCAGTTTTTTGTTTGAACCCACGTGTGGTGACGACAGTAGTAAAGGATTTCAAGTCCTTTCTAGTCCATATGGACAAAACTGTGACAAATTAAAACAGTTGCTTGATTGTCTGTCTGAAATGTACTTTGCGTTTTTGTTTCTTTATAATGGTAAATAGAAGTTTGAAAAGACTATCACTTTTGAATCCTTCTAAACCATCATCACATTGTTAACGAACCAACATAGGTTTCAAATATTTCAAACAGGATTTCTGCATTGCATTTGGATTTTTCTGAAAAAGAAATTTTAATTTTAAATGTAAATGTAAATAATATTTTGAGCTTTTCAAACTATTTCGTTTAAGGTAAAAAATATATATTTTAAGTCTTAGAGCATCTTCATTGGTGTATCTCACAAATATAATAAGAGTTTTTTTTGTTTTCTATAATATAATAAGACCTCTTTAGTATTTTTAAGTTTATTTTTAAGTTTGTTTTTATTTTTTTCAAATACAATATTTTTTTAATATAATTTAATAATTTAAAAACTTTACATTAAATTCTGATTTTCAATCATAAAATCTTTAATTAATATTTCAAAATATCAAAATACATATTAGAATTATAGTAATTAGATATATTTATTTGTATTACAAAATAAATAGTAAAAGTTCTTTAAATATACTTTTGAATGACATAATTAAACATATAAATTATATAGAATAAACTCAAAATATAAAACTCAGTTTTTCTAATATGTAATGCTATTGTATTAAATTTTGTGAACTTTTCATCTTTATTTATTAAATCTTTCATTAATCTTTCTAAATATCAAAAATTCATATTAAATGTACTTACTTATATTAACTAGATATATTTATTTATATTACAAGATAATTAATAAAATTTCTTAAATTATTCTTTTGAATAATATATTTAAACATGAAAAATATATAGAGTAACTGAAAATATAAAACTCAAGTTTTTCTGATATTTAATGTTGTTGTATTAACTTAAATAAAATTAATTTTAATATTAATGTATTAATTATAATCATTCTCATTAATATATAATTTAACTTTCTTCAAAATAGTAGAAAGATAATTTTATTTTATAAATTATACAAAGATAAACAAAAAAAAAATAAATAACAATGTATAAACTCTTTAATTAACTTTCTAAACTATTGAGTATTTGATTTGATACAAAATATGTGAACCAATAATAAGATGATATGTTTCCTAATTGGGGGCTTTTCAAGATATCTCATTTGAGGATAAGTTCTCATCAATTCGCTCAATATATATTTTTTTTAAAGATTCTGTGTTGAGATACCCATTGAGATGCTCTTATTGAATTTTAACTTTAGTAAAACAATTGAACCAACAAGAATTTAACACATTGACATGGTTCTCAAGAGTAACTCAAATGAGAATCCTTCTCATTTCGCTCTCATACATTTTTTGTGTATAATAATAGTATATTTGAGTTCTGATACACGTTGATATAAGCTAGTATACTATTTATAACTTCATAATTTGCATTAGATTAGTTAATCAGTGTTAAAAAATAATTTAAAAGCTTGCATTTTCTAAAATACCTAATCATTTATTTTTTTGGTCAACTATAAATCTGGTATTGATGGAGCAATCCCCTCTTGATATTTCTCTAAGCAATCACAAGGAAGAAAGAACGAAAAATCATTGTCCAATTCAGAACATCAGGTTGGTCTTTGTTATTTGAACACGTTTGTTTTTGATTCATGTTCTTTTGATCCCACGCATATTTTTTCCAGCATGATATATTACGTCTTTACGGGCTGAGATAGTCTTATATTGTTAACACCATTTTTATTGTTTGCCTCCGATGAGAACTTTGAGGATACTGGATTATCTCTTACTGGAGTGTTATTTCGAATGTGTTTGTGATCGAGGTGCTCGGACTTTTCTTTCATAATTATGACAAAAATGAAAAATCACTTTATAATTTGATGTTTGAAGAAACCTCAAGTAAATATTTTCAAAAAGCTTGTAATACAAATTAAATATTATTTCAGATATATGAATAGACTTGTTAATTGTTGTGAACAAAAAAATAGACTTGTTCATTTTCTTTTTAATTATTATTAGCCGTGTACTGCATCTGCATGGTACTGGAACAGTTATAGTTGGGATTCTTTTTATATGTTGTTATGCTTGTGTAGCAATGGCAGGAATATGGCAGCTAACGGGACCCAGTATGATCCTCGTCAATTTTATTCTAAAATGAAATCGATGTAATTAAGTTTTCGTTCCACTTGAATTTTTAATGTTGTAATTAGTCTATAATTAGTCTAACCTAAGAACTGGTTTGTGTACATGTGTAGACTTGAGGAGGACGGAAAAGAAACGTTCTACACAGAATGTGATGAGGTTTGCGAAAGTTTTGATCAAATGAGTCTGAAAGTGGAGGTTTTGAAGGGTATCTATGGTCTAGCTAGGTAAGTAATATATAAAGTATAAGTAACATAACTTTTACCATCTTTGTGAACACGAGGCGCAAGGTTGACTGGTTGACCGAAGAGATGAGAAAACAAGACACGGAGACATCAGACATGGACCAAAACACAAGAGACATCATCATGCGTGAGTTCCGGTCCCGATCATCACGTGTACTTATCACCACTGATCTCTTGGCAAGAGGCATCGACGTACAACAAGTCTCGTTCGTCGTGAACCTATGATCTGCCTGTACAACCGGAGAATTACATGCACCGTATCGGAAGAAGTGGAAGGTTCGGGAGAAAAGGTGTGGCCATCAATTTTGTGACCGAGCATGATTTGAGGATGTTGGCCGATATTTAGAACTTTTACAATCTCGTCATCGAGGCGAGGAGCTGCCCGAAGACTACGCTGAATATCAATGAGCTTTCTTATTCTTCTTCTTCCCCGGTTTGGTCAGCTCTCGCAGAGCAATCTCTTATCTCTCCCTCTCTATGTTTTTTATTGCTTGTTTAGGGATGTTCAGTCCCAAGTTGATTATAGTATTTTCTGTTTCTTTGGTTTAATCAGTATGGTGAGCAAAATAAAGCCAAATCTAGTGTTCATATGCTAGATAGTTTGATTTAAAGTTAAATTAATATATAATTTTTTAAAAATGTTCTATTTTGATAAAATTACAGCCAGTCTTCAAAATTCGAAAAATATCACAAACTTGTGGTTTATAATTTTTTAAGAGTTTAAGGAAACAAAAACTTTAAACAGAGTTTAAGGAAATAAAACTTTAGAAAGTATTTTGAAAATGACAACAATTTTGTATTATGAATATCAGAATATGAGCTTATAGATTCATGAATACTACATATTTCAAGGAGGAGACTGGAACAAATATCTGAGCGGTTATAAGTTATAACATATTAATAAAATCAAATAAGTAGATGTTATATTATTACACAAAAAAAAAACCTGTTTGGCCCAATAAATACTGAATGTAACAATTTGAGAACCAATAGTACATTTTAGTTGTCGTTCTGGACATGCATATTAGTAAAATCATTGAAGCTATTGTTTTACCCCTAATTAATAATATGTTTTGTTTGATAAGAATAATTTATGAGCTAAAAAAAGATAGGGATAAATTTGGAAAAATTGTAATAATTCTGCATTGAAAACACAAAATGACAAGTAATATGAAACAAAAATTTAACTCCAGAACGACAACTAATTTGAAACTGAGGGAATACTATTTTATAAATAATTTTAAAACCTCTCAAATGAAATTACATGTTATTCAAATATATAATATATATATATATATATATTATTTGAAATTTTATATTTAATATAAGTGAAAAAAAAATATTCATCTTATAATTAGATATCTAAATGGAAAACAAAATGAATATACATTCTTTGAAATATAATTCAACAAAACCATTTAAGGTAATTGACTTATTTCACTTTGTTTGTTGGTCAAAAAATAAAATCTCCCTTCTTTGAACAACTAATTAATTTATAACTGGAAATAAATCACCTGACATATTAGATTCTTTGAATTATAAAATAATATTAAATAGTCAAAGATACAATAAATAAAGGATTGTTACTTAATTTCACTGCCTGTATTAACTTTCCTCTTTCCGTTAAAAACTATACGACTTTGACATTCTCTTCTCTCTCAATCTTTGTCTCTCTGCCTCTGTCTCTCTCACCATGAAGTCGAAAGTCTCGAAGAGACTATCACTGACATGGGTTTCTCTTCTCTGCGTATCCTGCTTTTTCCTCGGAGCAATTTTCACCTCCAGGTTTTGATATTTTTGTTGTTGTCTTGGAGTGTTTTGTTTGTGTTTTTCTTCTCTTTCGTCAATCTCTTACGGTTACAAAATCGTCTCATGCAATTTTCAGATTTCGAGGACAATCGTCGGATTCCGGTAGCCAGCTCGTTTTACAGCACCGGCGTGATCAAGAACTTAAGATAATTTCCGAAGATTATGCTCATGAAAAAGTATTATTTTCAAAAAATTCATCTCATAGTCATAAACTGAATCTGAATTTTTAAAAATTATTTTCATATGTTATTTCGATTTAAAAACTGACGTTTTATTTAAATATTTGGATTTCTGCCAAATGCAGAAAAAATCACAAGAAAAAGATGTTATGGAAGAGGTTCTGAAAACCCACAAAGCAATAGAGTGAGTGTAACAATAGAAAAATAAAATGATATTTTTCGTAAATGTTAGACTTGTTTGTTGAATAATAATATTTTTCTCTTCTGACCATAGGTCATTGGACAAATATTGTAATTAGATGGAATTTGAATATTATTATTTATTTATTTTTAATTAATGGATTTAAGTTAAATTAAAAAATAGAGTGAGAAAAATAAAATGATATTTTTCGTAAATGTTAGACTTGTTTGTTGAATAATAATATTTTTCTCTTCTGACCATAGGTCATTGGACAAATCGGTTTCTATGCTTCAGAAACAGCTATCTGTTACACAGAGCTCTCCAAAGATTGTTGAGACAAAGATTGTTAATGTCTCAACAACAAATTCTTCAACAGAAGGAAACCAAAGGAAGAAAGTATTCATGGTGGTTGGAATCAACACTGCATTTAGCAGTAGAAAACGGCGTGATTCGCTTAGAGAAACTTGGATGCCTCAGGGTTATTTTTGATGCCCCTCCTTCAAATATCTGTAATTATTTTCATGCTTCATTGCCTCTAATCTTGCCTTTTTCTTTTTTTATGTATATTATCACAGGGGAAAAGCTTGAGAAACTGGAAAAAGAAAAGGGAATTGTCATCAAATTCATGATTGGACACAGGTGAAATTCATGGAATTAGAATTTTAGAATTGTCTTATAGTTTTTTTTTTTTTTGGTTGAAAATTAGAATGAGACTCTTACTTGAGTGTGTGACAAAATGTGTTGGCAGTGCGGCGGCAGATAGTGTATTGGATAAGGAAATTGATGCAGAAGATGCTCAATACAAAGATTTCTTTAGGCTGGTGAGCTTAATCAAACAAATTAAAAAAATTCTAGGATTGTTTTACAGTTTCTTGATCTATTTTTTCTTGTTTCTTTCCGGGGACTCTTTACTTGTAGGATCATGTCGAAGGATATTACAAACTGTCTGCAAAAACCAAAATATTCTTTTCCAGTGCGGTTGCAAAGTGGGATGCTGAGTATTATGTTAAGATTGATGATGATGTTCATGTCAACCTTGGTACCTAACTCTATCTCTAGCATAATTTTTGTAATTTTCTTTTCTCCTTAGTTTTAATTGTTGAATATCTTTGCATTTTCAGGTGCGCTTGCTTCCACATTAGCTAGTCACCGTCATAAGCCAAGGGTCTACATTGGATGTATGAAATCGGGGCCTGTTCTTACTAAAAAGTAATAATCCTAACGTTTGTTGTTATCTCACATTTTCTATATTCCATTGATTTGGAATTTAAAGATGTTTTCCTCAAAACATGCAGGACGGCCAAGTATCGTGAACCAGAGTTTTGGAAATTTGGAGAGGAAGGTAACAAGTATTTCCGACATGCTACGGGACAAATTTATGCAATCTCGAAAGATCTTGCCACTTACATATCTGTCAATCAGTAAGTAAACTAACTATGTGTTCTTGGATTCTCTCTTCTTGATAAATGAAAATATGTTTTATACCAAGGGAAATGGTTTATTTATGCAAGCATAACATTTGATGTTTGACTTTTGCAGGCCTATTTTGCACAAGTATGCAAATGAAGATGTGACACTCGGGTCATGGTTCATCGGTCTTGAGGTTGACCAAATCGATGATCGTAACTTCTGTTGTAGTACGCCTCCAGGTAAAAGCTCTATATTTTAGTATACTTCAAAACAAAAAATAGTAAATTGTTTTGGAGATTTTTCTCATTTTGTTACTCTCTCTCTCTCTTTCCCATGCAAAGACTGTGAAATGAAGGCAGAGGCTGGTGAAATGTGCGTGGCGTCATTTGACTGGAAGTGCAGTGGGGTATGTAGATCAGTCGATAGAATGTGGATGGTTCATACTATGTGTGGCGAAGATGAAAAAGATGTGTGGAATGCAAAGTTATAATTTTCTTAGATAGGAGAAAGAAATAAGAGGAAGATGAACATTTTGTTTTATAAAGAATCAAAAGGTATTCAAATTCGCTTATTGGAGACGAAGCTAAGTAAGACTTTTAAGTTCGATATTATATTTTTAATTTTGGAAAATGAAATTGAGGAGATTTATAGGCGTGAGAAAATGGCTTATTATAAACTTAGGTCCAATATGAAAACATATTCCTAACTATGACTATGTAATCTGAAATCCAGTTTAAAAATCAGAATGACTGAAACCCAAATTGCAAATTCGGTTGAAAACAAAAGTTAAAATGATAAACTATTAAAAAAGTAGACTATTTCTTTTATATGCTATATTAATTTGATTGGGCTATATATATTGATAATTAAAATATTTTTAAGTTTCTCAAGTACGATGTTTTAGTTTTTTTCTTGTTCTTCAATGTATATTCTTTTGGTTTTTTTTTTAAAAGTACATATCTTTTGTTAAATAATGCTAACAAACTATAAAATTCAAAAACTATTACTTACAAGTATTTAAATTCTTGGTTAAAATTTATTTAAAGGTATTTGGTTTGAAAAAGTAATGCATTGCTATCAATAATTAAATAAACACACAGATATATATATATATTCCCTCCGTTTCATAATAAGTGTCGTTTTAACTCTTTACTTACCCAATGTATCTAGATATATATGGATGTATTAAGATTCAAAACACATCCAGATACATCATTAAATAGTCCAGATTCATTTTATTAAAACGACACTTATTATGAAATGGAGAGAGTATATATATATATATATATATATTATCATATTAAGGAACATAGTAATTTAGTTTACAGTTTAGGTTAGTTTTGTATACTAAAATGTCAAAACTTTTATATTTTCATATTGATGCATAGTAAATAGAGGCATAAAAATGACAAAATAAAAGCAGAGCAAAGTAGATGCAAAATAGAACTAAAAGAAGCAGAAACTTTAGATTTTCATCTTTTGTTTGGGTGGTTTACTATCTCAACAATAACAATATTCACCTTATCATGTCCAATTTTAAAAGCAAACTGATCAACAAAATAGACACAAATTGCTATTTGGCTCTTCAATTGATTATTAGCTCTAATATCACTACGGTAAATTGACCTCAAAGCAGTAATGTAATCCTACAATCACAAAAAAAAAGTAAAGCAAAGTTTTGTTAGTCAATAAACAACAAAAACAAATGTTGTTAAAAAACTATTTTTTCAAGCAAATCAAGCTACATAACAAATCTTTGCCTAAATGCAAGCCCGCATGTGCCCAGAATTTACACAAACCTCCTCTAGATCAGTAGCAGCATCGGACAATAGGTTACCACTGCCATCGCCAAACGTTTGGAGAGTTGTGTTCTTAATTCCCAAAGAATCAAAAGGTATTCAAAATTTTATAGAACATTTTGTTTTATAAAGAATCAAATCAAATTCGCTTATTGGAGACGAAGCTAAGGTTCTAGCTGGAAACAAGTTCAGGTATTTAATCTCAATTTTTATCTCTACCTTTGTCCACTTGTCTCTTGTCTATGAAACATTAAAAAATCTCTCTTTTTGCATTGGTTATAGTTATAGGTCGCATGGGATTTACCGGGAGTGGAAGAGGAATTCAATCAACAAATGCATGGGAAATTGAGCATGTGACTTGCACTGTCCCTCAACAGAAAAGAACACTCCATTTATTTAAATAGGGAGTGACCTTTTTTACTTGTCACGTTTTGACACTCCTTTTGACCTTTGAGACTCACATCACATTGTTTGTACAGGGAGTGACTTGTTTTTACTCTTGTCATGTTTTGACACTCATTTTGATTTTCGAGACTCGCATCACATTGTTTGTATAGGGAGTGACTTGTTTTTGGGAACCCCTTGTTTTTACTCTTGTCAAGTTTTGAGTGACTTGTTTTTACTCTTCTTAAGTTTTGATCTTCCCACTATTTATGTTTTAGTCGATTACGCGTCCCTTAATACGACCTCCAAAGACTGGTAGCACAATACTTTAGAAACAGCAATTAATTTGCATTTTTTAAGAGTTTTGTTTCTTGAAATTAAGGATCAAAAAGGAACCCAAGAGCTAAAACAATGTACATCAGCAATCTAAAAATTCTCACACGACCTCCGCAGCTGCTGGTTTCTTTGCTCCACCAAATTGAGACAAAGGAAATCCGGATTATTCACCTCCTTCTTACTCAAGCAAGGCTTCACCAACATAAATTCGCGATATCGAGTCATCTAACTTGTCGTAACTTCAACAACACTCACAACTAACGTATATTACTTGTGAAACTTTCATAAATGTAACATCCGCTACTTAAACTCTCTGTTTTTGTAAGCTCAAACCATACTTTTTTATTTAAATAATCTGCAGTGATCAAAAGAAAAAAAAAAAAGAACCAAAAAAAACCTGAAACGTTTGTAAGAGTAAACAACTTTACTAAAAACTCTAATTTTCAAAAGCCAAAGTTTGAAAAACCACTTTACCTAATTCTTCCCAAAGTTGTAGGTCATCTACTTTTCACATGGTAGCTCGAATCGGCACAATGGACAGTCATGACTGGTGGTAAACCACTTGAGGATACAGCCATCGTCAAACTCGTGTCCACAGGGCAAGGTCACGACTCGTTCTCCCATTTTAAAATCATCCAAACAAATTGTGCACATGTCGAAACTGGACGTCAAGTTCTTGTATACTTTCCTTGACAAAGACTCAACCGCAAACTTACTTGCCGGTCTAAACCGGATATCGATGGTGCTCTCATCAGGTGAGACTTGCATTTGCATATCCTCTCCAAAATAAAACATTGAGTCTTCCTCTTCATCACGTATGCGTCTACTCTCCATATACTCGTCTCCATTCGCTCCAAAATGTAACATTGAATCTTCATCTATATCAGGTATGAGTCTACACTCCATATACTCTTCTTCATTCGGTCCAAAATAATACATTGAATCTTCCTCTTCATTACGTATGCGTCTACGCTCCATATACTCTTCATTCGTAATAGGAGGCTTGGTCTTAAAGGTAATGTACATTGACAAAGCACAATCTGGAGAATAGTTACCCGAGAAAAATATGACGTTAGAGGTATTTCGAGAGAGTTGCGACCTCCCATAATCAACAAAATTGTGACTGAGACGTTCTTCGTTCTCTAAGCAAATCAGTTGATCCCACCTATAACGCCCCAGGTTATCCAAATATTCTTTGGCAGGAATGGAGAAAACGAGTACTGTCGAGCAATTTAGTGTAGGATCTAAGATTTCCAACCGTAGGATACTCGCATAGACATTGATTCTTCCTGCGTCTTCAGGTTTAGGATTGTGGTTGACTTCATGGTTGAAGGATACGCAGTCGGCAGGAAATTCCATCACCAAGATTTCTCTATGTGCTTTTAGGGTTTTTTTTTTTTCCCCTTGTTGCAACGTGGTCTAGGTTAGAAAGGGATTTCAATTTTTTTTTTTTTAAAAAAAAATATAAATGATAGTATATAACTTAGATTAGTATCGTGTGATATACATGTAAGTACATGTGTAATTATCACTCACATAATTGAAATATTGTGCATATATTAACCTAAAAAAAAATTAATGAAAATTATAGAATTAATATTTAATGTGGGATATTGCAAAGTTAATCTAACCGAGAGTAGTATTATCTCACATACTTTCTCCAAGAGGTTCTCTTGATCATGATCACTCACTACTGTCATGAGTCATTCACAAGAGTTAGATAAAAGACCAATATCCCCATTTACCATCACTATAAAATTAGTGTCATGTGTCACGAGGTTCTCTTGAGAAAGTGAAAGACAACATCATTAGTATTAGGATGATGCGTCTACAATTCTTGCTTCTTTAGTGAGGCTTTTCGTAATCATTTTCTTCTTCTACAAATTATACTTCTTTTTTCAATGAGTTGTACCAAACAAGATGTATAAAAATACAAGAATAATCAGAAAGGGATAGCTAAGGGGAGTTGTCCCCTTCATGGTGGAACATTATGTTGGGGTGTTTAATAAACTAATGTACGCCCATTTTAAAAATACAGAAATGGGCATATTTAGTGGCTTTTTCAAGTTCAGACAAGCTTAGTCCCAAAGTTGAGACCAATCCCTAATTTCCCATTCTTCTTGTCTTCGTTTGGGCCTCCAGTGTCAAAATCTCCCACCCCATGTGTCTGAATCCATGAAAACTACATTCTCTTTTTTGTTTTTTATTAGCAGATATTTTCCAAATCGAAACCAACACTATCGTAAAATATGTTTGCAACACTCGATTCTTATATTTAAATTATGATCGTCTGATTCACTGTATCAACTTTTTGTAATGGAAGAATTTAGGCGAAAAGAAACATAACTCTAGATTTACTATTATGTTATAAGTATTTAAATTTACGACTGACATATTTATATTACTATTAATCTGTTGTTTCTAGAGAATCGAAAAGAAGAAATCCTTAGAGCTCAAAATTATTCACCGAGAAATGCTGGATAGTGTTATGAATCGTGGTTTAAAATTGACTTTTAACACTAATCTACATATTGTTTTCTTTTTCTAAAGACTAATTAATATTACATTTTCCAGTAAAAAGTCCTCAAAATTCATCTTCTTGTTTGTTTCCAACTTCACAGTTGCAACTTGTGAGTTCTAAATGTGTTATCGATGCATCATGCATGTATATCTACGTGTTACACACAAAAAAACAGCTCACTTTATACTAATATAGCAAAACTCAATATATAAAGGGTAGTTTTCATTCCTTGACAACGATATAAAAAGAATAGCTTAGTTTGGTCTCTATCAATCCACTAGATTGTTAATTTGATATATACGTCCACTAAAAACTACCACTACATTGTTAATTTGATATATGCGTCCACCGTTGGATAATATAATACAAATCGTTGAAAAAGTTTATATACAAGTACAGTGATAACGTGAACAGTATGTTTTGTTTGGGTTTGTACAAAACCTTAAGAAATCGAAGTATAATCTAAAGGGTAGTTTTCTTTCACTTTTCCCTTCTTTTACGGACTCATAAGTTTAGTTCTAAAATATTTGTTTATACAGCGATAATAGAACAGCAATTTGAACTTTGATAATCAAACGATAAGAGAAAGTGTTCATAATATATTGAAATCCAAAGTTGCGAAGGCGCGCACGAAGAGTAGTAACCTTGGATTTGGCTTCTTATTTGCATTTCTTTAGCTACGAACGTAACAAAAATGTACAAACAAAAAAACAAGCCATGAAAAATATTAAAACATATTTTAAGAAACTAGACATGACTTAAAGAAGACAGGGAGATCCCTGAGATAAAAAGATCTTACTGTATCCTTGGTAATGTTATTGACCAAAGCAGTAAAGTGGAATAAACAAATATAACTTTTTTAGGAAAATTGATACTCTTTGTGATACTTGAAATTAAAAGAAGGGAATATTAGGCATGCAACGATTTGACAGACGCCTAGCTGCTACTTACTCTGCCTACTCTCAACCCTCTGTCCTTTTCATATTCTAATTTTTGATACAAATGAAACTAGTATTTTTATACTAGTGGAGAATAATATCAAACTTATTCCTTAATCAATCTCGTTTCCTTTTATTCCCTAAATATATTTACGTGTGATGGATGTTTATAATTCTTTAATTTAAAATCCGTAAGAAAAACATAACATGTTTTCTGCTGCTTAAACTTATGATCAAATATACTATCTTCGTTTCAAATTAGTTGTCGTTTTGGTAAAATGTATCTGCAGATATTTAGACGTATTTGGAGGTGTTTTGCATTGCCGATACATTCAAATAATTGCAGATACATTTTGCCTAAACGACAACTAATTTAAAACGAAGTATATATTTTCTGCTGGCCGATTTTCTCTAGATGAATTTTGTAGTATACTCATTTTCAAAAACTAATACTGGATCCAATAATTGACTAAACTTTGACCAGGACGTTCTCAAACGAAGACTGTTAGTTAATTGAGCTTAAAACCAATTAGTTGAAACTTTTAATTGTTTAACTAATTTATCTTTCGTAAGTTTGACTTCTGTTGCTCTGTCTCTCTACCCTACTGGGCTACTGGTAGGATTTCATCTTGTTTACTTATTTACTATTCCAAATTGGTATAGTTAATTAATATCTAGGCATTCTAGTCTTATAGTATGTCAGCTTTTAACATCTAGTGGATCTGTGAATTAGTGAATAGGATAATTCATGTGACTATCTTATAAGTTATTGTTTACATTAAACATCTCCTAGTGTACATTAACATATTCTTTTGTAACAAAAGCCGTTTGTTACCAATGAAAGCAATTATATGGACTATGGAATGTATTAAACTTAAACAGAAGCAATAATTGTTCACTGCTTACTTCAGAAAGAGATTTAAGCACACATATGTAACTTATTTTAATGAAAAAAATGCTTTTTCAACATAACTAAAATACAAGGTTATGTAGAGGATGGGAAAAAAACAACTTTTGAAAATTTAGAGTATTATTGACAATGCGATGTGGATTGTTGATTATGTTGAAAACAATAAAATAAAGTGTAATTAAATAATTAAATTATGTCAAAGGTCTCAGACTTTAATTTGAACAACAGTCTTTATTTATTGTGAAGCTGTCACATATATAATCCACAATTGATCCGAACCTTAGAAAATAAAATTAGGATCCAAACTGTCACAGTGAAAATGAGACTCGAGAGATTCAAGAGAGCACATTTTCGAAAAGATTTTGTAAAGAAGAAGAACAAGAATGTGAGGAAAAGACATGTTGTGGTGTTCTCATTTAGCTTTCCCTGCTTTTCATGAAACCAACCCCAATTCAACTCTTCCTTCTTTGACCACAAACTACTATTTACAAATAAACTATTCAGTACTACTGAAGTACACAGATCAACTGGTTTTATATTCAGAACTAGAACATGTAACTGGTAAAGCTGTATTGAACAAAATTATTCACCGGCAAAAATGTGGACCCCTTACCTTTATATGGTTAAAGAAGGATCCCATGAGAATATGGTAGTGACAGAATTAAATAATGGGGATAAACTTTTCTCTTTTCTTTTAAACATTCTTTTGATAATTTTGGTTATATATACACATTTTCCGAATTAAACCAAAACCCCAATTTCATTCCTTTTTCCATTGTATTTTCTTCTCTGCCTATGTACTAAAACCTTCACAATCTATATTCACATATATAAATTATATATATATCGCTCACCACAAAAATAAAAAAAAGCTCCCCCCAACCCAAAACTTGACTGATCATCTCAAAAATTATGAGTAATAATAATTCCAAAATCCAAATCGCCTTCGTCACTCACTCTTTTGAGATTACCTTTTTACCCTTCTTCTTCCTTAGCCGTCTTCAACAAAGATCCTACCGATGAAATCTCTGAACCTCTTGGAATACAGCTTAGGATCAACAGCTGAGATCGAGGCAGGATCTGCTTGCAACGACTTATACGCATGCTCGATCTTCTTGGTTATGTCGTAGTCTTGCAAGATGTCTATGACTCCAAAGTAGAGAACCACTTCATACATCTCACCGTGTGATGGATACGTCGCTCCTCCTGACGTATACTGATCGAAATCGCTTCTCCGAGCCATTCTCTCCGCTCTTGCTGGCATGTTTGCGCCTAACCTTATCGATGGTTTCCTGTAAACAAAGAAAAAGATTGAAACTTTGAGCAAAACAGGACCACATTATCTGTTTCACACCTCACTATCTTGCCAACCAAATTATATAAATCATTCCCACAACCACTCCATGTCTCTGCCATAATCAAAGAAAAGCTTTCTTCTGTGAAGTCAACTTCTCAACATTAAAAACGAAACCGGGACATATGATTGTCAATATAAATGTATGTTAATGTTACCTGCCAGCTAAAATACGGTCCATGTCTTGAAGCTCAGCTTCTAAGAAGCGACAACCACGCATGAATTTCTCATTCTGATATGAATCTATCCTACCTGTCAAAAAACATTGACATGAATCTCAAAAGACAGGTCGACTTCGATGGAGGGGACACAGATAGAGAACAATGTCTAAAATTTTTACCAGATCTCAAAACGAATGGAGAAAGTCCCATTTTTTCTCCAGTGTTGTCATCACGGAAGTGAACACCAACTAGAAGGGAATAATCCATTATCCTCTCGGCTTCCAAGAACTCACAGTCGCGTTTTATTTGCCTGATCATCAACACACAGATCATCAGCGTTAGAAAACTTGTTTGAAACTAGTGAATAACTTTGAGTAGCTAAGTGGAAGCTTACTTCATAAGCTCTTGATACCAGTTTCTCTGAAGACGGAAAGCAAAATTAAGATCAAGATCCTTGAGAGTCGTGGTCTCATCGATTTCACCTTCAGGCTTTGCAGTACTACGTCCATGAGAAGACCCTTTGAGGTCAAACCGTCTCTGGATTCTATACTCTGAGCAGAACAAGTTCCCCATGACGATAAACCGAGTCTGAAACAATATGGTAAAAACAGAACAGTAAATTTTCTGGAGCCTAAAGAGAGCCATGAAGCGTTTAGATGAAACAAGAAATACCTTCTGGCCACCAACAGGTTTGACGCAATGAACACCGTAAAACCTAGTGACGAGGGAGTTTTCGTATTGGCAGACATGTTTGTAGTAACTTGGAAGCATTCTTAGAAGCACCTAAACCAAAAGACGACAAAAAGCTTCAAGTCAAATTTTCATTTAAGCTAATCACAAGACCTTAGTGGAGTTTATGATTGATAGAGAAAGTAAATGTGAAAGCAAAGAAACAAAACCAAAAGGTGTCCCAACCGCTAATTAAAGTAAATTAACTTGTTTTCAAAAAATGACAAGAGAAAGGTCAAAAACAAGAAGGCAACAAAGACAACTAACCTTGACTTCTGATTTCTTCACCGTCTTGATCATAAACCTATCGTCTTGAGTTAGGTAAAAGAAGCTTCCACTTTTTCCAGGTGAAGATAGTTCCCTAAGAGCATCATTCCCACAAATAGCCAACATATACTCAGCTGGATCCACTTGGAAATGATCCCTGAGACGTCTACAATCAAAATTTCCCCAAATAAGAAACACAATTCAACATAGAAATCTTCTCAACTAAGTGGACACATCACCACAACCTAAATACAACTCAGCAAAATGCTAAATTCAAACACTTTTCTCAAGAAGGATAAAAAAGAAAGATACCTGAACACCAAAGGGCAATAATCCTTCCACCGGAAATCAACCGATAGATGCGGTGGCGTAGTCTTAGTCCCTTCCGGTGGAAACCTCGTCCAAAACTTCTCCTTTGGATCGAAATCATTCTGCTTAAGCTCTCGAACAATCGACGCATGTTTCCCAACAGAGTACCTAAATTTCAATCACCATCAGAACAACAACAACAACAAAGAAGAAGCTTACCAAATTCCATCAAAAATTTGACAACTTTACCTTATCCCTAACTGCAAATTCAGCATCAGATCATACTTCTTATGCCCTTTAGATATCGTCTCTCCAGGCTTCTTCGCCTCGCCGTTAAACCAGCAAGGGTTCTTCTTAAACTGACGAAACCCATCCCTATCCACAGAGATTCTCTCTCTGTAAATCTTCGACGCCTCCACATTATCAATAATATCGCAAGTGATATCCCCAGCTTCTCCATCAGACTCCCAGATACAGATCCTCGGGAAAATCTTCTCCCCGCCCAAGCTCCCAGCTCCACTGTCGACAGAAGACCTCTTCCTCGTCGCCACAATCAAATCGTTCTTCTCGATCCCGTCGAAGAAACTCCTCATGATGTTGCTCTGATTCCAAGCTCCGACGCAGGAGCTCCCATCAGCCCAAGTGAACACTCCGCTCCCTTTCGGGATTCCGTTTACCCACTGACCTTCGTAACGATTCCCGTTCGGCCAAACGAGCAGTCCTTTCCCGCAGATCACGCCGCTGCGCCACTCTCCGGTGTACTGATTCCCGTTTCTCCAAACATACCGGCCTCTCCCGTCCTGCAGATTCCGCCGCCACGTGCCTTCGTAGAAATCGCCGTTCGCGTACCGCTTCTGCCCGTGGCCGTGTTTCCGATCGGCGACCCAGGTTCCTCGGTAAGTGTCTCCGTCGGCGCCGGTGAATGTCCCGAACCCTTCCATCCTCCCGGATTTGAATTCGCCTTCGTAGGTGGCTCCGCTCGGCCACGAGAACTTCCCTTTCCCGGAGGCTTTCCCTCGTTTCCAATCGCCTTCGTACATGCACCCGTCTCTCCACAGATACTTGCCGGATCCGTGGGGGAACCCGCCGGAGAAGCTCCCCATGTAGAGATCCCCGTTCGGAAGCGGCTTCTCCACATCCAGGAGGGGCGTGGGAGTCACGCGCCTCGTAGCTACTTGAGATCTCGATCGCACCATCGGAGGTGGTGGTTGAGCTAGCAAAACCGAATCGTCTCTTCTCTCTACTTCTTCTTCCTCCTCCTCCTCTTCGCTCCTGCAGAGGATAATAATATCTTCCTCTGGAACAACCTTCTTCTTCTTCGCAACGACGCTGCTCAAAAACACTTGTTCTTCGCTCGGAAGCGATTCACGCATCATCTACTCATTAGTTCAACAACCTTCACTTGAACCTCTCTTGCAATGCTCTTCAATCTCGGGAAATTCCGAAAATGGCGTTCATTTTGGTTTAGCTGTTTTCTCAGATTGCGGCTAAAGTGAAAAGCTCAGTGGAGAAACACACATTCTCCGGTGGATTTCAAACGCAAATGAGCTGAATAAAAAAAGAAGCTGGAGAGTTTTTTGTTTAGGGATTGTCGATGAGATTCACAGGTTTCTAAATCTGAGAGGAAACCTTGAGAGATTCGTACAGAACGATACAAGAACATAAAAAGGAGAACAAAAACATCAAAAAAGAAAGAAGAGAGAGAGGGTAATAGAGACAGAAGAGAGAGAGCAAAATAAAACACTCGAAATTTTTAATTTTTAAATAAAAAGTTCTGTTACCAAAAATAAAATTAATTTTGTAGAAAAAGGGAAAGAGAGAGAAACCATCGGGAAGCGGACACAAAAAGCCCACCAGCCCGAAAAAGAAACCAACAATATTATTAAAATAATTACGGATAATAATAGATAAATTTGAACGACGACGTAGTGTTTCATGTGTATACACACTCGAGATTGTTTCGAATTTGTCTTTGTATAATTAAAAGCGAAGTGTCCCCGGCGTAGTTATGGGCTACGCATTCGTAATATACAATACTACACGTAGAAGACCAAATGATTAAGTTATGGTCTACCTCTGTTAGAAGAAAACAAAAGTTTTATTTAATTTTGTTTTTGTAAGAGAGAAATGATTATGATGAGGATTATAGAGAAATCTTGATTAGGAAGCGAATTTCCAGGTGATTGTGTTTGATGACTACTTAATTAATTACTACTATCTTCACATTTGCACCCAAAAAAAAAAAAAAAATTAATTAATTACTACTAGTATGGTTTTAAAACAAACTTGTTCTCTTCTGTGATTAGATGATCGCTGGCTTTAGTGGGTTTTCTTTTCGAGTATTGATTCTGTTCCTAGTCTACTGCTTCTACTACTACCGATGATTAATTAATTAAAACTTACATTATTCGGATTTGTTATCTGTCACGATTTTTAAGTTATGTAAGAAGGTCTCATATTCCCATACGGACAGTGACAAGAGATATAAACGAGCTTACAGATACACACTGTATCATATATATTCAAGTATTAAGAAATGAGAACTTTAAAGTTGCGTATTTTGTCCGTCGAATGTGAATTATGATCTTTTACTGGATATATACAAAGACAACTTAGGATTACTAAAAAAAATACTTACATTTCATTTTGCAACAAATAAAGTATGTGAATTCAAAAATTCCGGATCAAATACAAAATCAGACTTTTTATCAGTCGATTAGCCTAATTCTAACGACACCATTAAATCAACACTATTGCAATGCTACAAATAAGTTTATAATTACACTTATTATTTCATAAAATAGTAATTAATAGTTCGATGGTGATTCACATAAACAGATATATCAGCAATGATCAATCCTATCCATAGGTTTGAAACTTGGAATACTTTGATTTGAAGTGCTAATTGGACAATGTTACGGATAAAAGGTGGTAATAGGACATGATTGTGATTCCATTAACGACAGCATAATAAAAACTAGAGTGCAACCGTGCAAGTATACTTCATAATTCACAAACATACCTATTTGACCCCCTTAAAAGAAAACTGTTATAAACATACCTAAACGGTTAAACCTAATACAATACTCCACTATTCATTATTAGTAATATATAGTACTTGCTACTTCTACAATAGTATTATAGAGGCACGAGTGGTGACTATGCCCGTGGTGGTTAGAGCTTCAAATGTATTTAATCACCTTTTTTTTTCATTATGGTACAAATCGCATTAACAGAAGAAAATTTTAAAATATGCAAGGGGACGTATGAGCTGAATTTTCTAGATCATCACTCAAAATTTGTTACATATGCTTTTGAAAATCACCATTTAACATTTGTTTTCTTGTGTTTGTTCTACGTGTTGAACCTATTCTACACTTATTATGTCTTTACTACACTGTTTACTCTTCTTTCGGTACTTGAAGCCTATATTAACTTAGCCGATTAATGTTGGGGTAAATCCACATTTAAAAAGCATCATTTTTTCTTTTGTCCACATCAATGAAAAATAGTCATCTATACATACAAAAAATAACAATAAAGTATTGGAAAATGGAGGGAGTATGGCGGCTGATGGTATTTCCCCATGCATACGCCATAATGACTTGGTACACTACGCCATTACTTCCCCGTTCCCATATTCAAGGCATCTCATAGCTAAATCATTATTCTTCTTCGCTATAAATCTTATTTATATACTGTATACTCAAATCCTGAAAACTCTGCCATGCTTTCAAATCGCTAAATCTTAAACCTACGACCTTTTCGCGATTCTTCGCGATCAATTTATACATGACCATACCGTTAAATCAACTAGCCAACTCATGTACTACTATCTAGCTAGTTTGAACAGTGGAATTATTTTCTTATAATATTATGGAGAGCTAAAAGTATATGCATCGCAGAGTCGATGACAAAACTCTTTAAACTAGTTTTCGAGATAAAATAGTCTAATTTTATTTTATTTTTAAAAGAAAAAAAGAGAAATAAATTATTTGTTGAATCACATAACGACAGCTGTAGAGCTATGCATGAGAGACGGATATTCTCTGAGAACCGATTCTGTTTTTAACTCTAGCCACGTCATTAAATTTTTGTTTTTTATTTTTCTTTTTGGTGTAGAGCCTATGAGGAGATGTGCGATGATGCATGTGCTCTAACTAGATCATAACTCGTAGTTGCATTTAAAGTAAACTCGTTTGGCAACTTTGTTTTATATGCTACTCGTGATTATATACAGTAGTACATGCTTAATTAGCTAGGTAACGTAGGGAAAACGTTTGTATACTTATGTTCAATGCTTTTATATATCTGTATATGGTATTTTGACATATATCTGTATATTTATTTAAATGTAAGATAAGCATAACCTTTTTTCGTTTTAGAATGCATGGCTATAAATTTGCGACGTTGTTGAAAAAAAAAAAATGAACGACAGTCCTTATCAATTACTTAATTCAACCTCGAATAGACTAGGAACGGGAATGTGAAGCCAAACAGCTCCTTTTACAGTTGGACCAATAAAGCTGAGCTGGCACACAAAGCGGGTCCCATGTTTTATTTTATTGGGCTGTCACGGCCCATCCTAAAATGTCGTCGTTTACGAAGCATCCACGACATAGACGGTGCCACATGGAGAAAAAATGTTCGGCGGTCAAGTTTCTGTCCACGTCACCCAAAACTTCTGAGCGCGCCACCTGTCCGTCAAAGATTTACGACGTTTCTTTTCGTTTGTTTGCGCGCGTACAGTAGTTCTCACGTGCAACGAAATTTTGCACGCGTGAGACGGCTAACGTATCAAAGTGTGATGATTCAGGGCGTGACTTCAAAATATAAAATTTCGGTTTTAGCCACACAAAAATCTATCTGCAAAAGTAACCCCAGGTTTATTTTTGTGTTAAATTAATCACATAAATATCCATCTTAGGTTCAGATGGAGTATCTTTCATCTAATTGAGATATCATCATTACACTCATTACACTGGTATTCAAATATATCTTATTTCTATATTCAAATAAAATTCTCTAAAAAGGTCAAAAATCTAAACAAAATATTACGTATTAGAAGGTTTAGTAAGAAAACTCAAATTTAATAAAACTTAAGGGGAAAAACTGAAAATAAGAAAAGAAAAGACTGAGAGCGATGACCGATGAGTCAGGTAGCCGACTAACCATCCTACAACGCGGTGATCTGAACAAACTCCTATTTAACACCATATACTGAAATTTTAAATGTCACACCTATTACTGTTTTTAACCTTTATAAATTAAATTTATACACAATCATGTGAATACTGCTATGAATGTTAAGGGAAACCAGTAGATAAATGTTTGAACCTGTAAAAAATACACTTCTTTGGTCTGTTTCTGTGAGGACTGAGAGGAGTCATATATTGTCAACGCCATTTGGCACCCCATGGCTCCACGAGATGAAGGCCGTCGTCTCGACCTTTCACCAATGTGTGAAATTCCCGCACAATCAGGAATCTACACACTGAGAGGGAATCAAGGGGCGGCAAGGTCATGCTTCCTCTATGAGCGACGGCTCCGCCTAGCAGCAACATGCACCGCAAACGAGGAAATGGATCCACGCCTTCCATACCACCAGAGACCAAAGCCGGCCCTCGTCGACGAGGTGAACATCGACGAATCGCGTCCGGAAAGGCGCGTTGGCATCGGTGGCGACCTCGACGATGTGATAAAAGAGCAACTGGTCACATTGCTCAAACAGAATGTGCACCTTTTCGCATGGTCAATGGCAGATATGAAAGGGATCGACCCGGCAATCACATCCCACGAGCTAAACGTGGACTCTTCCTACAAACCCATGAGACAGAAAAGACGCAAGCTCGGCGCCGATAAAGCTCAAGCGGTCAATGAAGAAGTGGAAAAATTACTTAGAGCCGGATCGATCACTGAAGTAAAATACCCCGAATGGCTAGCAAATCCAGTCGTCGTCAAAAAGAAAAACGGAAAGTGGAGAGTCTGCGTCGATTTCACAGACCTAAATAAAGCATGCCCAAAGGATAGCTTCCCTTTACCACATATCGATCGCCTCGTCGAGGCCACGGCAGGGAATGAATTACTATCCTTCATGGACGCCTTTTCAGGATACAATCAGATCTTCATGCATCCCGATGATCGCGAGAAGACGGCATTCATTACCGATCGTGGCACCTATTGCTATAAAGTGATGCCCTTCGGCCTGAAGAACGCCGGCGCCACTTATCAACGATTAGTGAACAAAATGTTCGCGGACCAGCTCGGTAGAAGCATGGAAGTCTATATCGACGACATGCTAGTCAAATCTGCCAAGGCACGATCACGTCAAACACCTCAGCGAATGTTTCCGAATCTTAGAGAGTACGGGATGAAGCTGAACCCCGCAAAATGCACATTCGCCGTTACCTCGGGAGAATTCCTCGGGTATGTTGTGACCCAACGCGGGATAGAGGCAAACCCGAAGCAGATCTCGGCGATCCTCGACCTCCCATCGCCGACATCCTCCAAAGAAATCCAAAGACTCACCGGACGTATCGCCGCATTGAACAGATTCATCTCGCGCTCAACCGACAAGTGCTCCCCTTCTACCAATTACTTCGATCAAACAAGAAGTTCGAGTGGGACAAAAAATGCGAAGACGCTTTCAAACAACTGAAAGAGTATCTCACCACCCCACCAATTCTCGCAAAACCCGAAGAAGGCGAAACCCTACTCTTATATATCGCAATATCAAGCACGGCGGTAAGCGGAGTCCTTGTCCGAGAAGATCGAGGAGAGCAGCAGCCAGTCTTCTATGTCAGCAAAACCCTCAATGACGCCGAGACGCGATACCCAACCCTAGAAAAGTTGGCACTCGCAGTAGTCATATCGGCACGAAAACTCAGGCCATATTTTCAATCACACTCCATCGTCGTCTTTACCAGCCAACCACTACGCCAAATCCTTCACGGCCCCAACCAATCCGGAAGAATGGCGAGATGGGCAATCGAACTATCGGAATACGATATTGAGTTCAAAAGCCGGACGAGCGCCAAGTCACAAGTCCTAGCCGACTTCATCGTAGAAATCCCACCAGAGCTCGCAACTCAAGAGGACGAGCAAATCCTCAAATGGACACTGCATGTCGACGGATCGTCCTCCAGGCAAGGAGCAGGCGTCGGCATCCGCCTCGTCTCCCCGACAGGCGAGATTCTCGAGCAATCGATCAAACTCGGTTTCCCAGCGTCCAACAACGAAGCCGAGTATGAAGCGATTATTGCCGGACTTCGTCTCGCCGAAGCAGTCGGAGCAGAACACGTTCGTGCGTTCTGCGACTCTCAGCTCGTCGCTAAACAATTCAGCGGTGACTACGACACTAAAGACGATCGCATGGATGCGTATCTCAAACAGACGCAAAGACTTGCCAAAGCATTCAAGACGTTCGAGTTGACAAAGATCCCCCGTTCCGAGAATTCCGAAGCCGACGCACTCGCAGCCTTGGCGTCAAAAACCGAATCAGCACTGCGACGGGTCATCCCGGTCGAAACCATCGACGAACCAAGCATCAAACTCCCCAAGGGAACCGTCGTCATGGCAATCTCGCAAGAAGAAGAAGAAGACGAAAACCTCACTGATGACGAGTCAGCAGAACACAAATCATGGCAGGATGAAATCAGAAATTACCTCATCAACGACGCCGTGCCAGAGGAGAGATGGGCGGCCCGCCGCCTCCGACGAAAAGCAGCTTACTACTTCTTACGCAACAACGAGCTTTTTCGCTGGAGCGCAAACAAAGTCATCCTGCGATGCTGCGACGAAGCACAAGCTAAGAGCATCATGGTCGAGACCCACGAGGGAGCATCAGGAAACCACGCCGGCGGAAGATCACTCGCTTTAAAAATTAAGAAGATCGGATACTTCTGGCCAACGATGATCGGCGATTGCATAGACGTCGCCGCCAAATGCGTCCCCTGCAAAGATACGCACCGGCGATCAACGCCCCAACGCAAGCACTTCAAGCTGCGATCCCGGCATATCCCTTTATGCGCTGGGGAATGGATATCGTCGGCCCCATGCCACGCTCACGGCAATGCGCTTACCTCTTGGTCGTCACCGACTACTTTACTAAGTGGGTAGAAGCAAAAGCGTACAAAAACCCAACGGCTCATGACGTAAGAAACTTTGTGTGGCAGTATATCATATGCCGTCACGGTCTTCCTTATGAGATCGTCACGGACAACGGAGGACAATTCGTCGCAGCAACTTTCCGAGAATTTTGCGCATCGTGGAACATCAAGATCACTTACTCCACGCCAAGATATCCTCAAGCTAATGGACAAGCCGAGTCCACAAACAAAACTATTGTTGATGGATTGAAAAAAAGGCTTGAAGGCTACCAAGGAGCTTGGGCGGACGAATTGGATGGAGTGCTCTGGTCGCATCGAACCACTCCCAGAACCGCATCCGGGGAAACCCCATTCTCTTTGTCGCACGGTTGCGAAGCACTAGCACCGGCAGAACTGCACGTAGCCAGCTTACGACGATCGTTAATGCCCCTCAACCCGGCATTGAACGACGACTCACTCCTGCATAGTTTAGACCAGCCGAAGAGCTACGGGATCGCGCCCTCCTGCGTATGCAAAACTACCAACAACAAGCAACCAGATATTACGACAGGAAGGTGCGAAACCGGCGCTTCGAGCTCTACGACCTTGTATCTAAGAAGGTCCACGACTTTACCAAACCCGAGCACGCAGGCAAATTCGGGTTCCATTGGGAAGGACCGTTTCGCATCACCAAGATCATCAAACCCGGGGTCTACGAGCTGGACGAGTTGTAATGAACCTACGCAACTAGACGCTTGATCCCGGCACGGATATGTAGGCAGTCTTTCTCGATAAAGGCACAGCTATAAATTAATAAAAATAAATAGCTCTTTTATTTTTATGCAAGCACTTCTTATCGAACCTCTTCGGAAGGGTTCCCGTCTCGGCAAGGACCCAGAAGTAAACGACTTCTGCCCTCAACCGGTAACTGAGTTTCCTACCGAAGACATCGGCAACGCAAGCACCGCACGCAAAGCATAATTCCGAAATAACGCAACACACCGACGTTCTGGCCCAACGCTCGGATGCACTTAAACGCAGCACCCGTGGACTGATCACCCACAAAAGACGAGAGCAAGCACCTCGCACGGCTCTAAGCCATACGGGCAAGAAAAAACCGCTATCCTGTCACGCGTATCGGACTTAAAAGTCGTAGGCATAAATCGAGCCCCTAGACCTCGTCGCCAAAACATGTGATCTACCGAATCACAGCACCTCAGACCTAATACGCATCGGTCGGTGTCTCGAATGAGAGTCGTGACAGACTACGAAAGCTTCGAAGAACATCACGACGCATCCGCACCGTCAAACGAAAGCACTTGTTCGACACACTTGAGATTAACAAGCCATCTCGGCATAGGTAAGCCGTTTACCCGATGACGATCGAATAAACTAGCCTACCCCAACCGATTGAAGGCGCATTGTTTCTCATTAAAAGACATGGCCTAAAGCTGGGTTCTTTCATCGCGCTGTGAAATTATCAACTATGTCTAAGCCAATTTGTTTCGCCAACAAAGCAGCAAATAAAACACCACATAACATCCAAAACTAAACCCAAAGTTTAAGGATAAAAGCCCTCCCGGGCAATTGTCGCGATAAAAGCAACTGGGAAACTATCAAAAGGAAAAAAAAAGAAAGACAATTTCACTTCAGCCTACTTCGATTGAACGACGCGATGGGGATCCCGGAAACGCCAGCTCAGCTAGGGTAGGCCTGAAAGTTCGATATATTGACCCATATTGATCAAAATTCCGTGGAACAATCCATGCGCTATCAAAGCAAAATTCAGCAAGACGAAAACGAAGATCTAACCTTAAGGGCGGAGCATAGTCATCAGCTTCGACTTCGTCATCCTCAACCAAATCTCCGGCGGCCTTACTCTCCCGCAACCGGGCCGCAAGCATCTTTTCCACCGCATCAAAGTCCTGCTCGACCCCCTTTATTTTCCTGACATAGGAAAGAAGAGCCTCGTCGACTTGAATCCTAATCACCGCCTTCTCCACTGCATCCCGCTGACTGACGTATCTGCCTATACGGTCCAACCTCGGAGTATACCAATTATGCATCGATTCATACACCTGAGCAGCCGTCAACTCAGCCCACTTCGTCCGAGACTTGCGAAGACGAGCCATCTCGGCAATCGAGTTTTCCGTCCCGGCAGGCTTTATCCTCCAGTTGCGTAATTTTGTCCCGAAGTTGATTATTTTCAACCTCAAGGCCAGACACCTTCGCAACCTCGCCTTTGAGAGCTTCTATCTTCTTTTCAAAAGCAGTCTTTTCTTCTCGAAACCTAACTGCAGCCACACCACAAAGCTTATCAAACAGATCGGCTTTAATTTGATCAACTCCGCTCCGAGCACCCTTGAGCGTTCCGTCATAAAGTTGAATCAACGCAGCAAACTTCCCTCCGGCTCTAATAAGATTATTAGAAGCCTCATCGAAAGCACCCTTGAACTCAAGCTCACCACGCGGAACCCCCCAGCATGGCTTAGGTTTGCAACCCCAAACCATCTCTCCACTAAAGTCCCATTATCCATTAAAGGAGCACCACCTTTCCACTTAAAGGAGACGGCATCGGAGTCTATCCCGACGAAATCCGTCGCCCCGTCACCTCCAGACTCCAGGATACTCATATCCCCGCCCTGACCAGTAGAAGCCGCGACAGTCCGAGAAGAGAAATCGCCACTGGTGACACCCCCAAGAGACCCCAGTGACTGAGGAAGATCACCTAGCTCGCAGGAATCTGATCTCATCCGCTTGGATAAAGGATCAGAGATCAGGATATCATCATCCACCAAAGCCGGAGCCCTTTTCCTTAAGCCTGTCTTCCTAGCAACACCCGGCAACTTATCTGGAAGACATCAGGGAGCGCGATTTAAGAGCCGGACCAGGTAAAAATTCAAAGGCGATAATCAAACACTCACCAGGGAGAGGAATCGCTATAGCAATAGCCTTTCCTTTCTTTTCCTTCTTCTTCCTTTCGGTCTCGGCAAACGCATCCGCCCAAGTCTCTCTACTCAAGTCGCGTAAAGTTCTAAACTTCTCCTTTAAAGTAGTATTTACTTTCCTTGGGACAATCCTTCCTGCATCAGATAATGGGGGCGTAAGTTAGCATACGAAGCAACCGTTAAAAATAAGGAAGAATTCACAACCACTTTACCCGGCTCCTGGACCCATTCTTGTTAAGACGTGACTAGGATCGAAATCCCCGACCGAAGCACGGTCGATCTTGACAAAAAAGTAGTAGCGCGTCCAGTGATGAATCTTCGTTCGATGATCACCAAAAACGATGTCATGTTTCATCGATGTGTGGAAACGCTTGAAACCTCCTTCCTTAACCCCAGCACGAAGATCAGTTATACGCTCAAAGAGCTCCCTGTCTAGCTTCATCCCGGCTGCCTTCGCCAGAGCGGTCGAGAAGACCATATGCCGCACTACACCATGGGTCAGCTGACTCAACGCTACACCCCGCTCATACGCATACTCGAGAAGTAACGGGAGGACCGGAAAACGTATTCCAAACTCCGTGAGGAAGCATTCGTAGAGGCAAAACCATCCAGGTGGAGCGTCCATCGGCCTTTGGTCAGGTAAGGGAACGAGAATCTTGACCGCGTCACTGATTCCCACCCTCTCCCGCAAAGCGATGACTATATCTTCGGTCATCCCCGATCGACCATCCCGAGCCAGAGATCTTGACGATGATCTCCACGGCATCTCAATCTTTTGAGGGATACCATCGAGCCTAGCGCAATCAGGGACTTTCTCCTCACCGAGCTCAGGATCGGATCCCGTATCCTCGTGCGGAATCCCTCGCAAGAACGGTCGCCGCATTCCCCGTTTAAAACCTCGGATTCCCCTTTAACGGATGAGTTCATCGCCTTCGCCAAACCCACCGTCTCGCAAATCTCCTTCGGGACAGCATTATGCTCAAGGGCCGACGTCGACATCGATGAACTGGTCTCGATTTGCACCATCGAAAGCGCGAAGAATAAGGTAGAAGGAAGGAAATGCAGTCAGGGCAGCGAAGGGATATTCGCTCTCTCTCGAAGGGCGCTTGGTGAAATCGGTATCACGAAAAAGGAATAAGCACCCTTAGGAAATCCTAATCGTTTCCTTAAATAAGAATTCCACGATTCTTAGAAGAGAAGGCTTCTCCGAGACTTTTTCCTGTTCCCGCCCAAACGATTTCCCAAAAACTCGAACCGGATCATGGGCCGATTAAAACCCATTACTGATTTCTACGAAAGAAAGAATTAGATGACGTCAACGTACTCTTTTTCCTTTTTATGGTTTTTGTCCCAATTGGGTTTTTCCGTACCAAGGTTTTAATGAGGCGGCACGAATCTACATTCAGCATGCACCTAGGCACTAAGATCCGATTGAAGTGATGTATTTTACTAATGATTCTCAAGCTCGTCCTCTATTCATGAAGCTCGCCGAGATCAAACTACATTTGACCTGCCGAGCTGGCGGGGGGACTTATTGTTAGAGGAGAAATTAGCACATTTCCCTGAGCCCGTCATCATTAGTAAAGTACAAAGCCCAATCCGATTTTAGGCCTAACATCTTCAAGAAAAAGGCAAGACTTGAAGAGAAAGGCACAATCCATGGAGAAATGTAAATAAATCTTCATGCCGACTAAAGAATGGAGAAAGATCCAAAAACAAGAGGGATTTTCCATATCGCAAAAGAGGAAGTTTTCCATCTCGCCTGAAGGAGAATATTCGCCATTCGGCCGACTTATCAACATATATATTGAAGACCCCCCTTGGGAGAGGGATCCGAAATCATCTAGAATCACTAGGCTTTCACATTAGCTTTACTCTATCCTCTTGTTCATCACCATAATCTCGCTAGGCTTGTTAGCGAGATTGCTCTCTTGTAATCTTCTTGATAATCTAAGAGTCGAATTAAGCGTTCCAGTTTCCTAAACTCACATCTTAGATAGCCCGTCTTGACGAGTGCTATCTCGGATTCAATATTAAGATTCATCAAAATCTTTTCTTTCTGCCATTTTTATTTCAGACAAAAGTATCTTGGTTTGGTTCCGTGGTTTGCTCGAACGTGCGGCTGTTTTGTAGGAGTATTAATTATCAGCACTGATGGAGATATCTTTTGATTTTTTTTTTTTGGTTTTAGATATCTTTTGATTTTTTTTTATTTTAGTTGAACTCTTGAGTTTATAGTCTCCGTCAATGGTAGTTTTTTTCTTCTTTTCAAAATGACAAATATACTGAAAGACCCCAAAAACAAATCACGAAGATATGACACAGTTGATTTTGATATTGCCATACTTCTTGTATGCTTCACCAAAATTAAGAAACAATTTGTCGATTTGGTATTTTATACATATTTTTGTGCCGACGATTTGGTTTTAAAAATGTATACAGTATACGCATTATATGACGTCTTCATGCATTAGAATAATGCGTGGACGGTGGTACGTTCGTAGCTTATGTATATGTCCGCGTAATGTTAGATCACCATGACTTGGAAATATTACATTTTTTCTTATCATGGTTATAGATAAGAGGAATGTTAAAATATCCATAGTGATCACTGCGAATATGACGCATATATTCAAAGTTCCTGCGAGACCAAAAGAGGTGAGATGTGTTTTATATTGTACATAAAACAAGTGATAAATTAGTTTAGATATGTATCACACCGATTTATGGATCCGACACAAATTAGGCGGCTCTGCGACTCCAACTCTACCTCGCGGGATCACGTCTTAATTCAAAGCAATGATATCTAACATAAAACATAACAAACTCCATCTCCTCTTCACCAAAATTATAGTTTAAAGATGAAGTATATATATATATATATATATGTTGAATCTATTGTATATAATCACACCTGAGGTTTCTATCAGATTAATTAACACTTTCAAGTTTGAATGTTAATGATTGAGATAACGTAAACATTACTTAACACCTAAAACTCGAAAACTTCAGTTTCAACCTCATGGTCTATATGTACTACAACACCTATTTCGTTGTACCTTTTTCTTTTAGTTGTATCCTATCGTTTTTAATCATATTATATTTTGTGTTCGCCATGTGATTTGTTCTGTATAAAGAAAAGTAAAATTATAGTTACCCTAGTATATACTTACCAGCTAAAGTTAACGCCTTTAACAGTATATATGTTGTTAGCCTAAAATGGAAAACATGAACAACAATATACTGTGTCCAACTCACATTTCGAAAATACAAAACTATAAACAGTTCGATCACGCCAAAAAGAAAGAAACAAGAAAATAACCCTTTTAACAACCCCTTAAAATATAGACTCTTGTTCCTATATAAATCACGTAAATCAACCCAATGTTTTTTCATATCAAACCATCCTGTTTCTCAGTCTTAACAATAAACAAACAAAATCCTATACTTGCCAAAACATACCAAATCTTTCATCTATGGCAACGCAAATGTTGAAGAAAACATGCAGTGTCCTTGTGATTGCAATGCTTTTCGAGGTGATATTTATGGCACAAACATCTCACTGTAACTCTTTAGACGTTTGCCTTAAACATTGCGTTCATAACCAGTGTTTGAATACGGTCAAAGGTGCTACTCATGATGTATGTGAAACCGCTTGCAAAAAAATGTGCAATGAACAACAGATAGGCGGTCAAAAATACTTCGTCCCTGTAAAGGATAAGGGAGAAAAAACTGGCGTATGCAGATTTATCACGGGCTTCGGATGCTAGAACGTTATTTTACTATTATTCTCTTGCGAGGGAATTAATTCACATATTATCTTTGTCTCTGTCTCTTTATACATATGTATGTAATGTTTTTATAACAAAAAAAAAGATAAAAATATACATTAATTTTTGATAATTTTTTCCTAAACGTAAAAACTTTACTATGTTATATGAAGAAAAAAAGAATTGGAAAGACGACTATTCTCTTCATCAGACACATTTTTTATTCTAAGTCACGAGACCAAAAGAGTTGAGATGTGTTATGTTTATGTATTGTACATAAAGTAACCATTGAGTTTAGATATGTATTATCATATCAACTCAAGGATCCGACACAAAGGCAGCTCCAACTCTATCACGCGGGGTTCGTCTTAGTTCAAATCAAATGCCTGAGGAACACGTTTCCTGCACATCCAACACAATAAGTAAATAATAGTGACTAATTCATACTCTGTCTCTTCTCCACCAAAATTGAAGTTTAAAGATGAAGAAAAAGTTGAATACTGTTAGGTTATGTTTCGTGACAGAGAGAACTTAAACATTACTTAACACCTATAAAACCTGAAAATCTCATTACTCAAAAATCAAAAATCTTAACGCAAGTCTAAGAACTTGAGAATATAGTAACAATTAATCCAGGTGAAACGAAGTTTAAAGATGAAGAATGTTGAATCAACAGTATATTATCACACCTAGCTATTCCTATCAGATTAATACACTTTGATGTTTAATTGTTAATGATTGAGATAACATCAAACTTGAAAACCTCAGTATACTCAATTTCATACGTACGTCTATGTACTCTAAGAATCTAGTAAACAATCCAGGTTAAACGAACAGTGGAAATCAGGTTCTGTTCCAAAACCTGATGAATTAGATCTTGTGCATACCACTAAATTCCAAAATGAATTTTGAAAACAATGTAAATGTTTATACTACAACAACTATGTTTCGTTGTATCTTTTTCTTTTATTTGTATCCTATAGTTTTTAATCATTTATAATTTGTCCGACATGTGATTTGTTCTTTATAAAGAAAAGATAAATTTCTAGTTACCAGCTTAAGTTAACGCTTTTTAAACAGTATATATGTGGTTACGTAAAATGGAAAACATGAACAACAATATATTTTGTTCGTCCAACTCAAATTTCGAAAATACAAAACTATAAACAGTTCGATCACGCCAAAGAAAAAAGAAACAACGAGGATTAACCCCCATAAACAAGAAAATTAAACCCTTTTAACAACCCCTTAAAATAGAGACTATTGTTCCTATATAAATCACGTAAATCAACCCAATGTTTTTTTCATATCAGACTATCTTGTTTCCCAATCTTAACAATAAACAAACAAACAAACAAAATCCTATACTTGCCAAAACATACCAAATCTATAATCTATGGCAACGCAAATGTTGAAGAAAACATGCAGTGTCCTTGTGATTGCAATGCTTTTCGAGGTGATATTTATGGCACAAACATCTCAATGTAACTCGTTAGACGTTTGCCTTAAACATTGCGTTCATAACCAATGTTTGAATACGGTCAAAGGTGCTACTCATGCTGTATGTGAAACCGCTTGCAAAAAAATGTGCAATGAACAACAGATAGGCGGTCAAAAATACTTTGTCCCTGTAAAAAAGGGAGAAAAAACTGGCGTATGCAGATTTATCACGGGCTTCGGATGTTAGGAAGTTGTTTTACTATTATTCTCTTGAGAGGGAAATTAAATCACATTTCATCTTTGTCTCTCCCTTTTTATACATCAGTATGTAATATTTTTATAACAAAAAAAAAAAAAAGGATAGATGTATGTATTCTTTGTCACCTATATTTTATGTTTTTATAGTGTGTTTACTGTTTTGATTTTTTCTACATTTTTTTTCTTAACGTAATATCTTAACTATGACCTTTTTGTTAAATCAAAAATTATAAATTGTTAGATATCCACGGATAATTGTGATCTAAGTAATAAGAAAATAAGAATAATGTTACAATATCGATAGTGTCTGCGAATATGACAGCATTTTTTTATTCAAATCACGAGACCAAAAGAGGTGAGATGTGTTGTGTATTGTATTGTACATAAAGTAACGATTGAGTTTAAATATGTATCACATCATATCGACACAAAGGCGGCTCCAACTCTGTCACGCGGGATTAGTCTTAGTTCAGATCCATGCTTGAGGAACACGTTTCCTGCATATCCAACACAATCAATAAACATTAATAATTAATTAAACACAAAGATTCATACTCTGTTTCCTTTAAAGATGAAGAATGTTGAAATCACACTTGAGGTTCTTATCAGATAATTACACTTTGAATGTATAGAGAGAGGAGAGTCACACATAGATAGCCTAAATAAAACTTAACAACTAAAACCTGAAAACCTCACTACTCAATTTCATAAGTACTCGAGAATATAGCAAACAATCCAGGTGAAACGAACAATGAACCAAGTCTAATGTCTGTATCAAAAATTTACCTGCAGACTGTTGGGGATTGATGCCGATCCCATCTGCAAACAGAAACGAATCAAGAAGATAACATCATATCAGAATTCTCGAGTGGTGAAGCTAAATTAAATTCGACGCCTAGTTATATATACAGAGCAGTAGAGATTAATCATAAGATTGATACTGACTTTGCAAAAACATAATCTGAATTCTCAGCTTATCCCTCAAAACTGAAAGAAACTCAATCAGATTTCACCCATTGGTGCCAAATCAAAATCACATATTATAGCTCAATTCTCAGATTATCCCTAAAAATCAATGGAAAGGAGAAACAAATGTACTAATTGGCCCATCGAACAGCATGCATGAGCATGACAACAAAACCAAAAGGGAAAACGCAGAAATCCATCACAAACAAAAAAAAGTCTAAATCGACTTCTCAGCGTGCAAATTTCAGTATTGAATTTACCATTAGTGATGATGGCGCTTGTCTGGGGAGGCACCTTGAACTCCTCGGCTGCGAATTTCAGAACCGCCGTGAACGGAGCTCCTTCAGGCACGCTGAAACTGTAAAAATCCACCGATTGTTGAAAAAGAGAGAGAGAGAGTCAATCACAGATTATTCAAACGAAATTAAAGGAAAAAGGGAATCTAAGAAGAAGTGATTCGCGTACACTTTGAAAGGTAGCTTAGGATCAGAGGTCAGAGTGACCTTGAACGAGACTTTCCCACCAGTTGCCATTTCTCGAATGCGGAGACGGAGACGGAGACGGAGACGGAGGAGGAGGAGGTCGATCTGCCGCCGATGTTGAAATCGGCGTTGGATTCTTCTTCTCAGATCTGCGTTTCAACAACCTCCAATATACACAGTCCCGGATCGACACTGAAACTTGATTATCAATTTATCACGCGGCCCATTTAGTTAAATTATTTAGGCCCATTAATAATTGCAATTAAATTCTTGAGGCCCATTAAATTCGTTACGACAACGAATTGCAATGTAAACACTAAACAATAACTAATGTTTTCTCATCGTAACTGTCTAAAACACACAAAAATTAACAAAACGTGTATCAAAATAGGAAGAAACAATAAACAGAATCAGCCCAAACAACAAATCACTTGAAATAGATTTTGACTATTTGACTATATACATCCCCTAGACGAACCCAAATGTTCTCATCAGACCAGTCTTGTTACAACTTCACAGTAATAAACAAGAACAAATCTTAAACTCACCAACAAATTTTGCAATTATGGTGGGGCGAATTTTGACTAAAGGATGTAGTGTTCCCATGATGATAGTGTTTTTCTTGGTGTTGTTTATGGCGGATGTATCTCACGCAAACGCGGTCGCTGGTTGTATCAAACAATGTCCGAATCAATGCATGAAAGAGAAAGATGCGACTCAAGCTACATGCGAAAACGCTTGCAAGAAAATGTGCAATGAACTTCAGTTTTATCAACAAAATTATATCGTTCCTCAAAACAACCAAAGATCTATGATATGTAGATGGACATCATATGGATGCCCTTAAGTTTCTTTGTTGAAAATAATTGTATAACAATTTTTTTTTTTGTTTTGTTCGTGAATATTGCTTATTATTGCATCAGAAGTGTTATCTTTTTTCTTTGGCGCCAAAATCTGTCTTTCTTAATTTTTGTTTCGCACTAAGCCACTGACTGTTATATCATTCTCATGTATTTGTAATGTATGTCAAGCTATTGGTTTAGATCTTCATATCAACTGTTTTTTTAGATCATTCTCAAAAGAAAGGTCCAAAATTTAGTAATATGATAAAAGGAGTATGATTGTTTGAGCGACAGAACATATATTTCTGCTTGCAGTTCTTAGAATTTTAAACTGATTTCTCTTTAAAAAAGGTGGTAAGAAATATGGAAGAGTTAAGCCAAAAGATGCATGATATACTAGACCTCAAGATTTTTAATGGTAACCAAGTGTCAATATCTCCCGGAATTGGTGTAAAATTCGTCATCGTCACTTTGTAACCGATGCTTTTGGTAGATAAGAATAGCAAGGGGCTTGCTCAAAAAAGAAAAAAGAGAAAAACAAACTAACTGCAACAGTCTTGCCTCCTAACAAACGTTTTGTTGATGAATAAGTATCATTTTTAATTTATAAAGTACTCTACACATGCTTTATTCCAATCTTTATAGCTCTTTCATATTTGAGTTGCATACATGCAGTTGCAACCAGGTTTCTTGGTCCTTTTTCATGGTTTTCTCTTCAATTAGTACTATCGTTTGTCGTAGAATTTAGAGAATGTATGCTCTCTTATTGATCTTAAGCTTTGTACACAGGATATATAAACATAAACATATGACGATTAAACCTTAGAAATCATAGTTCAATGTACATGGGTTTACAGTTTACTATAGATCGATGCAGCCCAATACTTGCCACCATTTTGTTTATTACCCCTAGGTGACTGGAAATGATATAACATAGCTAAAAGAAGGAATATTATTATAAAATCACTCTTGTGATCTTAGCTTTATCAGCTTTTCTCGTAGTAACGCCCGAGTTTTTTGGGTTTCGAAACGAAATTCTCGTTTGTTCACCCCTATTGGAATCTATCCACTGTAAATCTAAATTCTGAAGACTTTAACAAAAAATAAGTCATATTTTGAAAGTATTTACATAACAACTATCAATAAGCTAGAGCACAGTAAACATTCAAAGTTTTACAACACCATAGATTCCTTTAACATATAGTATAAAATAAAATCAGCATTTTCTTAATTTTTGATATACCGTTCGATCGGATAAATTGTTAATTAGTCTTGTAAGGAAAACAAACGTGATTGGGAAGTATAAACAAAATGGGAATTAGGATAACTGTAAGCCACAGTTTTCAATTATAATGAACGATAATTGTCGATTCAAAACAAGAATTTGTTTAAAATGCCCAATATTAAGACAACAATCAAGTCAACGTCAAACAAAGGGAATATAATTTCTAAAAATATAGATAACTACTTTTACTATATAATCATGTAGACTAACCCAATATCCTCACAAAATCATCTCTCATAGCAAAATCAAAACAAACCAAAAATACATCATGACAGCTCGAGCGATGAAAAATTTAAGCAATTGTGTCGTGATTGTATCTGTATTGACGATGCTGTTGTCTACACAATTATCTTATTCGTCGATGGTAGACGTTTGCATCGAACATTGTACGGTGAACCAGTGCTTGAATGTGTTCGAACATGCGACTCCATACATATGTCAATATGCTTGCAAAAGAAGGTGCACCCAAAGTGAACAGAATTATCATGACGATTAAATCATTCCTATAAACAGTTGAGAGGACTCGTGGAGCGTCTGAAAACATTGGCAAAAAAATCTGCTAATAATTGGAAGTACGGAGGCTCTCAACTTGTTTTTTTTTTCTCTCTGTATAATATGTATTTATCATTATAAAACAAAAATATAATGTTCTAAAACATAGTGATCTGTATGACAGTCTCTATATATAAGGTATATGTATTTATACATCGTAAAACAAAAAATTTCTCGTCAAAAAAAAAAAAAAAAAGTAAAACAAAAAATTTATGTAAGCTAAAAGGGTTATACATCTTATGTAGTTGCGTCGCATATTTGATGCGTATACGTCGATGTTTTAACTTTACTTTTCTAATTCAGAGAAAAATGATATTGGTTTTGGTCTTTTTAAATGTTTTATAAGAAAAACAAACAGACACTTTTTTTTCATATGTATTTATATACATAAGATAGTTGATCGTATCTAATTAATCAAAAACAGTTTCGAGAAACAACATATCCGATCAACTATAATATATTATATAATCAATTATAGACAGTCAAAAAGCAACATATGCGATCAAGTACAATATATTTATCAAATCATTGAAAAACTGCTTCGAAAAGCGACATATCCGATCAACTATATTATATTTATTTAATCAACCAAAAACGACGTCGAGGAGCGACATATCCGATCAACTATAATATATTATATAATCAATTATAGACGGGTCAAAAAGCGACATATCCGATCAAGTACAATATATTTATCAAACCATTGAAAAACTGCTTCGAAAAGCGACATATCCAATCAACTATAATATATTTATCTAACCAACTAAAAACGGCGTCGAAAAGCGACATATCCGATCAATTATAATGTAGTATTTATTTAATCAACTAAAAACAGTGTCGACATATCCGAGTAACGGAAATAAAAGAACAATGTAAAGGTGAACTGATGCCCTGCCACGTAAATCTTTATTTTCCCTTGAATCTTTATATTGTTGATTATATATTTGCATAGTTAATTATGTATTAGAAAATATAACATGTAATTATACAAATATCTTTTAGTAAATTTTGTAAAATTTTAAATGAATCTTATAAATCTAACAAAAAAACACTTTACATATAATTTCTAATTTTTTATTGAAACGTAATTATTATATAAAAATCTACAGCTCATAATTTTTGCGAATCTATATTGAATCAAATATATATAGAAATTACCATTTCAAATAAAATAATATATTTCAAGATAACTTCAAATTCATTGCTTAACAATGAAGTTTAAATGTTATTAAGATATATATCTAAAAAACGACACGTACAATTTTCTTCACCGTTCGATTGTCCTTATACTTATCCTGACAATGTGTGTATTAGGAAATGTTAAGAAAAATAAATCATAAACAAGCAAATTCATACAACCTTCTTCTTCTTCAAATTTTCTTTCTCAACAAAGTATCTTTTTCTTAATTTTTCATCTTTGTTTCTAAACACTCTTTTAATTAAATTAACTTTGGCAATAAGTGAAAAAAAAAGGACCAATGAGAGAAGAGCAGTGGGGTTACTTTGACTGGCTTGTAGCCAATTAAATAAGCCAATGGGATTTAGAGAGATATACCTACCTCGTAAGAACCGCCTCCTTCGCCATTTGTATCATCTCTCTATAAAACCACTCAACCATCAACCTCTCCTTGCATGCAACAAATCACTCAAATAATTATTCTATAGAGAACAAGAGATAAAAGACGGCAGAGAAACAATGGAACGTGGAGCTCCTCTCTCTCACTATCAGCTACCCAAATCCAACTCTGGTAATCAAATATGAGTGGCTATTTTCTCATATATATACGTGCCTCCATGTTTATGTTCTCTCTACTCGTGAAAAATCAAAACCTTCTTTTAAGTTTTTTTTTTTAATGTCTTTTCAAAGAAGATGTAGGGATTTTTATGTTTTGAAAAATCACTAGATCTTGTGAATGTTTGCGGAAGGCACGGAGAAGGCAACTAATGCATGCATGCATGAGTTTGATACATATATACGGGCTGAGTTAATGTTTGCTTTGATTTTTCTTTTTGTCAACCGGTTCAACTGTTTTCATGGAATGGTATCAATTAAACAAAATTTAATGGCGGATGAATCTTTCACATGTGTTCAGGTTGTTCATTGAATATACCGTTGCATGCACGAAGAGTCTCTTTCAGTTTCATTGTTACCTTTTTCTTTATCCATCAGATTTGTGATTCGATTTTGTTTATAGGAGATGAAATTTATGTGCTGTTTAGTTTAAAGGCCGTTAGTTTTTTTTTATAGATGTAATAGAAAATTAAAAAAATATTATAAAATCACTTTTGTGATCTTAACCTTTATCAGCTTTTCTCGTAGTAACGCCTGCGTATTTTGGGTTTTGAGCTTTATAAAAAAAAAAGTATTTTGGGTTTTGAAACGAAATTCTCGTTTGTTCACCCCTATTGCAACATATCTACTGTAAATCTAAATTCTGAAAATTAATTGCAGGTCTTTCTTTCCCATTTGATTCTTAATGTATCTGCTTGCTTAAACGTTTCCTATTGGTAATGAATTTTTTTTGGCATAGACTCTAATGGGTATGCTTTCATTTGTCCAAATTCAGTAGAAAAATTGTTTGTATTTAGGAAAGTAATTATGCATTTCAAGAAACAAAACTGGAATTAAGCTAGCTACATTTAACGACAAAAATTGGGAATAGGCGTTTATAACTTGATGTATTTCGAGAAGTGGAACGACCGTTTTGAACTTTTTTTGATTAAACATAAACGTAACGGCAAGAATCTGAAGAGTCTTCTTAATGGGGTCCACAGGTCTAGTCAGCAAAAACTAGACACCCCATAAAGACAAGTGTGTCTTTCCTTGATAGTTCTGTTTTTTCACTATTCAACTCGTTTCCTAAACATTTAATATCATTGTCATTTACTTTACAAAGAACTTCAATTTTGTCTCTACATTTTTTTGTTTTGCTTCCTTTTTTTTCTTTAATTTTAAATTATCCATGGACAGGATTCAATCTGGACCAGCACAACAACTCAATCCAGTCAGTGACCGGCTCCATCGTTTCCGGGGACGACAAGAGCCAAACTGTCGTGGTCCAGCAACAGCCATGTGTGGCTCGTGAACAAGACCAATTCATGCCAATCGCAAACGTCATCAGGATCATGCGTCGTATCTTACCTGCGCATGCCAAAATCTCCGACGACGCCAAAGAAACCATTCAAGAATGCGTCTCGGAGTACATCAGCTTCGTGACCGGTGAGGCCAACGAGCGTTGCCAACGTGAGCAGCGCAAGACCATAACTGCTGAAGACATCCTTTGGGCTATGAGCAAGCTTGGGTTCGATGATTACATCGTTCCCCTCCAAGTGTTCATTAGCCGATACCGTGAGTTCGAGAGCGACCGTGGGTGTTCACTTAGAGGTGAGTCATCGTCGTTTAAACCGGCCTATGGAGGAAGTGGTGTTGTATATCAACACCCATCTCATGGCCTACCTCAACCGGGTCCTTATGGATATGGTATGATGGATCAGTCTATGGTTATGGGTGGAGGTAGGTACTACCAGAACGGGTCGGGTCAGGATGGATCTGGCGGTGATGGTGGATCTCAGGCTTCCATTAACGGCATGCCGATGTTTGACCAGTATGGTCAGTATAAGGGAATGTGAGAAGTTCTTGACTTTCTCAGCATGTCTATATAAATCATGTTTTGATAGACATTTTTATGTCTTATCATACATTTCTGTTCTCTTTAGCCCCCCCCTCCCCAACAAAAAAAAAAAGAAAGAAAAATATATATCTATTTGGTGTCTTCAAATAAAAGTGTTGAATTTCAAACTTCGTTTTCAATACTTTTTGAGTATTGGTTTATATTTATGCAAAGGAAAAGCGAACTTGGGTTAAATCTATTCAAGTTTACATGATCTATAGATTTGTATTATTTAGAACTTAACTTAACTTTGCACAAAACAACCAAGTAATTCCTGGTTAGTTGCTCTCTGTGTGAACCACAATACACAACAAAGCAAACCAAATGAACAAAAGTGGTCCATGGTCTATTGAAGTCTTTGACCATAGAAACATCACTTTAATAACCAAATTATAGACCTTTTTAAGTCTCTTTTCTTTTCAAGCACAGCAGTATTTACTCTCTATAGAATTGTGTCAATTGATCTACGTCTGAAATTTCAGAAAAATAAAACAATGGTAATATTTTTTGTTCTGGTTTATTTTTACACACTTCTTCTTCTTTACAAGTGAGATAAGACAAAAAAACAGAGTGCAATAGCATGGGCTCAAAACAAAAGCAACATACATCAGAAGCCCAAGAAAACTAAGGCCCAGCCAATCATCAAGCCCAGTCAACAGCTTCAGAAGAAGACAAAACAAAAGCAACGTACCTGCAACAAATAACGTTAACAAGAAGGAGGAGAGGCTCCATCATAACAGATTTGATGCTCTCTCACTCACATCCCTATGTGATGACTCATCAATACAGCTGTATAACTCTAGATTGTTCTAAGATTCCTATAAGAACGGTGTGTAGTGTAAATCACTGTATAAAGTTATCGTCTCCAGTCTCAAACTTTTATTTTCTACATTTTCTGTCTAACTTCATTCGAAACTCAGAGATATGGATGCTCATCACCGTCAAGCTGTAGCATTGGAGACTCGCGTTATTTTAGCAGACATAGCACTGTTCATGGTCGTCACCACTGCTCTACCACCGACCGGTCTGAAGACTCTTAGCCAAACAATCCCATCTCCGGGTCCGGGGATGACTCCGACGGCGTTTCAAGCCATGAAGATAGCTGCTTGGTGTTTTTGGCCGTTGAACAGTCTTATCCTCGTCTGTGGTCTGGCGGCGCTGTTAGTTCTGGTCGTCCCTGGTGTGGTTCGAGCCAACCGAGTCGCCCTCAGGTTGATTGAGATCGCCATTCTCTCCATGTGGCTCTTGGTTGAGTGCTTGATTCTCGTTTCCCTGAGTCCTGACTCGTTGCTCTCTGGTCTCTGTGTTCTTCAAGGAGTCGTAATGTTGGTCGTTCTCTACCTCGTCTTACGTCTTTTCAAGTCTAAGCACTGATTGGTTTATGGTTTGATGTATCTGGTTCAAGTTCAATATCCGGTTATTGCTTGGTTCAAAACTTTATCTTTCCTGTTTATTGCTCAAGTTTATCTGGTTATTGTTTGGTTATCTTTCGGTTTAAGGACTTTATGTTTGCTGTTTCTAGTTCAAGTTTAATTTCCGGTTAGTGTGTTTGTTATCTTTTCTGTTGTGACTAGTGTTCGTAAGCTTTTGTGTGTTGATAAAAAATAAATAAAAAAACCTTTTATGTAAGACACGCTTTTCGGAGTAGATTTTATGGTTCAATGAAGAATAATTAATCATTTTAAGTTAGAGTACTAATTATTCAGTAAGCACTAATATTGAAGGTTAGTATTACAAGTCTTAATCGAAAATCTAAAAAAAAGAAACAAAACATAGTGAATAAAGTCACAAATATTTTAGATCAATACAAAATTTACTAGAGGGTAAATTGCAATTTATGTCCAACGAAACACACTTCAATAACCAGAATAGAAACTTCTGTTATTAGCTTCTCATCTCTCAACACTATAAATAGATTATAGAGATAAAAAAAAAACTCAAATATGAATTGCGATCTTTTATAACCGACGGTAAAAAAATTTCTCAAACTTTTCTTTCCTAAGTTGCACTCTAACTATGAATGCTCATCAACGTCAAGCCGTAGCAGTTGAGAATCTCGTTCGTTTTCTTTGGGAGATGGGGATCATAAGTAAACTAAATATGTAACCAGAATTTAATAAACCAAACGCTACATACGTTATTAAATAAAGCAAGTGGCATTTAAAGAAGACTAGAAACACACTCTTTATAAGCCAACATAGAACTTGTAAAGAGTCAAAGTCTCTCATTATGTAGAGACCAATTTACTATCTTAGGAAACTATTACACCAAACTCAACCTCATATTCTTAACCAATATTAAAAAAATTAACCATGGTCAGATTGCCTTTACTACTAAACCCCTTTACATATCCTTCAACTTTTGTCCTCAAAGTTACATTTCTTATTTCAGCAATTTTGCTCTAAGTAAAAAAGAAATGGATGGTGATCGTGGCAATCGTCAACCAGCTCCCATAATGATCGTAGCACTCATCATCATGTTCACAACTCTCAAACCAATTCTCACACAACCAACATTTCTCATCGCATCCTCATATCCAAAACCAGAAACGACGTCGGAAGAAGCCGAGTTCCTAGTCCAACAACTAGCAACAAAGACGTTCTGGCTGTTCAATAATTTAGCGTTCGCGTTTGCTTTCGCAGCTGCGGTGGGTCATGTCGTGGCTCACGGCTCGAGTGACGTGGCAAACCGGATGAAGAGAGGCGAAAGATTCTCCCTGATGCTTGTGTTGCTCGCTCTGCTCTTCAGGTCGATTTCCACCAAGTGCGTTATGGTTGTTAGGATGAGTCCTCTTTCTTCGTTGCTCTCTGCTTCTCTCATTGACGGACTGTTTCTTCTCGTAAATCTCTTTGTCTTCTCTGACGTGTTAGTGTAACAGAGATAGATCATCATATTTTATATGTAGTAATTTCATCAGTATTAATTAGTTCGTGTTTTCATTCCATCTTTTAAATTTCTGCTGTGTTTCGCTCTATTATCATGAATGCTAGCGGTTGTTTCTTTGTTTAAAACTTCAGTTTATATAATAAAATTCGTATTATAGACTTCTTGATACAAAAGCCACACAAAAAAATTGAAGAAATTAAATAGCTCGTTTACATATTTAAAATTCACATAGTTACATAACCAGGAATTCCACCTTAAGTCGTTATTAAATAGTTGAGTCGATTCTTAATAACATTATTATTACCGTAAAATGTAAATGAACAAAACTTATCAGTTTTGGTCCTTTTTGTCCAGCTCCAGGTCATCAGTTTCATCACTGGTTTTTGAAACTCGGCTATCTTACGCCGTTACGGAAAATGCCAAAATGGTCTCATGGTTAAATTTAACCATGGTTAGGTTAGATAAACCCCTCTCAATCCCATGCTCATAAAAGAAAGCAAAAACCACTTTTCTCACTCTTTGACGAGCTTCAAAAACCCCTCTGGACAGATTTTCTCGCTATTTTCTGTTCTCATTCTTCTTTTCGAAATCTCCAATGGATGGAGGAGGAGTTGGTGAGATAAGGGAAGAGCTTGTTCGTCAACTAAGCGATCGTTTCTTCATAGCGGTGTTGGTCGACATTTTCACAAGATACTGCAGACGCAAAGCTGGCTTGGACGATAAAGATCAGGGAGCGAAGGCGAAGACCGGACACGTGGCGTTCTATTGGGCAGCGGAGTTTAACCTCTTAGCGCATCTCTGTTTTGTGGCGGTGATGATCGAAATCCTTCTAGTTCCGGTGGTGGTTGCACGGATGCGAAGAATACAACCAGAGTCCGACACGAAGCTGGTCCTCGACACGATGTCGCTTCTTGAGCTCATCGCCGACGATTCCAACGTCTCTCTTTCTGCTTTTCTTTTTTTTGGATTTTAGCTTCTTTGGTTTGACCATGTTATCTTGATATTCAGTGTACATTGTATCAAATCTCCGATTCCACTCAAGTTAACAGTTTTCTGGAAAGATATGTAACTATCTATCATCAAAAGCTTTTCTTGTTTGTTTTCTCTCTCAACACACATGGAAAAATCAAGTCTTGAAACATGAAATGGCATCAAGATGTATCAAAGTCTTATTCAAGAACAAAAAAAGTAAAAAAGATTAGGAAATGGAATCTGTCTCTGTGATGTTTGTTGTGGCCATGGATTCGGATGAGGTTGCATTTTGAGAGTCTTGGAGTAACTTCATTTGGTGTTCTGCGTGTTCTCTCTCACACTGACTCACACCGATGATGATGTCGAGCATTGTTCCTGTGGTGCCAAAGAAGACGAGTGGACCTAGAGACTTGCGTTTGATCCCCACCGGGATTGCAACCAATGCACCTAACACTGAGAATACCCATGTCCCTAATGCACTGCATCCAAAGAAAAAAAATTGAAACTTTTAACACTTCAAGATGTTTCAACTTCAAGAACAACCAACCACAATGCCCTGGTTAATTCTACTTGCCAATCAAAGCAATGTCGTGGTTAAGCATGGTGGTACTAACAAATGAAGATGACTTAAGAGTGACTACATAACTAAATGACTCGGTGATAAAGCTATGAATCACAAGATCACAAGAATCAATAACACCATTGAGAAACAAAAAAACTGAGAAACTGTTTCTTGAATCTTCCTAATGATCAGCAAACAAACAATTCCCATTTTGAGGTAAGCATAGAGTAAGAAACTGACTTGGAAACGGTGCATTCCTCAAGGTGTTTCACCTTCTCCTGACTTCCCATCTTTGATCTGTCACTGAAGAAGAAACAATGCCCCAGTTAAACAAGTACTTTTCACAAATTGAAATGTATATAGCCTACAAACTGAAATCACTATCTTGAGTACGAACGAAAGAAGCTCTGACACAGCACAATCAGGAAAATAAACTATGTGAAAACTAAGGCACTATGAGGATCACTGAACAATTTTCCCAATCTTCTGAATTTTTTGTTTCGAATCAGCCATTTATTAGCACGCAGTGAGCTTCATTTCTAACTTCTTAAGATTCCGATCGTTTCTCTAATAAGAATCATCAGCTAAGAACATTAATTTCTGGGGAAGCTGAACAAACACAGTTACCGAAGACACGAGAAACGCAGAAACCACAACCCGAACAACGACAACAAAATCAAATACATCACACTAAGCAGATAATAGGAAAGAGACGAAATCGATGCCAAAATTATCATCATTCCAATGAAAAATGACCAATCCAATTGATTACCACACGAGAAATAGTTGATTGAGCAAAGTACCTTTCTCGATTCTACTCAGAGAGACGAAGAAGAATCTCGGAAGGCAAAGGGGAAGATGATACAAAAAAAAAAAAAAAAAGTCAAGCTTCGCCTTCGCGTGACTTATCGACGAGTCGGGTCAAATTAATTTTCTTAACCGGAGATTAACCGAACCGAAATCGTATTCAATCTCTGGTTTTGGTTGTAACAAGTTACAACAACTCACAAAGCCAAAAGCAAATTATGTTATCACATAAACAGTAAACAGTAGATCACAGAGATGTAAGAAACAAGAAACATACAGAACCTTCTCACCAAAAAACAATTTCTAAAAATAGTTAACATTGCTTTTACTATATAAATCATCTAAACCAACTTAACTTTCTCACTAAAACATTTTGATCGTAATAGAGAGAGAACATTTAAACGTTTATCAATTCCTTTTGTTTATACGCTATGGCAGCTCAAACTTTAAAGAAGATATGCAATCTTCTGATGATTGCATCTTTGTTGACGATGATGTTTTCGGCACAAATATCACATTCGAAGATTATAGAAACTTGTGTCAAGCGTTGTGTCACCAACCAGTGCTTGAAAGAGGTAACAAACGCTACTCCTACGATGTGCGAAGACGCTTGCAAAAAGCTTTGCAATAATCAAAATGTTGGTCAAGGAAAATACTACGTTAAGAGTAATTATATTCCTTGGATTTGCAAAGTGTTTCCTAAATCATGCAAGTAATATATTAATCACTGAAGCTTGTATAAATATTTGTATATATGTCAATATCGACATCTTGTCTACGTGTTTATTTTTCGCACATGAATAAAATCTTTTTCTTTCTTGAAACAATTATGCATGACATCGATCATTTGTTCTATGTCTTAATTTCCAGCTAAAGAAATTCAAACGATGTAAATGTAAATCGTATTCGTATTTAGTAGTACAAGTTGAAAGATTATTTCACGGTTTATCTTTCGGAAACGTCAAACCACAAGTTGCTTTATTACAGCAATGAAGATTTCACTATAAACAATAAAACAAATTGCTTAAAAAAATGTTAGAACAATGACGAATATAGCATTATTATTATGTTTTCGTACATCTCTATTCTCTCGACTCTCAATCAACGCCTCTTAACAGGCTAACCTCCTAATTGCCAATACTTCTAAAACAAGATTAATCTATTTTTACTATGTAAATCACCTCCACCGTTAATCCAACATTCTCACCAGCTTATATTCCCGCAGCAAAACAACGGTAAAAACACATACACAGAGAAAAGAAAAATTCAAGCTCCATATCTTAACCTTCACAGAATTGTCATAATTTCTTATACTATGGCAGTTCTGTCGTTGGGAAAGATATGTCGTGTCTTGATGATAATTGCTTTATTAACAACGATGTTCTCCGCGCAGATTGCTCATTCGAACGCAGTAGATGCATGTGTTAAAAGCTGTGTCCCAAACCAATGCATGAAAGTGGCAAAGAACGGGACTCCTGCGAAATGTGAAAAACTTTGCAAAAAACTGTGTCTCGAATCCCCAATTGATGATGAGAATTACATCGTCCCAGGTAAAAGTGGCAATATAGGAAAATTATGCAGAATATTTGGTTTGGATTGCGACTAGTTTGCAAGTATCAAAACTCAAATCATCTTTTTCTTTTTCTATTGAATATATGTATGATGTTTCATATATATCATTCTATTATTCTTTATCTCATGTATGTGTATCTATTGATATTATCAATCAAAATCAATACATTTTTCCGTATCTAAAAGCATTATATACTTTTCGTTGTCTTTGTCTTTGTCTTTGTCGTTGCGTACGAAATTATGACTATATCTCTTGCTAACTGTGAGCTCCTATCGATGATCTGGTTCTAGAATGATATGAGAACTACTTTGCGGAAATATAGTAATTCATGTTTTGTTGTCTTACACGTTCAAGATCTCTTGGTTTAGGGATCTGTTATCTTAGGCCTGGCCAAACAAAAGAAGAATAGATTATTATCTACAACAGTACATTGTACATGGAAATTGATACTTTCATCTATTATAATATACACGAACTTCTGTTCTCATTATCAACTTTATCATGTGTACTTAAACAAAAGAAACCACTCTGTCATGTGTAAGTAATGAAACATATTCTTACGCCGGTGCTTTTTTCTTCTTCTTTTTCTTTCGTTCAAATATTTAACAAGACAAAAAATGAACTATGAAAGTTCAGTTTCTTACCACAAGAATTCAGAATCCAGATTCAAATTATTAAAAAAAATGGCGATCATGCGAACCAAAATTTAGATTGAAGGTAAAACCTCAGGACCTCATGTGATCGAATCTGCATATAGGAATCTACATTTGTAATCCTTGTGCCACGTGTTTTTCTTTTTTCTTCTTTTAGAAAATACTAATATAACCTATCTTCAGTATATACGTCAGTTCTTGCTGATGTGCCAACGTTAACGTTAATCAATAATATGAATTTGTGAATATTAATGAGACAATATTGTATCCCTTGTATATCAATGTTTATGTACTGTTGAGCTTTTAAGGTGTGATAATTTCCAACACAACAATACTGCCTCTGTTGTTAAAATTGTCGTTACCGAAACCGAAAGTTAAATGTGCATGAATGAGAGTTTTGACTTTACATCTCAATGGAAAAAGATGATAATGCTCTGTTTAACCCATTTATAATCCTGTGTCGTTAGCAATAAAGTAGTCATCATCGTTATATCAAAAATAGCAAAAAGAAAAAGGAAAAATAGTAGTCATCATTTGAGGAATTTATGAAATGGAGATAAATGTCATGACTAATGGCAACTGTTTTATTGTTCTGTGATTTGACTTGTAACTTGTAAGAAAAATGATCGTTGCCTTCTCTTTGTTGTCGTCGTTTCATCTAAACTATGATCAATCGGTTACGTTGTTGTTCTTTTTTCTTTTGTTTTTTCATTTATTATTTACAAAACAACCAAAGTTAATATACACCAAATGGGATGTTTGGTGAGAAATGGTTTGTTCACAATAGTTTGATTTGATCCGACACCTCTTTTTATTTTCTTCGCCCATTAATATTATTTTGACAAAAAAAATTCCGTATATACATAGTAATTAATAGATTTCAGCAATCCTGCTGGCAGATCACCCACCCGATTTCTTACCCAAAATGAAATGAATTCAACGATGTTGTTGATACACTATTGTATATGCATGAATAGGATTAGACTGGTGACTTATTTGCTTATCTTTTAACAAAAATGATTTTTTTACCTTTTTATAAAAGGTTTAATATTAAAAAGGATTTAGACTAGGGACGATGTATATTATGAAAGCTTAGATTAACTAAAATTGATATAATCTTATCTGGAAGAAAAATCAATGTTTTTTACTCCAAATTATGTCATACACTTTTTCTATTCTTTCAAATATGTGATAAAGTGAAAATTAAAACCAAACACCAAATTTATACATTAATGTAAAAATAATTGACTAAACTAAGTAACAGCTGGCGTATGTTTGTTAGGATTTTTATTTAGATAAACTAAATTTTTCATCTAAATATGAAAAACAAAGTTTTTTCCTCTTCAAGCTAAGTCTTATTTTTAATAAACAATAATCAGTAACAAACAAATTCCAATAAATTATTACTGTGTCATGTTGCCACGTTAAAATGTTTCACTTATAGATATATAGATTTCTTTTATTTATTCCGATTCAAAATTAGGACTATATAACTATTTTTAACTCTGAATTTATTAAAGAAGTGTAAGCTAATCCAAAATTTTGATTTTTTAATATATATATATATATATATATTTAATCTATATTTTAAAAGAGTATAAACTTAAACTCTTTAAAAGCTAAAGTATATGTTTGAATAACTTGAAATAAAACTGTGCTAGAAAAATATACAAAGCTTCTTTCTTCCAAGTTTCGACTACACTAGCAAACACAGAAAATTGTAAAAATTTGATATGCTCAAATTTTGAAACCGTAAAAGTGTGACATGTTGAGTAGTAGTATTACTTCCTAGAGAAACTAACGTTATAATTTTATCTTTTTGACAACTGTAAACAAGTTAATAGATTCTAATGAGGTACAAAATAAACAAATACAGTAAATGTTCTCAAATCAATTTAAAAATTGAAATTACGCAGAAAAGCAGAGGTTTTTTTTTTCAGTAAAGAAAGAAAGTAAATAGAAAAGACATAGAGCCAAAAAAAGAAAAGAAAACAAATATTTTTATTTGTGACTGTGTGTGTAGTGGCACGTGCCAGCTTGCAACAGTAAAGCTAAAAAACCGTTCATGTTTGGATCCGTCGACCAATATATTCCCGTCATGACCGGGGACCTCTCCTCCTCAAATCCAACGGCTATCCTTCTTCACTTTGGTAAATCAACCGTCAGATCTTCATCCAACGGCCCGTATTAAATCAAGTTTCCATCTCTCTATCTCTCTCTTCCCTTTAAAAATAAGCCCAAACCCGGTCCAATTTTTCTCTCCTATTTTCTCTCTCTATCTCTCTCTAAGCAAAGTGAGCTTCGCCGTTAAAATTTTTCTCCGGTGTCGGAAAATTGATAACGAGGAGAGCGGGAATCACTGTTCACGAAGTTTACTGTAGATACGAATCTCTCTCTCTTTCTCTTGTGCGTGATGCGAAGCGTTGGTTAGTGTATTATCGCCTGAGATGTTGCCGGAGAAATCGAGAACTTCGGTTGTGACCGGAATCTCTCGTTACAGGAGGCCTTCGTGACCTAGAATTTTGTATTTCGTGTTTGTTGTTTCGGATATTTGTGGAGAAATGGAAGGACAGGCGAAGCTGACGAGGACGCAGTCCTCGCTGCTCCGGTCATCGTCGACGGTTCGATCTTCATACCAAAGCTTAACTTCAATCGCCGAAGGCGATTTTAGCGAAGTCCCTCACCAGAAACAAGATCTGGAAGCCGGAGAGAAAGAGGAGAAGCAGAGGAGAAAACCGCCTAAACCATTCGGGTCGAGTCCTCGAACCGGGTTAACCCGAATTAATCCGGGTCTAGCCTTCACAATGGTTTCTCTCTCTTTCCTCAGTCTCTCATCCTTCTTCTTCTTCGTCGTCTTCTCCCAAACCGATGAGATTCTCACTTCCGAGAATCTCCTCCTAGCTCTGATCTTCGTCGCCGTCGCTCTCTTCTTCGCCTCCAGGAACATCGCGCTCCTCAACAAAACCGCAGTCGCAATCAAACAAATCTGCGACGAAGCCACCAGAAACCTAGGGTTTCAGAGCAGAACCAAATCGAAACCGGTGCAGTGGTACATCGGAGACGATTCGAAGCCGGAGAAGAAACTCACAGCATCACAACGAGAAAAGCGATTCGTCGTCAAGGAAGGTGTTCAATTCTACAGCAACGGCGATTTCTACGAAGGCGAATTCCACAAAGGCAAGTGCAACGGAAGCGGCGTCTACTACTACTTCGTGAGGGGAAGATACGAAGGCGATTGGATCGACGGGAGATACGACGGCCATGGAATCGAGAGCTGGGCTAGAGGAAGTAGGTACAAAGGTCAGTATAGGCAAGGTCTTAGACATGGCTATGGAGTTTACAGATTCTACACCGGCGATTGCTACGCTGGTGAATGGTTCAATGGTCAGAGCCATGGGTTTGGTGTTCAATCTTGCGCTGATGGTAGCTCTTACGTTGGTGAATCGAGATTTGGTGTCAAACATGGACTTGGATCTTACCATTTCAGGTAAACTAATTTCTTGAATTCTCATTGAAATTGAGAAATCAGAGTCTCTTGTTAATGTTCTTGTTCTGTGTGTATTTTGCAGAAATGGGGATAAGTATGCAGGAGAGTATTTTGGAGATAAGATCCATGGATTTGGTGTGTATCGATTCGCGAATGGTCATTGTTACGAAGGAGCGTGGCACGAAGGTCGTAAGCAAGGGTATGGAGCTTACTCGTTTAGAAACGGCGATGCTAAGTCTGGCGAGTGGGATTCAGGGAATCTTGTGACGTTTCTTCATACGACGAGCGAGCCGGTTTGCAGAGCGGTTCTTGCTGCGAGAGAGACGGCGAAGAAGGCGGTGAACCGGAGACGAGTGGATGAGCAAGTGAGCAGAGGCGTGGCTGCAGCTAATAAGGCAGCGACGGCTGCAAGAGTGGCTGCGGTTAGAGCCGTTCAGAATCAGATGGATGGTAAATTTTGTCAAAGTTGAAAAAAAAAAACATCGAAAATGTAAATCTTTTTTCTTTTTTATTTATCGGTTTTCTCTGTAACCCTGAATCGAAAGCTTGTTTCAGAGGTTTTTTTTTAATAGAGAAAAGTAAAATCTTGGATCTTTTTTAACTATTGTAACAAAATCTGTAAATAGAAGAAGAAGATGATGAATCAAGAAGAAAGTTTTTCTTTGGTTAATATCAACGGCTTGATGATGATGGAGCTTTTTGGTTTGTCGAATCTTTGCGATGAAGTGACTTTGATTGATATGATGATCTTGATCTGCTTTGATCTGGATCACTGACATGTCGATTTTTAAAATTTAGATATTACAATGGACTATACAATACTCCAATAAATGACACAATTTGTTTATTCGGACTAAGATAATAATTTGGTTGCCCAAGAAATATTCAAAAAAAATTGGGAGAAGGATGAAGAAGATTCTTGATCGGCGGTACGATAGTCTTGCAATTCCCAAAAAAAGAAAAATCGATTAAAGTAATAGCCAATATCGTGATCTAGAAAATATCAATTGCAGTTTGATCTTGTTCCAATATTTGAATTTGTATTCAGTCTATGTTTCTTTTTCTCTCATATGATTTTTTAAATTGTTTAGCTAACTTTATGTATCAGTTTACGAATTGGCGTCAATGTCAAGGGTTTCATTTGACATTGGCTTCACTAGAAAAGGCAGATTTGAAATCGGTTTCTCTTTGTTACTTCGAATTTTGAATTCTAGGTGATAGCAATGGGGACTCAGTTATATTATTAATAACGACATGGATAAGATTTTAAGACTACTTACTTAATCATCACAGGAATAGAAATTACAAAATAAAAATATTTTTGGTTACGGCAAGTCGACAATAACACATCCGATGCAAACATGTTTCGTCGCATAAAAGAAATGTTGAAGAAGCCATGTGTCCTTATCGATCATCATATATTGAGGATATCATTTGGGATTTATATAACAACTATATCCTTATCCCTTTCCCTTTCTTAGATTTATACAATTATATACGCCACTGATTTATGAACAAAAACATAAAAAAAAATTATATGCCACTGATCACATGGTTTCTTGCTGGATTGGTCTCCCTTGGCATAAAAAAACTCCAAGCAAAGCTTATAATATAGCAATGAATGAAATTCCATATTTATTTACCCTAAAAAATTACGTATTTTAGAATTTGTAATCTGAAACCTTATGTTTAATAGTAATATCTCTTTTTATATTTTGTCAATATTTAAAATAATTTTATCTACAAAACTGAAAATGTCACTCTTGATTTGCGTTTTTACAGCCCGCATGTAATTTTGCTGACAACATTTTGACTCAAACTTGGAAGTCACTGAACCCTTCCACATAATGATCCTGCAGAGAGAATTACTGGCCTACAGATTTCCAAGAAAATAAAAAGTACTGTTCCATTCAAGGAGTATGTATACACTTTTTTTGTTTAAAGATCTATATATACTCTATTCACGGAATATAATTTAATTTCTTGAATTGTCGACACTGGACAGCATATGAAGTTTACATACTATCAAGAGCTATATACGTACCGTCAATAATTGATCAATAAGACCTAAACGTTTTTTAGAAGAAAAATTGACCTACAATTTAAATTATTTGCTAGTATTAACTAGGATAAACTAACCAAACACAATAATAATATTCAAAAATAAATAAAAAATTGTGGACGAGGGAAGTCAGAAGAGGAATGCTTGTTTCAGCATGCATGTCTCTGCCTCTTTGATTACAAACTTTAATAAAATGTAAATTGTACTACAACATAAATTCGAATAATCATTGTTATGACTTGTGCGTTTTTTTAATGTTTTTGGAATTAATTTTGGGGATGTATATTTAATTTAATACATATTGGTACCATTAAATTAGGAATGCAGAGATTGCTGAAATTGTTGGTCCAATGGGGGTGCCATTTTACTGACAAAAATAATAATAACCTGGTCAATGTACGTCTTCCAAGTTATTACACTTAATACAAAATACTGAAATAGTAACTCTATGAGGCTAATTTTTTCCATTCTTTCACCACACCTCTATGTTAGGTTCAGAAATTTCGATTCGGTTAATGTTAAGATAATTGGTCTTGAATTGGAATTACGTTATGTTTCTATCATGGACATTATTTTCAATAATTTCGAAACGTTTCGACCTGCTTTAATAAATTTTGGTAATAAGATATGACCATATTCAAACCACCACCGAAGACTCCTCCACTCATATTTTGAAACAAACTAAAAGCCACGACTCACCCTCGACATAGAAACGTAGTCGACGCAAATTGTCAAACTCCAACTTAATGGATAGTGATATGATGAATATAAACCGCCATTTCCATAAATGATATAGCTGGTTAAATTATCACACTATAATATTATCAGTGTATAAACTACAGATTAAACCTGTGTGTTAATGTTTTAGCTGTTTTTTTTTTTTTAAATACTTGTATCCACCAATGCTTCGACGCAATCATCATGCTTACAAAATTTATTGAAATTTATCTGAAATTTATCCTCTCCTTTTTTTTTTTTTTAATGTTTGGAGGATTGATCTCCTCACTTTTCAACTTTGAAGTAGGTTACTACAAACATGCAAGCAGACAACATAATTACAACTTGAATGATTTTAAATAAATATATTGAAGTCGCCTTTTTCAATTTGATGTCCCTAAATTTGGAGTGTGTCAATTTGCTATGGGCCATTCCGAATTGCCCAATTGGTTAGCTCATTTCCAATAACATTTTGTTTGCTTACAATTTAATCAACCATCTTTCGCCACAAATATATATTGTGGGTTCCAATACTCTTCAACAATTATGTTAACGAAAAGTGTTTAGCCTAATTAAACTTTATTTAATATAACAACTAAAGGAAATAAATATTTAAAATGTTATTGTGAGTGTTCATTGCATGTTTTAAAGTTTTAAACATAACAATTCATTGGAGTAACCTCTTAAGAACTCGTAATAAATGGCTTAAGAATTTCGTAATTGAATTATGACTAAGACAAGGAGTTAGCACTTAGCACAATAGTATATACTTTATGATTTACTTTTGACACTTATTTTTAACATCGTCACGGGCTCACCCATGTAATGTAAGTATGTAACCATGTTAAGGAGATCGCTGAGATACGCCTTTATTAATATTTTAAATAAAATAAACTCTTCAAGGTGGAAAAAAAAAAAAAATCTTCAAGATATGACTTGCAAAAAGTAAATGAACAACTATATGGGCTCTGGTAAAAGACAGAGCACATGACCTTAGCCATATTACTAGCATACAATTCTTTACCGCAAAGTCTTTTTCTCGATATAAAAGTGTTTGGTCCTGTAAAGCTTGGCATCGCATGTTTGGTAAGCTACTGATCTTTGAAAACGACCACAAATAAAAGTTATGTTGATTGAGGCCTATAATAATATTTTAATAGAAATGATAAACCTTTCATCAGCCGCCAATTTTCCGAATCAGGATAAGTACAAGTAGAAAAAACCGTGTAGTGCAAAGACATGATCAAACACAACTTTTTGAAAAAATTGATTCATAAAGGTAATCAAAACCTAATCTAGTAGACTATATTGACTTCCCTAGATTCTATATATTGTCTTAAGCATGATCTTAATACTTCATTATGTTGTAAACTTTTGTTTTCGCTTATTATCAAACAACACTTTAGAGCATTAACTAGAGTTTAAAGAATAATCATCACACAAAAATTCCAGTTTAGCCACAAGTTTTAGAACGGGGATAAGTGAGTTTCAGGTGGAAATTTTCGGTTAAAAAGGAAAAGGAACATCACACAAGTTTCTTTCTTTTTTTTTTCCAATTTGGAGACAAGTACAGAGGAAAATACGACGAGAGTCTTACGAGTTGTGAAAAGTTATTGTTACACTGTATATTTCGTGATTTGATAATTGCAATTCTTATTACATTGTAGTCCATTACGAAAGCCTTATCATTGCCTATATTCATAATTCACAAACTGGTGTTAAAATGGTTCAGTCCAGTTTATAAAGCCCCAGCTGAAACGAATATATAGCCGAGAGCAACATCGACATTTGCAAGTTAAATAAAGCGGACCAAAATCGATCATAGGCCCAAAATAAAAGCCCATAGACGCCGAATCCCATATCACTAGAAACAAAATAAACAACTAAAAAAATGAGAGCGTTGAGGAGGAGACAAGTCATGTGGCTTCAAGGTTACATCTCAAGTATTGAAGTTTAAATGTCCGTCTGACAAAGAAACGCTATACACTTTACACATTCAGATTCATTTTGATGTGATATGAATCCGACGAATGTCTTATCAAATCACGTTATCTTCTTATAGTATGGGGTCTTATCTTATATTATACTTGGTCCCTAATAATTGTGAACGACAACCCATTTAAACTAGGGGAAATTATGTCCTAGTTGATAATATCTGTTGAATCCGAGATAGCACTCGTCAAGACGGGCTATCTAAGATGTGAGTTTAGGAAACTGGAACGCTTAATTCGACTCTTAGATTATCAAGAAGATTACAAGAGAGCAATCTCGCTAACAAGCCTAGCGAGATTATGGTGATGAACAAGAGGATAGAGTAAAAGCTAATGTGAAAGCCTAGTGATTCTAGATGATTTCGGATCCCTCTCCCAATGGGGGGTCTTCAATATATAGGTTGATAAGTCGGCCGAATGATGAATATTCTCCTTCAGGCGAGATGGAAAACTTCCTCTTTTGCGATATGGAAAATTCCCTCTTGTTTTTGGATCTTTCTCCATTCTTTAAGTCGGCATGAAGATTTATTTACATTTCTCCATGGATTGTGCCTTTCTCTTCAAGTCTTGCCTTTTTCTTGAAGATGTTAGGCCTAAAATCGGATTGGGCTTTGTACTTTACTAATGATGACGGGCTCAGGGAAATGTGCTAATTTCTCCTCTAACAATAAGTCCCCCCGCCAGCTCGGCAGGTCAAATGTAGTTTGATCTCGGCGAGCTTCATGAATAGAGGACGAGCTTGAGAATCATTAGTAAAATACATCACTTCAATCGGATCTTAGTGCCTAGGTGCATGCTGAATGTAGATTCGTGCCGCCTCATTAAAACCTTGGTACGGAAAAACCCAATTGGGACAAAAACCATAAAAAGGAAAAAGAGTACGTTGACGTCATCTAATTCATAATATGTGCTTCGAATGATTTTTGCCGCGACCAAAAATGCTTTCTTGGTTCGAATGCTGTGACGGGTTCGGTTTTTGTGACTGGGCGATTTTGCCACGTCACTGCCCGGGGACTGTTTGCAATTGCGTGGGCTGATAATCGATTAAATCGCGCGGAGGCCCAAGCCCATTAGTGCTTTTCCATTGAGCGGGAAAGAAATGAATAAAAAATTCATAAGGGCAGTTGTGTCCCTTGGAAGTCGCGCGATCTCTATTAAGAGACCGTTCGAATTTCCTTTATTCATTTTTGCTTCTTTTCTTCTTCTCACTCAACCGTCCCGACGAATCAAAGGTAACTTCCGCAACTCCGACTTCAAATCTTGCCTCGATTGATTTCTCGAATCGATTCTTCCGGGATTTAGGACTAGGGAATCGCGAATTGCTTGGATCTAGTTAGGTTGTGCTCCGATTTCGTCTTCTTCATCCGCCGATTCGGGTTTTAGGGTTTTCGATTCGTCAAATATTTCGTCTCGGTCGTCGAGTTTTTCCGATCCTTCATTCAATTGAGATGAATCCAAAGACAGAAAGGGAAAGGGCATCGCCATGGATGACGGCGATGAGACGATTGCTTCGATTGCGCGTCGACGCGATCCTCCGCTCGTCCGGAGAGGCTTCTTGGTGGAGCCATCCAAGCGGATGCGGCGGAGCGTCGCAGGAAGACGGGTGGACGAAGCGACGGCCGCTGCTGAGGCCGAGAAGGTGGTCGAGGTGGCGAGATGGAGGAAGCGGCGAGAGTCGCCGCCGAAGCCGAGCGTCGGGAAGAGACTGAGAGACAGAGGGAGGGGGAAGAGCATGATTCCGGCGACGAAACCGACTCTGATGAAGACGAAGAAGCGGGGCCGTCAGCCAAGCGAGACTCGAGGGCATCCCGGATGTAATCAAGATGCCGAGTCGTACGCCGCCTACGGGCCTAATCCACGATGGGAGGTCGTGGATGACGGAGGAGATCCTTCGAGACCTCATAGCGGAGGCTGAGTTCCTGACTCCGTGGAGTTTCGTATCCCTGGCCATCTGAAAGGCCCTACGACGCTCCGGCTGGGTGGATGTGCGTTTACGAGTGTATGTTCACCGAATTTGGGATGAACTTCCCTCTGTCTCCTCTATTTTTGCAATTTGCGGCTGATCGTGGCGTCCTACGAGTCAACTGACCCACGGCGTGGTTCGCCACATCGTTTTTACCGAGGCCCTGGCTAGAGCCGCCGGAGTTGTATTCGACCGTCTCTTATTTGAGCACGTTACTGATCTCCGGGCTTCGTCGCGAGAGGGAAACTTCAAGCGGTTTCATACCACGATGAAGTATGATATTGTTTTCGGGGATTACCGAAACAAGATTCATTGGTGGAAGAAATATTTCTTCTTTGTGAAGATAAACCGAGCCTCAGTCGGGAAGATCAAAGCTGATCAGATTAGGACAGAATGGGTTAAATCACCGGGTAGAATTCTTGATTAGAATTGCTATCTATGCTCACTGAGTTTGCGTTTTCTGATGTTGTTTGTTTTTCGCAGGACCGTCCAGGCGAGCGAGACCGAACGGCGAACTCAAGGAGAAGTTCAGGCTGCTGAAGGAGCTTCAGCCATCGATTGTGGCCTGAGGTAGTGGCGGCGCTTGAGAAGAAAAAGCAAGAGAGGAAAGATAAGAGGGAGGGGAAAAACAAATCTGCCATCCCTGCGACTCCGATATCTAGTAAGCGTTTGCTTCTTCTCTTTTTTTGCTTGGTTCTATCTTCGGGTATCTTAACGTTTCGCTTTGTTTTGTAGCAGCGAAGCCATCCCGTTCTAAGAAGAAATCGATGGGTCTTAGGAAGAGAGCGGCCGTGCCTATTGACGACGTTGTCGTTGCTTCCGAGCCGGCGCCAAAAAGAAAGGGTCGAGTCCCCCAGACTGAGGGATTCTCCTCCTTCTCCCCTTCGGAGCTCTTCCATTGCGTCGCGTACGAGGTAAGTCGCCTATTGATGGATTTCAGGAGATAGGAATTCCGATGTTAATCGTGACGTTCTTTGCAGGGCTTCGACGAGGAAAGCCTCGACTTCTGTTCCTGAGGGCGTTCCGGAGCAAGTGATCGAGCTTGACTCTCCTCCTTCCTCGGACCATGACGAGTCTTCCCATCACGATGAGAGTGCTTCTCATCACGATGATGGTTTGAGGACTCCGGCGCGTGGTGGTTCGCCTTCTAAGGGGGACGAGTTCCTCACCCCTGGTGGTGGCGTTCCCTCCTCTGACCGGCGTGATCGTGGTGGTTTCGAAGGAGGGGAATCATCTCGGCGTCCAGGTGAGAATGATGAGGCGGTGTCTCGTCACTCGGAGGCGGGTGGTTTTGCTCCTGGCTCGAACCTCGGTGCTGAGGGTGGCGCCGGAATTCCAAAGGATGGTCCTGAGGGCTATAATCCTCACGCGTTCAAGACGTGGTGGAATGGCGGGAGTCCTCTTATGGAGGACCAGGATGCTTGCGGAGGGGCGACTTGGATGTCTAAAGTTCATCCCGGCTTGGGGATTCCGCGTGAGGAGCTCACCTTTAGGACCGATTTCGACGAAGCTGCTCAACATCATATTATGTCTGGCGGGAAGTTCACCGCGTTGGTCCAGAAGTACGAGACGGCGCTTCGGGCAGCTAAGGACGAAGCCTTTGTGTTGCGGCGAGAGCGGGAGATGGCCAAGGATGTCGATACAATGGTGGCTGATTTGCAGCAGGATAAACTGGTGCTTGAGTCGAAGGTCGCGGCGCTGAACAGGGAGATAGTGAAGACTCTCGGACTCCAGGAGGTAGCAGACAAGCTGAGGGCTCAAGTGAGTGATCTGGAGGAGAAGGCGCGTCGGGATGCAGAGGCTTCTGCTGCTGAGATGGAGCGTCTCCGACGGTCTCGTCGAGAATCGGTCGAGGCGGCTGTGACTCAGGTCTTCGACTCGGTGAATGACTGGTATGCTCCTCGCCTCCATCGCTTGTCGGAGTTCGTCGCGCAGCGGGACATGGTTGAAGCCGCTGTGGGGAGGAGGCAAGTCGACGAAGCTCTCCTCAACTTTGTGAAGAAGATTCGGGGAGTGGATCTGAACTTCGACGCGGTGGAGGAGAAGCTCGCGGCTAAGCTGGCGAAGAGCATCGCGGATGGGGATGCGATTGACGAAGTTGTTATCGATGATGATGACTTCGCTCCGCCTAACAGGTGAGATTTTTGCTTCTCTACTCGTTATGTTGCGCTTTGCGTAACGTTTTTTGCTTATGTGTTTGCTCTGCTTTTGTAGCCTTAAACGGCTGGTGCTGCCGGGATCTCCTTCTCGTCGAGATGGTGGTGGTGCGGATCCGGGTGCGGGACCCTCTACTTCTGGGGCCAAGTCTGCTTAGGCCCCATTTTTATTTGTTTTAAGACTTTTCTGGCTGCGGCCTTTTTGTTGTAATAACATTGCCTGGGAAGGTTTTTATCCGTATGCTTTAGGATTTTGCTTCAGATTTTATCAGATACTCAAGATGTTTAAGTATTGATTTTTCTCTTTTTTTTGCTTGCGTGCTTGCGTGGTGATGCGGTCACGGCTTTTAGACATAATTGATTAGTTCGCAGCGCAACGAAAGTAATCCGGCTTTTGGTTATGTCTTTTAATAAAGGACGATGGTGTCGTCAACCGTATAAAATGAATTAAGTACTTGGTCGTCACCGAGTAGGAAATTCGATTATCGGGATGACTCGTTACCTTTAAGTGTATCACGACATGGTGCGCGTGATGGTGCTAGTGCGTCATGACTGGACGCGATGCTTTCGGGTTTCGTCATGACTTCTCATTCGAGACACCGACCGGCGCGTATTAGGTCTGTGTGCTTAGGATGTTAAACCTACTTTCAGCGACGAGCTCTAGAAACTCGATTTATGCTTCCGACTTCAAAGCTTCGTGCGGGTGACGAGGTAGCGGTTTTTCGCTCGTCCGACGAACTGAGAGCCGTGCGAGGTGCGTGCTCTCGGCTTAATGAATGGGTGATCAGTCCATGTTTTTAGGGTGCAAAGTGCAAGTGCTTATTGAGTTTGCCTCAATAACTTGGTTTGACGTCAAACGGGTGCGTGCTGGGTGTCGACAAGTTTCAGCTTATGCCAGAATGAGGCGCGCTTGTCGAGAGAAAAGGTTTTAATAAAATTAAAATTTTATTAAGTATTATAGCTGCGCCCTTGGTGAGAAAGGCTGCCTACGTACCCGTGCCGGGATCAAGCCATTCGTAGTTCGTTACAAATGTTCATGCCGTGGACATGTCTTTTTTTTTTGGCTAGCGCGGTGCTTCGCGTCTAGTCATGGAACTTGCGCAGATCCGACGAGCTCCAGAGGCGATCGGACGTGGTGCCGAGGTTGTCTTCTAGCTGATAGATACCTGGTTTGACGACTTTCGCGATGCGGAATGGTCCTTCCCAGTCGGACCGAATTTGCCGAGACCATAGATCGTATCATCATCGGTTTTGCAAAAGACGAGGTCGTCTAATGCGAAACGGAGGTGTTGCTTTAGGAAAGCGGCTGCTAGATCGTCGAAGCTGTCGATGGAGTCGGCACGGAGGTTGCTGAACCATGTTAGGGCGTCGCCGCGCAAGTGTTCGGCGAGGGCTTGGCAGAAGTGCGCGCTTTGTTCTTCCGGCGATGTATATTTCTGTCTTCTCATGGCCGTCATGAAGGATGTGATCCACTGCTTGGGATCTTCTCGGCCGTCGTAGAAGTTTAGGTGTAGTGAAGCGCGCTTCTTCAGTGGTACCTCGGATAGGCGGCTTGTCAGGGGAGTTCTTCGAATATCGGCAATGATCTCGAATATCTCCTGATCGGAGAACGAGCATTGCGGGGGTGCATGGCGATCAGTCTTCGCGCGATTCTCCATGTTTCTCCTGGTCTCGTCATCGTAGACAGGGGCGTCGTCTCGGCGAGGGAGAGATTCGTGATGGCACCTTGGTGCTTTATGCGTGGACTTCTCCGGGCGAGAGGATGATGACTTTCTCTTGTTTCTTAGCCGGAACCGAGGATCTTCGGGGTCGAACCGTAGCTGCGGGATGTCTTGCTCGAGGCGATGTAATTCTCAGCGCGAAGGAAGGCGTCCTTCAAAGTTGGGGAGGGGCGGATGCGGATATCTTCCCAGAATCCGGATTCGTATCGAAGTCCGTTTCCGAGGGCTTGGACGAGTACCGGTTCCGCGATTGGGGGTGCTCCCGGAATGTCCCTGAGGTCGAGCAGCGCACTCTTGAATCTGTTCAGGTAGCTTCGTAGCGGTTCGTCCTCGAGTTGCTCCATCTCGAATAGATCGGAGAGATCCTTGTGTTTAGTGCTAAAGCTGGACCTTAAGTCGGATTTCCAGGCGGGCTCGGAGTTCCTTTGCCGATGGATCGGGGGATCTGCATTCTGCGTTGCGCGGCTCGTTTTATTGCGTTGGACTCGTTGGTTTCGTCGTCCGATACTGGCTCGGTTATCATACAGGACGACGCGGTGCGGAGCTTGCGCTCGCGAAGGAAACATGATCTCGTCACTCTTTGATCTCCACGTAAGGTGAAAATTCCAGAGGGTATCGGAAACTTCACGCATTGGTGGAACGTCGAGATGACAGCTTTCATTTCATGGAGCCATGGGGTGCCGAGGATAGCGTTATAGATGGCCGGTTTGTCCATGACGATGAACTTCAAGAGCTTTGAAATTCCGCCGACATAAACGGGGAGCCGGACTGTGCCACAGCTGTAAACATGCTCGGCGGTGAAACCGGTGAGGGGACGGGATGTAGGTTTGATAGATCCTTCCTCCACCCCATGCGGTTCAGTGTTTCCAGAAAGATGAGGTTCACCGTACTCCCGGTATCAACCAGGACCTTCGCGACGTCAAGTCGTGGATCTGTAGAGTGATTACGAGTGGGTCAAGGTGAGGGATGTCCAGCCCGCTCGCATCCTTATCCGTAAAGGAGATGGTAGGGATCCCTTTATGGATATACGGGTAGCGTTGTGCCGCGACGGCCTTTCGTTCGTATTCCTTGATCGCCGATATGGAATCGTCGTTATCCAGGAAGCCTCCCATGATCATGCTGACTTGTCGCTTCGGTGGCGGAGGTAGGTCGTCGTGGTCATCACGATTCCTTTTCCCAAGCGGGCTTCCGCCTTTTCTGCATCCTTCCTCGGACGGGGTTGTCGTCCGCGCTTCTCCTGCTGCCCAGATTTTGGTGGTTTCGGCGGGAAGCTTTTTCCTTGGGACCTATCACCGTCCATTGGCGGGATTTCTCCTCGATGGTACATGCGCATGAGGTTGCTCATTAGGTGTTTGCAGTTTTCAGTGGCGTGGCCAGTTCTCCCGTGGAACTTGCAGAAAGCTTTGGTATCGTTGTCATCTCCGAGCGAGTTGATGTCTTGTGGCATCGAAACGGCCGCTGCGTGTTCTTGCTCGAACTCGTCGTCGGCTGCTGCGAACGCTGTGAGGAGAGACCTCTTCGGATCGTGTCTTCTTCGCGCCTCCATGGGTTCCTCTCTGGGTTTCGTCGAGGTTGCCCTCCTATCTCCATGTTTCTCGGCGTAGAAGCGCTGGTCTTCCTCGAGGAAGATGTAGTTCCGAGAGCGGTGGAACGCGTCCTCCAGAGTCGCAGGGGGTTTTAGTGACAAATCCTCCTTGAACTTGGAGTCGTACCAGAGGCCGTTGCGGAGTGCTTCTAGCGGGACGCTATCGGGCATGTCGCCAGTGTCGCGAGCTGCTTGTTTGAACCTTTCCATAAAGCTGCGCAATGGTTCGCCTTGGGTTTGCGTTGTGGTGAACATGTTCCGAGTGATTCGGGTCATGTGCATGGAGTAATGCTTCAGAAAAGCATTGGTTAGGTCGTCGAAGTTATCGATCGACTCGGCGGGGAGGTTAGAGAACCAGGTCAAGGCATCTTTCGCCATGTGCTCGACGAATACTTGACAGTAGTTGGCCTCCCTTTCATCGTAAGATTTGTATTTCTCCCTCCTCATGGCGAGGTTGAACGCGGTTAGCCACTTCTTGGGGTCTTCTTCGCCGGTGTAAGAGTCGATTTTGAGTCGAACTCTTTCGTGTAGCTCAATCTGGCGGAGCCTGCGGGTGAGCGGGCTTCTTCGGGTGTCGGCGAGTGCTTTCGTCAATTCCGGAGCTGAGCTGGTGGCGCGATGAACTTTCGAATCGACCTCGTCGAGGCGACGATTCACCCGTTCAAGCTCTTGGTGGTAAGTCGCCTGAAGTGCGCAGGACGGGGGGTTGTTCCGTCGGTGGGACTTGACGGATCTTCATCGTCTTCTCGTGCTAGGGCTTCCACCTGTTCCTGAGTCTTTTTCTGCTGTGCTCGCATTGACTCGAAACCGTCGGCGAGTGGCTTGACGAGATTCTCCATGAGTTTGAGGATCTTCTCGCTCGAGGAGGATTTCTTCGAGCTGCGGGGTTTGTCGCTCGAGGAAGATTTTCTCGAGCGGCGTGGTGCGGACGGAGGGGGCTCTCGTCCTTTCTTGGCGGAGGAGATCGTTGCGGCGAAGTCGATCTTCGCGGCGAGACGGATCTCTGTGGCGAGAAAGATGGGTTTCTTGTAGGGACAGGCTTGTCCCTACCTTCAGCGGGTAGCGACTTGTCTATCGTGCTGGTAGACTGTCGCTTAAGTTTTCTTCTGAGGGAGACGGGCTCCCGGTGGGAGTGTTCTCTTTCGAGTTCGCCATCGTTGCTAGTTCGTGAAAATCTAGATATCTTCGAGATGAATAGCGAGAAGCGTTTCCAGCCCCACGGTGGGCGCCAATTGTTGAATCCGAGATAGCACTCGTCAAGACGGGCTATCTAAGATGTGAGTTTAGGAAACTGGAACGCTTAATTCGACTCTTAGATTATCAAGAAGATTACAAGAGAGCAATCTCGCTAACAAGCCTAGCGAGATTATGTGATGAACAAGAGGATAGAGTAAAAGCTAATGTGAAAGCCTAGTGATTCTAGATGATTTCGGATCCCTCTCCAATGGGGGGTCTTCAATATATAGGTTGATAAGTCGGCCGAATGATGAATATTCTCCTTCAGGCGAGATGGAAAACTTCCTCTTTTGCGATATGGAAAATTCCCTCTTGTTTTTGGATCTTTCTCCATTCTTTAAGTCGGCATGAAGATTTATTTACATTTCTCCATGGATTGTGCCTTTCTCTTCAAGTCTTGCCTTTTTCTTGAAGATGTTAGGCCTAAAATCGGATTGGGCTTTGTACTTTACTAATGATGACGGGCTCAGGGAAATGTGCTAATTTCTCCTCTAGCAATATCTTCGAGTGTTAGAGATTTTTGTTGTATTAAATATAGTATTTTGTCATGGGATATGATCACAATACTTAACTATTAGACCAAGTACATATTATACGCTAAGCAACAAATTATATCGAATCTAACAAATGCTTGCGTGAATTCATGTATCGAAAAGAATGTTAAAGTTTTCTCACAAAACGTTAAACCATGTTAAAAAAAAATGAGAATAACGGATTTGAGAAAACTCGTGATAACAAGTTGATTAGTAATTTCTAAATGAAAAGCATCAAAATACATTGAGTTCGAAATAAATGTTATTGTAGTTGTATATCCCTTGACTGCAATTCTGTCTCCATGGGATTCTTTCCTGAATGAGGAAAACAAATAAAAAATTGTGACATAGATTTCTTTTCTTTTTAAGCTCAAGTTTCAAAGATGTGAACTTTGTCCCCAAGCAACGTGAGCATTATTTGCCATACCAAACTTTTCCACGGCACATGAAACAGTAATAAGATTCCTCTGGATATAGTACTATACATAGTATTCTTTTAAAAATTACTGTATTTATTTGCAGAGTCATTTCATTTTGGTAGCTAATTGGCACACACATACAAACTATGCAAATTATTATGTTTGTAATACAACACGGTATTGTTTATCTATTTTAAATCAAATTGATTTAAAAGGAAAAAAAGGCACATGAAAAAGTCAAAGAAGTGACAAAAAGACCTCTTGCTCATGTGATCTTCTTTTAAGTCCCTGCTTATTTAGATAAAACCTTCAATTACTTAAATGAAAAAATTATCTTATATTCATATCCGTCGTCAATTCTCTCCAAGCAACAAACAACTTGAAAAGGATAATTACGACAAGGTGACTTAATTAACATGTTAAAGAATAAAAAATGAGAGAAATAGAAAAAATACAGTATATAATATTATAATTACTAAAGAATGTATTCTTGACCGTTGGATCAACTAAAACTCCAAAGAGGAATGTCAGCATCTTCGTAGAAGTACTCACTCGTCGTCGAGTTTAATTGAGAAGAGTAATCAAACGGAGCTCCATCATCGAAGAACATCCCATTATGATGATCATCATACCATACTGATGATGGATCTATCAAAGACACATGACTGTCCACGAAAGACCCTATCAAAGATTGCATCCCATCATCATCATTATCATTATCATCATGAGGCTGATCATGATCAGACGGCGACGAGGCAGCTGATGAAGAAGAGGTGGAAGAAGAAGGGGCAAAAAGGTCAGATGATGAGTTATTGGCAGCTTGAGCGGCGACTCTTTGGATGGATTTTGGGGACAAAACGGTATTTTCATCTAAGAGATGATGGGAAGAAGAATAGGAAGAAGAAGAAGTAGGGAAATTGAGATTGGCTTGAGGACCTTTGAGACACAAGAGTGCAACATCGTAAGCCCTAGCAGCTGCTTCAGCTGTTGAGTAAGAGCCTAACCAAATCCTTGTCTTTTGATTTGGTGCCCTAATCTCTGACACCCATGATCCCCAACTTCTCATCCTCACTCCTTTGTACTTCTTGATACTGTTCTTCTTGTTCTTGATCTTACTCAACGACGAAGACGAAGAAGTAGAAGAAGATGGTGAAGACGAGGGCGATTCCTTCTTTGTGTTGACTTGGATCTTGTGTTCTTGTTTCACCATGGTAATGTTGCTGTGTAGACTGATAGGACAATGTGGTATTGATCAAGTGTTTTTGAGTTTTTTTTTTCTGTTTTGTTTTGTTGTGCTGTTGTTGTTGTGATGGATAGAGGTTTTTGGATGAGGAGTAATGAGAGGTGAAGAGATTATATATAGAGATGAATTGATTTGGGAGGGGTATGAAGAGAGGAAGATATGAAATATTATTTATTGATATAAATCTATGATAGGGTCAAATGAAATATAGTATGGTTTCTTGTGTATGAATGTGACAATGTGGTGCATGACAGGTGTTTTTCTTCTATTTTTCTCTTTTATCATGGCAATTGTCATTAATACAATTTTGTTCCTTTCTCATTTAAAAACAAAAAAATATTGTGCCTCTTTGGAGTTTAATAAATAATTCGAATATGGATGCATGTTAAGGCTTTGAGCCAAGTGTTCAAAGTTCAAACAATGAACCTGAACATGGTTTTCTTTTAGCCTTTTGCTAGTTTTCCATCTTCTTATTATTTTTTTGAATTTTAATTTAAACTATGACAATTTTTTTTTGGGTATAAAATTAGAGGAAACAATATATATAGAGATAATTGGTTTATTATATATAAAGATAATTGGGATATCGTACAAAAATAAATTACCGATTGAAGTCAAATATTGTTAGGATATAGGAATAATGAAATAGGCGCGTATATTAGCTAGCTGTACGGAAGCCACTTGATGAGCAAATCGAGGAGTGATGCCTGAATATTTTAGAGTTGAGATATCAAGTTTTCTTGTTATTTTGACTAAACATAGCTATCATCACTATTCAGGGTTACAAATTACAGCTACGTTTTAACGCGTTAACTCTCGTATACGACCTTTCCAAGAAAGAGACACCATTTATGGTTAGTTATTGGTCTATGTTTATTCTTCACGGATTAAACTAGTGGCTTTAATTTGTTGTTATAAACTTACAATATGTTTATTCTTCACGGATCATTAAAAAAAAAATTATAGGTACTATACATGTTTATGCTGTGTAAAACAATTGACGGTAAAATCTCCCAACGTGCACAGAAATGTTATTCCTTGTAATATATTTCCACCTTAAAGTAATATTTTTGATTGATTTCAGCTAATCAGTTTTGTTGTTGTTGTTATAAACCAGTTTATTATTTAATCAGATTAACGTCTATCAAATCCCATCATACATACTATCAAGGTCCAAAGAAGGTTTGGGTGTTTAAAATCTGTATGACAACAACTTGGTATTGAATTAACATTTTATTATCTTGGTCTACGACTTTGTGAGTAACATACGCGTAGACAAAATAGAGACGCTGTACGCCACTGTAATTAAAATTATATACGTTCGATAATTTTATAACCAATATGGTAAAGGATCGATCATAATTCATAACAAATGTTTTTATCAGTATTTACAAATTATGAGAGTGAAGTCAGAAGAGTGTGGTAGAAGGTGATGATGCCCGAATTGATAAGAGAGTGACTTCAAACGACAGCTGTTCTCTCTCTGTCTCTTTGCTACCCAAACCCAAACCGCGTTGTTCTCTCGTCACTCGTCACACTCACTCGTTCTACCACTAATTATCTTTCTAATTATTATCTTCAAAATTCTCTATTCTTAATTCACATACTACATTTGAACAAAAAAAAAAAATTCACATACTACTTTAAAAACTCGTATAATTCATCATAGATATGGAAAATATGTGTATTCCAAATGATGCAGGAGGAATAAAGAAGATTAAGTTGAAAGTTAAAACAAAAAAGTGTATTTCCTAATTTCCTACTATATCATCTTTTCAGTATCACCACATTAAACTTCTGTTATTTAATTTTTTTAATTTATTTATAATTTGTTTCTGAATAATTCTACTTTACAATAACTAAAATTAACTAAGGTAGATTTAATTCATCGTTTGCTTTACTTTTCATTAAGTATCGATGCCAACATAATTTATTCGAACATATGTAAAGATTTGATACAAACAACTGAGAAAAAGGGGAAATAATAAAACATAAAACATTAAGACACGCAAAGAGCACATGATCGTAAGTAGAAAAAGATGGGAGATGACATGTTCTTTGTGGACAGCCTTGACTTTCTCACAAAGCTTGAGACTAATCATGGGATGGTACTTTGTTGTCTTCGTCTTGGGATTTCACACTTTGGTCTTACGCAAAACCCTCCAAATGTCAGAGAGATCAGTGAGAAAGAGAATATGGGCGGATTTTGTCAGCTTTCCAGCCAAAATATGCGTTTGCATGAAGAGAAGAAGCATCTCGATCGTGGCTACTTTCAATTCCACTTTTCGGGGTTTACCACTTACTCCCTCTGTTCCATATTATAAGTTGTTTTGGCATAATGTATCTGCAATTTTATGGATGTATCTAGATATGTTTCCATCTAGATACATCCAGAAAATTGCAGATACATTATGCCAAAACAACTTATAATATGGAACAGAGGGAGTATTTTATATATATGATGTTCTATTTGAATAGAATTTGTATATAACAAGGAAGTTCCATGCTTTTGACATTTTGCTCCTAAGCCTAGGACTAGCTTTCGATGATATATATTTTTAGAACGTCAACCATCATTCCCAAATATATCAACCTAGAGATGCAAAATTTAACATTTTTAGACGGAACGCTATTATTAGACCATTAGACCACTGACCACCAACGACTTGGTATTTGAATGGAATTTTACCATTTTGATTTTCAAAATTAAACAATAAACTAAAACATTGTTAATAAACAAACGAGTGAAATGATCTTTACTTTCTTACAATTTTCCCATAAGAACACATTACATATCCATTTATCAACATCAATAATTAGATATAAGAAATTGAAATATATGGTCTATATATACTTATATATCTTGATGAATGGAAAAAACCCAAAACTGTCTATCCCTAATATATTAAAAGAGAAAACACTAACTAAATAACCTTTATCCATTGTGTTATTAACAAGAGTGCCACTGCTGATGTGTTATCACCAGGTTCATTCTCAGCCCAATTTCTACTTAAGACAAGCTTTACTAGAGAAATTACAAATTTTGCCATTGCATATTATGCTTACCATCCCTTTATTATTATTTTATTTCCTTAATTGACAATTACGAAAATAAGTAAATAAGGAAGATATGAAATTCAATTGAATTCTATCATAATCATTTTTTAAAAATCATTATATATCTCCTATCATCTTTGTTCAACTTTATTTTATGAAATAATACGAATCACAATATAAAAAAACTAATAAAGAAAATCTAAAGATTTTTCTGTATATGTTATGATTTGAATTTTTAAAAACAAAATAATGTAAATTGTTTAGTATATAACCTCATTTAGTAGGTATTTAAAGGTAAATTATTATTTTTATTCTATTTAATATGGTTTTAATTAAATTCTATAATAAAATTGAATAAAAAACTATTTTTATAAATTTAGTTTGATTAAAAATTAAATATTATTCTATCTGTTTCAACTTTCAATATAAAGTTAATTATATTTTTGTTATTTTAACAATTTAGATCATGCATATTGTCTTCTTATTGGTTAAATTGTTTTGAAATTATAATGAAGCATGTTTTAGTTTTGAAAGAAAGAAAAAAAATAGTTCTAATCCATGTTTTAGTTTTGAAAAAAAGAAAAAAATTTTAATCTGTGTTTTAGTTTTCAAAGAAAAAAATAATAATTCTAATCCGTGTACATACATCTAAGACTTCTTATTTTTTGAAATACACTATACATTTTTGTAAAGAATAATGTTTTATTTTCGTTTTTTTGTTATTTAAACTAACTTATTATACTGTAGTCATTTGAGTTTCATGTATCTCGCTTAAATCTATCATATTTAATATATGGCTTTAATCTGTTTACCTTTTTTTAAATAGTTTAAAATGCTTAATTTTCATATTATAAACGAATAAATGAGGACAATAATCTAACAAAGATTAAAAATCCGTCGCATAAATTTTGGGATATTTAAATAACCAAAAAAACATACTTCCTCCGTTTCAAATTAGTTGTCATTTTGGTAAAATGTATCTGCAATTATTTGGATGTATTTGCAATGCAAAACATGTCCAGATACGTCCAAATATTTGCAGATACATTTTGCCAAAATGACAACTAATTTGAAATGGAGAGAGTATTTTAATAAAAATATAAATTCAGAAAATCATCACCCCGTGCAGGGCGCGGGTCAAACCCTAGTATATATTAATCGGCACCGTACTGTCTCCGTACCAATTCCCAACAATGACTTAACACGATACAATCGGTTTTACATTTTATTATTTGTGTCTTTGTTTAATAGCTTCGGTTGGATTACGATATTACAGCATGGCAAGGAAAATTCTTGGAAGATGAAGTGGAGTACGTTGAAGAATTATTTTATTTAATTTTCATTAAATATGTACGTTGAAGGTTCAACCATGTATAATGGATCTAGTGAACTATATGTTCAACCACCAAATCCTTTTCTTTTGCATATCTTAGATCTATCCTTTAGTCTGTTTTGAAAAGGTTCAAAGAAATGTGGGGAAATAATTTATAATAGACCTCATACATATTTGTTTTGTAAAGAGACGCATGCATTTTTGTTCTGTCTAGGTAAAAAAAAGTAATTACATGCTTGTTCTCTTTCAGTATTTACCGTTTTTAATAAAAAGATCGTTATTCAACCATGAGTAGAAACAAGTAAAGCTCTTTCAAAAGACTGAAAAACAGTAAAATGTGTTGCAAGCCCAAAATAAAATGGGCCAGAATAATAGTTGTAGGCCCAAAATCTGTATTCACAATGTAGTTGACCGACGCTATTAATGTTTGCTTTGGATGTAAAGTTTATACAATTTTTTACCATTTTCTTTCTTCCTCATGAGTCATTTGTGAACTTGTAAACTTGTGTAATCACAATAACTAATCAATTATTTTCTTCAATTAATGAAAATCCACTTTGAGAGGAAAATAGTTGATCAAATATTGTGATTACACAATTTTACAAAAAAGCGAAAATATTTGTTATTTTCCTCTCAAAGCTGATTTTCATAATCAAACGATGACGCGCCACATCCGCAAAAATACGCCACGTGGACTATTATTCAGAACGTGATTGGTTGATATTACGTTGAAGTAAGTAAGTCACCCAAACTCTATAAATCCTAATTGAAACCCTCCATACGCGCATCTTTTACGACACGCGCGCGCGTGGACTCTCTCTGTTCTTTGTTTGGAAATTGGTTTGGGAGACTTTGTTGACCTTCTCTGGCTTTTGGACTTGGGAACGAAAAGAGAAGAACAAGTCCGTCGTAGTTGATCTCCGCTCCGATGGCGATTAGAGGAATCGTTGCTGTTTCGCCGATTCTGGCGGTAGTATTGCTCTTGCTGACGGTTAATTTCGGCGAAGCTATATGGTTGACGATTCCGCCGACTGGAGGGACAAAGTGCGTCTCCGAGGAGATACATAGCAACGTTGTCGTATTGGCTGATTATTACGTCGTTGATGAGCATAATCCTGACAACGCACCGGCTATTTCGATTAAGGTACGGTTCCGATTCTGCTTGATTCTCTGCAAAATTGAAAACTTTAGAGGAGTTTCATTGGCTCAATTTTGCGTGTTTCGATTTAGGTTTATGTTAGTTCGCGATAAGGTTCTAACTGTTTGGGTGTGAAGAATCAAAATTTGTGTGAATTCGATTATTCTATATATCATCAAGCTGTGAAATTTCTGTCGGTGACTTGTTACAGATCAAACGTTTTTGAATGTCTCTTACTTCATTGATGTTGTTGTTGAGAGAGCAATCAATTTTTGAAGACTAAAAGCTTTTAATGCATTACGCATATGTCATCATTGCAAATGATGGAATGATGCATAGAATTGATCGGTTTAATCATTAATTCAATGATGATGACTGCTTTCAATTTGCAAATTTCAAGTTCTTGAAGTTCTAAGGATTGCAAATTTCGTTTGCATGTTGGCTCATGTAGAAAATGTGTTGCTTGCTTGTAAGACTTATTGGTGTTTTGCTGTGATTACATTTGGATAGGTAACATCTCCTTACGGGAACGATCTTCATAACCAAGAAAATGTAACGCATGGTCAGTTTGCGTTCACAACTAAAGAAACCGGAAACTACTTGGCTTGCTTCTGGGTTGATTCCAGCCATCCGCAACCCAATCCTTTAACCCTCGGGATTGATTGGAAGATTGGAATCGCAGCCAAAGATTGGGACTCTGTTGCTAAAAAGGAAAAGATCGAGGCAAGTTAGATCCTCCTCTTCTTTTTTCCCCTGTCTGTCTATTCATAACCGGAAACTCCATTGTTATGAATGTGTGTATTTGCAGGGTGTTGAGCTTCAGTTAAGGAGACTTGACGGGTTAGTGCAGGCCATTCGTGAGAACATAAACTATATCAAAGACAGGTACGTCTCTTTTGCCTTATTGTTGATCAAGTGTTATCTCTTATTGTGATCAAGCAAAATTTTGGAAACAGGGAAGCTGAGATGCGAGAAGTGAGTGAAGGAACCAACTCAAAAGTGGCATGGTTCAGTATAATGTCACTTGGGGTCTGCGTTTTGGTTGCGGGTACACAGATATGGTACCTGAAGAGGTATTTCCACAAGAAGAAACTCATCTAAAGCTTTGGGCATGAAAGGATACTTTTACTATGTGTAGTAAGTAGCATCACACATCCCTACCTTGAAAAGAGGGAATGCAAGCTCAAGATTGTAGAGGCAACTGGTTAAAGACGAAGAACACCTTTTTCCCTTTTTATGTTTTTCTGTTGAGACTTTATCATTATGGATACAGTAGTTTACTTAGAGATCATTTAGTTTGTGCACAGGTCGCTTTGTGTTTTGATTGATCTCTCTGTTGGAGTAGAACTAATACAGTTATGTGACTACCAAAGTTCTCTCTTTCTTTCTTTTTTTTTTCTAGCATTTTGCGGTCATTCTAGTATCCAAAATATGAATGTGTGTTGATGGTTAATTGATTATCATCATGGTGCTAATTAATCAAGACTAAAATAAAACAAAATTGAGTGGCGTAATTATTGCGAAGAAGACGGTACAATTATCATGTGGACACGCTCATTGTATGTTATGTCGTTTTCATTCATGTGTTGGAACAGTTGCACATAAGATCGAAACAAGTGTATAATATGTTCTGATAGTGGAAGAACCATATACATTTGGTTAGGTCATCCAAGAATTCCCCACTAGTTTTTAGACAAACTTTGATAATTGAATTTCAAATTGTCTAGTTATCGTAAAATATGTTTACTTTTCTCCTTAATTATTTTACTGTTCTTTTGCTGATATCATCATTTTGCTTACCTATACAATGTATCTCACTCTTTAATAACAAAGAAAGTGTAAAGTTTATGATATGAGAAATAATAGAATCTGGAATCTGTATTATAATTAAAAAAATAAAGAAGAGGTGTAATCCATTAGCCTAAGTTGTGGAAGATGGAGTCCAAGCATGAATCCAACTCTAAGTCCTTTTCACTTTCGCCTAATCTCTTCTGTTTTTCTCGTACGTCATCGTACGAACCTCACTTACCATTACCATTACCATTATCCAAACTACGGTAATTTTCATCTTTTTTTGGCATCTCTTATTTCTTCTACATACATATTAACATATATGACATTATCCCTCTAACGAACGAACCAACAAATGACATGCATGCAGCAAGTAATGTGAAAACTGGATCATAGTGCAACTTGGCGTACGATACCCTAAAGCTCATTTAAATAGGCCATGAATACACTAATTAGTAGTCTGATAGCAACAATTATCACATTGAGCCTCATTTTAAGTTCGGAGAAATTTATATGAACGATAGTTGAATTAATAGCAACAAGGGTAGTAACAATTATTAAACAACATCCCTAATATATTAAAAGAGAAAACACTATAAAATAAACCTTTGTCTCATGTGTTATTAACAGAAATGTCATGCTGATGTGTCAACACCAGGTTCACTTTCAAGGTTAGTTTTAATTAAGACAAACATTACTAGACTAATTACATGTTATGCCATTCATATTTGGTTAGAGAATGAAATATATATGATTAATTTAGTCAGAAAAATAATTATTAATGAAAATTATTTTCTTTCAGTTTCCTTATTTGGTAATGACGAAAATTTATTTATTAGTCAATCAATCAGTAAAATATGGAAAGTTTTATTCAATTGTATTATATTAATTGTTTAAAAATTAATTTATTCATCTATCATTTTTGTTTAGCTTTACTTTCAAGAATAAATTATATCATCACATCAAAATATTTAAAAAAAGAAAATTAGTTTTTTTCTACATATGCTATGGTTTGAATTTTTAAAAATGAAGCAAATCTCTAAAAATGTTAAATGTCCCACATGATTATATTTTGGGATAATAGTTCAAAAACCTATTATAAAATAGGATCCAAATAATGATCAACCATAATCACAAATAGGAAAGAAAAATTTACCATGTTTGGAAATCTTTAAAATTTCTTTTATTCGATTTAATTTGATTCTTTAATTGAATTAAATAATTAAATCGTATTTTTTAATATTTTGGTTTGATCAAAATTTTAAACGTAATAAATTCTAATAACTTATCATATAAGTTAAATTATTTTAGTTATTTAAAATTGATAAAAACATAAAATATATATGCCATTTTATATTTATCAAAATATAAAATTATTTTAAATGTATTAAAATTTAATATATATGTGGGTTCGGAAAGGGAGAAACTGTTGTTAAAGCAAATGTTAGATTACCACACTGTAAACGATGACAAAAATCAAACCAGGCTAAAAAAATATGCATCACTCAAAATTTCGTCTAATGTAAATTGACATTTTTTTAATTGTCTAACACTCTATGTTCCTAAAATTGTATGTAAATAGACATCTTTTAATAAAATCAAATTGAGAAAATATCACCCGTGCAAGGCGCGGGTCAAACTCTAGTATCAAACAAAAGGAAAAAAAAAAAGAAAAAAGAAGGAAAGCCTAGAACCTGCCAGTCCCGAAACTAAACTTGAACTAACTTTCAAATATCAATGCATCAATTACTTATAAAGATAAACGCTTGGCTTAGAATGATCAACGACTTAACGTTATCTTTAAAACCCCTAGAAATGTATCTATGGAAGTCATTCTGATTGTGTGATAAGATCCCCACCTCCATTGAAAAGAAAAAAACGAAATTCCAATTGGCTGGTAATGGGGTTTCATACCACGTCATCGTTGTTTGTGACGCAAAGTCGCACAGAGTATATGTATAAGTAGTTTAATACTATATATATCTATACGAATTCAGATAACATATTAGTTTAAAGAACCATAAGCTCGATGTATTTTTACGACATTGAAAGACCTTTAATTAACAGTAATAATATTGAAAACTTCTATATATAATAAGCCTTTTGGAATGAACGATTAATGAGAGTTCAATGTGTAGACTCCTAAAATGTTAACACATGCAAAATCAAACTTTAGAATAAATGTGAAACGATACCTGCATCACTATATATTTCGCATCAAATCAAACGACATATAAGATATGTTCGAATAAAATTTCGTTGATTGATAGGGAACATAACAAAAACAAGCATCTAGTAACGTGGAAGATTGATGCCATGCTTACTTAGGCTAAACAATAGAACATAAAATGTAGCACCTTTTACGTTATGTTTTTTTTTTGTGTAATTTTTTAGCTGCATTGATATTTTGTCATATGTGTCTTGAACTATATAATCTCAAATTTAACCAAAACACTCATCAGGCACTAAAACACATTTCTTTCTTGCATGCGTATATATATGTTTAACATGAGTCTTAATCTTCTTTAAGGAACCTAGAAACCAATCTTATAACGATATACGAATCTTAATTTAATATGAATGTGAAATGAAAAAAAACAAAAGCAAAGCAGCTTTAGGGTGACGAAAGGAAGAGCACTAGTAGCCGCGTCGCATTAGAAGGACCTAACCACGCTTGTCGTTTCATGGGACGAATCACAACCAAATGTATCACAAAAAGCACATTTATTTCGCTTTTGCTTCATTAATTTACGTTTTTTCTTACGATATTTTTGTAGTACTATTGATGTCCGGACCAAACGTGGCTTAGTTTACTCCAAATATGCAAACGTCATCTGTTTCATAGGTTGTAGATCTCAAATACTTTGGAATGTTTTCTTGTATTTGATATAAGATAATATAATCTAATTTAATTTCTACGTGAATTCAATACAATATATAGTTTGGTTCAAATAGTAAAAGTAGAACCTAACAAAATAATGATGAAAGATATGACAGATTCTGACGGAATAAGTCATGATATATATGCCGACAACAAAAATCACGATATGATAGTTTCCGTGAAAGTACATAGGAGGAATATGGATTTTTCAAATATATAATTCTACTAATATAGTAACTATATAAATAAACTAAACAAAAATAAAAATACAGTGAAATATAGAAACACAAGAAATAAATAAACAAAGTCGAAATAAATAAACAAAGTCATTAAAAATACACACAAAATATGCAATTCTGAACTTTTCCAGTTTATGATTTAATCTTTCACAAACTTCTTTTTCCACATACAATGACAAAAAAAAGCCAGCCAGCTAAATTCATCATCCAAATGGAATGCTAGCTATTGACAATCTTTGTGATCTTAATGTTTACGTACTTACGTTTACATTCACAATCACATGTGCACTTTTTTTTTTTTTTTTTTTTTTGGGTCGAAAAATCGCATGTGCACCTATATGTACTTCTACCAAAACGTGGTACGTACGAACAAAGGCTATAGAAATTAATAGAATTGATTAATATTTGGATGAAGATGGTGTCCACTCTTCAAACCACCACAATGTTCCCTATCTATTATCGGGGACGTGATGAAGTAAGATTATACACGCATTTATTTCAAGCCACTAAACTTAACCATCATTCGCCTCTACATTTTATTAGAATTTTTGGGTCATTAGCGACACGACAAAACGGATCATCCACGCAACAGATCATTCACATACCGCCGCGCAAAATGAATTCAGAAGTCGCAGAAAATATTAATAAATTGTTTGAAATTGAAAAAGCCATGTGAATCGTCGGTTCTAGCTAGTAACTAAAATTTATTCTGATTTTGCATATATATAGATAGACATATAGGGTAATTAGAATTTGTTGATGCTGCAAAAATGGTAATCACCCACGTTAGTCACTGTAATGAAGAGAAAGAAATGCATAATTTTATGATAATAACAAGAGATAATAGCTTCGTGAATATTCAGGTTGATACTAAATTCTCTTTTTGTAGATTCGACAAGTGTGATGAGTAGATAGAAAATGAATGACGTCTGCAAGTGTGGATTGTATATATATAATGTAAGTGCATACTTTTTGATTCTCCAAAACTATTTGCTTATAACTTACGGATATATATGGTTCGGCTTGGACGTAAAAGTCTAAATATAATTTGGTATATATTGCTACATAACATACTTTTGGCTGGTACGATAGTTCATGATTCGTTATCAATATATTAATAATACCTTGACGAAACCATTCTCATTAGTGATCTTAGATTATTAATCCAGCTATCTGAAGTATCAACACGT